AAACATCAGTTTTGGACAAGAATAGTGTTTCATGCAGGCTTTTTATTAACACACGGGGATTTCACGCAATAAATAAAATAAATAGTATTTTATATATTTTTAGCAAAACATAAAAATATGTTATATAATTTATCCTATTGTTATAAAATTTAAAGAATCAATCAATTAATGTAATTTAAATGCTGCACACCTTTTATCGAATTATTGAAAAAGAAAAGAAAAGTGGGATAGTTCCAAGAAAGTGGATTAAGTTGGATGGAAATAATACAAAATAAAAATAAATAAAAGTTTATAGATTTTGGCATTTGTTAATTATTTCAAAGAATTAGGTACTCAGTTTAGCTTCGATATTTTAATTTGTATTACCAACCTAACCACACCTAATAAGGAAAATATCTGATTTTTATTTATTTATTTATTTTTTAGACTCTTGAATTTATGGAGTTGTTACAATCACAAAAGTTGGGTATATTTTTCTTCTTGAAAATATCATAAAACATAGAAACACCCGTGTTTACCTAAACATTTTCAAACCAACTGTTTTAGTTATAGTTTTTTTTTTTTAAAAAAAAAAAAAAAAAAAAAAATCAATTTTGGTCTCAATATAACCAAAATTCATCAATTTTGGTCCAAATATAAAATTTTTTATCAATTTTGGTTCTAATATAATCAAAACTCATCATTTTTTGTCTCAATATAATTTTTTTTTTTATCAATTTTAGTCCCAATATAACCAAAACTCATCATTTTTTATCCCAATATAATCAAACATTATCTTTTTTGAGTCCTACACTTTCAACAAACTGACGGAAAATACTGACGTGAAAATAAATCAAACCTTATATTTATATTTGAAGAAACTGCACAATCTTGCAACATTTTTCGTCGGTTTGTTGACGGTGAGACAAAAAAAGATAAAGTTTGATTATATTTGGACAAAAAATGATGAGTTTTGGTTATATTGAGACTAAAATTAATAAAATTTTTATATTGGGATAAAAAATGATGAGTTTTGGTTATATTATAACAAAAAATGATGAGTTTTGATTATATTGGGACCAAAATTGATAAAATTTTTATATTGGGACTAAAAATGATGAGTTTTGGTTATATTGAAACAAAAAATGATGAGATTTGATTTTATTGGGACCAAAATTGATAAAATTTTTATATTGGGACTAAAAATGATGAGTTTTGGTTATATTGAAACAAAAAATGATGAGATTTGATTTTATTGGGACCAAAATTGATAAAATTTTTATATTGGGACTAAAAATGATGAGTTTTGGTTATATTGAAACAAAAAATGATGAGATTTGATTTTATTGAGACCAAAATTGATAAAAATTTTATATTGAAATCAAAATTAATGAATTTTGGTTATACCGTGACGAAAAATAATTTTTTTTTTAAAGTAAAATAATTACTAAATATAGTATTTTATATAAAAAAATGAGTTTGAATCTAATAAATTTTGTTGTGAGAAATTGATGGTGTCATTGGTGTCTTTGTTTTTTTTTTTTAAAAATAATTTCAAAGGATATTATGAGATATACAAAATTATTTAAATAATATAAAAATAATAAATATATGTAATATTATTTTTTAAAAAAAAAATATGTAGAAGAAAAAAAAACAAAAAAAAAAAAACACATGCTGAATAGTAAAAAAAATAAAGAAAAAAAATATATACTCCCTCTGTCCTATTGAAAGGTTACCATTTTTTATTTTTGTCATTCCCAAAATATGATTACAATTTCCTAATTTAGTAATTGCACTATCTACCTAACATAATAAATACCTTTCCAACTTACACTATATTACACAAATATCATTACTTTTATATTATACAATACTAATAGGATCATTTTCGTCTTTTTCACTATATTTTTTTTATTTAAAATTTTATATATTAATTAGTAAAAAAAAAATTATAAAAACAATGAAATGTAAAGTGAATAACCTTATATCTTCCTTGTTATTTAATGATCGGTTATGTTGCTCCAAGGAGGTTTGCCCCATGAATTATTTATTTATTTATTTATAAATGAAAAAAATATATATACAGTATATATGTTATTTTGTAGAGAATAAAATTTTCTATAATATAAATAAATAAAAATTTAAATATATATATGTCGAGTATAATATAAATTCATAATCAAATCATACAATATGAATTTTAACAATTAAATTTAATATACATTTATATTATTTTATTCATTATCCATTAAATCAATACACATCAAAACTCCCCAAATTCCAACCAAATCCAAACACAAAAGAAACAATAAAATTCAAACTCTTCCCAAAATTCAAATAAAAACAAAACAAAAACCTAACTTTTCCGAAACTCCCCTGAAGAAACACACCTGAAATAAATTGAGTGGCAATGGTGTGTTTTCATTTAATTCCTGGGGGTCTTTATTTGAATAAAAAATAAGTACAGAATATAATTAATATTTTGAAGAATTTATAAATTGTAAACTAACATGTTCAATGAAAATAAATGGAAAATATAATACTTGTCTCGTCTCATATATTACGTCATGATTTTTATTATATATTTTAGTCATATTTTAAAATTTTATTTTTTTTTAATTTTAATTATATAATTAATTATTTTAATCATAATTTATAATTATTTATATTATATTATAATTAATTTAAAAAAATATTTTTAATTATTTATTAATTATATCATTTCTAAAATTGTATATTTACAGTAAATAACCATAACTGTAATATTATATCAGGGAGGGAGTATTATTTTAGAAAAACAAAGAAAAAAAAGATTAATGTAGATTAAAATATAATACTCCCTCCGTACTGGAACAAATAGTTTTGGTTGTGTTGGATACGAGATTCAAATAATATTAATATTATATTGATAGTGGGTAAAAAATATAGGTAAAAAATATTTTTGCCCTTATGAGTATATTAATGTAAAAGGTAGTGACAATTGTGTAATAATAATGAAAGAGTAGTTATATAATGATACAGTTATTTATGAAAAATAAAACTATTGTTTTAAAACGCACAAAAATAGTAAACAAACTATTATATTGGGAGGAGAAAGTGCCAAAAATGAAATTAAAAAGAAAAAAAAAAGGAGAGACAAGAAATTAGGAATAGATATTTGACAGCACAACATTTAAAAAGAATATTAACGAACAATCTAGAACCATGAAATTAATTAATTAATCAATCAAACCCCACAAACAAATTTAATTAGCGAAACACACAAACAAATAAAAAATACATTTAATTAATTGTGGTTCACAACAATAATTATTTTCCTACCCTCCCCTCAAACAAGATACATACATGGCCTTGATTTTCTCAAAAATTAAAAATTCAGAAGATCAAAAATTTAAATTGCACATATATTATGAAATAAGAATATCTACTATTAGGGGTGGAAATACACTGTGAAAAATTAATCACTGAGTTTAACTTATTAGTCTGTAATAAAAAAATTATACGGTCTGAATCTGACCTATTTTTAAGTCTATGTAGTCTACGAGCCTATTTAAAAGCTTATATAATATTCCCTCCGTTCACAAACTAACGTCCTACTTTTCTATTTGGAATGTCCAACAACAATTATTGTATCTTTCTATTTGTATACAAAAAAATTTACTCTTTCACCTTTACTTTATTTACTCTTTTATTTTCTATACACAAGATTAAGGGCAAATTTGTCATTTTATAAAAAAAATCCTAATTGTCTAAAAATACGTGTAAATATCAAATAGGACATTAGAAAATAGACGGAGGGAGTAATTAATTTTTTATTTTTTAAAATGCAATTATCATTTCATATATATATATATATAAAATTATAGTTACAACTAATCAATTTTATATTTGGTTATTATCACTAAATTAATTTTTTTTAAAAAATATAAATATATAATAATTTTATATATTAAATTAAAATTATATATATAAATAGGTCAGCCTAACAGGCCTAAAAGACTTTTCGTAAAGTTCAAGCCTATTCTAATTAATTAAATAGACTTTAAAATAACCCTATATCGAATTATTTGAATAAATAAATCAGACCGAGTCAAACCTTATGCAGGCCAGACTGTAGAGCCTTGGTAAGCGCCTAACCTATTTCCACCCATGTGTACTATATTTAAATATGTGATTTTCCATACTTTTGATTGGTGATTTTTGAATTATTAAAATAGTTGATATTTGTACTTTATAACAATATGTTATATGCTCTCTGTTCTTGTATTATTAATATAAAGTTAAAAAAGCAAAAAAATATCTAATTTGTAAAATTTGCTGGAAAGATTTCTTGTCCTAAAATTGTGTTTTACCATATTGTGATTAAGATAATATTGTAAAAAACACTCCACCTAAGGGAGATTGTAATAATACTAGTTTCATTTATACCTTATTATCTATAAATCTGTAATAATTTTCACAGTCTAAGAACAACATTTGAACCGCAAATAAGTAATACTCTCTCTTTTCAAAACAATAGATTCATGTTGTCATTTTTGTTTATTTTAAAACAACAGTTTTATTTCTATTTTTTAGCGGTTAATTTTTTATTTTTTTTATAAATTTATCTCTATTTTTTTCAAAATAATTACATAAAGTAGTAGGTGTATTTTAGTCTTTTAAAAATACTTTTATATCCACCTTTAATATAATATAATTATTCATTAATTTTTGTGCTATTGCTAAATGTCTGGGACGAAGAAAGTACATAATTTTAAAATAAAAAGTCTTTTCAACAAAATTCCCAAACTAAAAAAAATTTCTAATTGTTAATTTTGCCTAATATAAATAATATGCTATTTGAACATTCGATCGGTGCTATTTGAAAAAATCAGTTCAATACCACAACCGAACCACAAATGTAAATACAACCATATATATATATATATAGATACAAATACATACATATATATATATATATATAGGTAATGAGTGTCCATCCCAAATTATCCAAATAATAATATTATCCACATTAATCAATGGGAGGTTATCTAAGACAGCTATTGTCTTTCTCCTCATCCCACAATCTCTTCTACCTTAAAGTCCTCAAACTGTTGCTGAGGTTCATAACATTATCCATTTTCATAATCTCCAGCCACCTCAAACTCTCCAAAGCTCGCCGGAAATGTCTACGCCAGATACGTCGGAAAGTCCGCACGTTCCCAATAAAAATATATAAAAATGCGACCGGCGCCGAAAACATCGAGCGCTGCGTCATATGCTTAGCGGAGTACGAGGAAGATGACGTGGCGTCGGAGGTGTCTGAATGCAGACACTCGTTCCACCGGCATTGCCTCCGGCGGTGGCTGATGGAGGCGGCGGGGACTTGCCCGCTTTGCCGCTGCGTGGTGGTGGCGGAGGAGGCGGTGGCGGAGTATCACCGGAAGCTCGAATATCGCGGACGGGATCGGATTGACGAGGTCGAGTTTGCAATAATTTTGATCAGAGTATTGACGTTAGTAGCTGCTGTTGGCAATTGTTGTAGCAATGGGGGAGTAATTTGTTAATATGTTATTTATTTTTTGGTTCTATTTTTTTTTTTTTTTTTGGATTGGTCACCGTAATTAGTGGTTTTTAGGAGATGCCCCCGAGAAAATTTTTGTTTTTAAGTTTTTACCCGACAGAAGGATTTATTTTGTTTTTTGAAAATATGTTTTGAGATTTATGTAAGATAATGGAGGTTGATCGATCTTGTCGTTCTGTGTTTGGTAATATGGTTAAGGTTAAATATGAATATATTTATTTATTTTTTTGTATATAGGATTTGAGACAGAAAAAGTATATTGTTTGTTTGTTCATTTTATATTTCTACACCAAATACTTAACTTGCTTAACTTATGAGAATAGTTAGGACAACCCATATTTAGAGCGATTAATGATTATAAGTTAAGTGTTTACGATCGTTTGCTAATATTCACAAACAAAATTTATGTTCGTCCATTAAACATTCGAGTTCATTTGTATTGTTCAAGCTCGATTTGTCAAAAAATTTTATTGTTCGAATTTGTGAATAGCTTGAATAAGCTTGTTTGAGTTTATTTGAGCTCATTCGAGCTCGTCAGATATATATGATATTTTATTTATTTTTTATTTTATATATTTCTTATTTTCTTTTTTAATTTATATATAATATTCTATTTATTTATTTTTAATTAATAATTTTATATATTTATTTTTTAACAAACATTTGCAAGTCAAGGTAAAAGCAATGAACAATTATATTTATTTTTTAAACCGGTGCAAATATATCTAGTAATTTATTGTGACATTCCGGCTCGCAAGCCACGCAAGTCGGACATGTCGGAATGTCGTAGACTGCCCCACAAGTCAATACGAATTCTTTCAGTGCGCTTTTGTTCTCACACGCGTACACTCTGAGAGATTTGCACGTTTAATTCTAGAGTTCGGACTTTCAAAATGAATATGCATACAACCTCGGATGACCTGAAACCTGCTCATCCATGGAAGTTAGCCTAGCTCCGGCGTAACTATAATGTATTACATTTATAGAGTATATAGAGTGCTCTATACAAATATATCTGGTGTTCTATATAGTATATATTATGGTTTATATTGTATTATTAGTTCACCAGATAATATCAATTCAAAGGTTCATATTACATCGATCAAGAATCCAAAAAGCACCAATAAAATATTCAGAAAATACACATTTTAAATATCTGCATGCTATGTGAACAATTGAATAATACTTTCAAAAAAGACTTAGAACGATGCTATATGAGAAAATGGACATCCATAAATTATTATTAATACTCCCTCCGTCCGATAACAAAGTATTCATTTTTCCATTTTAGTCCGTCACATAACAAAATATCCATTTCTTTTATTAGTAACTGTACTATCTACCTAACATTACAAATACCCTTACAACTTACAATATATTACACAAATGTCATTACCTTTATACCATACATACTAATAAGGTTATTTTAGTCATTTCTACTTTATTCCTACTATATCCCAATATAATATTAATATTTTTAAAACTACGTGCAAAAAACAAATGAATATTTAGTTTCGGGAAGGAGGGAGTAATGTTAATTTATATTTTATTTATGTTAACCTATTCAACTTTAGAAAAAGAAAAAAAAGAAAAGAAAACGAACATTATATAAAAAATGATTATATCAATGTAAACACCAAATTCCCTGCAGAATATTAACATAACATATGTACATACTTAAATCCAAAATTGGAAACATAACTTCGAATTTATGATAATAAACCTGTCATTTCACAGTAAATAAAAATATCCAATATTTAACCAACACATTATTCATTTTAGTATGTTTCAATATATTTGGATTTTGACTATCAAACAAATTTAATAAAGTGCAAATAACTAACCATTAGCTTATGAGGTATGGAAACAAAGGATATATTCACAAATGCTTAAATCATATATTATAAAGATTGGAAAAAATAAAATTCTATACCAGAAACTATTTTCACTTACACATACTTAGTTTAATCATTAGACACAGTCTATACTGGTAATTATCTATAGCAACAGAAGTTGGTTGAGTAGCAGAAAATTTTACCTCAGTTAATCACATGAGTAGTCTGTTCAGAGACTTTATGAGCAATTTTAAATTCTCTTTCAAGGTTTTGTCGCCGGTCAATCCTGATATATCGGTACTAATGTTCTGCATATATCGGTGGGAGAAAATCGGGCATGAATTGGGACAGTTGGAAATCTGAGACTGAAAAGGATATGTGTATAAATCATCTTAAAATGATAACAAACCAAAGGACATTACCTCGATGTTCTTCAATGTAAGAACGAGAGCATGGATGCTGTTTTGAATTAGTTCTGTGTTTTCGGGTGCCAAAATGGATGAATGTACTCTACTGTAAAGTTCACAAGAACTGTCAATTTCCATACAATGGACCTTCAAGAACAAGATACTACGCTTTAACTATTCCATGAAGCTCTTGTAAAGTATATCATTTTTATGTAACATCACATCAAATACTCAATTTTTACTAAAGGGGAAAAAAATGAGGCATAGAAGGGCGATGAACCATCAAATAGTTAATTGAAAAATTGCATAATACTAAAGAAAATGTCTTCACATGGAAAGAGCACAAAAAAAATACTATGGTAGGCTTAAAACTGAGTCAAGCGTAATAATATACTACCTTAGATCATCAGAAGCTCTTGCAAGGGTTTTGGTCAAAGTCTCGACTTTTTTTAATAAGCCCCTGTTGCGAAGTTCAGCAAGCAGAGGTTCTGCATCATCGACCATGGATTCGACCTGTTAAACATCACAGAAAATACATGTCTCTTAATGAGAAAAAATGACACCATGTTGCAACAATGAGAAGCAGTCGAGTAGAATCTGTTTATCAAGAGAAGTCATACTTTTACATGACCCTTGATGATAAGTATGTTGAGCAACAAACAGTCGATTAGCACTCAACATTTCAATAAAGTACAGAATGTGTAAAGGCAAGATTCAGTATTAGCCTCACAAGTTGTGTCCAGATCTATGTTAGTGAAACATCATAGGAAAGTTTGATTATAGTTCCACAATATAAAATAAATTGCAATAATAGAGCAACTTTTGGCAATTTTAGCCCCGTACAAGTATTGGGATCTTGAAGATGATGAAATAATATTACATGAGACACAATTCATCTAATAGTACATTTATTCATCCATCTTCATTGTGAAAACTATGGACTTGTGGAACTAAAATTGTACTTTGTCATATTGCAAACAAAATTGAACGAGCAATACAAGAATATCCGGGAACCACAGCATGCTTCGAAGCCAGACAGGGCTCCCTTTTACACTGGTTACATGAGGAGACTACAATTCCAAGTATCTATATAGCATTCAAACTGTCAACACTAAGATACAATACCAAAAACAAAACGACCACCTAATTACAGAAAATGCTGCATCGTGCTGAATTTCTTCCAGTCGTATCAGAAATCCATTATCACAATAATGAAAACTGAGAATGGGGACAACATTTCATAAGAAGAAATGCAAGTAAAAGTGACATCAATACATATAAGTAACCTAAGGTACTTCCAACTGAATCAAGACGAATTAGCTAGGTCTCAGGATCAATGATTCCGTGGTGTAGATAAAAAAATCAAACATACAGACATACCAAATCATATGTTATATAAATGAAACAATCAGAAATGTGCTGCTTCACAAAGATACTACCACAACAATTCAAAAGCAATTATCATACATAAAAACACAAGATTTATAAAAATGAAATAGAAGCATTGATATCTGCACGACACAACCATACATATGTGAAACAGATTGCCTATTCACTTTGAAACAAGAAGATACTTAGGGACGACTGTTATCTAGTGCCTTTCGAGAAGATACTGTATATATTATTAAATAAAACAACAACAACAACAATAATGGTGTAAATTCATTTTGAAACACATACCACACCTTTCTAAGCAATGGATATGCTTCCTCAATAACAGCAGCAGCATGATCTGACAAAGAATAGGACTTAGAAGCATCAATGGCTTCGACTTCTCTCCCAAGACGAGTCATTATTCCAACCAATTCATCGAAACTCACTCCACGTCGCCCTTGCATCTTTTCCCTGTCACATACAATTAACCCTTCTTCCTTACACCCTGCATCAAGTGGCCCATTGGTAGGCTTCGGAATTCGATTTCCAGGCGTAATATCAATGAATGATCCCATAAGAAGCCCCGATTGATTCACTTCAACCAATGAATTCCTAGGAATTACAAGTCTATCATCTTCAATCTAGAAAAACAGTAAGAGATCATCAGTTCATCACAAACAAGTAACAACTCACAGAGACTTATTGTATTGTAATTTGTAATCATTAGTTCAAAGTTATTGAGGCATCTCACCTCCGCTACTGCTTCTATGCTTCGCAATGAAGGATGGACACGAACCACACTGCCGACGCCTATCCCTCTGATCCGTACAGGCGTTCCGATGCCAATGCCACAGGCGTGGTCGAATTCGAATACGGCTGAGTACTTTCTGAACTTCGATTGCAGGTTGAAAGTCCTCAACCAAGCCAAGCTGAGAACGAATAAAACTATCCCCGAGACGACGAACTGCCCGGCGCCCCCTTCCAGTACGGCTTTCCTACCGAATCCAAAGTTGTTCAACGGCTTCAATGTTTCTCTCCAAATGCTTCGAGGAGCGTTAATTAAGAGTGAGAGCGGATTCCTTGAGTGAGAAGGCGACCTGTAATCCGATGGATCCGCCGCTGAAGCGGCGGTCACGCACAACTTTTTCCTCTTAAGCTTTGGTGGAGTGGAGAGATTCCTTGCCAAATTGGTGATCGAAACGCAATGCAACAACGTGGAACTCATGATTAATTATTCTGGAGCAGGGCAACAAGAGTTCGATCGTATATTTGTAGAAATGAGCGACGAATCGTTGCCGCGTTGGTGGGGGAAGGAGGCGGCAACTGCTGGACTGATGTAAGAGTCTAAGGATTTTAGACTTTTACTGTGGTTAAGCGCGGCGGCGGCGGCGGCGGTGGCGGCGGTGGAGAGAAGGAGACGGCGGTGATATTGAGCGGCACCGGGTGGTCGGAAGGCTTTAAATATTACTCCATCATTCCCACTCCCATCACAATCGACCGCTATTTCCATTTTTTTTCGTCTGTTGACGTCTTTCTATTTTCTTTTAAAAAAATTATTAAATTAAAATAAATATAAATTAACTTAGCTACGTAACCTATCACAAACATTCATTCAATTTTTTTTTTTTTTATTTCTCTTTAAAAAAATAATTATTTTTATTTATATTTAAAACTATACATCTTTTATAAAACTGATTTATATTAATTATAAATAAACAAAAATATTTTTTATTTACTAGTATAATAAAAAATTTATTATTACTAAATGATATCCATATTGCATATATTTTTAATTGTTATATAATTATTAAATATTTAAACGTATATTTTAATTTTTTTAATCATATATATTAAATTTATTTTAAAAATATAAATATTATTAATTATACAAAAAAATAATATCATAACTAATTATTATTATTAACTAATTAAACATTCTTACCTTAAATACAGCGTCTCTAATCAAATGGTTCAATTCACATGGAATTAAGAGAGTATAAACTAATAGTAAATAATAAAAAATTATATATTAGTACTAAATAATTAGAAAATATATTAATTAAAATAATAAAATACAATCCAAATAATTATAAATTAAAATTACAATAATTATTTTTTAAAAATTTTAAAATATAGTATAATTTTATTCATTTATTTTTTAAAAATAAACATCTAACTAAAATAATAATGCACAAGAGGCTTCACACCGACTCTTTTATTCACATTTGTTATTATTAATTTTCATACTTATGTTTAATAAAATTATACTCATTGCCACTTGTTTATTTCTTTTAATTAAAAATTATTTTTGATCATATTATATCATAATAACAATAATAATCCCACGTATTAGAAATTTATGAAATGATATAATTAGTAAATAATTAAAGATGAATTAGTCTTTTTATAAAAAATAGTTAAGGTTTAAGATTTAAAATAATCAATTAATCTAATTAAAATTAAAAAATTAAAATAAAATTAAAATGTATAATTTTTTTTTAAAGAAAATAATAAATAAAACGGACGATAAAAAATAAAAAGAGAGAGAGTATTATTATTATTATTATCAATTTTAAAATTAAAATTAATTATTTTTTGTATCATAATATCTCACTTAACACGACAACTAATACGGACGACCGATTATATGTCTGAATACAGACATATTCATATTTATGTTCATAATACTGTTTTTAAGACCATAGTCTAGGTAAATGTTTACCGTCATATTTTAGATTATATTCATTATATTTATTTTTTGAGTAAAATTATTTTTGGTCTCATTCAATATCATAATTATCAATTTTGGGTCTATTCAAAAAAAATTATCAATTTTGGTCCTATTAAAAAAAATTATCAATTTTGGTCCCACTCAAATGAAAATTTATCAATTTTAGTCGTTGACTAGGACTGAACACGGCCGTATTGGATGACTCATAAGGTGACTGGGCGTACCAGGCAATCAAAGTTATTTAGGTTGTTATTTATTTTCAAAGTTATCGAAATCATTCTAAGTAATGGCAAACAACACACGAGGAGTTCATTTTGTGCAAATTTTATTTGTGATCTCCCTGTTTACTTTAGGTGATATTATATCATTTTGCTTAATTACTCAAAATTATTGACTTATTTTTTCTAAGGACAAATATAACTTTTTTAGACATGTTATAACTTTTTTTTTTTCCTTAAAATGTAGGGCAACTAACGAGCGAGGGAAAGCTGCTTCTTACACAATGCATAGGAAATGTTCGAATTTTAGAGCCAAAAACTTCTTATTTGGGCAATGTATTGAGGTTCCGATACCGTCCAGAGAAGTTGACTGTTGTTGTGCAGCAAAATCGCCGTTGGGGAGAAATTGATTATTATATGATGTGAAACTTTGCTATTCGATAAAGATTTATGTATAAGTTTGAAGTTATAAAATAGGACATCTATGAATAGATAAAAAATAGGTAAACTGTTTTTTTAGTCCCGTAACTGGACTCTCTTGTTATTTTACTCTCGTAAATAGAGCCTATCGCAAACTAGTCCCATAAGTGAAGAATTTTCGCTGTTTTAGTCCTCCGGCACAGGAGATGCCCGCGTGGCTCGCCGGAGGTGACATGTCCGTCAGGTGTCGCTGACCTGACGGACACATGGATTTTTTTTTATTTTTTATTTCATTTTTTAATTTTTTTAAAACTTATTTTTAATTTATTTTTAATTTTATTTGTATTTTTTTATTTGTTACAATTAAAAAAAATTTTTAAAAAAATGAAAAAAAAAATCCACGTGTCCGCCGGGTGTCACTGACCTGGCGGGACACCTAGCGGACACGTCACATCCGGCGAGCCACGCGGGCGTCTCCGGCGCCGGAGGACTAAAACAACGAAAATTTTTTTACTTATAGGACTAGTTTGCGACAGACTCTACTTACATGACTAAAATGATAAAGGAGTCGTTACGGGACTAAAAAACAGTTTACCCATAAAAAATTTATTGTCTTGATTGGTCTTCTATTTAGATTTATATGAACAAATGGTCTGAAAATGCACGCCAATGAACTAAACATGTCAAGAATCCGAAATACTGCTTTATATGTTATTCAAATTTATTTTAATTTTTCTTTTTATTGTCATTTAAATTTATTCTCGTCATTTTAGTTAAAAAAAATAATATTTTTTCTTCTTTTTCTTTATCCTAAAAAATAAAAATTTCTATTTTTATCAATTTTTCTTAATACTCGTGTCCGGTCAAAGGATAACACAATTGAATGGCGGATGGAGTATGATAAATATATTTGTCTCAAACTTGTTGTGTTCTTTTGTGGGTTTTAGCATTCAATTTTTTTTTTCCTCCAAAAATATCATATCAAATAATTACTTTTCTTTTTTTATATTAAACTACAAATTTATTTTACATTCAAAACATCACATCAACTTCTATTTATATCACATTAAAAAACTATTCAAATTCAATTTTTTACTATTAAAAAATTCAAACCCAAAAACTAAAATCCACAGACAAACACACCGTGTTTTATTCAGATTTTATGCAAAACTGAGTATTGCACACAGAATCGTACGACAAACAAGCAAAGTCATATTATTCATTTGATTTCAAAGTAACAAAGCAATAATTTTTCGATTCGAAGAACACAAAAGAGAAAAAAAAAAAAAAATTCTTCAGAGTTATGAAGTAGAACTCGCGTAGGCCAAATACTTTTCCACGACAAGCTCGATCAACGGGTCCTCAACATCTGCATCCGGTCGAGCCATGTCTCGGCTCACATTAATGTTTCCATTCTTTGTTACAATTATTACTCGCTCTTTGTAACTCGAAAGCTCGTTTGCTACTACCATATGCATATCATACTTCTCAAGCGCCATGCCGGCCTTCTCTAGTAGAATCTTCGTATCCGTCTCTAGCTGGTAACATGTTAGAGATCAGACAACCTTAACGGATTAAATCCTCCGCCTAAAACTATCTCCTGAATGGGCCATCACGGTCTGAAATACATCTATTTTTCACATTTTAATTAAAACGAGAAGGCAGAATGGTTTATAACTCATTTGTGATTTGAAAATTGCATAGGCTATCTCGTATTTTGGAAAATATTGCATAAATTTTTTAAAAATTGTCCGAGACTTCTTTGTATTTTAAAAAATATTGTACACAAACTTTTATAAACAATTTTATTCAAATATTTCTTTAAAATATAATGGGGTGTTATGCAATTTTCAAGTCATGGAAGGGAACAATGCAGATTTTTTAAATCACACTTGAGTTGCGAGCAATTTTGCCGAATGAGAAATTAAAAAGGTTCAAGGAAAGACTATCAGCATCGGATTCATTACACATTCTGCAATAATTTGAAGTTATAATTACAACCTCAAAAACTTGACCAGAAACAAACCCATACCTTAAATGAAATGCAAAAGGCCAACGGCGCCCACTCTTTCCTTAGTATCGAAAGCATTTTTGGGACCTCAACAAGTCGAAGGTCTAGAGGACCGGAGCGTGACTGGATTTTATGAACTGCCTGTTTTGGACAAAAGGATAATTATACTATAATACTATTTGTTAGAACACTATATAATATGCAATTAATTATGCATTTCTCTCGCAGCTTGTATTTTTAGATATAAAAGTCATAGATAGTTGACCATGTCTTGAAAATAGTCCTGTAAGTAAATTTTTTTCGCTAAAATAGTCCTTCGGTGCCAAACTCGCCATGTTGGCCCGCCGTAGCTGACGTGGCGTTGACGCGACTGACATGTCATCACCACGTAAATGCCACGTCAGCGACACGTGGAATTTTTTTTAATTTTTTATTTTACACAATGTCTTGATGAAATATATTTTTAGTCCTGTATATAACCTCCTTTATCATTTTTAATATATTTAAATGGACTTTGTCTCAAAATAGTTTTGCAAAGTAAAAAAACTTCGCTAAAATGGTCCTCCGACGTGGCATCTATGTAGCGATGACATGTCAGCTGTGCCAGCGCCACGATAGCAACGACTGCCAGCATGGCGAGTTCGGCACTGGAGGACCATTTTAGCGAAAAAAATTTACTTACGGGACTATTTTCAAACATGATTCACTTAAAGTCCTACAATGATAAAGAGGGTAAGATACGAAACCTAAAAAACAATTTACCCAAAAGTCATTTAACACTGGTGTTTTCGTGAAATGCCATAATAAGACAGAAACTGGTTTATTACCATGCTCCCTGGTGGAACATAGAAGTCGGAAACAGCTGCAGCTAGGAAGAACAAAGCTCTCGGCCCGAATCTTCTCAACGATAGCGCAATCAGCTGCAAAATCTGCATATCAATCAACACGGTATGCAATCTCATGAGAGCGCTAATTTTCGATGTGAATTTGTTAATTTAAGAGTAATATAAGGTGACCTGAAGATACTCGAAAATTGTTGTAAAGGGGATTTTCAACAAGGTGCCTTGATTAATCGCCTGCAACGAGAAATCGGATTCGATTCATTGTTGTCTGATTTGGACAAATCACTTGTACGATGAAAGGGGGGATTGTCCTTACGGTACAATTGGCGCTCACGGCTTTATCGATGGTTTTCGCGTACGTTGGATTTACTACAATGTCATAATCCGCAAGTTCTAATATTATGTGACAAATTGTCTCCCTCTGTCTTAGAAAAAAAAATTTATTTTCTTTATTTGTCTGTTACAAAAAAAAATGACTGTTTTCTTTTTTAATAAAAAAATTACACTCCCTCGGTCCAAAAACAATAAGAAAATTTGACATTGACACAAGAATTAAATAATAATAATAGTATATTGATAGTAGATGTAAAAGTATTTTATAAGACTAAAATGTCTCTATTTATGTAATTATTGTGAAAAAAGGGGAATAGATTTGTAAAAAAGTGAAAAATTTACTACCAGAAAATGAGACTATTATTTGTGAACGCTATAAAAATGACAAAATAAGACTATTGTTATTGTTTTGGAACGGAAGAGAGTATATTTTTACTATTTTAACCATTTTTTTAATAATTTTTTTTTACTATAAATGACAAAAAGTACAAAGTACATTCAAATCCATATCCAAACTAAATGAACATGTTTTTACACGACAGAGGGAGTATTCGATAAATAATGCAGAAGAAATTAAACATGTTCCAAACCTCGAACATTTGAATCGCCATCGACTTCAAAACATTCGAGTAATTGATCGTAAGGAAGCGACTGACAGTACGGCTGGCAGGTTCCTCTGCAATCCAACGAATATATTTCGATTGAGGAAAAAGAAAAGAAAAGAAAAGAAAGGCGAGACGGTTACGAAAGTACTTACCTACGGTGAAGAAACACGACAGAAAATCCAGCTTTTAGAAAATATCTGTAGTTTCATTAAGAAAATTTGTATTAAAAAAGTTGGCAAAAAATAAATATCCGAATTGCCCATTTGGTAAAAAGACGAGGAGCTATGCAGCTTACTCGGTGGCTGCAGCTCCTCTATGGCCGGAAGCAAAATTGTCGATATAACGAACACATTGCTGTTCCAAAGGAACAGTTGTACCTCCCGATGTTACGCACGCAACTTTTCTTAATCCTTGATTATCTGAAAAAAAAAAAATTCGTCGGCATAAATCAAATTATGCATAAAACATTGCATATTTGAGAAAAAATAGCCAGAAAAATGTAGAATGGATTACTATGTAGCACATTAACCATGCGAAGAGGCTCGGTTCTTTTTTAATTTTTTTTACTTTGCAGTCAATCGTTTTTATGAAAATACATTCGTAAAACATCAAATTTAAATACTATTTTTAAGGGAAAATGAATATAGAGGGATGCATAACAAACTTACTAGAAGAAGATGAGAAATTTCTTGCAAGAAATTCTTGTAATTGTCTATTGATTTCTGCAGCATTCTTCAAAATGGGAGCAGAGTCAAAGAAGGACTTGATATCGGCGTAATTTGTTTCTTCGAGAGATCCCAAAATATCCATCAAATGAACTTAATCCCACCTGAAAAAACAACAGATGTACGAATAAAAGATACGAACAATAGGATCGATTCAAATGCATATCCTCTTGTCGAGCATAAATGGAGATTCACAAGCACAAACCAAACACAACCTAAATAAAAAGATTTGCTGAAAATTCATAATGCAACAACATAAATAAAGCACCAAGTGTTCTTCCGTCTCTTCTTGTGTTGGAAAAGATATTCAAATTTATATCGAGTTGTGAAGCTATCCAGATGAAGGAAAAAGAAAATGACCAATCGGAGGTGATAATCAACTTGTAAACAATCTTACTCTCGGCTAAATTGGTAATCTATTGGTATTATTGTTACCGTGTAACTATCAGCTTCTTTTGTGTTCGGCTAAGAGAGCCATAAGAAGGAATAGTTTGTATTGTACCGAAGCTTGTAAAAATAATGATGGATTACTTCTAGATTGGAATCCCCAATATAGGTTTTGATACAAATTGAGTATACAAAACATTGTGTACTTTTTATTAGTTTACTCACTTGTAACGCTGGTAAACAAACCGAGTCGTTCGTGAACTCGGCTCGATTCAGCTCGGTTAAAATTCGTTCGCGAACGTTAATGAGCCGAGCCGAACAACATAAACAGGCTCGTTTGGTTAACGAACGAGCCCGAGCTTTGTTCGCGAACGATTCGTTTAAATAATATATTTATTATAAATATTATATATACATATAAAATTATAATTTATAAATAAATAAAATATTAATTTAAAATATATAAATAAAATAATTTTAAATTTTCTTTATAATTTATATATAAATTTAAAAATATAAGACAAACGAGCTCGAACGAGCTTAATCAAACCGAACACGAACACGAACACGAGCTCAAACAACAAAAATTCTTAACGAGCCGAGCTCGAACACTACCAACGAGCTCGAAAACTTAACGAACGAACACGAATCTTGTTCGCGAACGTCAACGAACACTTAAAATTTGGCTCGGCTCGGCTCGGCTCTGATTGTTAAGAGCTTTACTCACTTGTCTAACCATTGGCCTATGCTTCACTTACACACTAATATTGTAACCATACCATAACCATGTATTAAAATTGTGTTAACCTATTACGGTTTTATAATTTTGTTGCCCAAAAACTAGAATAAATTGACTCTTATATCACGATGTCTAAGTGATTGTGTTCCAACAATCTATTTATTATTTAAAATATAGTGTGAGTATACCTGTTAATAGTTATTGGGTCAAAATGTTAGCCTTTGTTTACAGAACAAACTTTCACGCACTATTTATTCTTTTAAAATATCATATAAAAAGATATATATATATTTTTTTTATAAAATATCAAATTAAATAAATCTTTTTACTTCTTTTCAAACTTTCAAAATTTTAAAAGTCTTCAAATCTTTTTTATTTTTTTGTCTAGGCTGAGCCTTTTATATTTCTCGCAACAGCAAAAGCACACAAAATTTTTAGGGAACATTTGTTTAAAGAATTTTGGTAGATTTTTACTATTCATACAATTTTTTTCTTAAAAATACTAAATCAAATACTTATTTTTTATATTATACCAAAAATTAATTTTATATTTAAAATATTACATTATTAGTCAATATTTATATCACATGTATTCCAATTCAAATTTCAATCTAAAATCCAAACCTCAAACAAAACACCCTAATGTATCAATGTGAATCTTTCTACGCATCCGTACCGTAGATCAATCCCCAATTTCACCGCTAAACTAAACTAAACTAAAGCCATATATCATTTGAGTGCGTCAGTGTAGCCCTAAAATTTGAAATCAACTCACCCAGTAAAAATATATAATCATTCATTCCCGCAAATACGTAAAGATTTAATTAATTAAAGGAGATTGAAGAGAAATTAAAGTTACCTTGATCAGAGCAGATGAGATGCAGTCGAATGGTTAGTTGCAGCAGCTATTGCACGAAGAAGAAGAAGAAGAAGAAGAAGAAGAAGAGAAGAAGAAGAATCGCCGTTTCCTCCAAACAAATGATACGATACAGACAGACAGACAGACAGACAGACAGGCAGTAGTAAGTAAGTAGTATGTTGTATCTACCTCTTTCTTGTTGCCATTTGATTTGGAAGTGGAGATCAATTTTGGCGTTTGGAACTGACACTGACGCGGACGGCCGGACGGACGGATTCTTTGCCGTTGTCTTGTATACTACTCTCACATTTTTCATTTGAATTCAACACCATAATTAAGTAGATAATACTCCCTCCCTCCTTAAGTCTGCTCATATTTATGTTTTGTGTCACTCTACTCTTAAAAATATCTTTTTGTATGATTTTTTGTTTTTTACAAATATTCTTTTATTAGTATTATAAGACATAAGTATATTTTTAATTTTTTTTTAATTTTATAGTATATTTTGATATAATAATTAATATTGAAAGTTAAACACCAAAAAGTAAATGAGTAGAACGGGACGAATGTAGTATTAAATAAGATAATTTAAAAATTAAATAATGTAATTAGAGAGAAAGATATATATATATATATTCCCTCCATCCGTCTTTGTGATCACATTTATTTTTTGTCCAATTATATTTAATATTAAAAATATTATTATATTTATATTTTTTTTATACAAATATCCAGTACTATAAGATAAAAATATTTTTTTAATTGTTTTAATTTGTACTATATTTTAATATAATACTTCCTCCTTACGCACTTACCATAAATGATTACACACTTTAATCTTATTTTAAATTTTTTAATTTTTTTTAATTTTAATTAAACTAATTAGTAATGTTAATCTTAATTTATAATTATTTATATTATAGGATAATTATTTTCAGTAATGCATTCTTAATTATCTATTAACTATACTCCTGTATGTGAGACAGAGCTAGTAATTAATATTTAAAAATCAATCTTAATAAACCCTCAGAGCCGAACGAAAATAATATATTTTCTTATTTGAATAATATAATAAAATAAAGTAAAATATTTATTTATATATAAATATATAATTAATTATTTCTAAATTTAAAAATATTATTCATAGAGGGAACGAATATATATAGATAGGATTGATCCAACAATGTGAAGGAAAATATTTCACATGATATGACCCCCAAAAAAACACAATCATTTTTTTCATATCATCATTTATATATATATTTAAGAAACAAAGCATCAATCACATTAAAGTTAAAACACATCCAAACACTATTCAAATCAATCAATAAAAACATAGTACCTGTCAATTTCTAAATAAATTCATGTAAATTCACAAGATTTATTTATTCATGCTCGTATCTGTAAAATATGTTGAATACACCTGAACTTAAATATACATAAATACAAGTGAAAAATAAAGAGGATGATATATGATATGTCTGTATCATATATTTATTGTTGGATCGATCCATTTAATAACATGCGCGTATATAAATGCTATATTAACATAGAAATACCTAATCCCAGAATCATCCAAGCTTCATGTAGTTGTTCTCAATCATCCACTTGAAGCTCCAATAGTTTTGATCGCACTTGTATGACCAATAAGCCCACCCGAATGTAGCCTTTCCGAACACATCCAGCTGAGCTTTGGCAAATTTTTTGTAATCTTCCATGGAAGCATTGTCATTGTACAAAGCAGCTGTCCATTCCCCTGCGATCCCGTGTTCGATTGCATCAAGAAAGTAACTCAAAAACGGGATATAACAAGCATGTAGGATTTTGGATTGGCTCGGGGCTTTCGCCATGTTCTATGAATACAACAATCCTAAAATACACAAATATAACATTTGTAAATTTAGTTTGTTCTCTTCGATTACTCTTCTATAAACAATAACTATTTGCTTATATTGTGGCTAGCCAATGTTTAAATTCATAGCATGAACTCTTGAACCCGAACTTGAAACTATAAAACTATCATCAGTCTTATAATTATATCTAAAATACTTTCGATCAAAGTAAATTTATCTTTCGAATGACAATACGATAATATTCAATCAGAATACATATCTACATACGATTACACACAGTGAAAATGCTCCAATGATACATCTAAACAAAGCAATTGCTTCGAATATTTTTACCTCAACCGTATTGTTTGGCTTGACGGACTATGAAGTCAAATATAAGTATACTACTGAATACTAGGCTCTGTTCTTTTTGCATTTTTCTCAAATTTTTTTACGATAATTATATCCAACTATTGTTTCACCTACAAAACAACAAATTTATAATAACACAAACCAAACAAACCCGAAAATTCAATTCAAAATTTTCAACAATGTTAGTGAATTCGATTCTAGGGCCTCTAAATTCAGCGATGGGCAGCATTTTTCACAAATGGAGAAATTTAATATCATGCTTGCCAATGATAAAAAGTAATGCTCGAAATGATAGAGAACAAAGGCAACTATTTAGATGAGTATCAGCCATCTTACCAACAAATATCAGAGGACCTTTTTTACGAGTGATTTCCTGCAGCTGCTTTGATCTTTTCTTGTAGACGTACTCAGCGTTTTGCTGGCCATTCAAACCCTTAAAATAGTCTGAATACCGATTGTAGTAATGCACGTCTATGACTGAGTACTTGAGCCTTGCAGCAAATGAAAGCAGCTCTGCACTGTCTGCTTCGCCCAATCTATTTGACAGAATCACATAAACAGTCGGATTATATTCTCGGACTGCTTCATAACCTGCTGTATAATACTCTCTCAAGCTGTCCAATGTTACACCTGGAGCCAGTGGCTCATTCATCAATTCAATAGCTCCGAGACTTGGGTGTGCCCCATACCTGAATAGTTATAAACAATGCGTACAGTGAGATTGAATCAATATGAAAATCAGAAAATATGAAAAATTTGAAAGCAAAGAATGATGTTAGGGAGTTTTAATCGTTAAGTTGATAAAGATATAAACCTTCTTGCCAAGAAGTCTATGACTGCAACTGTTTCAAGTATTTTAGAATCTCCCCATTCGATAAATCCATCTCTGCTTCCACTGTGATGCTTACCATTTTGAGATCCCGGTGCTGCATGGAGATCCAAGATGACCTTCATATTGTTGTTGCTACAGCAAAAATGGAGATAGAAGAAATTTTACTGCAACCAGACTATGTTGTTGCTTTAGTTGTAATTGCTATATATATGACAAACGGAAATATGTAACAGCTAAAATAAAAAAATAGTTGGATGGATACTCACAGAGCCCACTTGAAAGCATTATCTAAAGCTAGCAAAGAGCCGGGGACAAATGGCTGTGGTGGCATAGGATCGTACATGATCCACCAACCGACTGGAATTCTAACAGCATTGAGACCATTCTGCCTCATAAATCTGAAATCGTCTTCCACAATGTAAGTGTTCCAATGATTCTGTGATTCTTTAATGTTGTTAGAAACACATTGTGTTGTGATACACGGGAACCTTGTTGGGATTCTATACAATGAACTAGACAATCAACAATCGTATTACCATCATTATCTTTGAAGCTTCATCATAACCATAGCCATTGGTCAACTGATACTCCCCCTGTAAGGACTTCACAATATGCATTTCAAATACTGAGGGATCTTGATCCTCCCATTGATCAAGATTTCCGGAGTAATCTGCTGTCACGGCACTTTCTGCCTCGGCCTTATACAGATCATAAAGTCCGCACATACAAGAGAATTAAAACCATAAGTTGATTTAGCAAACCAACAATCAATCAGAATCATGAGGTCTTTGAATTTTCTAGCTAGAATAGCTCAATCATCTTAAGATAAGCTCACCTAATTATCTATCAATTTCATCTTCATTTTCAGGTGTTGGGCAAAGATTACCGTCAGGTTGTGTTTACTTACTAGAATTATCAATTTAAGCATATGTTCATTTGAAGGGAGAAAAAGCCTTAAAGCCTGTTACATATGAAGTCTGTAGTGAATTTATTACGGATATTTATCTAATGTATGTGATGATAAATGAATCTGTTAAAATAGTCATATCATAGAAAGTAAACATGATCCAACTGCTTTACCTGCAGAAAAAGGCCATTTGATGCTTGAATTCGTACTCGCAATGGATCATCACTGTTTCTTATAATATTGAAGGTTCCATTTGTGCCTGGTTCATCATCACGAGCAACGAGTTTAACTCCTCGGCCTTGAGTGCTAAATCCGACAAAGTCTTTGTTGGAAACTCTAAAATTGAAAGTTGTTGCATTGATTCTCCATAACTTCAGAGTTCAGATGAGTTCATAAAGTACAAACAAGAACAACAAATTAGACTGACTTAACCAGGAAACAAAAGTAAAACATACACACACTAACAGAGTTAAAAACAGAAAAAATGGTCGAACATACCCTGAAAGTTTCCCATGTTTTAGGGATGTCCCGGTTCGCCATTAAGGCTGAACCACCACCATTTTCTGCACATATATACTTATTGAGCCTTACAGACTTTATATGTACTTGAGTTCCATCCTGCCAAACAAACAGCAAGTGTCTTAAGAGGTCAAAAGGTCCCCTTCAGCTGAATAGTCTTTTTTTTTTGTTGCATTTCCTCACTTTAAGGTCACTAAAAAATATCTACATCTGAATTCAAATTAAAATCATAGTCAAACTCCCTTGTTAAGATTTTCAATCAAAATAATAGTTGGGATGCTTGTAAATAAAATTATAACTAAAAAAAAGGTTTTTCTTTTTGGCATAGGAACCCGCTGCTTGATTGCGCTTTGGGTAACCTCGACCAAATTAATAGGCAAACTAGGTTCAACAAGTCATATCACATTAGGCAAACCATGTGTGCCACACAAGACCATGGAGGGTTTGAATTTTGTTATAATTACAAGAAGGAAGAGTAGTATTTGTGGAAATATAATTACTAGGGATTATAACGTCGAACTATATATATATATATATATATACAATTAAAAAGAAAATACCCTAGTTATATCTCAAAACTACTTCCTAATTTGGCAAACACCCTTTGACTACTGTTTCTCGGCAGAAGCATAAAAGATTAATTTGGGATTGCAAAGAATCCGGGAAATAACTTCACAAAGAACTCTTATCATATATATATATATATATATATATATCCTCAGTTTATTTTCTTAATTAAAAATATCGAAGTTAGCTTATCTAAGTTAAGTTAATTTTTTTATAAATATCATGAAAGGGGCCAGTCTAAACTACTACACAAGATCTCTTTCTTCGCCCATTTATGGAAATAAATTATTTCAAACAATAACCAGATACCACAATTAAGCTATTCAACAATTTCTATTTTCAAATCATCTTCAACCCAGAATTCTCAATCCACAGTGGTAAGTAGCAGTATGCAGTTATTTTAGATAAATACTTCGCCGTTAATTCGAGACAATCAGATCGATTTCTCAAGATCACGATGCCATCACCGACAGATCCACAACAGAGTAAGAAATTGTACAATATATATTTAAAAAATAAAATGAAATTGAAATGCTAAGCAATAGATTCCTCAGTGTATCGTTTAACCAAAGGAGGCACTCAAATCGATTTCTCGATATAGCTACACGATCTCAGGTAGGTTAAATTCAGAATAAGAAATCAAGTGTTGTAAAGTAAAATTAAACATACAACTCACAAGAAGATCGTTATTAGGAATGGCGTCAAAAAGCGAGGGTGTCATCCAGCCTTCGACCACCAGCCATCCGCCCAGATTCGCTGCCTTGAAGAGCGGCAAATCTTCGCCGGCAACACCACCGAGCAGAACCGACGGAAACAGCAGCATTGCAGCTGCAAACAGCATCTCGACACGCTTGTAATGCAATGCCTGTGACTGTGTAGCATGATACATTTCGGGAATCTCCAATTATGCAAATCTTGGAGCTCAGTATCATCATTCAGAGCAAAATCGGTCTGTTTGGTATTTCTAGAACGTTTTTTCAAAAAACAAAAAATATATAAAAAAATATTTATTATTTATTTAGTATTTAATTTAATTTAATATATTTTGCTGTTTAGATATTTTTATTTATAAATATTATGTTTTACATTTATTTATTCATAAAATGTAGTGTTTAATAATTATTTTATTTTAAAATTTCAAAATTTAGTTGATTACTGTGTACTGCCTCCGTCTCATATAATTTGTTTCTATTTTCTATTTTAAATTTTAAATTTTATAATTTTCTTAATTTTAATTAAACTATTTACTTATCTTAATCTTAATTTATAATTATTTTTACTAAATAATACTCCCTATGTCCCATGTAATATAGGTGTATTACTGTAGACACGGGAATTTAATTTAGGTAAAGTATAATTAGTAAGTAATTAAGAAATATATTAGTAAAAATAATTATAGATTAAGATTAAGATAACTAAATAGTTTAATTAAAATTAAAAAATTTTAAATTTTAAATTTTAAAATATGATTAAAGTGTATAATTAATTTTCCAAAAAAGAAAAGGACAAATTATGTGGGACGGACGAAAATAGAAAATATGGACAAATTATGTGGGACGGAGGGAGTAATTATTTTTACTAATATACTTTTTAATTACTTAATAATTATACTTTACCTAAATTTTAGTGTCTACAGTAATATATCATATATGGGACAGAGGGAGTAATTTGATTTGGTTTTTTTATCCAATTCAATTTTATTGTCACCGTTTTTAATATATATGTACATATATTTTCAAAACAAATAATATTAATATTTTATATTATCATACAATTTTTATATTTTATATAAAAAATTATATATATCAAACTAAAATACTTAGAGTTTATTTGATTTAAATTTGAAATTTATTTGAAATGTGATCCTAATTTAATTTTTTATTTAAATAGTATTTAAATGTAATATTTAATAAAAAAATATTATTATTTTATTTAAAAACTATGACGAATTAATAATAATAATAATAATAATTTTAATTTAAAATGTTAAATAAACAAATCTTAAATAAATGCATAAAAATTCCCAACCAATTCCAATTTTACTTCCGTTGGTCTCGTTAGATGCAATTGTTTTCATTATACCTCGGCCCCGGTAGAGATAGAATCTTTAGACATAAAAAAATTTAAGTAGTATAAATTAATTATTTAGATAGTAAATATTAATAATTTAATGATTAAAATTTTTTAATATATTTGTTTATATTATTTTGACGTTATATTTCAATAATATATATAATATAAATATTATTTTATAAATAATAAAATTTATTTATTTATTTATTTATCATTACTACAAATTAATTTTTTTTAAAAGTGAAGAGTTTTAAAGGTAAATAGAGTTTTGAGTAGGTTGATAAATTTATTAAAAATAAAAAAGATATCTTTTGTGAGACCAAAAAAAATACTCCATTCGTCCATAAACTAATGTCCTACTTTCCTATTTGGGACGTCCAACAACTATTGTCCTATTTTCTTTTTTAAACACAAATTTTACATTTTTTCCCTTCATTCATTTATTACTTTTAATCTCTACCACATACTTAAAGACAAATTTGTCCATTCATAGCAAAAAGACAATCACCTAAAAAACCGTGCAAATATACTTTAGGACAATAGAAATTGGACGGAGGAAGTAGTTATCTATGACGAAAAAGAATTACTCTCTCCGTTCCAGATACCATGTCCACGTTGCCGTTTCTGTCCATCCCTCGTACCATGTCACTTTTCTTTTTTGGAAAATGATTACACACTTTAATCTCATTTTAAATTTTTTAATTTTAATTAAACTAATTAATTATCTTAATATTAATTTATTATTTTCACTAATACATTCTTAATTATCTACTAATTATACCCCCTTCTAAAATACCGTGTCTTAAGTGTAACATAGCAGACACGACACGGTATCTGGAACGGAGGGAGTAATATTTAGTATAGTATGTGTATATATATATACACGCATTAAAAGAAAAAAAAATGCTTGAGTAAATAGTAAAAAATATTTATGATAAAAACTTACAAGTAAACATTTAACTAATATGATTGATGCAAGCATTTTATTGAAATCCATAAAAAAGAAAAGAGGTCATTTCAAATATTGTCCGTTCTTACATAAAATTATGATAATTTCATAATTACTAGAGCTTAATGTAGTTATTCTCGATCATCCATTTAAGACTCCAATGATTATATTGACATTTATAAGCCCAATAAGCCCATCCAAATGTCGCCCTTCCGTACACGTCCAATTGCGCACGTGCATATCTTTGGTACTCTTGCATCGGTGCATTTTGCACGGCCCATTCTCCCGACCATTCTCCTATAAAAAATCATCACATTTTTGTAAGAGTTTTTACAAAAAAAATTAAAAATACTCCCTCCCTCCGTCCACCCATTAAATAGTGTAATGATATTTTTATCTTTATTTTTTGGTGTAAAAGTAATGATATGACGTAAAGTAGAGATATTTGTGAAAAAAAAGTGAAGTATTTAACGAAATGTTTACTTTGTAATTAGACATCTCAAAATAGAAATATGTTACTTTCTAACTAAATGAAGAGAGTAAAATAAAATACTAATTTCTGTAATTATTGCATAAACTTACCAACGAAACTCAAAGGGCCGTTAGAAGGAGTAACTTCCCGCAACGTTCTCGCCCTTTCGTTATAAATGTAATCAATGTTTTGTTGTGCACTTAGAGACGAGAAATAATCCGAGTAAAGATTGTAATAATGCACGTCTATTACAACTCGGGAGAAGCCGTTGGCGAGGGGAAGAAGCTCGGAGTTGCTAGCGGGGCCCAATCTATTCGACAATATGACGTAAGCATTTGACGTGTATTTTCTAACTGCTGCGTATCCTTGTCTGTAAAAATTTGTTAAGTCGTCGAATGTGACGCCGGGTGCTAACGGCTCGTTCATTAGCTCGATGGCCGCTAAGCCCGGCCGGCTGGCGTATCTGAAAATAATATTTATTTTTTATTTAAGATATTGAAAGTACGGAAAGATTTTAATTATGAATAAAATTTAAAATTTTATTTACAATAAATAAATATGTGTATATATAATGATTTATTGAGAAAATTGTAAAAAAATATTTTACACTTATAGTCAATAATATTTGTCATATATTTATGTCGTCAAAATATATCCTACATGTTTGCAAAATATATTTCGGCACATGACATTCACACTACAAGGATAAAAATAATCTTTTGCAAACATATAAGATATATTTTGTCAATTTACCTGTTAGCTAGAAAATCAATGCAGGCTACGGTTTGGGGAATGTAGGATGGGCCCCACTCTATATATCCATCTCTTGCTGCGCTATGGTCGTTGCCGTTTTGTGATCCTTGAGCTGCATGGAGGTCTATTATTACCTTCATTCTGTATTGCCTGCATCATTTTATTATTTTTATTATTATTAATTTTTATTTTGAAATACTTAGAATTTTAAATTAATTTATAATAATAAAAAATTGATTATAAAATATATCTTAAATTTTGTATTTTCTGTGAAGGATATATTTATAATATAATACCTAATAAAGAATAATAACTATTCGATGAAATGTCATTTTTTTAAAATGAAAATATTGGCGAGTAGTGCAAAAACAAAATCGAAATTGAAGAAAGGCTAAGGATTATTTATGGAAGTTTTTTTAATGGTAATTTAAATGCAATACTTTATAAATATATATATAGTTAAAAGGAATCACAATTACTACATAATAATAATAATAATAATAATGATAAAAATATAAAATAAAGCCAAATTTCAATAAAATAAAATAAAAAATATATATTACTATATTTATATTTATATATATATATATATTTTTATAACGTAAGAACGCGCAACAGCTACTCGTTGAGTTAGTATATTTGTATACTTACTCAGCCCATGTGAAGGCATTGTCGAGCGCCTCCAAGGAGCCCCCAACGAATGGCCTTGGTGGATTTTGGCCGTACATAATCCACCACCCCACCGGAATTCTTACAGCTGTCAGCCCATTTTCCGACATGAATTTGAAGTCACTCCCCGTTATGTATGTATTCCAATGATTCTGCAATTCAATTCAATTATATATTTTCTAAATCATCCAATTACAAAGCTAAGTACAAACAAAACACACACACATATATATATATGTTGGAAAATAGTTTAGCGAAACATGAGATACGGCGAATTCCGAAAACATAAAATCAGATAGATGTTAAATCAAATTTGAGCTTCGCGTAGCACGCAATTTCCTTGAAGCGAATTCGGCCCTCCACCGATCGCCTCCCAGGATAGAACGAATTATGAACATAATAAAATGGTAGAGAAATTTTCAGAATGAATTTTTAGAATTGATATTCCGTCTTCTATTGAAAAATGGGAGGAAAATATAATATATATATATATTTTTTATTTTGTATTTAATCACGTGTAGAAAAAAAAACTGTCCATGTTCTACCGGACGTTGCATTCAGTTGCAACAAACTATTTATTTGATTATTTAATTATTAATTTATTTATTTTTCAAATAATATAAATTAATCAAATAAAATGTGAGACAAATAATTTATTTCTCTTTCACCTATTTAATTAAATGCCCAACAATATATATATGATATACTCGATTATAAACATTTGTAATTAATATAGTTATAATAATTATTATTATTATTCGGACCTTCATCACCGCGGGAGCTTTATCCGGGCCATAGCCATTAGTCAATTGATACTCGCCTTGTAATGATCCGACAATTGTCATTTGGAACACCGACGGATTTTGGTCGCTCCAATCGTCTAGGCTTCCTCCATAATCGGCCTTCACTGAGTCACCCGTCCATGCCTAGAACATTGATTGGAAATGTAAAAATTATTATTACAATTTTGTTCGCTTTGAGTTTTTCTTTTTATTATTATTATTATTAATTGAAATATTAAATATAATATAATTTTATCCAAAAAATATAAATTAAAAAATTAAAATCAAATAGTAAATGGAGTAAAATTCATGTCAAAATTTCTTGCTACAACTTATATGAGTTTGTTTACTATTAAAATTTTGTATGAAACTAAATAGTAATCTATAGTAGTTAGTGTATACTTTAAATAATTTACAGTATATGATAGTAATTCACACAACACATTTCGATGCCAATAATATACTGAGAAATAATTCTTGAGAAATCGATTAGCCTTAATTGGTACCCTAAGTACCCTCTTATCCTACTTAAATATTTCCTAATCATAATATACATATGTAAATAACTTACCCGCAAATAAAGGCCATTATGGGCACGAATCCGGACTCGATTGTTATTGTTGTTTCTTGTAATAACAAAGGTTTCATTCGGCCCTGGTCGCGATACTCTTGCATATGCCTTCTTACCATCCCCGTAACTCGTTAGACCAATAAAATCTTTGTTGAACACTCTCAAGTTGAACGTATTTTCATTAATTCTCCACAACTGCAATAAATATATTTATTGAAAAACAAATAAAAGTCAAAGAAATCAATGGATTCACTATAGATTTATACGAAGAACACAATACATCGAGGCATATATATAACATTGTACGATATACTCCATCCGTCCTAATACAATAGTCCTATTTACTATTTTTATCCGTTTTAAAACAATAATCTCATTTTTATAAATAATCATATCACTGTAAAACTATCTTTACTTTTTCATTGATATTACACAATTGCCACTATTTTTTACACTAATACATTCGTAAGGGCAAAAAAGTCTTTTACCCGTACTTTTTATTCATTACCAATATAATATCAATATTTCTTAAATCCCGTGTCAAACACAACTCAGACTATAATTTTGAGACGGAGGGAGTATTAAACAACTTCAAAGTTTTTTTTGTTCTCCATAATGTAATGATCTCTTCCTTATCGATAGAATTCAATAATGAACAAGTCAAGACACTCGAAGAGAACAAAAACAAAATACTTCATTCGGCATCTCATTTTGTTTATGTCATTTTCACTTTTGGCACAATATTATATAATATATAATTCCGATAGTAAAAAATATTTCAAATTAAAAATAATAACAAAAGATTTGTAATAGATGAAGTATTATTATGTACCCTAAAAGTTTCCCAACCGGATGGGCTACTCCGATTGGCGACCAAAGCCGAGCCACCCCCATTTTCGGCGCAAAGATACATATTTAGCCTCGTCGACTTGAGTTGGATTTGAGTTCCATCCTATGTAAGTATAATCAAACAAACTAGGTTATTAAATGCAATTAAAAATAAAAGGAACAATAAATTATGTATATGTAATTAAAGGCTTGCCAAACCTCATTAATAATAGGATTGTTGACTTAGCTAGATCCAAGAAAATATATGCATGGCCACATAATTTTGCAATGAATAAATTAAATTGATGTTTATTATTTATACAACAACAAATAAATAAATAAATAATTTATTATTTTGCATAGCAAATTGTAGATACATTATTTCCGAATTCACTTAAATTTATATCAAATTAAGCTCAAATTTTATCTATTTTATATTAAAAATATAAAGTTATCATATTGAGAGAATTAAGCTTGAGTGTTATATAGATATATATATATTGTCTTTAATGTTAAAAGCATTTCTTTAAAAAAAAATTAAACTTAATCTCCTACTATTAATAATTTTTTTACTTTAAAAATTATCAAATCAAATAATTACTTTTTAATTTAATACTCTCCCGTCATCTAATTGTGTATGCATTTAACCGGACATGAATTTACTTTTACTTTTTTTTTTGTAAAGGAAAAATGATATTTTTTTACTAAAAAGAAAACGAGAATAAATTTAAATGACAACCGAAAAAAGAGAATAGATTAGAACGAAAGAACATTTATTTTAAAAAGTCAAATTACAATTCAAAATTACTGTATTAAATATCGATTCATTTCACAATATATATATTATTTCAGTTTACATTTTTATTATTTTAAAACTTCAAACCTTAAAGAAACATACCCAAAGAGTCACTAGGAATGAGTTTGTTCATTTCAAAACAATATTTTTACTATTTAATTTATAAAAAATAAAAAATATTTCTTCCACATACAATATTATATAAAAAATTCTAACCCTTATACAAACAAAATATATATATATATATATAGAGAGAGAGAGAGAGATCTAGAGAGAGAGAGAGAGAGACAAGAAGATCCTTGTTGGGAATGGAATCGAAGAGGGAGGGAGTCATCCATCCTTCAGCCACAAGCCATGCTCCCAAATTCACTGCTTTGTATGGAGGACTCTCACTCTCACTCTCACTCTGACCTAATATTAATATTTCACCTCTCAATAATATAATAATAATAATAATATTAATTATCATTAATATTAACCTTAATTTCCTCATATCCTAACTAATTTCTTATCGAAATCGAAATTGAAAGAAATTAATTCTACTAGTTCGATCTCTGAATAATTTTTTTTTTTTTTTTTATGACTGGTAAGCAACTTAGATATATATATATATAGATAACAGATCTATATATATAGGGACGCCAAACATTTTAATAGAAGATATTTTAGACTTCACTTTTCTTTTTTTCCTTTTTATTTTTATTTTTTGTGTATTTGTTTGGGATTTTGGATTTTGAATTGGGAATTGAATAGTAAAAATTTTGAATTTGAATAGTTGTATGATATAAATAAGTGTTGATGTGATATTTTGAATGTAAAATTAATTTTTAGTATAATATAAAAAAATAAAAAATAATTTTTTGATTTGATATTTTTTGAGAAAAAAAATGGGATGAATAGTGGATTTAAAATCCAATCCCGAACAAACACACCCTAAATGTTTTTCCACATTACGTGGGGTCAAAAATGTCAGCTTCTCGATGTTTTCATATTTTAAATTGTTTTGAAAATAATATAAACTGAATATGGAAATATTAACAAATAAAGAGGAGACAGATATTATTAGCCTATTTTTCTCTGAGTTTGTTATTTTTAAAATTTTATTATTTAATAATATATTTTTCCTATAAAAATATATTCATGTTTATGTTTATAATATATTAAAAAATAATAATATTTTATTGATAGATTACCTAAAAATATTTTGAAATTTTTCTCTTGTATTTTATGAAAAAAATAATTATAATTATAATTTATGTGAAAATTAATATTATTGTTATTTGTATGAAAAAATAATTTTATTATAATAGAAAATAAATATATTTGTATACGGCAAACATAAATAATAAAATGTACTTCCTCGGTTCGGCTCTAAGGGTCTCATTTACGTTTTGCGTCATTGTACTTAACATTAAAAATATTTTTATATTTGTATAACTTTTTTGCACGAATATCATTATAATAGTATTATAAAACAATAATAAAAGTATATTTGTCATTTTCTCTTAATTTGTATTACGTTTTTATATAATAAATAATATTCAAATATCAACATACAAAAAATAAATGAAATTCTTAGAGTCGAACGGAGGTAATATATCTTTTGAGAATAGAATAAGTATAAAATGGAGTACTATGTTTAAAGATTATTTGACTCCAAAATTACAGTTAAGAAAAAAAAAATAAAAATAAAAAATAAAAAAAATGACTGTTCTTTTAGAAAATAATTATTAGATTTTACTATTAATTTTTTTTAAAAAAAAATATCAAATCAAATAATTATTTTTTATATTATACATTAAAAATTAATATTATATTCAAAATATCATATCAATATTTATTTATATCATAATAAAAAAAATAATTCAAATTCAAATTTTTAATATTTAAACAATCCAAACCCCAAATCAAATCCACAAAAAGACACCACTTCCGTTGAATTTGAAAGTCAGAAGTCACAAGTCAAATTTAATTATTTTGCTCATTGACTTTAGTCAATGGTCAAAATTCCTTGTTTTGGAAAATGCATCATCAGTCAACGGTCATATTTTGCTTGATTGAGTGTTCCTCCACCTAAAATGTATCGTATTTGAGTTTCACCGTCTATTTTCATCAAAATAATCGATATAAATTTACGTTATATACGAATCTTATACATAGACAATTTTTTTTTAAAAAAAAAACAATAAGTCTCGAATGCCAGATATTTCATTCTAATATCATATTAAATAATTATGTCACATAAAATATTAAATCAACATACTATATAATATGTTGATGATGATGCATAACTCTATAAAAATCCAATAGGTTACTCCATCCGTTCCAATACAATAATCTTATTTATCATTTTTATTTATCTCAAAATAATAATTTTATTTTCATAAATAACCATATCACTATAAAACTACTCTTATTTTTTTATTTTTATTACACAATTGCCACTATTTTTTATACTAATACACTCACAAGGGCAAAAAATTCTTTTACCTATACTTTTTACCCACTACCAATATAATATTAATATTGTTTAAATCTTGTATCAAACACAACATAAACTATAGTTATGAGACGGAGAAAGTATTTTACAATCCAGGTGAAAAACAACAAAATAATAATGATTAAAAAGCTCGAGCTATTGAAAAAATTTCTTTTATATATTGATTTTTTATGGCCAAGAAATGACATCCCGTGAAATTTTAAGGAAATTTTATGCATCACTTCACGTGAAAGATCTCTTAATATCCTAATAGTGGAGAAGTAGTGGCACTGGGGACCGGTTGGCCTAATGGCAACGTTGGTCCCAAAATTGGATTATTCAACCAATTTGAGAAAACATTTTTTCCTTTACAAACCCAATTAATACATATTTGTGACCAGTGACAAAATTACCATCTAAATTTCGGAGGACAAAATATTATAATTTATTTAATATTTAGCTAATAAATTTAAATAAATAATAATGACAGAATTAGATATGAATTTAGATAATTTGGGAGGACAAATTGTATATAAATACATAAAAATTAATATTTTTAATACTAAAAAATCATAAAAAGTTTGATTTAGGGGTTGACCCCCCGAGCTCTAATGTAGTTCCGTCCCTGTTTGTGACGCATCTTGCTTGCTTCAATGTGAAAATTATGAGCTGAAGGCTTAGTAAAAGTGTTACTCTTCATTGATTGTATTTATACGGATTTACATATATGTTAAATTTTGAAATCATGCCAGCTAGGCTTGATCTGAGTCCAAAATCTAAACCTGAGTACATTTCACTTTGAAATCGTGAATAAAAATCTATATGTTTTTTCTTACAAATCTATAGAGTGTTCATTTTATATTTTATTAATATATGTTGATTTTTAAATATTAATTATTATATCAAAATATAATATAAATTACGAAAAAATTACAAAAATATTTTTTTTAACGTTATAATACTAATAGAATGATATTTTTACAAAAAGATATATCAATAATATAAAAAATAATAGTTTAAATATAAATAAATTAAATGTATTTATTATATTAACATAAGTATATTATATATATATATTCTTCGATAATATTTATAAAAAAATCATATTATTTTAAAATTATATATCTTGCTTTCATCATTAAATAAAAAACTCAAAACTTAAAATGGACGATCCAACAACAAAGAACAACAATCTTAATCAATCAAAAGACGATGTTAACAGGATACTCTTCGTCTTCAACAACGAAGAACACCTCCCCCTTCTCCATCACCATCGTTCCATCTTCCATAGCCTTGCTTAGATGCTCGCATGGCCTCACTTCAAACGAAACTTCCCTCGTCTCTCCCGCCTCCAACGCCACGCTCTCAAACCCCACGAGCTTTTTCATCCCCCGTCTTCCATCCCTCGCGAAAAGCAGCACCGGATGCCTCCCGCCCGCGCTTCCTGTGTTCTCCACCCGAATGCTCATTGACAACCTCGCCCGTTCGCATCCCTCCGCCCCGACTTCGGAAACGGCTATGTGCCGGAGGAGCGATTCCGAGGTTTCATTTGATGCAACTTTTGAGGTTGTCACCATTAGCCGGTTAAGGCGGACAACGGTGTTTAGGGTAGAATGAATGAAGTTGTATGAGTAGGTTGTGTAGCTCAATCCATACCCATACTCAAACACCTTGGGCCCGTTGTAGAACCGGTACGTCCGGCCCGGGTATCTCGTTGCCGAGTCGGGCCTCATTCTCATGTCCGTCATCGGTATGCTCACAAACTCCTTCGGGTACCATGTTACAGGTAACTTACCCCCTACATCGATAAAATTTTAAATTTTGTTAAATAGAATATACAAGCCTGAATATTAAAAAAATGACAAGATTGTCCATAACTCTTTTGTGCTTATGAAATTCAGAGTAAATCTCCTCTTTATTTTAAAAATTGCATCACGCCTCTTTATACTCTAGAAAATGTTGCATGAAACTCCTCTAAGTTTTTTAAACTCAGCGTAAATCTTCACTTTATTTTAAAACTTGCATAGTATCCCTTTATATTTTAAAAAATATTGCATAAAACCTCCGACCATGCAAAAAAATACATAAGAAATCACATAAGGGAGGTTTTATGACGATGGAGTTTCATGCAACCGTTTTAAAAAATATAAGGGGGTATTATGCAATTTTTAAAGTTTAGAGAGATTCTATCCTGAATTTGGAAATCACAATAGAGTTACGAGCAATTTTACCAAAAAAAACTTACCGGGATTGTGTAATCCGAATACGATTTCGGACAACGCGATCCCTCCGGCTTCGCCGGGATATCCCGCCCAAAGCATCCCGCCAATTTTCGGGTCGAATTTAGCGAACGAAACATCGACTGGGCTGCCGCAAACCAGGACAAGAACCACCGGCCTCTTTGCCGCCGCAGAAACAGCCCGGACAAGCGCCTCCTGCTGTCCCGGCAGCGTCAGCTCCTCGCGGTCGCGATCCTCCGTCTCCTGAGTCGTATCCAAACCCATCACCAAAACCACGTACTCAGCCCGCTTAGCCACGGCGACCGCGCCATTAATATCCGGGTTCGCGCACGCCACGTTGTCGCACCCCTTGCTGTACAACGTTTGCGCGGCGTGGCTCTTTATGGCGTTGAGTATGGATAGAGTCTTACAGGGAGGGCCATCGTAATTTCCGCGGAGGGTGTAGGCGTCGTCGGCGTTGGGCCCGATGACAGCGACGGACGGAGTCCGGGACTTCGACAGGGGGAGGAGACGGCCGGAGTTTTTTAGGAGGACGATGCCGTTGCGGGCGGCATCGAGGGCCAGCTGTTGGTGCGCTGGGGAGCAGACTTCGGCGGCTTTGAGGTTGCCGAAGAGGGCTCCGGCGGGGTTGCCGGTGAAGAGGCCGAGGCGCATCCGGACGGCGAATTGGTTGCGGAGGGCGCGGTCGAGGTCGGCCACCGGGAGCTTCTTCTGGGCGATGGCGGATTTGGTGTAGTTCTTTAAGTAGGAGCCACACTCCACGTCCATGCCTGCATTTCGTGTGTGATTAGTAAGTACTTGTTGGTTTACCGTAAACAAATGAATAAATGATACATATTCTAATAGTTTAAGACAGTTATTCATATTAGGTTGTAGATCGGTGATGGTTGATCGGATTCATATAAAGGTAATTAACATATATTATATACTATCGTAGTATATTTATATTATACGGCGGCGACTATAGTGTTGAATGTAAAATTCAGCAATGTGCTAATGCATAACATACGGTATAACCACAAGCAGCACACAATATACGTTAATATAATATAAATACAACACATTAATTAAACAATACAAAATATATTATCACACAACACATGCACCAGTTAATTTTAGCACCTAACATACTCAGCACACACAACAGTTGTTTCTGTATTTTAGTGTGCAAATTTAGAAAATTAACGTAGTGCTGACTTTTCAAATTCAACACCGGAAACCTTCCCTATAACTTAATATATGATATCTTATGCCACAATATGTTAGATTTATATGATATATTAACTTGATCCAATCAACACTATGCTGATTTAATTGGATAAGCACTTTATATTATTTTAACTATTATTAATATTTAATATATTCATTAAAATGTAAACGGATACTTGTTAAATGAACAAGGAACTCATGTAACATGAACACATGCTATATCATTTATTTTAATATAATAAAAATATATATAAATTAACAACGCATATTATATATTTTAATTATATTTTAAATTTTATAATTTTGTTAATTTTAATTTTAATCTTAATTTATAATTATTTTTACTAATAACATTTTTAATTACTTATGATTTATACTTTAGCTAAATTCTCATTATTTACAGTAATATTACATGGGTCGGAGGAGTATAAATCATACTCCCTCCGTCCAAGTCAAAAGTAATTACTTTTGGCGCAGAGATTAAGGAATAATAGTATTTTAATTATAGTGGGTAGGTAAAAGTAGTAAAATGACATTTTTGCCCTTACTTTTTTTGGTATAAAAGTAATGATGTGATGTAAAATAGGGGTATTTTTGAAAAAAAATGGGGTATTTAATGAAATGGTTACTTTGTAATTGGACGTCCCAAAATAGAAATATATATACTTTCTAACTTGATGGAGGGAGTATTTAATAGAATCTTTATTCAAAAAATTATACTTCCTCCGTCTCAGTTCAAAGTACTTTTTATACCATTTTCGTATGTTTCACTTTAAAGTATTTTTTTCCTATTTAAAAAAAAATAATAATAATTATACACTTAATACCAAAATACTTTAATTTTTTTTTAAATTATAAACATATCATTAAACATACAATAGCACAAAAATATCAAAAACCTTTACACATTTCAACTAATTAATAAAATATTACTCCCTCCGTCGCATCTAATATGGGTGTATTACTGTAAATACAGAAATTTACGTAAAGTATAATTAGTAAGTAATTAAGAAATATATTAATAAAAATAATTATTATTTAGTAAAAATAATTACAAATTAAGATTAAGATAACTAAATAGTTTAATTAAGATTAAAAAAATTAAATTTTAAATTTTAAAATATAATTAAAGTTTATAATTAATTTTCTAAAAAAAATGACAAATTATTTAGGACGGACAAAAATAAAAAATAGGGACAAATTATATAAGACGGAGGGAGTATTATTTTTTATTTTTTAATTTACTACAAAAACTCCAAAAGACAGCTGAATTGGGAGAGTATTTGAAAACACTATATTTAATCCCTATTTCCGCATCACATTTTTAAGTTTCTTAATAATTACCAAAAAAAAAAAAAAAACCTTAAAAATACATCTAAACACGAGTCATCTGGAGGGAGTACTTCCTCAGTCCAAACACCGTACAACATTTTTTTTTGGTATATCCCAAATACCTTACAATATTTTTAAAATAAGAAATAATTAATTATACTTAATCTCTACCCCACGCTTTATCACATCATTACCCAAATAAAAAAAATTAAATATAGATTTCTCTCTCTATCATATCACTTAATTTTTAAATTATCTTACTTAACACTACCCACCTAAAAACTCGTGCCCAAAACAAATGTTGCTCCTTGTTTGGGAGGAAGGGAGTATTATTTAAAAATGACGAATTAAATGAAGGGTACACAGGAGCCCAACATACCATGTGCAAATTAATTAAAGCATACGAGAGGAATGATGAGATACATATTTTTCTATCTTAACATTTCTAAACAAAATACACATTACTGATAATTAATTAACAATTAATGAGACACGAGACATGAATTTAGTGTGGACAAGACAATATTGAGCTGTCCACATATTTTTTAAAATTCTATTCACTTATAATATTTTATTATTACTCCCTCCGTCCTATGTATTATGGGCCTATTACTGTAGATACGAAAATTTAGATAAAATGTGAATTAAAAAGTGTATTAATAAAAATAATTATCATATAATAAAAGTAATTGTGGATTAAAATTAAGATAACTAAATAGTTTAATTAAAATTAAAAAAATTATAAAATTTAAAATTTAAAATGAAATTAAAGTGTATAATTATATTTCAAAAAAAAGAATGGACAAATTATGTGGGACTGAAGAAAATAAAAAATATGGACAAATTATGTGGGACGGAGGGAGTATCTTTTTATTCGATAAACAAATATATGTGTATATTCAAACAAATATTTCTATATAAAATGAATTTATACTAATCATATACAAGTTTATATTTTTATTTATTTCTTTCTTAAAATATAATATCTCTTGAATATATTTTTTTTTATTGAAATATAATTTTAAAACATTCAAACACTAATTTTAAATATATTATACCATAAAGTAAAATATTAATACAATAAATTTCATCTATCAGAATTTCTAACTACAAATCCAATTATCAACCAAATGCACCCAATATTCAAGTGTCATTTTCATCCTAGTCTACAGCCACTCGCGCAATATTGATTGAACTTGGTCCCTTAAGTTAGGAGTAGGTTAAAAGGTTACAGCTTCATACAGCTGTATAAATTTATGTGTTCATTATAATTACATAACAAAAAAAAAAAAAAAAAAAAAAAAATCCTACAAATTTCAATGACTTTGAAGAAAATTTGAAAAACGTCCCGTATGTATGTATATGTTTGCTTTTTGTACGAAATTTTAAAAATATTAGTATTATATTAAAATATAATATAAATAAAGTAGAAATAGTTAAAATAACTCTATTAGTATTATGTGATATAAATATAATGATATTTGTGTAATATATTGTAAATTATAAGAGTATTTGTAATGTTAGAGAGATAGTACCGTTACTAAAAAGAAATGGATACTTTGTTATAGGACGAACCAAAATAAGAAAATGGATAAATTGTTAAGGAACGAAAAAAATATATTAGTTTATTATTATTTTTACAATGTTTTTGAAAAATATATGATAACCCCTGAAAATACAGCATTTTCTTTACTTCAATTTTAAATTTCGTTTATACACTAACATTTTTATTCTTTTTCGAAAAATATTATATTCAACACCAGATTCTATTTAGGTATGTCTTGTACTTTAATATTATAGTCACCATGCTGCTGATTTGATCGAATCCTACGCCACATCGGATCAGTAGCCATATCTAAATCACTTAGGACAAGAGTTGGCAAACGAATCAGGTCAAGTCGGATTCAGATTCGGGTCAGCTATAAACGGGTTAGAAAACTTCTGACTTGAACCTGACCTATTTAATTAAACATGTTGATATTTGCAACCTTAACTTGACCTTCTATTAATCGGATCAATTTGAATCTGATCTGTATAAGCTGTTTAAGTCTAAAATTTCTAAATTTTAATTTAGAATTACAATTTCTACTAACAAAATTTTCAAATGCATAATATATATACATAATAAAGCAAAAACTATTTATTCATATTATTAAAACTGATATTCAAGAGTCGAATTAATAAACACTACACAATAGTACACAACACAATCCTTTGTTTAATCCTAATTTGTAGAATTTTAGCTTAAGTTTTATTTTATTTTATTTTTATAAAATTGGCCATAAACATTTGAATCGAATTGGTAAAATTAAATAAATATATTTAAATTTTAAATCATATTAATTAAGCAGATTAAATGAATTATTTTCAGGTTGAAAATTTAGACTAAACTTGACTCATTAAATTAAATGAGGTAAACGAATTTGACCCAATTATTAATTGAGTCAAAAATCTCAACTCAAACCCAATTATTTCGGATCAAGTTCAGATCGAATTATCAAGTCGAGTTAAATTTTGCAAGCCCGGGTAGGACTATCTATAACCATAATAATAGTAATTAAGGAAGATACGATATGCGTACCAGCTTTGAGGACATCGGCCACAGCATCTTCTCTCAACCTTGCATATTTATGATAATCATGGATCGCCAGAACCGCGTCGCAGTCGGACGTGATGTACCTACACCATTAGATTAATTAATTGCATTTGCATGGATGGTAAGCTCAATTTACAAAAATGCCCTGCCCTTGTTGCAATACGGTGTTCGGTTATCATCACCGTAGACATAAAAATTTAGGAGAAATATAATTAATAAATAATTAAAAATATATTAATAAAAATAATTATTGTTTAATAAAAATATTTTTAAATTAAAATTAATATAACTAATTAGTATAATTAAATTTTTTTAAATGAGATTAAAGTGTATAATACCTTTTAAAAAAAATTAACATAATAGGTTAGACAAACGAAAATAGAAAAATGAGTAGGACGGAGGGAATACTACTTATAACAATATAGATATATATATATATATACTTTTTTTTATTTATTTAAATTACTTTAATTTTATTTTACCCATTGAATCCCCAGTTTCTGCGAGCGGTTACAGTCAAGAGATTATAGTCGGCACAGTTGGGAATGCCATTGACGCGATTGTAGGCGCACATTATTCCGCTGGCTTTCCCGTCTTTGATACACCTCTCGAATGGAGGCTGATACGTGTCTGCCAAATCTTGCGCTGTTACCTGCACTACGTGTTAATAAATTAATTAAATCTAAGCATTAAATAAATAAATAAAATGTCATTTTAGATTTGAAAAAAACTATTTTATTTTTTTTAATTATGTATTTGACTCTTTAAATCATTTTAGAATCAGACTTAGTATTTTTATATTGGATTAATCCGGCAGTTGGAAATTTTTTGGCAGAAATGTCCTTGGGTACCGGAATTACTTACGTGGCAACATCGTAGCACGCTAGAGATTGTAAAATGACATGCGACTAACCTTTAAAATATTAATCCAATTTAGGATCGAACTACGATTCTAAAATATTTTTCACGCGTCATCCACACAATCTCCGGCAGCATGCCTCGATGCTTCAGCAAATCATGCCTAAAAACTATTTCTGTCAATATTTTTTAATAATGTAGATAATCTAATACAATATCTAGTTATGTTCCTAAAATAATAAAAAATTATATAAAGAGCTAAAAAGGAAAATTGCTTTAGATTTTGGTGTGTTGTGGGTGTCTCACATTGAAAAAATATTAAATTTCCTAATTTATAAAGGTGAAAATTACTTCCCTTAAAAACGTTAAAAGAGTTAAGTAAATACAAAGCACATTTAAAATAGTTTAATGAAGTTTCAATGACCTTAGGCTCTATCTAGACAGAGAATAGTTATGAAACTTTTATACTATTCGATTTTTTCAAAAATATTATACTCTTTCCGTCCCAAAACTATAGTCTGAATTGTGTTTGACACGAAATTTAAGAAATATTGATATTATATTAGTAACGAATAAAAAGTACGAATACAAGATTTTTTTGCTCTTGTGAGTGTATTAGTGTAAAAAATAGTGGCAATTGTGTAATATTAATGAAAATGTAAGAATAGTTTCATAGTGATATGGTTATTTACGAAAATCAGACTATTGCTTTGAAACAGATAAAAATAGTATACAAGACTATTGTATTGGGACTGAGGGAAGTATCAAATATTTTTTTATTATAAAAGATTATATCAAATATTAATCATTTACTATTCCCAAAAATTTTTAAAACTTCAAAACTCTAACGGAGCCTAAGTTTTGTTTAGATTGGAAATTTGTGTCTTGAATAAAATTTTATTTCGTCCATTCCAAACACCTTGCAATATTTTTTTTTTATTTGTCTCAAACTCATTGCAATAAATAATCATTTCTCTCTTCAATCACATCATTTAATCTTCAAATTATCATACTTAATATTATCTACCTAAATTATCATACTTAATATTATCTACCTAAATTCTCGTGTCAAACACAAAAAAAAAATATTGCACAATGTTTAAGACGGGAGGAGTACTATTTTAAAAATAAATTAGATCAATAAAAATATTCTTAACACACAACTACTTTAACCTAACCCCCCAAGCAAGGAATCTACAGCTGTGTAAAAAGTACAGATCAATGACAATGGTGCTGGTCAATCATTTGGTAGAAATCAATTATTACTACGAAAGTGGATTAAATTAGGGTTTAATTCCTACCTATGTAAAACAAACATACAAACAAATGAACATGGGAACGTGAGCGTGATTATCGGGACGTGTACTATTAATTCAAGGATATTGTTCCAACATGGAAAGTTACGCCGCGAGCACCGGGACCCGCCTTCCAATAAAAAGGACCCACCCCTCTCCCCCTCTGACACTGGTCCTTCCCTCCCTCAATCAGTTTCATCTTTTATCAGTTTTACCATAAATTTCAGACTATTTTTTTAAAATAAATATCAAATTAAATAATAATTATTATTTTTTTATACTTCATCCTTCACATAACAAAATATCTATTAACAAAATATCTATTTTTTTATTTTAATCTCCTAGTAACAAAGTATTTATTTCATTTTTTAGTAACTATATTATCTACCTAACATTACAAATACTCTTACAACTTACAATATATTACACAAATTTCATTACCTTTACATCACACGTACTAATAAGGTTATTTTAGTCGTTTCTACTTCATTCCTATTACATCCCAATATAATTCTAATATTTCTAAAACTAAATGTAAAAGTAAATAAATATCTAGTTATGAGCCGGAGGGAGTATTCTATTCCCTTCATCCCATTGAAAATTTATCATTTTTCATTTTTATCCGTCACTAAATAAGACTAGTATTTTCTAATTTAATAATTATATTATCTACGTAACATAATAAATATCTTTCCAACTTACACTATATTACACAAATATCATTATTTTTATATTATACAATACTAATATGGGTATTTTTGTCTTTTTACTACAACACAATATAATATTTATATTAAAAAATATACGTACAAAAAATAAACGGTAATCTTTATACGAGACGGAGAGAGTACTATAAATTTATTTTACATTTAAAACATCACATCAACTTTTATTTATATTATACCAAACAACTATTCAATTCAATTTTCTACTATTAAAAAATTCAAATTAAAAAACTAAAACTCACGAACAAACACACCCTAAACTTGTTTTTTTAACAAAAAAAATCACACAACAAATTAATTTTAAAAGCCAAAAGAGTAGGAGATATAATGAATACAGCCATATTATGACGTAGAGGCTGCATCCAAGCCAACAAAATTCATGTAATATTAGGGGTGGACAGTGTTAGAATATTTACAAATATGCAAGACATTTTATATTTGAATCAAATCGAACAAAATACTTAAAATTGCGAATCGTATTCGAAGTGAAAATCTCAATTAACCAAAAATATTTGCAATATCTACAAATAATTCGAACCGAACCGAACCGAAATTAAAAATACATATTAAAAAATAATTAAAATTCTAATTAAATAAAAATATTTCAAATATTTGAACCGAATATAACTACTAATATAAATTTTAAAATATAATAATATAAATATATTCAATTTGATTAATCGAATCGAAAAAATATCAAAAATTAAACTGAATCAAACAAATATCAAATATACAGTATTGTATTCGAACTGAATTTGTTCAGTTAACCAAAAGTTAGTTCAGTTCAGTTCTGATCAACTATTCGATTTTTTTGTCCACCCCAGATAATATTAATTGATATTATGATGCAGTATGAATTAAGACACTCGATTATAAATATTTTTTTTTGACCGACCATTATCTTATTCGATTTCTATATCCATTTAATTGGGCATGAAATTTTAAAAAACTGGATGACAATAAAAAAAAAAAAATTATAGTAAATAAAAAGTAGTTAGGTGTGTTCTTTTAACAAAAAATATATATATATATATATTTTTTTAAAAATATTAATATACATGTATTCATTATTTTTATATTTTTATACATAATTCTTTATACTGCACGTTAAAAAAATTCTACTTCAATTATCTTACAAAATTTGTAAGTTTTACTAAAACTGATTAAACAATCTTCCTGTGGATTTTCAAGATGCATGTTATAGTAATTGATCTAAATACGCTGCTGTTAATGGTTCTCTATTAAACTATTTCGATGGTACCAGCAAACGAATCTTATTTTATTATAATATAGGTTATAGAAAATATATTAATTTGTTCAAATTTTTAGATATTTACTCAAACGAGATACTAATATTTTAATAGAAATTGTTCAGTTAAGATTTCGTACGATTCCATCAACTAATAAAAATCTAATTTAACCTATTTTAAATTGAGTCCAGCCATTTACTATTTAAATTTAAATTCTTCCAAGGTAGAAACAATGATTCAATGGCTAATCCATTCACAGCCCCTAATGTCACGTTTTAAATGTTTGATTAAAGCTCCAAAACTAGGGATGAGGTTAGTATATTATTAGCATAAGTTATTTAGATCATCTCCGAACCTTCACTCAATTTTTAAAATATAAAATTATATATTACTTTTTAAAAAATAAAATTACTCAATACATTCCAAAGAATAATAAAAATACAAAAAATACCACAAAATACTATAAAACTTCCACTTCAAAAATGGAGTGGAGGTACAGCCATAATAGAGTAACACTGTACCTTAACAAATCTATTTGAACTGGTATGATACCATGTTAGATTATCATCTAGAAGGAAAGTGTTAATATGTCCCGCATTGAAAAAATGATTTATAGAGATGAAGTGTTTTTCCACTAACACCAATTGATTGATTTTAGGTTGAAAGTTCGGACCCCTTCTTAATATATTAAATGACCTGAATAACCGTTGGAAACTCAGACTCCTTAACATGTTCAATATGTTAAAAGATCGAAATAAATGTCTCACCTAAAAATTTAAATTTTTTCTAACATACGGGAGTTCCTAACACATCCCTCATGTGCAAATAGAGGTATGTGAAACTTCCACTTTTTTCTTGAATATCATTAAAAAAAATTCGGTTTGTATCCCAACAGCTGTACAAGGGTTTATTTTGCCACATGAATATAACGAATGGAGACGAGGAGACTCAAACTTAAGACCTATGTCTATGTTAGACGATGGAATCACAGTCTCACTTAACTTTTATTGAGAGTGTGTTTGTTTGGAGATTTGGATTTTAGGTTTGGATTTGAATAGTAAAAAGTTTAAATTGAAATAATTGTATGATGCTATATAAATAAATATTAATGTGATATTTCGAATGTAAAATTGATTTTTAATATAATATAAAAAATAAAAAAATAAGTATTTAATTTGATTTTTTTTTTTTAAGAAAAATTTAGTATGAACAGTGGAAAACTTTGAACATCCTCCAAACAAACACACTATGACTTAGAGCCAAGTTTATATAATCAATTTTCCTAATTATCATGACACCAATTTATACTTAATCCCACCAAACCAGATTGAAACAAGAACAGCCATAGAACCCTAAAAGAACAAATGCACATATATATATATATATAATTGAAAGAGACAGAGAAAAGGAGAGAAGTGATGGATAGAATCAAACTAACCCGAGCATCAAAGCCGAGACGATCGACGCCTTTCCACTTGTCCAAATCATAGGCAGTGAAGTGTTTGCAGCAAGCAGAGGCTTGCAGGTGACCATTCCCAAGCTTCCCGCCTTCGAAAACGTCGCCTTGAAATCCCCTCACAAACGCCACGGCGTATTTTCCGGCGACCAATGGATCCTCGCCAGGTGTCTCCTGGCCTCGCCCCCACCGGGGGTCCCTGTATATGTTTATGTTTGGTGCCCAAAACGTCAGCCCTTTGGCCTGACCTTCGTTGTACATTGCTCTCGCCTCTTTACCAATTGCCTGGAAAACCCCCAAACAGGAATTCAAAACGACATCGTTTTGGCCGAAATTGAAAATTCCTCACAAACCTAATCACATCTGCTCAGATTGTGCTTAGAGTAAAACTGTGGAGCAATTATTTGAGTTCGATTGTAATCGAACCAGGTCAAATCTGTATTATATCTGCAGTTAATGACTAGTGGCGTTGGCGGTGGAGTGTCGTACGAATATGTGGATCAGAACAAATTCAATTCACAGCAAAACAGTTACAAGCAAATGCAAGGCAAGCGAATTCGGAGAAGAACAAGAGCAACTATAACCTACACTTAAATCGCATTTCTCGGTGAAAAAATCGTTTCAGGATTCTAGCCCTTTTACGCATTACCTGACCAATGCGGTACCAAAGCTGCGCATCGAACGTGGAGGCGGCGAGTATAACTTGGGGGAAGCTCGTGGCGGTGGAGACTCTCCCCTGGTAGGAGATTCCGCGGCCGTAACCGGAAACGCCGTGCAGCGCTTCCGACCACCACTCGTACGCCGGGATCCCGAGGCGCGGAATCGCCGGCGCTGAGTTCACCAGCTGCGAAATTTTCTCGTCTAGCGTTAGCCGCGACACGAGGTCCTGCACTCTCCGATGGATCGGCATTTTCGCGTCGCAGAACGGCAACGACTTTGTTCTGCCATCGGCGGCGTCGCAAGCAAAAGGAGGCCGCTGAGCTGCGGCGGCGCGGAGGAAAACCGCCGTGAGGACGGCGGAGAGCGATAAACGGAGACTCATTGGGGAAATGGTGTGGAAACGACAATTGATGGGAATATCTCTGAGCTTTCTCACTGTATATATATATAAATCGCGAGAAGATAAATCAGAATTGTTCTAAATGAGAAATTAATTTAAATGGGAAATAAAGCATAATTAATTAGGTAAGTATTTATGGCGTGTAACTTGATACAACGGTTTTGGTATTTTAATTAACCTAAAATTTATAAATTGTGTATTTTTTTTTTTAAAGGAAAAAATAATTAATAGTAGACTACTAAAATATACTCTTTTGGTGTGTCTTATAACAAAATATCTGTAATTGTACTATGTACCTAACATTCAAATACCCTTCCAATTTACAATATATTACATAAAATTACTTTTATATCATACAATACTAATAAGGTTAATTTAGTCTTTTCATCTTTATTTATATTTTATTTCAATATAATACTAATATTTATAAAACTCTGTGCAAAAAAACAAATTGATATATAGATATGGGACGAAGAGAGTACACCTTCTTTATACGTTTCTCCTTTTTATGTTTAGTTTATTATCCCCTCCGTCTTATCTATTATGTCTATGGTATCGTAGAGATGAAAATTTAAGATAATATAACTAGTATATAATAAAAAATATATTAGTAAAAATAATTATTCTATTATATAAATAGTTATATACTTCATCTGTCTCAGAAAAAATGTCTCATTGGGAATATGCAAATGAATTAAGGAATAATAATATTTAATTGAAAATATATATAAAATAAAAGGTAAAAGACTAAAATACCCTTAATTTTTTAATGATTTTAAAAAATAAGTTAGATTAATAATTATGAATAGTTTGAAAAAGTATGAATAATTTTGTTATAAAATGAGGATCACGATTACTAAATAAGAAAACAAGATAATTGTTTTGGGACGGACGAAAATGAAAAAATAAGACAACTCTATTGAGACGGAAGAAGTATTAAAATTAAAATAATCATTTAGTCTAATTAAAATTAAAAAATTATAAATTAAAAATTTTAAAATAAACTTAGGGTGTGTTTGTTTGGGGATTGGATTAGATTTTCACTATTCATCTCATTTTTTTCCCCAAAAAAAATCACATCAAACACATATTTTTCATTTTTTATATTATACTAAAAATCAATTTTACATTCAAAACATTACATCAATACCTATTTATATCACATCATACAACTATTCAAATTCAAGATTTTTACTATTCAAATCCCAACTCAAAATTCAAACCCCCAAACAAACACACCCTGAACATATGTAATAGTTTTAAATAATAATAATAATAACATGAAATGTGAGACAAACAAAAATGACAATGTAGAGATGGAGGAGTAAAATTTAGTAAAAGATAATTATTAAATAATTAAAAAAATATTCGTAAAAATAATTATTATATAATATACTATATAATTATAAATTAAAATTAATTTAATTTAATTAAAATTTTAAAAAATATATTAATTATAAAATTTTAAAATATAATTAAAATATACCATTATCTTTTAAAAAATAAAATAATAAATTATGTAAAATAAATCATAAATAAAATAATAAATAAATAAAATATAGTGAAATAAATAATTTTTTAAAAATAATAATATTAATATATTAATGAGAAAGTGATTTGAGTGAGGTGGTTGGGTAGCATCACAATTCACATGTACGTCCATTATTTTTATTTGGCCCAATCTAATTAGCATATCGAGACACGCCCGTGTTGTTTGGCGGGAAAGATGACGGGCAAGATCCGGTGAATGTCGGGATTTTAGCCTGTCACTTCACGATTACAAATTTATTTTCACATTATCATATCACCTTTTACTAATATAATATTTTCGTCTAATCCTAAGGTTTTATTTACCATTTTTTTTTTTTTTTTTTTATGTTGGTCTTTGAATATTAATTATTATATTAAAATATTGTACAAATTAAAAAAAATTATAAAAATATTTTATTTAATGTCTAATAATACTAATAAAATAACATTTGTATAAAAAATTATACAAATATAGAGATATTTTTAAAGTTAAATACAATAACGCAAAAGATAAATATAACTTTTAGAATTGACCGAATGAATAATTTTTATTCTTTTAATAGAAATATATGTTACATTATTTTTTTGTTATCTCTATTATTACCTTGTCCAATATTTTATTACGAAGAGTGTGCTCGTTTCAAAAATTTCATCCAATTTTCTAATATTCATAAAAAAAAAAAAAAAAAAAATTCTGTAAACATCAAATCAAATATTTATATAAAAAAATAAAATATAAATTTCAACTATAACCAAGCTCTAACCATATCATTTCAAACAATTATATTTTATTTTTTATAATTGGGTCGTCATGCCGGGTTCGAGTTGAGAGGTTCAATCCTAACCCGACTCGTTTATTATTGTTTGGGTTCGTGTCAACCCGAATACATAATCGGATTAAAATTTTTTTATTTTAATACAATTATTTCGTGTCGAATTTGTGTCAGATTGTCGTGTGGTATCAGCTTTTACCAGCTCTAACTATACAACACGACAACTTGTCTATTTGTCAAATTCTAATAGATTATTTGACGATCAAAGTGAAAGAGTTTGGAGGTTTCGGAAAAAGAAATTGAGGAAGGCTTGAATTTTAAAAGAGTTGTAAGCAAAACTGAGGAGCTAGAAGTGGAAAATATGGAGTGTAAGTCGTAATAAAGAGGAGAAAGCAATAGCGAAAGCTGGTGGCATTTTCCAAAGAGAAATAGTCCGGAGTTTTGTTTTATAATAAACGTACTAACAACGTGTCAGATTTTTTATTTTTGTACGTCCTTAAAGAAGGATATCATTTTCTAATTTAGTAATTGTACTATTTACCTAACATAATAAATACTCTTTCAACTTACAATATATTTATTACACAAATGTCACCACCTTTATATTACATAATACTAATAAAATTATTTTCGTCTTTTTTACTACAACCCAATATAATACTAATATTCAAAATTTACGTGCAAAAAACAAATGTTACTCTTTATATGGGACGGGGGAAGTATAAAAAATTGTGGCATTTCATAACATAGAGTAAGGAATCAACTAAATATAAAAAGAAATTGTACAAAATGCAAAATACGTTGTTTGTATTGGAATTTATTTTTCGTAATTTAAATTAATAAGTTATTAATAATAAATTATAATATTATTTTATTATTTTTTATATTAGTAGAGTCGTTGAAATTTTAAATATTTTTAGCATTACTTATTTATTTATAATTAATTTAAAACTAATTTTTAAAAAAATAAAAGTTGTGTTCTTTTATGAATTTTATAGTTTTTACTATTCAAATTTTTTCCTTAAAAAATATTACATCAACCAATTATTTTTATATTTTTATATTATACTATAAATTTATTTTACATTCAAAATATCACATCAACAACTTTTATGTTCAAATGCAAATCCAAAAACTAAATCCCACGAAACAAACACGCCAAAGAGTATATTTATAAATAAAATATATATTTATTGAAGAATAATAGAGATAGAAATAATGAGTGGATTATGTTTAAGAGGTAGTTTTCCGTGCCAACAGAGTTGTCTTGTTTTTCCATTTTCGTCCGTCTAAAATCAATTGTCTTATTTTCTTATTTAGTAATCCCACTTTATAACAAAATTATTTCTATTTTTCCAAACTTTATTACTGTAATCTACTTTTTAAAATCATTTAAAAGTTAAAAATATTTTAGTCATTTACCTTTTACTTTATACCCACTTTCAAATTAAATACTATTATTCATTAATTCTCGTGTCCATTCCCCAATAAGAGACGAGGGACTTTTTTATGAGACTGATAAAAAAAAATGAATCAATCCGTTGCGAAACTAAAAGAGTAATTGTTTGGAGTTTAAAAATAAATAGTTTGAATTCATATTTAAAATTAAACATCAATAAATACATCTAAAACTATTTATATTTATATTTTAAATTAATTAATTTTATTTGTAAATAAACATAACTAAACACCAACTTCAATTTACATTTAACAGTTCCTACAAATCGATTAAGTTGTTGCAAACTCTAACATCAACTCTTACTTGATATCAAGGCTTGCCCTTTGATGCATTATGCCACTGCGAGAACCCTGAGTTTTCAACCTTCTTTTACTCTTCAGCGCCGGAGAAGACGAAGATCCGCCATGGCTGCTGCTGCGCCGGCTACTTCTCCGGCCACCGGAATTTCCTCGCCGCATACTCCAGCTGCTGTTGTTGCTTCCAAGAACAGCCTTAGCTGCCCCGATTTCGTGAGCCTTCTGATCGTTTACCGGCTGCCGGTTGAGCAATGCTAGCTTCGGGAGAAGACTGCACACGGCCCTTCGCAGCTGATCGTTGCTCGAGTTGCTTTGGATCGGATTGCCTAACAGGTTCACTGATATTAGAGAACCGTAGTTAGCCACGAGCTGTCCCAACGCTCTCGCCGTCGTTATCCTGTTAAAGCTCAGGTCCAACTCCGCGAGCTTCAGAAGTCTGTGGAGTCCTTCGACGTTGCTGATCTTATTTCCGGCGAGACTTAGCTCTTTGATCATCCCACAGTTCGACAGCCCTGGAAATGTCGAGAAAATCAAACCTTAATGTAGTTGTTCATAGGGGTGAGCATTCCGATTTTCGGTCCGAACCAATCCGAAAATCCGAATTTTTAGCTAAAACCAATCCGATTCGAAATAACCAAAATCCAAGCTAAAATATCCGAACCAAAACTAAGAAATCCGAAATTCTCTATTTTTTGTTCTTAAAATTTTATATTTTATTTCATATTTTTATAATTGTTTTATATTATTGAATATATATATAGTAAAAAAAAATAATTATATTAAATATATAATTAATCATTTTTAGTTCTTATTTTAATTAAAATATTATATTTTTACTAAAATATTTAATAATAAAATATATTAAAATATTATATTTCGGATTTGGATTGGTTCAGAGTATACCGATCCGAATTTCCGAACCAATCCAAAATCAAAATTTAAATTTCGATCGAATTTTCGAATTTCGGATATTTCACTCATCCCTGAGTGGTCAACATGAAATATCAATGTTTGTTCATACCCTGACCGATGGTGGAAATACGATTGTAACTGAGATCAAGTACACGGAGGCGAGTCAGCTCCCGGAGACCTTCGATGGTGGCTATCTTGTTCTTGGATAGATTAAGAATGTGGAGAGCTTTTGGGAGAGATCCTGGAGCTATATGAGCTGCAATCACAGTGATTACAACATAAGAATTACGAACATTTCGAAATCAAGAGCAATCGAAACGAGAAGAAGAAATACCTATGAAGTTCCCGGATAAATGGACTGCTCGAAGGCTGACAAAACGGGAGATCTGGGGAATAACTTTTAGGCCAATTCCAGTCATATGAGCTACAGAGGAGTTGTGATTCAGAGACCGGATAACGTAATTTGCATGAAGAACATCGACCGGTAGTTGAGCCGAGCGATGCGAGTCTCTTATGAGCGATGTATCATTTCCACGATCGATTGGATTTTCATCGTCGCCTTGGCTTGGAGGATGTTTGGAGCTCTCGGCTATCCACTCGCTCACTCTTTCTAAAGGCGAAGAAGAGTTCGCCGGGAAAGCGATCCATTGATTGTGTGGCCATTCATCCGAGCCTCTGTAAAACCAACCCCGGCCGTGATCATCGCCGTTGTCTCTCAACGTGCTCGAATCCACGGCTTTTGTAGGCTCTATAGAGTCGGAATGGTATCCGCCCTGCTGGTCGTGGGCGGATGGCTTCACTTGAATCGGTTGCGGCTTTTTATGCAAGTTCCGGTGGCTCCATAAGAACAGTTTCCACCACAATTTCCGGCTCCGGGAAGGAAGTATCTGACTCGAAGAATGCTTCTTCAGAATGACATTATCGGCGCTGCAACGAGTTGTTATGGAGACGGGACTTGTGGCATCTTCGCCCACTGGAATTCTTGGTCCGTGTAATTTGGTGTATCTCATCTTTTCCTTGTATGGAAGTTCTTCGTCGTCATCGAGTCCTTGGTACATACTTGTCAAGGCGAGATCAGAACAAGAACGCTTCAGCTCAGGGGATGCCCAGAACTCGGCTTTCCAACCTCCCGGATCACTTAAATGATCGCTTACAATAGTGTCGTTCAAATTATTGTCATCATCGGAGAAATGGACCGGATTTCCGTCTTCTTCTTCCTCCTCCGTGTGGGCTGCAATCGGACTGGAGTCGTGGCTTGTTACCTCGACCATGTACCTGGAACTCCCAACAAACGGAAATGGAACCGGAACAGCTAGCGAAGTCGGGATCGAGTTATTACTTTCTGTAGATTTCTTAACCTCTACATGTAGCACAGTCTTGACACTCTCACTACATTGAGTGGTACTTTTCTTGTCTTCCTAAACACATAACAGGCAAAGTAAACATAACAATTATAGCAGTCGATCGAAGAAAGTTTGTCCAAAAAAACTATTCAGTTTTGATTTATAGCAACAAAAATCTCTTGCTCATAGGAATATGTTTTTAGTAGATAGAGAGAGTATATAATTACTGACCTTAACTTTCCTTCTCCACCAAGAGGAACAACCACACTTAACAGGCATCACCATCCTCGACAAATTTATGAAACCAAATGACTAATTGCTATTTATCTACAATCAAAACGGAATCAAAATATTAGAATTGTGAGCAGCAACACAATGCTAAAGGAAAGGCAGATTTGTCTTTCTTTCTTTCTTTCTTTTAATCATTCCAAAGAAGCAAGAAAGAAAGCTCGAGAATATGAACCTCAGCCAGAATGATTACTGCCTGTAGTTTATCCTCACAACACTGACCAATCTAATTCCTGCAAATTACATCACAAATAAAGCTCAATCAAGTCCGAATTAAATAATAATCTCCTTTAACATTGAATAAAGTGAAAGAATCATCCGAGGAGATTTGCATCAATCAGCAACTTATTTCGCAGGTAAACAAACTAAGAACCCTAGGAAACACCATATCCATCAAATAACTGTAGCTCATAGAGTGGCCAGTAATCTTAACAGCAGAAAATCAGGAGAATGCAATTACCACCAATAAACAAAATTGTTCAACAAATCCTCTCCATTTCACTGATCGATCGTCATTTATATAGAGCAGCTACATTGGCCTTGGCACGTTGAGGACGACGGAGTTTGAAGAGTGGCCTGTGACGTTTTTAATAGGTGACGGAATCGACAAAACGACGACGTACGCGACTACGCGCTTTCTACGCGGATACGATTTTTAAAATTAAAATAAAATAAAATAAAAGCGCAATAAACGGAATATTATTAATTTGGTGAATTATTGAGATAATAATTTTATTGTTGAGTGCATTAGGTATTGAATGATTTATTATTTTTGGAATTTGGATATTGTTGTTAACTACAATTGGTTTTTAAAGAGCACAAATTCTTTTAAATAATTTTAATTTAGGTCACTTTTTTGTTTTAATAATCTCAAAATTATGTTCAAAATGGATACTTAAGTCGTAGTATTATTGAACTGGATGAAAAGTATGGGCATATCTTGAATTGTTATAGGACCATTCCATGACCCATAGTCGCATAATAGAAAATTATTTAATCAGTAGTTTTCGCTCCAAATAAACCAAAACCAAATAAATCTATTCTTTAATCAGATGATAGAATGACAGTAGGGGCGACAATTCGGACAGGCCAACCCGATTTCAAATTGTGCTGTGCCAGCATGGCCCAATTGAAAATCGGATTTGGAAAGCACGATCCGGTTTGAAATTGGGTCGTGTTGTTTCGGCCCAAAAATTTTACCATCAAATTATATTTTAATTTTTATCTTTATTTTAAAAATTTATTAAAAGTTAAATATTAATTTTAAAAATCGGGCACGGCTCGGTAAACCAGACAAGGCCCGAAAATTTTCGAGTCTATTTTTTAAAGTCTCTTGGACCGGATTTTCAGACAGTGCTTATTTTCGGCCACCGGTGGTGATGACTTTCACAAATTTAATTTAATTTAATTTTTTCTATTATATATATTGAATTATTATTAGTAGTAGTAGTGAAAATTTGATGATGAAGTATGATTCGATCCTTTCAATTTTAAATGCAATATTTTATGAATGGCGTCAACCTAAAAGTATCAATGTAAAAATAAAAATAATAAACGTCCGGGTGTGTTCGTTTGTAAGATTTGTGCAAAATCTTACTATTTATCCAATTTTTTCCCTCCAAAAACATCAAATCAAACACTTATTTTTCATTTTTTATATTATACTAAAAATCAATTTTACATTCAAAACATCACATCAACACCTATTTATATCACATCGTACAACTATTCAAATTCAAAATTTTTACTATTCAAATCCCATCTCAAAATCCAAACCTCCAAACAAACACACCCGAAAGATATTGATGATGTGTGAAATAAATACCAAGATACACTTATCCCTTGAGCTTCATCAAATGGTCGTTGCCGGACCTTCCACCGGAGTTTTGATCGGAAAAGATGCATTTCAAAGCTGTGATAAAATACAGTGCATTTTTCAGTTGCCCGGCAAAGGAACAAGTAGAGTTTAAGGCCAAGAAGGGGCTTTACTTATCTGTAGCTGGAGCATTCAAGATATGAAAAAGCCCGGTGAAGAGTCGCAAAATCCAGCGCCATCAAGAGACTTGATACAAGCAAGATAGTCGATCGAGAGCTTAGACCAGCAAGAATATAATGACCCCTTTGCCATGAATTAAACCTAAATTATGCAAGTTTTATACAAATAAAATAAAGTAAAAGATCTTAAATAATATAAATGATGAAGAAGGTGTTATGTACAAATTTTAATATAATACGAGAGAGTTTCACGCAATGAATAAAGTACGAGGTATTTTGTGCAATTTTATTAATTATATAATAATTAATGATGTTTAGCATGTTAAAGCTTAAGTTTAAAGAAATTCGCATTGGATTTACGGACGTCTCAATTCTAATATTATGATAAATGTCTATCTCACATAAAATATTAAAATTTTAGGTGGTGGGATCCTTCGGCTCTGATAGCATGATAAATAACCATCTCATCTAAAATATTAAGCTTTTAAATGGAGAATGGCAAATGAAAAGTGGTGAGACTCAAATACAGAACATCTCGGCTCTAATACCATAATCTTTTCCTAAATATTAAGCTTTTAGGTAAGGTGAGACGATGCTTTTAAATAAGATGGTCGTTTAACAATATTTCTATTCTACATAAGCATAAGCATAAGCAATGCCTGATTCTCATAGTCAATTATAGCAAAGATTTTCAGAAAGTGACCGGGGCCAAAACAGCTAATGAAATAAAAGAGATGCTTTTTACAAGGGGCAGGGTCGAATAATAACCAAGTTACCTCAATTTTTCAGCAGTATTTCTGTACAACTTCTCCTGCCGAACGCCAAAACAAGTGCAATGTTTTCCAAGCATTACAGGACGATAGATTCAGCAGCCGAGTAAAAGTTGTACGATTAAAAAGAAACAGGAGCATCACCTATCACAGTCAATTACCGATCAAAGCAGCAAAACAGATGGAACATATTTCAAACATTGCTTTCATATACTTCAATGCCCCTTTAAATTTTCTCTTCGAGGCAGACCATGTCCTGACAACATATGAACCACAAAACAGGCACCTGGTATACCGTATATGGTGTTCTACTATATTATCAAGTCATTTAAAAACTAAAACAAATGACAAGACGAAGAGTACAAGCACACCAATGACTTAAACACATCAAGAAATAATGCAGAAGATCGGATATTTGGACACTAAACGCCTTCTCTGTTATTTCTAGCAAAGATCCATACAAAACCAATAGAACAAAACATGTAAAATCAACGAGCAGTACATCTTCATTCGATACAATGAAAGATGAGGAATTATGTATTCAATGTGTGCTCCAAAATCGTTCCAAGTGTTTAGCATACACAAGATTATTATAAAAACTGATATTAGCTTAAAAGAATCTAATGCTAATAAACAGAACATACTCAAAACAAAACGTTGGCTACTACCCAATTAGCATAAAAAACCAACAAAAGAGTAACTACTACTTCCTATACCTCCACTCCATGATTCATAGCTATTTTCTCATTCGGCTATTGCCAAACTCTTTGCAGCATACACTTTGCCAACTTCATCTATATAAGGAGCAACAAATTTATCGAAGAACCTCTGTTCTGATAACAAGGTAACCGCGCCAAGGACAGGACGGCATTTAATCAACTTCTTACTAACCAAAATTTCCACAACCCGAAAGCGAGGCTTCAACCTCTTCTCTATGCTACATCCAAGCGCCGTTGGGTATGTAAGAATGCAAGCCATATTGTACTTGCCATTGATGATAATAAAATCTGTTGCTCTTATCAATCTTTCTGCGGACAAGCAAAACATTTGCGGTGCCTTCCTAAAAAGTGTGTTTATGTCACATTCCGAAAACCCACGATCCCGCAATGCCTGCAACTTGAGCTCCCAAGTCTTGGGAGAAAATGAAGCAATAGCTCGAATGCAATAAATGAACATGTTAGAGCATCTTTGAGCTCCCATTTTCTCAGCCAGTTCTGCAGAGTTCCTAACAACTTTTGGATTCAACAACAGGCAATTCGGATCCTTGTTGAGAAGAACAAACACGCGCTCCATAGGTATACCACAGCTCTTCAAGAATTCGACATTGGGAACCAATGTCTTCTCCAAATTACCAACTAAAAACCATGGCGATGCCTTCCAGAGCTTCGCTACAGCATCATTTGATCCCAACAAACCTTTCAGAATAGAGAAAGAAGGAATAACTCTAGTTTCCAAGTTTAACAGCAAAATCGAAGGATTGGTCGAGAGCATCTTGGCAACGTCGTCTGAAGAAAATCCCAAATCTGTAAGAACCCTAATTTTGGGTTTAACGGTACTCTCGAGATCTACTTTGAGAACATCAGGCCTGTATTTCGCGAATTTCTCCAATTGAGCGATCGAGAAGCCGCACTCCTTGAGATATGACAGTATTGAATCGGTATTCTCAGGGTCTTTGACTCTGCTTTTCACTCGATTTAGATAAGAGGTGACTTTTGAAGCAGCTTGAATCGAAAATTGGTGCTTATTGCGCAATAAATCGAAGAGTGCAGGCGAGGCAGCGCACTCCCCGTCCTTGGAAGTGGAGAAATAGCGCAGAGAAGAAATCAAGGGAGAAAGACGGTGGTAGGAAGCATGATTCGGAAACAAAGAGGTGAGATTTTTGCGCAGAATTGAAACCATTTTGGAAGGAATAAACCACCCTCCACTGAAATGTGGAGGTATATCAGTTGAGGTTATAAAATCAAATCACTTGCCTGCAGAATTGAGAGCTCGAGGATGAAACTGGTGACCTGCGGGACGGAAATCACAGTTGGAAGATGATCCACGCCATCGCCATCGCCATTGACATTGCCATTGCCATTGCCTGAGAGGTCTAAAGGGTTAGGAATTTAGCAAGGGCTCTCTAATTTTAAACACAATAACATGTTTTTAATCAAAATTGTAAAATAATAATATAAGTAAATTACATAATGCGTTCTTATATGTTAGGGTTTGTTTTTTTTTTTTTTTTTTTTTTTTTTTTTTTTTGAGTTTGGAAAATTTTAGTTTTATTTGATATAAAAATAATGTTTGATGAGATATTTTGTTTGAAAAAAAAATATAGCAAATTAGAAATAGTAAAATTTTAAAAAATTAGAGTAAAAAAAACATACCTTTAGTATTAAAATGTGACATAATAAAATATAATAAAATTATTTATATTATAATTATGGCATAAAATCTCATTATTTTAGCATAAAATTTGTATACCAGAAGTTTTTTTTTTAATTTATTTTATCATTTATTAACAAGATGTATTCTCTTGTTGTCTCTAAAAATGTAAAAATTTAAAAAAAAATTATGGGTACATTTTTCTATTTATATACTCTTTTGTCCCATAAAAATGAGTAAAACTTTAAAGAAAATGTACTCTCTTTTGTTGGTTATACGAAAAGATAGAAGTCGATGTATTTTATTCTATGTTATAATTTTATTTTATTTTTGCAATTTTTCATTTTAATATTCCTATATTAGATGATTGGGAAAAAAAAAATTATGTTTCATGATTTATTGCAAGATTAGTGATGTGATATTTTGGGATCATTTAGTCTCATCTCAAATGAACTTATATAAATTTAATAATTATATTAAAATTGTAACATGCTTTACTCTGGATGTTATAAGAGTGTATTTGGAATCAAACATACTCATACGTACTCATGTATTTTAAGAAAATATACATGTGAAGTGTGATTTGTCTGTCGGACTTAGTTTACAGAATATTAGGTTCGTTCGAAAGTTTACTCAGTGCGCACTTTCGATAACGGTTACAGCTTCCCATGTCATAACAAATAAAAATACTATGATTTTATTGTGATCCCTTAGGCCATCTCCAACTCAAGGCCATGGCGCTTGGTCCGACACCAAATCGTGCCCATTTTTTGGCGTTGGCACAGAAACTCTAATTTTGGTGTTCCATTATAGCAATTGCTCCCTTTTTTTTTAATTTTTAAATTTTTTAATTTATTTTTTATTTTTCTAAATTTTTTTAAAAAATATTTTAAATTATAAAAATAAAAAGTTGTTTAAAATAATAGAAAAAATTGAATATTTGAATAATAATAGTGAAAAATGAAGTTATAATTGAAATAAAATTACTGTAGCAATTGTCAGTTAAAACTAAATAAATGAAATTGAAGGGTTGAAGATGGCCTCAATATGGCATAGGATGAATTCTTACCATTATATCATAATGATTAAGACTCAATTTATACAGAGACTTTAGAAATTTCAATTTTCTTTTAAGATAATAATAAAAAATAATAATAATAAATTAGAATTTGATGTAATGTTATGTTTTGTAATAATGAATATGTATTTGATGAGATATTTTTAAAAAGAAAACAGTGATTTGTTTCTTTTAACTCAAAATCTCAAGTTACTTTGCATTTTCCAAAAAAAAAAAAGAAAAATTATTCTAATGTAATATCTCATCATATACCCAATGTAGAGCTGTAAATAAAACCTAAAATTTGCAGAAATTGATTAGATTAAACTAATTTTACAATATATATATATATAATGAAATAATTTTGCACTAACCAAACTATAGTAGAACTAAAAAATGATCTTTTTAATCATGCGGATTCTCGTATTATAAAAAATAAAAATACTCTTTTTTCTTGGATAATTTGAGTGTGTGTAGGAGGTCAACAAGACAACAGAAAATATAGCCACAAAATTATCACCATTCAAAAGCTTGCAAAACCATCGATCATGGAAATTGCAAGAGACAATCTATACATAGAAATGAAATGGTAGATACCTTAGACAGCGCAACAGTCAAAATTCCAGTGCTAACAAATGGTAGCAAATTGCAGAAGCAATGAGAAGGATGTAAGAAAGCACAAAAACTCCAATCCAGCGTCTCATATGCTTAAACTTTTGAATCTCCTTCACTAACTCTATCTTTAGCATCTCAATTTTCTCCACATCCTGAATCCAAGAGAAACAAATCATGTTTCAAGCATTTTGTAGATACATTTAAAATTTCATTGAAAATCCATGGATTGAATCCATCTTTAATTCAGACTGGACCTAATTTCATCCACCAACACAACCACCACTTTTGAAGATTTATGTTAACGGATCAAAATTTTAATTCAATTGAAAAGCCACAAACTAACCACTCTGATTATAGTCTAAAATTTTCGTTCCATGATAATCAGTTCCTCGATACTGATATTTCAATTATAATTAAGAATCATAACCACCACAACCACAATTTCCTGTGAAAATGGACGATTGAGGCATATGCAGTGTAAGGTTCACCAAAATAGTCCACCAAATCAACAAATCTCATTCTCAAGCAACAATTTCATGAAATTCAATCCTCAGAATCTTAGCGTACAAAAATATGGAACTCCAAAACAGAGAGATAAACACAGTTTCACTCCAAAACGTAGCGATAAGTTCAGAATTGAATTCCGAAACTCCATTCGTGTTAAATGCGCGCAAAAACGAACCTCGAGTTGGTGAGCCGTCGCCTCGGCGGTTGAATAAATTGTGAAGGTTTTAAGAGAAGACAACAGCAACGCAGCTTTGGCGCATCGTATTGCAGTCTGGCACTTAAGTTCTTCTTCTAGCTTACGTTCCCCAACCTTCTCCATCTCAGAATCTTCCTTCTCTGTGTTAACGTTTTCCCTCTCCTCGAAGCTTTCGCGCGAAACAACGAGGAAATCGAGAAAGGAATTAATACTGCTGTATCTTTTCTAAATTTACAACGAGCGTGTATAATAAGATGAGATGAAAATAAAAAAATACTCCCTTGTTAGTGTCCACCTTTCCATGTCTCATTTACTTCAATCATTTTTCTATTTTGAAAAGATTTATATATTTTAATTTACTTAATTTAATCTTAATATATAATTATTTGATTATATGATATTATTTTTATTAATACATTTTTATTAATTACATATTCATTATACTTTTTATAAATTTTTGTATTTATAATAAGCATTATATACTTTTTCATTATTAGCAACATAATATTTAATTAGTTAATAATAATACATTATATATTATTATATATCAATTTTTTTTTAATTTTTTTTAAAATAATTGTAATATTTATCTAACGTTACAAATATCATTATAACTTACAATATATTACACAAATGTCATTACCTTTATATGACACATAGTAATAAGGTTATTTTAGTCGTATCTACTTTATTCCTACTATATCTCAATATAATACTAATATTTCTAAAACTATGCGCAAAAAATAAATGAATATTTAGTTCCGGGACGAAAGAGTATTATTTTTTATTTAATTAATAATATTAATATTATAAATAAAATTAAGTGCAATTTTTTATGACGTTTGAAATTTTTTGTTTGAATTAAATATTAAAATAATATATGGTAAAATATTGTATAGAAAAAGTATACCTTTATTCTGAAAAATGCAAATTTTAAATAATAATGACCGAGTTTGGAGTAAGAAATAGACCCTTAATATATGTTATTAAAAAAACTTATAATATGCATTTAAATATTTTAAAAACTTAGACAATAAGATTTTTATAATGTAAATAAATAAAAAAAACATATTTATTTATAAGTAACATAAATTAATTTATAAAAGATATAAAACTTCAAATATAAATATTTATTTTTTTAAAGAAAAATAAAAATAAATAAATTTTCAATGAATTGATATACCATGTTATATGTTATTCAATTAATTAAATTGATTTATATTTATTAAGTATATTTTTATTTAAAAAAATTTACTCAATATATTAATATGTTAATTATGATGAGACAAATAAATAGAAAATATATCAATCGAAGTAAGACGGAGAAAAGATTTAATTTAATATTTTGAGAAGAAAAAATAATAATAATAATTAAAAAAATTTAAATTTGATAAAGAAAAAAAACACACCGATCATTCGGGGGAGGCCGGGGTGGGGTAGTTTATCTGGGCTTCTAATAATATTAAAATTTACATATACAATATATACATAATAATAAAATTGAGTAAAAATATATAAAATATTTATTTTCTAATATTTTTACAATATTTATATCCCACGGTAAAAATACCAGTAACTATATGAGTTTCTTTGTTTTGTAATAAATATAATGATGTTAGGTATGAACATTAATTTAAAATTATTGTTTTTGTTTGGGGGTTTGGATTTTGGATTGGGATTTGAACAGTAAAAATTTTGAATTTGAATAGTTGTATGATGTGATATAAATAGGGTTTGATGTGATGTTTTGAATGTAAAATTGATTTTTAGTATAATATAAAAAATGAAAAATAGGTGTTTGATTTGATGTTTTTGGGGGAAAAAAATTGGATGAATAGTGGAAATCCTCCAAAATCTTTCAAACAAACATACCCTTAATAAACTTTTAAATTATTTACTTCCAAAAAAAAATATTCATTTATTTTCTGCAAGTAATTTTAGAAATATTAGTATTATATTATAATATAGTATGAATAAAGTAAAAATGACTAAAATAACATTGTTAGTACATGTGATATAAAGGTAATGACATTTGTGTAATATATTGTAAATTGTAAGGGTATTTGTAATATTAAGTAGATAGTACAGTTACTAAGAAAGGAAATTGATACTTTGTTATAAGACGGACTAAAATAAAAAAATGAATACTTTTTATGGGACGAAGAGAGTATTAATTATATTTTACCTAAAATATTGTATTTACAGTAATACGATGATATTGCATGGGACAAAGAAAATAGTAAAATAATACTATCAAAATATAAGGGTGTGTTTGTTTGGGGAATTTATACTATTCATCCAATTTTTTTTCCCCAAAAATATCAAATCAAACACCTATTTTTTTTATCTTCTATATAATATTAAAAATCAATTTTACATTCAAAATATTACATCAACACCTATTTATATCATATCATACAACTATTCAAATTCAAAATTTTTACTATTCAAATCCTAACTCAAAATCCAAACCCCCAAACAAACACACCCTTAAGGGTGTGTTCGGTTGTAGGATTTTGATAAAATCCTACTATTCATTCAGAATATTCCTCCAAAAACATCAAATCAAACATCTATTTTTTATTTTTTTTATATTATACTAAAAATCAATTTTACATTCAAAATATTACATCAATACCTATTTATACCACATTATACAACTATTTAAATTCAAAGTTTTTGCTATTCAAATCTCAACTCAAAATTCAAACCCCAAGCAAACATCCTAGCTTCTTTATCTTAGAGAAGATATAATTTGTAAATAATTAATAATGTATTAATAAATAAGATAATTAATTAATTTTTAAAAATTAAAAAATATATCTAAATTAAAATTTTTAAAATAAGATTCCACCAAATAACTGTAACCAATGAAAAATAAAAAAAAATAATAATTAAAAAAAACTGATAAATGAATGGGATGGAGCGGCAATTTGTGGATTATTTTGTACTAAGGATGTCAACTGGACGGGTTCGGGACGAATTTTGCAGGCCCCGAGACCCGCCCTGCTAGAAAATATTAGGCTCCGAGACCCGCTTCGCCCCGCCTCGCTAGAAAATATTAGGCTTCGCGCCCCGTCCCGCCCGGCAAATCTATTTTTTTTTTAAAAAAAATATATATAATAATAAATATTTTTTAACAATCAAATACTAAAATAAATAACATTAAAAGCACAAAAGAAAAATCTAAAAACAATCAAATATTGATCCATAAAAATAAGATAAATAAATAAATAATATATTTTTATTATATAAATATACATATATTAGGTATAATAATTTTAAAAAATTATTTGGAACTGGCGACTAATTGAATTTTATATTTAAAATTATTTAAGTGAATAAATAATATATTTTTATTATATAAATGTACATATTTATTAGTTATAATAATTTTAAAAAATATCCAAGTTCGAGTCCGAATCTAGATTGAGACGAATTTTTAGTAAAACTCATAATCCATCCCGAACCTAGCCGAATTTAAAATTTTAAATTCACAACCCGACTCAAAACATATTATTTAGATCCGAATTCGCCCCATTAAAAGCGATTCCGGGACGGGTACGAGCTAACCCGCCCCATTTGACATCCCTACCGGTAACAAACTATTCAAATGTAGGGTCCGTGGATGGCAGGAAAAGAATGATTTGGCGTGGCGCTCCCTTCTAGGAGCTTCCAACATGGATCACAATCCTTATTAAATATAGTAGTAGTATTTAGTATATTTTAATTAATCTTTATTGACTAACGTAGTCACCGACATGATTAAGGGACCCCACCACTTTGCATTATTGAAAATATTTTGTCGGATAATGCGTGGCATTATTGCTGTCTTTCCACCTAATGTTTGAGGCTATTATTTATAATTCACTCTTTTTTATTTTATTTTATTTTTATTTTTTTATTATTGAAACATTGTTATTTTTTAAGTTTTTTCTCTCAAAATAAAATTATTATTTTTTAATTTAGCAATTATATTACCTAATTAACATAATAAATACTCTTTCAATTTATATTATATTACACAAATATCATTACTTTTATATTACACAATACGAATTGAGATATTTTTATTTTTTTCACGACAACCTATTATAATACTAATATTAAAAAATCTACTTGCAAAAATAAATGACAATCTTGCACAAATTATACATATTATTCTTTTTTAAAAAATATATATATTTTTTAATATTTATAATTTATAATTTTTATAATTTTTTTTAGACTAATTAGTTATTTGACTTGTAATTTATAATTATTTAGATTATATTATAATTAATTTTACTAATATATATTTAATTATTTACTAGTCATATTTCTCTTAATTTTCGTGTCTAACAATTATTCGGAGACAATGTTTGCGACGGAAAAAGCATTTTCCTATCAATAAAAATGTATTGAAAATTTTAAAAAATTATTGTTAATAAATAACTAAAAGATATATTAGCAAATATAAATACAAAGTAATATTAAAATAACTAAATAAATTATTAAAATTAAAAAATATATATAATTTTAATTTAATCCTACTAATTAGTTATTTTAACTTTAATTTATAATTATTTTACTAATATATTTATAATTATTTATTAATTATATTACTCATAAATCCTCGTGTTTACAATAATTAAAAATAACAATGAGTCAGGTATGAGTCGATCAAACCGAACACGAGATCCAACCCGAATGCATATTGTTGGACCTAAGACCCGAATTGGGTTCGATCTTAACTTAATTAGTTGGACCTAATTCCCGAATTGAGTTCAATCTTATCCAGATTTGATCCAAACAATATCCGACAAAATCCGCAAAAATATTTTACAATTCTTAAATTTTAACTTAAAATTAGACTCGAACGACCTTTACCCGACATACATTTAATTTTTATATTATAATAAAAATAAAAGAAATAAAAAATATTTTTAATATAGTTTATATTGTTAAAAATATATATTTTATTTATAAAATTGATATATTAGTCGGATTCGAGTCCGGATAGGATCCATCCTTAGACCCGAAATCCAATGGTAAAAGTATATAATATCCTACCTGATATTCAAATAATTAAACTTGACTTTAAATAAATGAGTTGATCTCGAATCTACCCGAATCCATTGTCATCTATAACAACAATTGAGACACGTATGTAGGATAAATATGAATAATTTTTGTGAATGAATAAAAAATATATACTTTCTCCATCCGATCTATTTTTTTATTTTGGTATGTCTCATAGTAAAATATCCATTTTTTTTTTTGTAAATGTACTATCTATCTAATATTACAAATACCCTTACAACTTTCAATATATTACACAAATATCATTATCTTTATATCACACAATACTAATAAGGTCATTTTAGTCATTTATACTTTATTCCTATTATATCACAATGTAATACTAATATTTCTAAAACTCCGTGCAAAAAACAAATTGATACATAGTTATGAGACGGAGGAAGTATATTTTATATGAATAAGATACTCTCTCCGTCCCATAAAAATAGTTCTATTTTTAATTTTCGTTTGTTCCAAAACAAATGTATCATTTTCTAATTTAGTAATTGTACTACCTACTTAAATAATAAATACCGTTCCAACTTACACTATATTACACAAATATCATTACTTTTATATTACACAATATTAATAAGAATACTTTCGTCATTTTTACTACAACTCAATATAATACTAATATTAAAAAATATACATGTAAAAAACAAATACTCCCTCCGTCCCAGATACCGTGTCCGCTACACCGTAGACACTGTATTTTAGGAGGGATGTAATTAGTAGATAATTAAGAATATATTAGTGAAAATAATTATCCTATAATATAAATAATTATAAATTAAGATTAAAATTAAGATAACTAATTAGTTTAATTAAAATTTAAAAAAATTAAAAAATTTAAAATGAGATTAAAGTGTGTAATCATTTTCCAAAAAAGAAAAGTGACATGGTACGTGGGACGGACAGAAACGGCAACGTGGACATGGTATTTGAGACGGAGGGGGAATATTATTTTCGATAATACTATTTTGGAAAACATTGCAAAAAAATATTGAAGAAATTTGAAAATGATTAAAACATACACCCTCCTCTCAAAAAATATATTTCTTCCGTCTTTTCATAATTTAAAATAATTAAATAATTTAATTTATATTAAAAATTATAAAGTGTAAAATTTAAATTATAATTAAAAATATATAATCGTATATATTTTTAAAAAAACAAATAAATTAAGTAAAACAATCGAAAATATAAAATATAAAATAAAGATTAATTATGTAAAAAATTTCATCAAATAAATTTATATTATTATTATTTTTTTTTTCAAATTGTCATAAAAATATATATATATATATCTTACTTTTAGTTAAAAAGTATTTTTTTTTTATATTTTTTATTATAGAAAATAAAAATAACATGTTATTATTAAAATATATGTCCACATATTTTAATACACATTTGGACGAAGGGAAGAATATATGTGTGTATAAATAAGAGCATCGTATCTGTGATCTTTCTACAGGCAAAACTCAAAAGGTTAACAGATCATTCTCATCTTCTGGCTATGTCGACTCTCTGCGTCCCATCTCAAGTTCCTCCCGTATCCGAAGACTGCGAGCAGCTCCACAAAGCATTTTCAGGTCTCATTAATCAATAATCGATCACTATTGTTGCGCCTTTTGTTGTTTAATGGAAACATTATCTCTAAAATTGTTTTCGCTTTTAATTTTATTCTCGAGTTTTGGTGATCGTGGAGCAGAGGTTGTGGTTTGTGCGATGAATGTTTGTTGTTTCGCGAATGAAACTTTTTGGTCAGATTTGAATAGATCGCGGCAGAATTGGATGCTTGCTGTCTCTGGAATTTTACAGTTAATTCTCGCCTAAAAAACATGATTTATTTGAAGATGTTTGTGCCTGGTGATAGTGTTTATGTTTCACTTATTCGTCTTTAATTTCTCTCCTGTGTTGGATCGAGAAGTTATGATCGATCGATCGATCGATCGGTACTGTTTGTTGATTGAAACCGATGATAGAGTGATGAGCTTTCACGATCAAAGGCAAAGGATATAGAGATGCGTTGGATCTAATAGAAAAGCAACATACAGATTGCATTGACTTGCCCGATCTGTTGCACTTCGATAGATCTGAAGAGAGAGATCTTTCCTGCCAGATTTTCCTTCATGAATATTTTGTTTTTTTTTTTTTTTTTTTTTTTTTTTGTTTTTTAGCTCCATTAACAAAAACTTTCTGCTTAATCTTAATTCTATGTGTTTGTTGTGTTTGTTTTTGTAGGATGGGGAACAAATGAGGACTTGATCATATCGATTCTAGGTCACAGAAACGCATCCCAGCGCAAATCGATTAGAAAAGTTTATGCAGAGACATATGGGGAAGATCTTCTGAAGTCCTTGGACAAGGAACTCTCAAGCGATTTTGAGGTTTCTCCTAACCTTCACTTACAATTACTTGTTTTCAGTTACTAAGTGATAGAAAATTTGGGAATCCTCAAGTTCAAAAGCAGAAAAGAGAAAAAAAAAAAAATCCTTACTCATCTAGCCCTATTACTAGCAGAATCTGATCAAAATCCAAAGATCTAACAATGTTACATTTTTTTATATATACCAGAGGCTCATCTTGCTGTGGACCTTGGAACCTGCAGAACGCGACGCATATTTGGCGAACGAGTGTTTGAAGAAGCACCATCAAATTATTGCGGAAATAGCTTGCACAAGGTCCCCAAAAGAACTTATTCAAGCACGAGAAGCGTATCATGCTCGTTTCAAAAGATCTCTCGAGGAGGACGTTGCTTATCACACAACCGGAGACTTCCGCAAGGCAATAATAAGAAATCCCCCGACCACCTCTACAAATTAGTCATTTAAAATACAAGCATCGATCCGATTTATTAGCTAATGCTTTCTTGTCGAATGTTTTTCTTCAGCTCTTGGTTCCTCTGGTGAGTTCATATCGTTACTCAGGAGACGAAGTGAATATGCATCTTGCGAAAACAGAGGCCAAACTTCTCCACGACAAAATCTCCAATAAGGAATACAATTGCGACGACATCATCAGGATCCTGACCACGAGAAGCAAAGCCCAAGTCGAGGCTACGCTGAACCAATACAAAAATGAATTCGGAAACGATATAAACAAGGTCTGCAATCTGCATTACCATTCGAAAATTACACAACTTATTAATCTTTTTACAATTCTTTGACATAAATATGTTTTCGCAACAGGATCTTAAAGAAGATCCCAAAGATGAGTTCCTTACCCTCCTAAGAAGCACAGTGAAGTGCTTGGTTTTCCCACAAAAGCACTTCGAAAAGGTGATCCGTCTGTCAATCAACAAACTAGGGACGGACGAGGGCGCCCTCACCCGAGTTGTGGCAACTCGGGCTGAGGTGGACATGAAGATCATCGGCGAATTGTACCACAAAAGGAACAGCGTGCCGCTGGAGAAAGCCATTGCTAAGGATACCCGGGGAGACTACGAGAAGATGCTCTTGGCACTGATCGGACACGGTGACGAATGAGGTGAGTGAGTTATATAAAGTGCTGTGTTTATCTTAATGCTTCTGCTGCTACTTCTTGATGATCTCTTGAGTTTTTAAAAACTGGATGGAGTTTTATGTGTGGTTTGGGTTTGAGCTGAAATAAATGACGTTGCTGGAGCAATGCTTCCTTCTTGATTTTGAATAAATATCACATGCTGTTTCGAATATTTTGGTTTGGTGTGATTTCTTTTGTTACTAGTTTTATGAGTTTTGAGTCCAGAGGTATTATATCAAAACGTAATACTCTCTCTCTCTCTCTTTCGTCTCGTTAAAAGGTTGTTATTTTTCATTTTTGTAAGTTCCAAGACAAGATTATCATTTCCTATTTTAGTAATTGTACTGCCTATTTAACATAATAAATATCCTTCAAATTTATACTTATATTACACAAATATCATTATTTTTTTTATTATATTTTCGTTTTTTTTTTATTACAATTCATTATAATGCTAATATTAAAAAATCTATGTGCAAAAAAGTAAATGACAACCTTGCACCGAGACGAATGGAGTACAAATTAATAAAAAATTATAAAAATAATTCCATTAGTGTTTTATAATACTAATACAAGGACATTTGTTCACAAAATTATACAAATATAAAAATATTTTTAATGTTAAGTATAATGACGTAAAAAATAAATATAAAAATAATATGTTTAGAAAGAGAATTAATTAATTAATTAATTTTATTGGGAATTGGAAAGGCCTGTAAGTGCAACCACAATGGTTTTTCTTTAAAAAAGCTTCTAAATTTGTTTTAAATTTGATGTATCAAAATCTAGATAACATCCAGTGAAATGATAAATTTCTATCCAATGGCTTCATATGCAAGAAGGTAGGAGGGAAAGAGAAATAAGGAGAGAGAAAAAAATAATAAGAAAGAAAGAAATAGAATATGGATTAAAAAAAATTAAAATAAATAATAAAAATAGAGGAGAGAGAAGTAACAAAGAACAGAAAAATATTTTGGACATAACTTCTCCTGCACTATGTCATGTTCAAAGCTTTCGTTATTTTTACACTAAAGATTAAAGTCACTGCATATCATATTTTTCGAATTTGTTAAAAAGGTGTCTGAATCAGACAGAGAGGCCCGGCAAACAATGAGCCATTACAATTACTCTAACGGGAGAAAAAGTGGTTTCAAATCAGTTTTGTTAGGCCAGCCGTTTGGATTGGAAGATTTATTGCTTTAAATAAAGGATGTATTATTTGTGGTTTTGTTACTATTTCGCATTTTTAATTTGTTGTTTTTAAGGTGAAAACAATTGCTCTTGTATCAAAAAGTAAGCGCTATCTTCCGTTCACAAAAATAGTTTATTTAGGTTTAGCACAAAAATTTTATAAGGTAAAGAGTTTGTTTGTCTTAAAATTTTCTTTCCTACATCTTAATGTATAAAGGACATCTTAATGTTATTTTTAAATTTTCTTAATGTATAAAGGACATCTTAAGGTAAAGAGTTTGTTTGTCTTAAAATTTTCTTTCAAAAATCTTAATGTTATTTATTTTTTTAACCTTTATATTATCAATATAATTATCTGATCAAAATTTGATGTACATATGAAATAATAAATAACATGTTTTTTAATGAAAAAACAAACAATAAAAAAAAAAAAAAAAACAAAGAAAGGAAAAAAACACAAACATACACAGACAAAATGAATTCACCAAATTTGAAAGACATCTGGGTTTGATATAATAATACGGACCTGGGCCATCATATGAGTCCCATATGGGCTCATTAGTCACAAATCGGCCCAAGGTTATTTCTATCTAAAATTGGTGGTGCAGTCGGACCTATTCTCACACCGCTAGGTCATCCTTTACGGGAAAAAAAAAAAAAAAAAAGGTTTAATCCAAACATTCCGGATACTAATATGACAATTAAATTAAACACCTTATTTATTATTTATTATATTAAAAGTTAATTGTACAATTAAAATATCACATCTATACATATTTTATTTTATATTAAACAAGCATTTCAATTGAAAATTTTACAAAACCTTAAAAAGTACTCCCTCCGTCCACACATAAAGTTTTACTTTTATCGCAGTATTTAATAAATAATAGTATTTTAATTATAGTGGGCATTTCAAAATAGTACAATAACATTTTTGCCTTTGTTTTTGTTTTTTTTGTTTTAAAGTAATAATGTGATATAAAACAAAGGTATTTGTAGAAAAAAAAAAAGAAAATATTTAATAAAATATTTACTTTGTAATTAGACGTCCTAAAATAGAAATATATATATCTTCTATATTATATTGGGATATTAAAAAATTTTCCTAAATACATGTACGTAAAGGAAAAGAAGATGGAATCCTTCCAATGAATCTAGTTTAGTCGAAAACAAGTAAAAATGCAAGGTATCCTAATTAGATACGTTGGATAAAATAATATTATTCAAAAATAAATCAATCATTTAAAAATAAACAAATCCCGAGTTTGAGTTGTTAGGTAGCTAACCGATTAGACGAGTGCAATGCTGCTCTCCCCGCCGGGAGGCTTGCGGACGCCTCCAAAATAGTCGCATGTTTCCACTTTCCCGTCGGCGAAAATGTCGCTGCCACTCATCTCCCGCAACTTAGCTGAACTAAGAGACTTCTCGGCCGATGCCGGGGGCTCGTCTCCTTTAAAAATGTTGTTCCCAGAAAGCTCCGAAAACTTTTGGTTAGGGATCTTCTTTGCTGTCTTGCTCACTGAACCACCATTTCCATGGCCTCCACCACCCTTTCAATATTCAGTACAAGTTCACATTCATATTTATGATAAATAAGATTGATAGTATAGGTACAAAATTTGAGTGACAAAGCTCAATTGACATTATTATAATCAAATAGCAAGTGAAAAGGCTACTTCAACTAATGATTTTTTTTATATACTCCATCAGTACAATTTCTATTGTCCTAAAGTATATTTGCACGATTTTTTAGGTGATTGTCTTTTTTGTTATGAATCGACAAATTTGCCCTTAATTGTATAGTAGAGATTAAAAGTAATAAATGAATTGAAGGTAAAAATGTAAAATTTGCGTTTAAAAAAAAAAGAAACAGGACAATAGTTATTGGACGTTCCAAATAGGAAAGTAAGACATTAGTTTGTGGACGGAATGAGTATAAACGAAAATGATTATTCCCTAGAGTAAATCATGTTACCAATAAAAATACATTATTTTTTTTAACAAAAGTGCTATATATCACGTCAAAATACTATTAAAATAAAAAAATCAAATAAAAAAAATTCAAATCCAAATCAAATTAACAACAATGATAAAATTCAACGTAGTACTAACAACAAACAATCGTTACATATATATGAAAAAATATCACATAATTTATGTTAACATAATACAAATGCGGCAACACATCACATAAGTCCTATACAACATATGTTATACTTAATTTTAGCATAAGAAATGCGTTCATATGTTTAAGTGTTAAATAAAAACATGTATTGTCAAGACTGTTTTACATGTGTTGAATCAGTTATTCATGTTTATGTAGAGATGTTTACTTTGCATGATCATGTTTATAATGACATGACTGATTAATAATCATGCAAAAGAAAAGGACTCCTTATTGGACAAAACTCCTATAACAATAGTGTGGCTAATTATCATATAATGAACATATGATTACGATTATGAATTACCAAAGTGCACACTAATCATATCCATGTAACTATGGACCTAAATGAAATCCCAACAAATAAATAACCAAGTAAACAAAGGATGTGTAAAATGAAAAACTTAGTAAAGTTGTATGAACATACATTATGTGGTGTAGTCTCTCCAATGGAAATGCTTTCTCGTAATGCCAGAGCTCGAGGAGCCGCCGGGCGGGGCTGAATTTCTGGTGGCGGGGCGAAGATATTATGCCCGCTGAGCTCCTTGTTTTTGGCTAAAGAATTTTGTTTCTTCATTTTAGCATCGTAGTCACTCTCCAGATTTCCGCTCAATTCGCGCTGTTTCGCGAGTGTGATTGGCTTCTTAGGCGAAACTGTTTCTTCCTCACTGAAGGAAATGTGGCTGATACCTGCTGTTGCTTGCTGGTGATGGTTTCAACCCTCAAATGCATCAGGACACAGATTATCGAAATCCTAAACAGCATGTCTCAAGTGAATTCAATAAGCGGAAAACACTTGAAAAGATTACCTGATACATACGCACACCAGTTTTGTTAACTGGGGTCTGATCAGCATCCTCAGTTTCGGATGCTCCTGTTTCTCCTTTCACTTTGAAAATGCTGTTTCCGGTCATTTCTTTCATTTTATAGCCGGAACATGGTTTCCTGGAATTAATACATTATATGCAAGGGGTAATGACTATCATGGCAAAAGATGAAGCCTTTCCAAAAAATTGATTTACGCAACAAGAGGTGAGTGTGGTTGCAAGTAGTTCATCTTTAAGCTATTATATCATATGACAAATGGATCGTCCCATCGGAGAAAATTCACTAGACAACTTCTAGAACTAGAAACTAGGAAAAATTATGCAGGATTTTCAATTCGGAATCCAAAAAGGATGAAACCGTTGTTCATTTTAAAATATGTTTATATGTGTATGTATATTATGTCATTGTATACATGAAAGTAATATTGTAGTATAAATTTAAAATATAAATGTGTAAGAATCATAACCAAGCCAAAATCATTCTGGAATTAGCATCCAGTTCAATTCCAATTCCAGTACCAACTCCAATTGCAATTCCATATTCTAGTGAAATTTAAACCATGTGTATTTTCATCCACATCTAAAGCCCATTAATTAAGATTTCATGTTAGTTCGACGTTTCTAGAAATCACTAGTTATTTTATCATAGAATTAAAAAGGTGGGTTAAGGCAATCCCAACTCCCATGCTTTCTGCAGGCGCTAAATTGAAACAATGTCATTCACAATGCAAAAATCCAAAAAGTAGCGAATTTCATGAGAATCTCGTGATCATACATAAAGAGGAGGAAACCACAGAGATCGAGATATTTTGGACTTTTGGTTGCTTTCTCGAATTGACATTAACACAATTAACTGAACATGATTGGAGCCAAATCTTCACTATCTTAACCGAAAAAATGTACAGAAGCAAAAATTTCAAGGAAGAAAAAGCAAAGAGTAATTCACACACGAAAAACCAAAATTAATAAAAGTAAAAACAAATAAATAAATAAAGCTAGATCTCTAACCTTTTGTTCAAGCTCTCAACCTCTTCATCAGTGACCTGACCTCCAAACACCACCTTTCTGATCCCATCTGACGGCTGTCATCTCACCGAAAATTTTAGCACAATTTTGAATCCAAAAAAAAAAACAAAAAAAAAACAGAGGAGTCCAAAGAGAGTAAAATTAGTGGTTACCTGGTGAGAGCGTGTCTCCGACACCGGTGCAGGGGAATATTCCGACGGATTCTCCGACCACGTGAGCAGATCTGCCGTCGAAGTGTGAGGCTTCCTCACCGGAGTCGTTTTCTTCATTGCCAATCAACTATTCTCAACCAAACAATTCCTTCTCCACGCAAAAAGTAACAACAAAAACTCAAAATGCAATAAAAATCCTGCGCTTCGTGCCTTCAATCGAACACACAATTGAATCAACCGAGGGAACGAGATCCGGAACCTGAATCGTACGCTATTCTTCTCGAAGATCTCAACGTTGCTACTCGTTCATTCGTTCGTTGGGAGCTGCTGCTACAGATGACAGTCCGTCCTTCTCACTTTGTCTATTTATAGTCCTACAGTGAGATCTCTCTCTCTCTACTCACTCCCGATCCGAGCTTCTATTTTTGGCCTTACGCGTGGATACTGCTTTTGGAAAAAGAAGGAACTGCAGGGGTAGTACTGTAGGGGTTTGATTCCCCTGAAATTTAAAACCCCCGTTCATAGGGTGGCACGTGCCTTACCTGGAAGGCACATGACAGAAGATTTCACGTTTACTAAAATACCCCCATGAATATATATTTCTATATATAAATATTTTTTTCATATTCTCAATATTTTATTATTTTTAGTAAAAATATATTAATAAATTATATTTAATTACTGTTTTTTACTTAAAAAATAATAACAATAAAGACCTATATAATACAAACCAAACAATTTCTTCTAGTTTTTACGTATTCATCTAAATCTAAACACATAAAGTTAATATATATATAATTATTAACCAGAATTAAGTTAAAAACGTTTTATTTCCCAGAATATTGAATTTACAGGTTCACGTATACTGTTACTATATAATCTATAATTATCATTGTTGTCTCTTAGGGTAAATTATCAAGAAGGGCATTCATGTCATTTCACAGGCTCAGCTCAATAACGTTATAATGGAATTCAAAATTTCAAATTCTTCAAAGCGCTTCATAGGTCAGATAGTAGAAGGATTCGGTCAAGTGAAATTTTAAAAAGAATATAATATTAATTAATTTTAAATTAAAGTTTAATGGTAACAAATTCTTTTAATATTAATATTAGAGTGTGGTTTTCTGATTTTGGATTTTGAATTGGAATTTGAAAAATAAAAAATTTGAATTGAAATAGTTGTATAACATGTTATAAATAGGTGTTAACGTAATATTTAAATGTAAAGTTGATTTTTAGTATAATATAAGAAATAAAAAATAAATATTTGCTTTAATATTTTTGAAAAAAATAAAAATTAGATAAATAGTAAATTTGGATGAAAATTCTCCATGCTTTTAAAAGATGTACCGTATATTAAGGGTGTGTTTGTTTAGGGATTTGGATTTTAAATTGAGATTTTAAAAGTAAAAAGTTTGAATTGAAATAATAGTATAATATGATATAAATAAGTATTGAGGTGATGTTTTGAATGTAAAATTAATTTTTAATATAATATAAAAAATAAAAAATAAGTGTTTGATTTGATATTTTTCAGAATAAATTTTTGTATAAATAGTAGAAGTTCACCAAAATCCTTCAAACAAATACACCCTAAAGACCTATGCTCATATACACATATTTTTACAATTTGATCTCACGGAACTTGGGTAAATAAATAGACCTACAAATTGTAAATGATTTTTTTGGATCATTTGAAAATAATAGAAACAAGAATAATTAACTTTTAATATAAAATGAATTACTATTAAAAATAATAGTAAAATTAATATTAAAAATTAATTATATTTTTAAATAGATTTCTCGATTTGGATTGTCAAAAATGAAAAACTAAAAACTTGGCAATGTAAGGAGAATAATTTCTATAATTAAAAATATCATTAGATAAAAAATAAAAATTCTTAAAGTACTTTTCCATAGTGTATTATGGAAAACATTTGAATCAAATCAAAATATCATTTATGATAGTGATAAAGAGTAAAGATGAGGATGATAAGAAGTGAAGAATGTTGGTCATGAGTGTGCTGATCTAGTGTATCCAAGTTCACAGCATCATCCAACTGCTCTCGTTCCAGCTCATCAAGTTTGTTACAAGTCTGTTAATTTGTCATGGTGTTGCAGTCGTGTGTGGTCCTTGATTTTAATTTGTTATATTTGTTTAACAGATGATTCATGTGGTCCTGAGTTTGCTTATAAATCTCAGTTGGAGATAGCGGATGTAAATGATGTTTTTCAGATATACAAAATAATTTCTTCTCTCAATTCTCTGTTCTGCAAGTTTCTATATTGTGTTTGTCTTTGTGTTATGATAATGAAGACTGCACAATTCTATTTGTTTCTTCATGGTATCAAAACATGGTAGTGATTCATTGCTCTTCATGGCTTTCAACAACGAATCAACAACTGAACACCACCAACAACAAACATTTCAGCCATCTGAAGCCACCATGCAAGCTGCAGCAAGACTAGCAGCTCATTCTCTCTTCGCTGCTCAATCAAGTCTTCCAGAAGCTCTGCAATTATCTAGTGGTGATTAACCAAATCTAACTCTATCCTCAGTTCCTCTTAATGGCACCAACTACTTTACATGGTCACACCGGGTCTTCAATGCTCTCATTGCAAAAAAGAAAGGTGGATTCGTTACTGGGAAAACTCCAAGGCCACGCAAAAATGATCCAGAACATGAAGCTTGGGTGAAGGTTGATGCTTTAGTTAGGACTTGGATTATCAACTCGATCAGTCCAGATATACAAGGTGCATTTATATTTGTATCCACATCCCAGGCTCTTTGGGAAACTCTCAAAGAGAATTATGGACAGTCAAATGGAAGCTTGATCTTCGAACTACGAAGATCAATATCATCCCTCAAGCAAGGAAGTGATACTATAGCCACATATGCCACTCATCTGCAAGAGCTTTGGCAAGAACTTCTCAGGTGGACACTCCTGTAGAGTGCTCTTGCGGTACATGCACATGTGGAATTCACAAAAAATTAACGAGCAAAATGGATTGTGACATGGTCATTCAATTTTTGACTAGATTGAATGACAATTATGAAAGTGCTAGGGATCAAATTTTGATGATGGACCCCTTACCCAACATGAGCAAGGTATACTCAATGGTTGTGCAATATGAGAAACAAAGAGAAATTTATATAGCTACAGAACACAATGCCTTGGCTATTCCCAACCACACTCAGGCTTCCAAATCCTTAGTTGAAAGAAAGAAGATGCAACAAGAGAAAAAGAACATGATATGCGAATTCTGCAAGAAAAAGGGGGCATGGAAGGGATACATGTTTTTCCTTACATGGTGTACTTTCTTGGTTTAAGGAATTGAAGGAAAAGAAAGCTGCCACAATCAACAACCTGGTGACTGATCAGAGGGAGAAAAATAGAGCTGAAGTTGGAAATTCTGTGAATAAGACTTCATCTATTCCAAATTTTGCAACACTAATTAGAGCTGAACTTCAGAAGATAATGCAACAAAATATAGGTGACATCACAACCAGACAAAAAAGCTCAAACATCGAATACTCACGTAATTTCTCTTCTGTGAATAATGTGAGTATTGATGACACTTCTTGGAGCATCATGCCATATATGCAAAAAATGCCAACATGTTTACCTCCTTGAAACCTCTCCCCTCAAAACCAAGAATATACCTTCTTGATGGCTCTCACCTAATAGCTGAGTTTGAATGAGTTGTTACCATAGCTTCTGCAATTACTCTCCTTTGTGTATACTTTATCCCAGATTTCACCTTCAGCATATTGTCTGTAAGCAATCTTCTAAAACACACTAACTATACTATTGTGTTTTCTAAAGATAAATGGCTTGTACATGACCAGAGATTTAGAATCACTTTGGCCACTGGATATCAAATGCAAAACCTTTACATTCTTTCTGGCTCTTCTCATTCTTTCGACTTGGCCACATCTCTGCCAACAGATTGAAACATCTACCATTTGTTTCCCATTGTGATATCAAGCCATGTGAAACTTGCCACAAGGCTAAACAGCCTAAACACTCATTTAATAAAAATGAGTGTCGCTTTATACGTGATCATTTTATACGTGATCATTTTGCCACTCATTTGATTGTCACTTTATACGTAATTATTTTGCCAAAGGAAATATCAGATTAACTTATGTGTCATCCCATCTTTAAATTGGAGATGTGTTTACCAAAGGATTACAAACCTCTAGTCTTAAGAATATGATTGTCAAGCTCAACATGGGTTACTCTTGCCATGTCAAGCTTGAGGATGAGGTGATAAAGAGTAAAGATGAAGATGACAAGAAGTGAAGAATGTTGGTCATGACTGTGCTGATCTAGTGTATACAAGTTCACAACATCATCCAACTGCTCTCATTCCAGCTCATCAAGTTTGTTACAAGTCTGTTAATTTGTTACGGTGTTGCAGTGGTGTGTGGTCCTTGATTTTAATTTATTATATTTGTCTAACAGATATTCATGTGGTCCTGAGCTTGCTTATAAATCTCAGTTGGAGATAGCAGATGTAAATGACGTTTTTTCAGATATACAAAATAATACCCAAAATAATTCTCTATTCTGTAAGTTTCTATTCTGTATTTGTCTTTGTGTTGTGATAATGAAGACTGCACAATTCTATTTGTTTCTTCAGATAGCTTTTCAAACATATGGAAAAATATAATTAAAATAATATTTTAGATAGTATTTTTAACAAAAAAAAAAAAAAAATACTAATAAATAAAAATAACATTCATAACTAAAAATTTCATCAAACAAATTAATTATATATTTTAAACTATCCTCAACATACAATGATATTGGGGCGACTACGGTATTGAATTTAAAAATTAAATTTAGAGTTGACAGCACATCGTATATTTCATCAAACAAATTAATTATATATTTTAAACTATCCTCAACATACAATGATATTGGGGCGACTACGGTATTGAATTTAAAAATTAAGTTTAGAGTTGACAGCATATCGTATATTAACAGATAACACTATATAAATTAACCACACATAATACAATTCTATACCGCCAATATAGTTCTACACAACACATATGATATAAAATTTCAGTATATAAACCACATGTTATGAATATAAAAAGACAACACATACCTTTATTTTATACAATATATGTGCTATATGAAACAAAGATTCTGTTGTTGATTGTTTTACCTGTGCGGATTGGAGAAATCAATATTGATTGGTAACAATATTATTAAGGTACCATAATGCTTTATGGATTGTTAGTACATGGTGCTTGATCTTATTTTATTTGTAATGTGTAAATATATTTTATGAGACCAATTATCGTGTGGAGTTTATATATTGTAGTTATATTATATAAATATATACTCAATTTAATCACTTATTTACTTTAATGTATTAAAATTTGGGATTGACTAAAGCTCGCTATAATAATATATTAATTAAAGATAATTAATCCTATCTAAATGAATGAGATTAATTTATCTTCAATAATAGTTGTTATTCTATTATATTTAATCAAAAGTAAGTGTAATATTAATTAATATAATAATTATATAATCTATTAAAATAATCGTGTGTATTAATTTAATAACAGGTTATAATGAAAATATACTTGTATCAACAACAAGGGTGTGTTTCTTTACAGCCGAAACTCCGGTTTTTTACTATTTGAATTATACGTTCTTTTTAAAAAAATACATTTTTTCTTCTCACAAAACATTTTATCATATTTTAATACCAAATCCAAACCAATTTTTTTTTTCAAACCTATAAAAAGAAACAAACCCCAAATCTATTACTAGTAACACACTAGAAATAAGAATGACATGATTAATAAATAATTGAAAATATATTAGTTAAAGTATATAATAATTTTTAAAAAAAAAAAGTGACAATGAAATGTACAACAATACAGGAACACCATATTAAAAAAAAAAAAAAAAAAAAAACCCTAATATGATATGAAGACATTATTATTATATCTTTCACCCAAAAAGGAATTGTCTAAAATAGGATAACACAACAAATGATATCTAAAACCAAAAAAACAGCCACAAAATTATCACCATATAAATGCACATGATAGCAAGAGAAATGCATACAAAGCACTAATTGGCATTTTTTAAGCTTGCGGCTAGCGTGTGTGGGTAAAAAAAAAAAAAAAAAAAATCTCAAAATTCCAGTACTAATAATAAATGGTAGCAAATTGCGGAAGCAATGAGGAGGATATAAGAAAGCGCCAAAACTCCAATCCACCGTCTCATATGCTTAGCTTTCTGAATCTCCTTCACTAACTCTATCTTTAGCATCTCAATTTTCTCTACATCCTGAATCCAATAGAGTCATTTTTTACTATTATATATATACCTACTTTATAAATTATATTTTCAGAAATCGAACCATGTTTCAAGCTTTTTGTCGATATATCAAAAATGGCAACTCAAATGAAAAAATCCACAATGAAAAATTCAATCAAGTCGATTGAAAAGCGATAAACTAACTACTCGGATTATAGTCTAAAGTTTTCATGAAATTTAAATCTTAGCGGACAAGATATGGAACTCCAAAAACTTAGAGATAAATTCAGATTTGCACACCGAAACTGCAATTGGATGAAAAAAAAAGGTGCAAAAACAAACCTCGAATTGATGAACCATTGCCTCAGAGGTTGAATAGATTGTGGAGGTTTTAAGAGAATACAACAACACCGCAGCTTTGGCGCATTGGATTGCCGTCTGGCGCTTAATTTTCTCCATCTCACAACCTTTCTTACTGTGTGTTATGTTTTCCCTTTCCTCAAAGCTTTCATGCAAAACAATGGAGGATATTGAGAAATCACTTGTTATTTTTATCTCAGAATTAAAAGGATGGATTAAGAAATCACAACTGCCATGTTTTCTGCAGGCGCTAAATTGAAACGATGTCGTTCAAATGCATAAATCCAAAATTCAGTGAATTTTCATGTGATTCTCGTGATCGTAGATACAGAGGGGGAAACCACAGAGATCGAGATATTTTGATTATTTTCTCCAATTGACATGAACACAATTAACCGAACATGATTGCAGCCAAAATCTTCACTATCGTAGCTGAAAAAATTGTACAAAAAGCAAACATAAAATTGAAGGAAGAATAAGCAATAAGTAAATTCACATGAAGTAGATCTCTTACCTTTTGTTCAAGCTCTCAACCTCTTCATCAGTGACCTGACCTCCAACCACCACCTTTCTCATCCCATCCGACGGCTTTCATCTCGCCGAAACTTTTAAGCACAAATTTGAACAAAAAACCAGAGGAACCCGAGGACAGTAAAATTATCGGTTACCTGGTGAGAGCGGGGCTCCGAGACCGGTGCAGGGGAATATTCCGACGGATTCTCCGACCACGTGAGCAGATCTACCGTCGATGTGTGAGGCTTCCTCACCGGAGCCGTTTTCTTCATTGCCAATCAGCAATTCCTTTTCCATACGCACACAGACACAAATAATAGTATTTCAATATCAAAATGCCAGGGAATTCCTCTCGCTTCGCGCCTGCAATCGAACACAGAATTGAATCAACTGAGAGAACGAGCTCCAGAACCTTAATCGGAAGCTATTCTTCTAGAAGATTTCAATGTTGCCGCTCGTTCGTTGGGAGCTGCTGCTACAGATGACAGTCCTTCACATCCCTCTGTTGTGTATTTATAATCAGTTCTATAGTAAGATCTCTCTCTATTCACTCCCGATCCGAGTTTCTGTATTTCGCACTGGATACTGCTTTTGGAAAAAGAAAGAACTGCAGTGGCGGTACCGGAGGTGTTTTCAAGTTTGATACCCCTCAGATCTAGATAAATCCGGCTGAATCTAATACGCCGGTTACAAATTTAACCCTCACACCACCAACAAGATATCCCTTATAATATTAGTTCAATTATATATATATATATATTTTATAATGTATCGTTATCATTCGAATGCACTTTGGATAAATTTTCAACAGTAAATCACACGAACCATGTGTAACAAATAAAATTTAAAAGGATCGGATTTGATCCTATGACTTAGTTCGATTATATCTTACAATATCATCCATAGACACAAAAAATTTCAATGTAGAAATGTAAATGAAACTAATAACTTGAACAAAATTAAAAAAAAAAATTAAAATCTCTCAAAATCAATAACATGGTGCAATTTAGATGATGTAATATTTTTAATATCTATTTATTAATAACCACTTTGTATCAAGTCCTAATCTTTGACTAATTTCATAAATTGAAATACATGGACATCAATATGTCGAGAAAAACAATTAGAAACCTATATACACGAATAATACTGAATTAAAGCATTACATTAACATATAATTCGTGATCCTATATCAAGTGTAAAATTAAAATTTACAAATAAAATATAATATAAATCTAAACCTAATATATTCAAATTTTACTCAAATAAAGACATTCGAATATTCAATTCCAACTCACCATGCTCCAAACACAAATTTTTTTAAATTTATACACAGTTTTTTTTTTTCTTTATTTTATTAAATCTATAATTTATAAAATAGTTAATATAAAAAATTGATATAAAGTAATAAATAATTAATAAAATAATATACTTGAAATAATAGTAATCTAATATTTGAAAAAAAACAAAAATAATAAAAAAAGGAAAAACGCAAATAACGCACCTTTTTATCAGCACTCCACGTCCAAAGCTTGTTAAAAAAAAGAAGAAAGCTAGATACGAATCATACGATACGAAGCAAACCCTAATGGATACTTTTGAAATCGCATTCTAGGGCTTATGGTGTTTGTATAGATTGAATTGCTGCAAAGGGCAACCGCACTACGGAGGGCTTCAACTCTGAGCTATCAATTTTGCTGCGGACTGATTTCAATTTGTAAGTTGCGTCGTCGATTGAGTTTACGCGTTTTAGTGGCGGTTCTTCTTTTCAAAAAAATGATTTCAATTCTGCGCAGAAATATTACCTGCTTGTTCACGAATTATGCTTCGACCCACAGTATATATCGCGCTGTTTATCTCCGCCTTTTCTCTACTTCGAATGAAGAAGAGTACGCTAGTTCTGCTGCAATTTTTGATTTATTGCGGCACAAGCACCAACTTTCGGCCGAAGTGGCCACTAAAGCTGCCTCTGTTTTGAATCGAGTGAAAGATCTGGATCAGTGCGATTCGATACTGTCATTTCTGACAAAGAGTGGATTTTCAAATGCTCAAGTGGAGAAAATTGTCGAGTCCAGGGCTGTGTTGCTCTTTGCTAGCCTTGAGGATTCAGTTAAACCCAAAATTAGGGTTTTCCAGGGCATGGGGTTTTGTTCTGAGGATATTGCCAGGATAATCTCAACCAATCCTAAGCTTTTGCATTCAAATTTGAATAGTAGAGTAGTTCCTTTGTTATCGATGGTAAAGAGCTTAGTAACAGACGAAGATGCTATTGCCAAGTTTGGGAGGAGATCTGGGTGGTCATTAACCTGTGACTTGAAAAGGTCTATACTTCCCAATATTGAGATCTTGAAGAGCTGCGGTGTACCTATGGAACGCATCATTAAACTCATGTATACATATCCAAGATGTATGATGTTGAAGCCAGAAAGGTTTAGGATGTCTGTCGAAAGGGCTGAGGAAATGGGGGCTAATAGAAACTCCAAAATGTTCATTTATGCTCTTCGAGTGGTATCTCAAATGTCTGCAAAGACTTTGGAGCTCAAATTGCAGGGTTTACGGGATTGTGGATTTACAGAAAGTGAAATAACAGCAATATTTCAGAAGGCACCATCTGTGTTTTGTTTATCCGTGGATGGGGTGAAGAGAACCAAAGATTTTGTTCTTTCTAATGGAAAGTATGATACGAGATGCATTGTTAATAGCCCGACAATACTGACGGGCAACCTAGAGAAAAGGTTTAAACCACGGTTTCAGATTTTAGAAAAATTGGAAGCTAAGAAACTGATTAAAAGGTGGCCCTCTTTGTCTACACTCCACCAGCTTCCGGATGAAAAGTTTTACGAGACTTTTGTTGGCCCTTATCTAAGTGAACTCAACAATGGAAAGAGTTCCATTGACGTCAACAAAGACAATGAAGTTAAAGCAATTGGATAGAGAAATCGATTTTACTTTCAAGTGATTTGGGGCTATTTTGATGGCTTGCACCTGTTGAAGCTAGAAGGTCAGTTTTCAGTGTTTACTTTATTTAGTGTTATTTGTATATGTTAATTCCTTTAAACATGATTTTAGTTTCATATAAATTCTGATGTCCCTTGAATACTATTCTTTTTTACCAATCTTTCTTTAGGATAATCTGTCATGTGACTGCAATAAATTTTGTGATTATCGTTTTGTTTCATTGGGCTTGACTATTGTTATTTGTTAGTGTTCTTTTTCTAACCTGGTGCCCTTTAGCTTGTTTTGAATTCTTGTTAGGACTTGACAATATTTGGTAGTATCTTGGTTTTCGATTCTTTGGGAACTAGAGGTTTTAAGTCAGGGCATCAAACTGCTATAGATGTGGGGCGGTAATGAGTTTATTTTTCGGGTGGTTGGTGTTGGAAGATGTTTTTATTGTTTGTCTGTGAAATATGTGTTTGTTTTGTGAGAATGTTGGAGAATTTTTTTTTTTTAATCTGAGGTATAGAGAATCCGGGAAATATAAAAATAGTAAATGTGTGTAGTTTATTAATATTTTTGAGAAAATGTGAGGGAAAAAGAAAACTTGGAAGAACAGAGCCATTGAAAAGACTGTTTTATTGATAGATTCAGTGACCTGACTGAAAAAATGTGAATTCGTAGTCGACCAAGGGCTTGTTTACTATAGAGGATAGGATATGATTATACTCCCTGTGCTCAGCGTCTATTTTAAAAATATATATATTTTTTAGTGCAAATTTAAGGAATAATAATATTAATTGTGACAAGCTTAAAGTAATGTAAAAATAAATTTGTTTTTTTTTTTTAAATAATGATGTAAAAGGTAAATAGAGGTATTTATAAAAAAAAGTAGAGTCATAGCAAAAGTTACTAAAATAAAGGAAATAATTAGTTTGCAATTAGACTTTCTAACATAAAAATAAATAAATATATATACTTTGTTGTGGAAAATAATTGAGCAAACAAACCCAATTTATTTTTTACAATTTTTTGATTTTTCTATTTATAAAACAATTTATTTTTGTTTATATATATTTTAATTTTGTAATTTACATTTATAATAACTTATATCTTTATTGATATATTTAATTTTTATTGATACTTATAGGGTGTGTTTGTTTGGGGGTTTGAATTTTGAATTGAAATTTGAATAGTAAAATTTTTGAATTGGAATAGTTGTATGATGTGATATAAATAAGGTGTTGATGTGATATTTTGAATATAAAATTAATTTTTAGTATAATATAAAAAATGAAAAATAGATGTTTCGATTTGATGTTTTTTGAGGGAAAAAATTGAATGAATAGTACTCCATCCGTCTCAAATAAGGTGCAATATTTGTTTTGGGCACGAGTTTTTAGGTGTGTAGTATTAAGTATGATAATTTAGAAATTAGGTGATGTGATGGAGAGATAAATGTATATTTTTTTTTTTTTTATTTGGGTGATGTGATGGATAAAGTGTGGGGGAGAGATTAAGTATAATTAATTATTTTATATTTTGGAAATATTGCAGGGTGTTTGAGACATACCAAAAAGAAAATGTTATACGGTGTTTGAGAAGAAGGGATTAGAAATTTAAGAAAATCCCCAAAAGAACACACCCGTAGTTAATTAGTTCTGTATAATTATGATAAAATTATTATAAATTTTAATTTATTGTATAATATGTTTACTATTAGGGTGTGTTTGTTTGGGGGTTTGGATTTTGAATTGGGATTTGAATAGTAAAAATTTTGAACTTGAATAGTTGTATGATGTGATATAAATAGGGTTTGATGTGATGTTTTGAATGTAAAATTGATTTTTAGTATAATATAAAAAATGAAAAATAGGTGTTTGATTTGATGTTTTTGGGGGGAAAAAATTGGATGAACAGTGAAAATCTACCAAAATCCTTCAAACAAACACACCCTTAGTATAGAAATTTGTTATAAAATAAATATTTAAAAATAATAAAATATTAAATTGTTATTAATAATTTAAATAATTCTATAAAATAGTAATGTAAAGGAATATTTTCTATAAAAACAAAAGATAAGTATAACTGAAAATAAATTGCTATAGTAAATCCAAAAATAAAATAATGTTGGGAAGATCTTTCCGGCAAATCAATGTGGTTTTTATCATCAAAAGTTTATTAGGCTGTAGGTTGTGGACTTTTACACGACTTTTTATTATTCAGAATTTTTCTCTTTTAAAAATATTACATTAAACAGTTATTTTTATAATATTTCAATAGTTATTTAAATATATTGATTGTGTCTATTAGTTTACCATTCTTTCTTGTTTCAGCTAATTTTTGGTAATAAATGTTTAAAAAGTGTATTAAAATAGTAATTATTATTTAATAAAAATAATTATAGATTAAGATTAAAATTATTAAATAGTTTATTTAAAATAAATAAAATATAAATTATAAAATTTAAAATACAATTAAAATTTAAAGAACCAATTATTAAAACTTCGCATTGTAAGGAAGCACGTATCTTTTAAAATTCAAAATCAAAATTTTACAACGAAACACACTAGTTGCTTACAAGAAATAGTCATAAGTTTTGTGATAAGAATATAATATAAGTATTATATACTCCTATATTTGTTTGATTAAATAAACAAATCCAAAAAATAAAATAAATATCAATTTAATATTTCCTCCATTTCGCAAAATTCATTTTTTTTTTCTCTTTCCCAAAAAAATAATCACTTTTTATTTTTAAATAATTTATCAATATTAAATATTTGAAAAAAAATAAATCAATTTAATTTTAAATTTATAACGGCACCTAGATTCACTCATGTTTATTTCTATCTATCTCTTCAATTAACTATATCTTTATTTACTTTCAAAATTCATTATTTTTTTTATAAAATCAATTTATGATAATATATAAATAAATAAACAAATAAATAAATATTTTATTTATTTTTATTGTATAAAATTTTATTCTTATTATATACTCATTCCGTCCATAACAAGGTATTTATTTACTTTTTGCATGTTGATATTTGAATATTAATTATTATATCAAATCGTATTACAAATAAAGAGAAAATGACAAAAATACTTCTATTAGTATCTTATAATACTAATATAATGATATTTGTATAAAAAATTATACAAATATAAAAATATTTTCAATGTTAAGTACAATACAAAAGACAAATAAATATTTTGTTTTTATAGAAATATAATATTAAAGGTATTTAAATACATAATTTAAATTTTTTTAAATTATTAAATAATTAATATTTATAGTCTAACTAACTAATCTATGGTGCCTAAATTTGCCTGACCAAATAGAAAAAAATTCTCTCTCCCAAGAAAGAAGTATTTTTAAAAAATAATTAAATAAATAATAAAAAACTATCAAAAATACCCCACTAGCTAACAAAGATATACTCCCTCCGTCCACAAAAAACGTATACAATTACTTTTGACGCGGTGTTTAAGAAATAAATAGTATTTTAATTATAGTGGAAAGGTAGTGTAATGACATTTTTGCCCTTATTTTTTGGTGTAAAAGTAACGATGTGATGTAAAGTAGGGGTATTTGTGGAAAAAAATAAGGTATTTAATGAAATGTTTACTTTGTAATTGGACGTCCCAAACTAGAAACATGTATACTTTCTAGCTGGACGGAGGGAGTATTCTTTAATAAAATTTTAATATTTTTTACTATACATCATTTTTTTAAAAAAAAATATAAAAAAAAATATTTATTTTTTATTTATATATTATTATAAAAAATAATTTTATATTAAAAATATCACTTGTAATTATATTTTAAAATCTTTATTATTCAAATTCTAAAAAAAATTGTTATAGTCAAGAAACACCCAAAACAGAGAAACGGGTAAGGGTGGTCTAAAACGTCGAAGTCAAGAAAATTATTATAGAAGGAAAATAGAAAACAGAAGGTTTAATGGCATTTGGAATATGCGAATACCGAAACGTGTTTGACTCTTCAGTTCCTCACTGCTCCGCGCGGCAATTTTCCATTTTCCTCTTTCCTGCTACCGGAGAAGAGAATGAAGATCTCAAGAAGACGATGAGATAGCAGAAGCAACCTAAACCCCCACCCAGAAAATAAAATTAAAATGAGAGCGGAGACGCTAACCCTGGTGCTGGTAAATCTAGCTGGAATCATGGAAAGAGCGGACGAATCGTTGCTTCCGGGAGTCTACAAAGAGGTTGGGGAAGCGCTCCACGCCGGCCCCACCGGCCTCGGCTTCCTCACACTTTTTAGATCCATGGTGCAGGCCGTTTGCTACCCCTTGGCGGCTTATCTCGCAGCTCGACATAATCGGGCCCGAATCATCGCTTATGGCGCATTTCTCTGGTCTGCCGCCACCTTCCTCGTCGCCTTCTCTTCCTCGTTTTTCCAGGTGAAACCCTAATTTTATTTCATTACTACTTTGTTTTCTTTACTGTGAAAATGATTGGCTAATTTGGATTGGATGGGTATGCTTGCGTTGCGTTGCGGATGCAACAATTGTCGTGAAATTTAGCATTTGGATAAGCATTTCTATAAATATTTGATGAAGATGTTTCTCAATAGGAGAGTGGAAGGTGCACATTTAGAGGCTGAAAAGCTTCTATATCTATGACATGTTCTAGGCTAGGCTAGGAATTATATTTCAGAAATTCTGATGAAATTTTTGGGGAATGTTTGAACCAACTTGGATTTCAATATTGAGAAAACTTGCAAATATTTGCAAAAATTTGGTAAATTTTAAGTGATAACAAATCCAATGCTATCCATCCAATTTTTTTTGTGTTGGATAATGAGTTATTTATTTATCCATCCAATGCAAACCAAATTGTGCGCCCTAAGTTAAATCTGGTATATGGCCTAAGTGGTAGTATTATTTGGATAAAATATTATCCGTTGGATGGGATTATTATAATCTCAAACAGAAGATTTTAAATTAAAATAAATTACAATCGTTTCAAATGGAAGGTTTGAAATTAGACTAAATTACTATAGTCACAAACGGAAAGTTTGTTATTAGAATCAATTACGACCGCTTTAAACGGAAGGTTTGAATTTAGAATAAATTAAATATGTAATTAAGGTCGTAATTATAATCGTAATTGATCCTCTGTCATTTTGGCCGAGTGGGCCTTCATTCTAAACACACCAACAACTCTGTCTTCCTTCTTTCATCTCTTTTAGCTTTCCATCAACCTCCCTAGCTTAGTTCTTTCCTCGCTTTGTTTGTCGGAGCTCCAATGATCAGAGGTGTCACTCTAATTGGGGACGGAAACTGATTTATCTTTGTGTTAGAACATCAGCCACTTGAGACACTATCGGGGCGTATCTAATTTTAAGAAAGAGGATTCATCCTCCACTCGGTTTCACGGTAAATTTTATTATCACAATACCCATTTAAACTAACAATCGAAAATTAGATACTACTTTGCGAGAATGTTAACCCCTGTTGGAGTCTCCGGAGCCTTCGCCGCCGCTAAAGTCGCCAAAGCAGAAGTCAAGGTGGCTTTTCCACTTAGGTTAGTTCCCTTTATGGGTAGCCCTATGTTTTCTGGATTTTCCCCATGAGATGTGGGGGCATTCTTGGGTTTGTGACCGCACCCTCTACCTTCGCGATCCAAACTGTTGATCCTGGTCTTGGCCCACGGATGATGGCCCATGTACAAGATCTACAACTATTTACTGTAGTGGACTTTAAGAGGTGAAGAAGATGCTCTTCTAGCTGACTGCGATTAGGTTTGCCATGTTCGTGTTGCACGATGACCCAATTACTCCAGAGCCCGGTGCGGACCAACAGACGCATGCGAATTATGCATCGTGGGTACGTAGAGACTACATGACAAGAAATACCCTATTAGATAGTTTCTCTAATTCTTTTTATAATGTATATTGTAAAATAAAAAGTGCGAAAGGGTTGTGGAATGCCCTTGAGAAAAAATATAAGTCCGAGAATGCCGGGTCTAACAAGTGTATTGTAAATATTTGTTGTGGTCCGGTTTATAGACTATAAGATAGTAGATGACAAGTATGTCATCGAACAAGTGGAAGAATTTCAACACATTGTTCACTTTGTTATCGACGAAGAGATGCCACTACCAGAAAAGTTCATCACGAGTGTGATGATCGAGAAATTGCCCCCGAGTTGGAGCAACTTCAAGCACGGGCTGAAACATGAGCTAAAGCAAATGGAGCTTGAAGATCTGATTGTCCGAATCCGGATAGAAGAGGTCAACAGAAAGCAACACAAAGCGGAGATTTGCTAAAGCCAACTTGGTCGGAGATCCCTGATAACTAAAATTTGTAATTGTTTCTATGTGTATACATTCACAGGGAATTTCATTCGAAGAAAATAATGTGGTGAATTATAGAAAGTGGGCAGATATGATAAACATTTGTGGTTGTAGACCCTGAGTAGTCATCATAATTATTTATACTCTTTAACTGATGAGTTTACAGGTCGAACGCAGGGATTTTAAGTCATGAATTTCAAATCAAGTGCAGATCTTGTAAAAACGGCGGGAAATGCAGTAAGGGAACCGCTTGCAGCGGATCAAATTCTACGGAAAGTGGTAAGAGAAAGCGGTAAAGTTTTGTGAAGGCAAGCGGAGCGGAGGTGAGCGGTAGGGTGCCAGTGATGGTCGAGCGAGCGGGACGTGAGCGGATGACACAATGTATATATGTATATATATTTAAGCGATAAAGAGTGAATGAGAGGTGTTGTGTCTGAACTGTGAGTTACTTAATGACTAGATTTTCCTGGATGAAATGAGCGAGTTGTGATAGTGTTTAAATGGACATATATGTATAATACAGAAGCGGGAGAAGGAGATGATGTAAATATATAAACCAGATTATAGAAAATCCTTATCACTGGTATTTGACCGGATTTACAACAAGATTTCAACGACACCCAATTGGAACATTATAAGAAAGAAACCCTATTGTCACTAGGAATTTCTGCGACCTAATAGACCACCGCTTATGCCCTATTAATTATCCCAAATTCTGCCTCATTAGTGGCTTTACCATTCTGTTACCTCTTTTTAATCAAAATTGAATTCAAACCAGTAGTTAAGCAGGTCGACAAGGCTCCCGCGTACTTAACTACATTGAACTACATTGAAAATGCTTGTGGCAAAAGACAAGGCTTAGATAAACAATTCTTCTGTGCTCTAAACTAGTGAGACGAAATTCTTTACAATCAAGATTTATATAAGTATGAAAAAGTATGAAAGAATTGGGGATGAAAAATTGAATGATATTACATTACTTACTAGTAAAGCTGGAAGTTCTAACTCTACAAAACTGTAAACGAAAGCAATTAAACTACATTAAGCAAACAGTAAAATATTGGCCAAGGGAGAAGGGGAATCCCCACTCCTTTGGCCATTCATGCGAAGAACTCCCTTACAGGGTCTGAGCTCTCAGAGAACAGAAAGACAACTAGAATGCACAGAAAATTAATCGCTAGTATACTCCAGTCGAAGTATATCTACATACAGATATCTGGTCCTATTTATATTAAGTAGAAGTAGCGGTTACAAGCAGTTATAAAGTGGTTTTAACCGCTAGGCAGTTAGGCAGTTGATGACGGTTATTCTGTTGAGGCAGTTGTTGGTCATAACTCCCAGTGTGCTCGCTCTGCTTGTATGGATTTGTAAGGGCTCAGATCTTCCTTGCTTGCCGGATGGCTGGAGGGTATCAGCGCAGCTAGGCGGGCTTGCTTGTGCTGGCCGGTAATGGAATGGTTGTACCGCTGCAGTTGGGACACTTAGTCAATATTTGAGTTGGGTTGCTGTCACTCTGCAGCGGTGGGTGTCTGGGCCGTCGCTTGTGAGCGGGAGAGACTGCCGCTTGTGAGCGATGGAAGCTACCGCTTGCCTCTCTTGCCTTAGTTTTCTGGGTGATGGGATCACCGCTTGCGAGCGGAGATGGCTATCGCTTGTGGCGTCTGCCTTAGCTTTTCTGGTAACAAAACACCTCTTAAAAGGGCAAAAATCGTTAATAATCTCAACAAACCAACTTTGGATCATGCCAAGTGATATAGATCAATAAAATATGCCATTAATCACCTATTGTGATGGTTTTTATACAGAAATTCAAGTAATACGTAGTTTTGTCAAGTTAAGAATATGCTTATATTTGGGGTCATCAATCCCTTCAAAAGACGCGCACGGCCAACTCAAACGGACACGGACAAAAGCAAACAGTCCAAGTTTACAGGTAACTGTTTTAATTGTGGTGAAACAGGACACCAGATTAAGAACTGCAAGGTACCGAAAAAGAAGAAACCGATTTCCCAAGTGGTCGAGACGAGCTACCAGACTGATCTCAATAGTGACGACCTTGTCGGTGTTGTGTACGAACCAAATAATGTGGAAAATCCGAGAGCTTGGTGTGTTGACACCGGATCAACCTGCCATGTTTGCTCCGACAAAACAAACTTCTCGACCTACAATAAGACCAAAGAGAGGAAATTGCACATGGGAAATGATGAATGCCTTATTGATAAATTCATGACTTCCCCAAAACTTATGGGAGGAGGCAGTAATGACGGCAAATTATATCTTGAACAAAATTCCACTTAAGGGTAAGGATGTTACCACTTATGAACTATGGAAAGGTAAGAAACCCACATACAAATACCTCAAAGTGTGGGGGTGCCTAGCAAAAGTGGAAATTCCGCCTCCAAAGCAAGTCCCTATCGGCCCAAAAACGGTAGATTGCACATTTATCGGATACGCATTAAATAGTATTGCTTATTGTTTCATAGTTCATAAATCGGATATCCTTAGGATGGCCGAAGGAACTACAATAGAATCAATGAATGCCAAATTTTTTGAAAATATATATTCTTGTAAGGAAATGATACAATCCAACCTAAAACCTGTAGATGAAGAACTACAGGTAAAGAGACAAACAACTAGTAGCCCTGATCAAGAGGTTTTAGAATCTAGGCGTAGCAAAAGGTCAAGGGTCGAGAAAACCTTTGGTCCAGATTTTATTACGTATATGTTGGACAATGATCCAACAACGATCAAGGAAGCACTATTTAGTCCTGATGCTCTATTCTAGAAGGGAGCAACAAACAGTGAAATAGACTCAATAATGCAAAATAACACTTGGGTGTTATTTGACCAACCCAAAGGCTGTAAACCACGACGGTTCAAATAGGTATTGAAAAGGAAACTCAAGGCTGATGGGTCTAGTGGTAAATACAAATCCCGTCTCGTAGTAAAAGGCTAAAGACAAACCAAAGGGTTTGACTTCTTCGACATATATTCACTAGTAACTAGATAACATCCATTCGAGTGCTTCTTTCAATTGCGTCTTTGAACAATCTTGAGATTCACCCAATGGATGTGAAGGCTGCTTTTCTAATTTGTGAATTAGAAGAAGAGGTATATATGGAACAACCGGAAGGATATGTCGTTCCTGACCAAGAGAAAAAGGTGTGCAAACTGATAAAGTCTTTGTACGGATTGAAACAAGCATATGTACAATGTCACTTAAGATTTGATAATGTCATGTTATCAAATGGTTTTAATATAAACGAGTGTGACAAGTGTGTCTACATTAAAGAAACACCTTCCGGTTTTATCATAATCTGTCTATTTGTAGACGACCTACTGATCATGGCTAAAGAGGTCAGTCTGATCAATGAAATCAAATGCATGTTGATTCGTAACTTCTATATGAAAGATTTAAGGCTAGCCGACGTCATCCTTGGAATGAAGATTCTAAGACAAGACGAAGGTATTGATCTGACTCAGTCCCACTATGTTGAAAAGATATTGAGAAAATTCAATGCCTACGACAACACTCCATTGAAAACCCCAATAGACCTCGGCATACACTTTAGCAAGAATAGAAGAGACCCCGTAGCTCAAGAACACTATGCCAAAATTATTGGAAGCCTAATGTACTTAACAAATTGTACAAGGTCTGACCTGGCTAGCAACCCCAGTCATGAACACTGGAAAACGCTAGTAAGAGTATTAAATTATCTTAAATTTACTCAGAATTTTGGCATATACTACGCGAAATAGCCACCAGTACTCAAAGGTACTGCGATGCCAATTGAATGTCCGATGCAAAAGACTCACTGTTTATAAGTGGATATGCATTGCACGGTCCACAATGGAATCGGAGTTCATCGCCTTGGACAAAGCTGACGAATAAGCCGAATAGCTGAGGAATTTTATGGATGATATTCTACACTGGATTAAATCAGTACATCTCATAATGATTCAATACGATAGCCAAGCTGCCATTGTAAGGGCTAAGTATGAAATTTACAACGGTAAATCCCGATATATCCGACGTAGACATAACACTGTAAGGCATTTGATCACCAATGGGGTTTTGACTATCGAATATGTAAAATCAATAGAAAACCTAGCAGATCCACTAACCAAATGGTTACAGAGAGATCAAATATACAAACTGCTAAAGGGAACAGCAGACAGTTACAGTGGTAACCTAATCAAATCACTTGGAAATCTCAAGCCTTGGTTCAATGGGAAAACTAAGCTGTGTGAGTCCGACACGAACACTCAATTACAATTCCATGAAAGACAATGAGTGTTATAATGTGCAAAAGTTGTGAGGTTGAGTTAATGACTTTTAATGATCCTAAAGGTATGAGTGGATACCTTGAAATAGGATTACCTATATATAAGTGTGAAGTGTGGGCCGCTTCAAACGAAACACTTATGAATCCAAAGACGAGATCTATGGCCAAAATGGATCAAAATGTGAGAACAAAGTTGAGACTGAAATAGCGACACATTAATATTATTGACTAAGTGCACGTAGACGTGGAACAATTCAATGCATCACGTCAACTGGACCACCAGTACACTCTGTAATGTTGACAATGGAAGGTTCAAAGCCAAAAACTACATGTCCTGATGTGTCAATGTCTCACGGGGATTGAGCTGGGCTTCTGTCATTTATGGGCATTTTCACTCATGTGGGGAATTGTTGGATAATCGGTTATTTTGCAACTTATTAATTTGGTAAGTGAAAATGTGACTGGTCGGTGTACCAAAAGTAATTAGATTACTTTGGAAGAAATAAATAAATATTTATTTATTTATTTGTATATGGGATTCGGTTAATATTTTGGCTATTTTGTTTATTTCGACCGCTTCAAACGGAAGGTTTGAATTTGGAATAAATTAAATCTGTAATTAAGGTCGTAATTATGATCGTAATTGATCCCCTGCTATTTTTGCCGAATGGAGACGCCTATATAAAAGGCCTCCCTCTTCATTCTAAACACACCAACAATTTTCTCCCCATTCTCTCATCTCTTCTAGCTTTCCGGCAACTTCTCCAACTCAGTTTTTCCCTCGCTTTGTTCGCCGAAGCTCCAACAATCAGAGGTGTTACTCTCATTAGAAACGGAAACCGTTTTATCTTTGGGTTAGAACGCTAGCCACCGGAAGTACTACAAGGCGTATCTAATTTTCGGAAAGAGGATCCATCATCGACTCGGTTTTACGGTAGATTTTATTATCGCAATACCTATTTAAACTAACATATAGTTTGTACTGAGTAACATGTGGACATAAGATTAATGTAAATCTTTAATGTAACTGTGAATACATTATGTGGGCATTTTTTATAATTTCATTTTCTTAATAAATGCTATGTGGACAGGCTGAATTTGTTTATTATGAATTCATACAATTCAAAATAAAATATTATTGAGCTTTTTATTGAGAGTATAGTTGAACATAAAAGAAAATATGGTTGGTGTAATTGGTTTATTAGGAGTTTATATTGATATAGGAAAAAAATAAATAATAAAAAAGTTTTCGCTTTGTGTTTTTGGATGGATGTGTTTTTTATGTTAAATAGGGAGAATTGGGTTAATAATATAAAAAATAATATTTTGTGTTGAATTATTAATTTTTTGTGAGCGAAAAAAATATATATGTGTTAATGTGTGTATATTAATTTTTTATAATAATATTTATGAGGAATTGTACCAACTAAAATTTCTAAGGAACAAACACCTACTTTCTTAAGCTTGTACAAATAATAATTTATTTATTTTTATAGTGTTTACACTTTTCCTATATATATATATATGTATATGCTTTGGATTTTTTGGGGGTTATGAGCTACTTAGGGTGTTTGTTTGGGGGTTTGGATTTTGGATTGAGATTTGAATAGTAAAAATTTTGAATGTGAATAGTTGTATGATGTGATATAAATAGACGTTGATGTGATGTTTTGAATGTAAATTTGATTTTTAGTATAATATAAAAAATAAAAAATATGTGTTTGATGTGATGTATTTTAAGGGGAAAAATATTATGAATAGTGAAGTTTGGGGAAAATCCCCCAAACAAACACGCAATGTCTTACGTAAAAATTTAATAAGAATGCGCCCAACTTAATTGACATCAATTCGGGTGTGATGCATGATCTATAAAATTTGCTTTCCATATAACAAGATAGTAAGTTGATAGGACTTTTTTGACTTAAGGATGCAATGATATTAACTCACCTACTTTTCTTTCTATTGTGTGTTAATCGCTATCTGAAAATTTTTACTAGAAGGCTATCGATTAGGAGAATCATGCAATCCTTGTATAGTGTGGGCGGATCCTAAGCTATCCTTTTATAGTAATTATTATAAGGAAGCTAATGTATATATTTCCTCCGGCGGAACTGTTTTAGCAGCTTTGCATCAATTGCTTGTTTGTGCTCATGCATAGGCAATATAAATGATTAGATAAGGTGACGTGAAAATGATGCTACTGTATGTTTTTGGTGCAGTCTCTTCAAACTTGGAAAACCGAAGATCTAATCTGTCCTACGGCTTTGCAGTTGCCTGTGTAAATTTTTAAATCTTATCTCCCAGGTAGCCGTGTCAAGAGCTTTGAACGGGATTGGCCTTGCCATTGTTGCTCCTGCAATCCAATCCCTTGTAGCCGACTCAACAGATGATGGAAACCGTGGCATGGCTTTTGGGTGGTTGCAGCTCACCAGCAACCTTGGGGCTATCATTGGTGGATTATTCTCGTTATTGATAGCCCCGCATACATTTCTGGGGATTCCCGGCTGGAGAGTTTCCTTCCATCTAGTCGCCATTGTTAGCATAATTGTGGGCATTCTAGTCAGGATATTCGCTACTGACCCTCACATTGACAATGGAACGATTAATGAAGCCTCTTCCTCCAAGTCATTCAAGTTGGACATACACAATCTTTTAAATGAATCAAAATTAGTAATGAGAATCCCATCTTTTCAAATTATTGTAGCTCAAGGTGTCACCGGTTCGTTTCCTTGGTCGGCGTTGTCATTTGCTCCAATGTGGTTAGAACTCACTGGTTTCTCCCACGAGAAGACTGCTGTCCTTATAGGCATGTTTGTTATCGGGAACTCTCTTGGTGGTCTATTTGGTGGTAGGATGGGCGATTTCCTGGCAAAGCGCCACCCTAATTCTGGCCGGATAATTTTGTCTCAGTTAAGCTCTGGATCAGGTATTCCACTTGCAGCAATTCTCTTACTTGCTGTGCCAGGAGATCCCTCGACGCCGCTCCTGCATGGTCTGCTGCTCTTTGTCACGGGCTTTTTCATATCTTGGAATGCTCCGGCCACAAACAAGTAAGTACATTCCCCTTTACTCGTTTATTCCCTTTATTAGTTTTCGCCTTTTTATTGGTGTTTGTTTCTCTAAAAATGTTGAACTACATGACTTTTAGGCCCTGTTTGCACTCTTTAAATATTAGGAGAGTATTTGCAGATTGTGATTTTTTGTTTTAATTGCTTAAGAAGAATAGGTTTCGCCTAGAAACGGGAAGCACTCCTCAAAAAGTGCTTTCCATGGCTTCTTGATTTTTGAATAAAATAATTGTATTCTGAAAATTTGTAAAGTTTTAGTATAACATATGTATATATTGTAATTAATACCCATCTCCTTTGTACAATGTCTTTTACTATAGATTTTAAGAGAAAAATATCCATATCCAGAAATGATCATTTATTTTACTTGTCATCGACTAATGGTTTTAATTCTAAGCATGACACTCACATGTACATTTTAGACTGTATATAAAATGGTAAGGGATGTTACCGTTCTAAAATTTCATATTTTCTGAACTTTTAATTATGATTTTCTTTTTTTAAGAAAATAAAATCCAAATACCACCCTTTTTTTAATGATTATGAGTTTATAGGCTAACAATTGTTCTAATTCTAGAAGTTTTGGCTTTTTGCAAAGGTACCCATAATCAAATTGTGTTTGTTCAATGATAACAATGAACTTCTTTGGTGATATATTCTATTGTGATGTGGAATGTGGTAATGGAATTGCACTAGACAGTCCAATTTTTGCAGAGATCGTCCCAGAGAAATCCCGAACAAGTATATATGCATTAGACAGATCCTTTGAATCCATATTGTCATCATTTGCTCCTCCCACAGTTGGACTATTGGCTCAATACGTCTATGGATATAAACCAGTTCCGGAAGGCACCCAAGATATTTCTACCGACAGAGAGAATGCTGCATCTTTAGCCAAGTCTCTTTTTGCAGCTATAGCCATCCCAATGGCACTATGCTGTGTCATTTATTCATTCCTCTATGTCACATATCCAAGAGATAGAGAGCGAGCTCGAATGGAAGCTACCATAGCATCAGAGATGGAACTCATTGAATCAAACTCTCCGGTCCTTATGGGGATTCAATCAAGTGAAGCAAAAGAACTTAACCTGACCATTGATGACGATGCATCTGATTACGAGGAAAGTGATGAAAGGACATTGATTCATCATAAGGTAATATAAGCATCCTTGTGTATTAAGGAGTTGTTTCTTTTTTGTGATCAACTTAGTTTTATACTACCTCCGTCCCGGAAGAAAAGAAACTTTTGTTTTTTGTACGTAGATTTTTTAATATTAGTATTATATTGGTTTAGAGTGAAAAAAGACAAAAATGCCTCTATTAGATTGTATGATATAAAAGTAATGACATTTGTGTAATATATTGGAAGTTGTAAGGGTATTAATTATGTTAGATAGGTAGTACAATTACTAAATAAGAAAATGGTATCCTTTGGGACGGACAAAAATGAAAAATGGTATTCTTTTTATGGGATGGAGGGAGTATTACTAATTAATCATACATTATAAAGTATAAACAAAGCCTAAAGGTTTTATAATGTTGCCCTGCTATGGCGAACAACAGGTACACATTCATCGTTGTATAGATATATACTTAGGGTGTGTTTGTTTGGGGGTTTGGATTTTGAGTTGGGATTTGAATTTCAAAAATTTTGAATTATAATAGTTGTATGATGTAATATAAATAAATCTTGATGCGTAAAATTATTTTTTAGTATAAGAAATTGAAAAATAAGTATTTGATTTTATGTTTTTGGGAAAAAATAATTGGATGAATAGTACTAAACGAATACACCTTTAGTGTTGTTGAATTGCTCGGTTCATTGGCGAAACTAACTGAGTAGGCTGTGATCATGTTGCTTAGTGGATGGTTACCTACACAGGTTTAAACATTCTTGTTAAGATGGTTCGGGTGAAGCTGTTAACGCCGAGCTGATTTCAGGTATGCTTTTCTTGCATTGATCTGCTGTAGTAAAATTTACTTTTAGATGTGCCATTTGAAGTTTTTGATTCATTTGAAAATAGTTAAAGTTGAAAGAAATAAATGTATAATAGTGACATAAATTGCTGAATAGTTGATATTTATATGACAATATGAGTATAGCTTCGTTTTAATCATCTCTATCTTCTATCTGTAAATTTTCAAGAATATACAGAGTTTGTCTTAGTTGTTTATTTTTATCTATGCCTTACAGATTTAGCTGTTTCTATTTAATTTTGTCGTATGTTTTTTTTTTTTTTTTTTTTTTTTATGACGTACTAAACCGCACGCTTTTAAATAAACTCTTGATCGAATATAAACTCTTGAAAGAAAGATCGGATTGATTTCATTTAACAAACATGCTGAAAATAATAATTATGTTGCTTAATAAAAATGTTATACAATTTTCAACATACAAACATATATTTATATTGAAAATTTTAAAAATGAAATAAAATATATTGACAGTATAAGTATTAATTTGGAGCCTACGAGGACAAACAAACATTTTTATTTTTTTAGCAGTTGCAAATTAAGTTCTAAAAGACAAGTCACATTAAGCAAATATGTGTGGCAGGTAAGACCAAAATGCAGTATTATAAAAACAAACATATTTTTTTTAATATGCATTTTGATCAAGTACTCTTTATATGTTTTGGATTAAAAAATATTTTAATATAAAATATTATACTGAGTACCATATTTTTAAATGATAATATTATAAAATAAAAACAAAACATAAATATATTTTTGTAATAAACAATAATATTGAAAGTTGTATATTTAAAAAACAATTTATTTATACTGCTTTGTAATTAAAAAAAAAAAACAAAAAAAAAACATATTAATAAAACAAGTGCTTCTAGTTATTTTGAACTTTGGACTGAGCCCAATATAAAAGTCCAAAACCCTCAATTAAAGAGCCCAATCAAATTAAGCTTAATCATATGGCCCAATTTCAGCCCGCCAAGTAAGTTTTATCTACTCTTATTCAACCCAAGTGATAGCCCTAATTCTGATTTGCTCAGAACACAACCGTGCAATTCTTTGATTCGCAGCTGCCGGAGCCGCTCCGAATAAGTTAATCCGACGAACGATGGCGGCGAAGTACGATTTGACGCAGCTTATAGCACCGCATCTGGACAGGCATCTGGTGTTCCCGCTGCTTGAGTTTTTGCAGGAGCGTGGTCTGTATGAGGATATTTTGAAGGCGAAAATTGAGCTTCTGAATCATACCAACATGGTTGATTATGCTATGGATATTCACAAGTCGCTCTACCGGTCCGACGATGTTCCGCAGGGTACGTGTTTCGATTGAAATTTCGTTACATTTTTCGAGTGGCTGCAAATATTTTAGTCGTCTCGACTGTTCAGTTTAAATCCAGCGAGAATCTTTCGATTCTGACAAAAACTTTAACCGAATTAAATTCGGGTTATAAACGATCCTGGTCGATGCGTCGACTTGGTGGAAGGTGTGAGAGAATATTGAGTGAATTTTTTTATTTTTTATATGATGACCTAGTTAGGGTTTTACTGCAAATTTTGCTCATGAATGTTAATATTTGAATTAAACCATCTTATAATTTCCTTGATTTTCTGTATGATATAGAGATGGTCGATAGGAGGGTTGAGGTCGTTGGTAGACTGAAGGCATTGGAAGAGGCTGCAGCTCCTTTGATTGCTTTTCTGCAGAATCCAAACGCTGTTCAGGAATTGAGAGCTGATAAACAGTACAATCTGCAGTTACTTAATGATCGCTATAAGGTGATGACCAAATTGCAGTTATCGTGATATGCTTACTTTCAGAACGTTTTGTATATTCAGTTACACAAACACCTTGTTTGATATACATCAGAATAAAAAAAAGTAAATAAAAAATCACATTTGCTAATTTACTTCAAGAAAACTTATAGAAGTAAAAATGCATTTACTTTTTTCAATTATTTTCTCAATTAGGTTGGGTGATTGACTAGTAAAGTGTTCTAAACAAAATCTCGAAAGGTTATGTTTCGGTCTTATGTAAATAATTAAAATTTAAGCTTAATCAAAGTTGCTGTTCAGATTGGTCCGGAGCAGATAGAAGCACTGTATCAGTATGCCAAATTCCAATTTGAATGTGGAAACTACTCTGGAGCTGCTGATTATTTGTATCAGTACCGGGCCTTGTGCCCTAACAGTGAGAGGAATTTGAGTGCATTGTGGGGGAAATTGGCTGCAGAGATACTGATGCAAAATTGGGATGTTGCATTGGAGGAGCTTAATCGATTGAAGGAAATCATCGATTCTAAGGTCGATTGATGCACTTAGTAGCTTTAACAATTATACCCTTTTTGATGTGCTAATTGAACTTACCGTGACATCTACTCCTTACAGAATTTTTCTTCACCGATGAATCAAGTGCAAAGCAGGATATGGCTAATGCACTGGAGTTTGTTCATCTTCTTCAATCATGACAACGGAAGAACACAGATAATTGACTTGTTTAATCAGGATAAGTATGACTCTGAAATAGATTATTTTTTATTTTTCCCATTCGTACTTTATTCATATATTTGGTTGTTGAAATTGATTACAAGACTTTTCACAACAGAGGTGTTTGCTATGTAGATCATCTTTTTTTATTTTCTTGTTATGTTTTTCCTTTTATTTTCATGCTTACGTAATATTGAGGGATGATTTATCTTGGTTTTCTTGGTCATATGCTTAAAAGATATTGTATGAGATATTCGATATCTTAATTTTCAACTAGTTACATTCATATGTCTCGGCATGCTGTGTGCTTACCTGGTAGTTTTCTGTTCTCTTTGCTCACACCAATTGAAAGTGTTATATTACCCACTCATCCGGCATGTTCTAATTTAAAAACGAATTCAGGTATCTGAATGCCATTCAAACAAATGCTCCCCATCTTATGCGTTATCTGGCAACTGCCTTCATTGTCAACAAACGAAGACGCCCACAATTTAAGGAATTTATAAAGGTGATCCAGCAAGAGCAGTACTCTTATGAAGATCCCATTGTACAGTTTTTGGCATGTGTCTATGTCAACTATGACTTTGACGGGGCTCAAAAAAAGATGAAAGAGTGTGAAGAAGTAAGCCCTCCTAGTTCTTTATTGCCTTGTAACTCGTGTTTTTTTGGAACTTATGGCAACAGGATAATGTGCTCAGTTTTTATTTTATATTCGTTTATATATTGCTTGGGTTCTTAAAATTGCATGAGAATTAGTTTACCAATATGCAGATCTGCTCTAGTCCAGCATTCACAAAGTTAACCAATGACTTATGTTTGAATTAGACCCGTTTGCTCTGCAGTTCCCTGGTTTTGTGTCATATTTTGTTTTCTCTTTAAATAAGTAGTCACTTTATTTTGTTACAACTGTTGCTACTAAGTTTTGTTCTCGTGTCTTATAGTTGTTTATTTTTCAATCCCGAAGAAGTTAATTTTGGCCTTCTTTAATGTAACCTTTTAAAAGCCAAGTGAATTTTATCCAATTCATTCATGGAATGGAAATTTTAATTAATTGAGAATGCTATGCTTTTTTCTTCTTTCTTTTTCTTCGAGGGAAGTAAGTATAAGCTTGTGAAATTCTAATTTTATTCTGTGGATTGATTTTGCAATTGGCCATTGTAGTATTGATCCTGTATTGCATAATTTTAGTCATCAACTCATTGAATGTAGGTTATACTGAATGATCCATTTCTTGGGAAACGAGCTGAAGACGCTAATTTGGGCACTGTGGTGGTTCCATTGAGAGACGACTTCCTTGAAAATGCTCGTCTTTTCATTTTTGAGACCTACTGTCGCATTCATCACCGCATCGACATGGGGTATGTTCCTGAAATTCTTTTGTTGTTGGAACATTAGTCCTATTAACAGTGTCGGAACACATAGTTTTCTCTTGATCTGTAAAATAGAACCCAAAGCTTTTTATAATCCAAATTCTTTACCATAACATTTTCATGTTTCATATTTGTAATCACCGTCTGAGTTACCGTTTGGCAATCTTTGTGACAGCGTTCTAGCAGAGAAGCTTAATCTGAATTACGAGGAAGCGGAGAACTGGATTGTAAATCTCATTAGGACTTCGAAGCTCGATGCTAAGATTGATTCAAAGACAGGAACTATAGTCATTGAACCCAACCACCCGAATGTGTAAGTTCTGCAAATATGAATATTCCTCATTCATGATATTCGAACAACCAAGAAAAAGCACTCTCCCCTTGTTCGTTATTACCTACTTCTTGTCTCTATGATTTATGAATCATGTTTATGGTGCAGGTACGAGCAACTCATCGATCACACTAAGGGCCTTTCCGGGAGGACTTATAAGCTCGTCAGCCAGCTTCTCGAACATGCCCAAGCACAGGCTGCTCGATGAGGCATTTGTCGATTTCACCGCCAAGTTTTTCTGTCATACTTGTGGATTGGTAGTAGTTTATATTCTTGCGCAACCTTTTACTGTTTTATGTTCGTCAGAAATTTTATTCTTGGTTTTTTGCCCTATCGCCGTCGCCGATTCTGTATTTCTGGCTTGCCATGAATGTGATGATATTTCTTCAACCTTTTCACATGTTAGTGTATTTTATTTTTATTTTTAATTTTAATTTTCTTCAACCTTCTTGTATCATGCTCGGTTGTAAGAAGGGACAAGTTGATGTTCTGATGAGTGTTGCACTGGACTGATCATAACCACTTAAACTACGTGGGAGAATTGGATTTAGGAAAACCGAATTTCAAGTTTAGGTCGAGAAATCGCACCACCTTCCGTGGACGAAAACTTACTGTTGCAACAGTGCGGGAGCTTGAGCTGAATTGAAATTCCAATTGCCGCTTGTTGGCTATTATTGAAGAGGTACACGAGAGTTGGTGATTGGTCAACGGTAATGGATCGTCGGGTTTGTATTGATCCAATTAAATAATTTTTTTATTATCGTGTTATATTAATTTTTATTGAATTATTTAAAATTAAATTTAGTTTAAATTAATTTACAATAAAATTATTAAATTTTGAGTTAAAAGCCCCAATTCTAACTCGATCCGTTTATTATCGTATTGAACTTGTGTCAATTCATATACAGACAAAAGAGAAAATTGGAAGGAAGAAGACAGGTTGGGTGTGACTGTACATTTGGAATATTTTATGCGTTTCTTTACACAAAACTTCCGATTTTTTACTAAAATTGGATGTTTACTACTTAAATTGGACGTTGTCGTTTCCCAAAAAAATATATATAATTTATTTTTTAATAAAATATTTTATCAAATATTATTTTAATTTAAAAAAAGAAAGATTTTTTTACTTCATAATTAAAGTCGCGTTTATTTGAAAAGTGTCGTTTATAAACACGATTTATGGCCATTTCTTCCTTCTCTGTAAGTAAAATTGGTGCCAGAGCAACCCTAATTCTTTTTTACTGTTCCACAAGTTCTTGGCTTTTTACTTCAAAACTAAAGTCGCGGTTTATATTTGGAAAGTGTCGTTTATAAAACAAGATTTATGGGCATCTCTTCCCTCTCTGTTCGTAACAATGGCGCCAGAGCTGAGCAACCCTAATTCGTTTTGGCACTGTATAAATTCTTTTCGTCAAAAGCACTGAGCTTGACTCCAGACTACATTAAAATTGTTCTAGAGTGTCAAACATCTGTGTAATGTACACATTTCAAGCAAGTTATTTGGTTAATATAACTTTGAATGAATCCAAAATATGTGTACACCATATGTATAGTTAACTATTAATCTTTATCAATTCAGCCATACCTCTTTTGTGCTGTTTCTAAGATAAAGAATCCAAAAGTGTTCGAGGCGGCCACCATGGAACCATGAAAGAATGCTAAAAGCAGTGTCTAACTACGAAAAGAATGCTCCGAACTGTAGAATATTCACCGGGTTATGACATCAGAGACTTTTCTAACACCAATCGATAAGCCACACAATAAAGCTACATATTGATTAGCATTGATTTACCTTCAAGAACAGTCATCACAATAGCCCCCGATAACTTGTAAACTATTGACTACACCAATCTCCAATTCTTGAATCAATTGCTCAAACTAACTTTTGTTTCTTCCTCGACACTGCCCACAGAACTCTCTATAGGATACACATTGTTGAGTTCGCTTAAATAAGGGCCAACAAATTTTTCGAAAAACTTTTCATCCGACATCAGGGAAAGCATGCTGAGAGAAGGCCATTTTTCAATAAGATTCCTACTTTCCAAAACCTGTAAAACCTTACATCGCGGCTTATACCTCTGTTCAAGGCTGTACGACAGAGCCGTAGGATATTTCCCAATGCAAGACATATCATACTTTCCAGTAGCAAGAAGAAACTCTATAGTTCTTTTTAGTCGATCCACTGAGGAAGAAAACAGAGATGGTGCCTTCTGAACTGTTGCAAGAATGTCACTCTCCGAAAATCCAAAATTCCGAAAAGCCTGCAGTTTCAGCTCCATAGTCTTGCCAGACATTTGGCTTACAGATTGAACTGTGTAAATAAACATTTGGGACTTTCGATCAGCCCCCATCTCCTCAGCCTTTTCCACAGCCTTCTTAAAAATTTTCAGGTTCAACATCATACACCTTGGAAAAGTATACATGAGTTTAATGATGCGTTCCATAGGCACACCATAGCACTTCAATAATTCGATATTCGGAAGCATAGTCCTTTTCAAGTCACTACTTACACACCCCCCCATTCTGCTCATAAACTTGGCAACAGCTTCATTGTTTCCAAATGAGCCTTTTAGCAAAGATAATAAAGGAATGATTCTGCTATTCAAGTTTATCTTCAAAATGGAAGGATTAGCTGAGATCATTACGGTAATATCCTTTGAAGAAAAGCCCATATACTGAAAAACCTTAATTTTGGGTTCAATGGAATTGTCAAAACGAGCCAAGAGCAATTCAGGCCAGACCTTCACCATTTTCTCCATTTGAGTATTTGAAAAGCCACGCTGTTGTAAATACGACAGCATCGAATTGCATTTCTCGGTGTCTTTCAGTCGTCGATTCAAAACAGAGGCAGCTTTAGTGGCCACTTCGGCCGAAAATCGGTGCTTCTTCCGCAACAAATCAAAAATTGCAGCAGAACTAACGAATGCTCCTTCGTTCGAAGTAGAGAAAAGGCGGAGACAAAACGAGCGGGTAATACAGTGAGGCCAAGCATAATCCGCGAAAAAGTAGCAGGTAATTTTTCTACGCAGAACAGAAATCATTTTGAAAGAAGAAGCACGTAGAATCGATCGATACAACTTACAGACTCAAATCAGTTCTCTGGACACCGGATTTGCATTTTGCAGTAATCGGAGACGTAGAACAGCCGGAGACGGGGAGGAAAGTGCGGCCATATCAGCGAGCCGCTAGGGTTTGCAGTCGATCGTCAAGCGACAAGAAAATAAAAAATACGCGGCCTTTTTTATCAAGTCTTATAAATATTTTTATTATTGATGTTTTTGCTTAGGCTTTGTTTGGCGGATTTGGTACAATTTTTACTATTTACTAATATTAGTCTTGTAAAATACTCCCTCCTTCCATTTACAAGGGTTACATTTACTTTTGCCCTTATTTTTTTTTATAAAAGTAATGATGTGATGTAAAATAAGGGTATTTGTGGAAAAAAAGTAGGGTATTTAATGAAATGTAAACTTTGTAATTGGACATCACAATATAGAAACATGTAAACTTTATAAGCGGACGGGGGGAATATTTTTTATTTTTTATATTATACTTTTTTTTTGTTCTGGTCCAAAAGGGGCGGAGATTTAGCCGTAGATTAAAAAATAATACCTCCCTTCGTCATGCAAATATGTGCTTATTTAATCGGGCACAAATTTTAATAAAAATGAGTAATAATTGTTATTTTTCCTTTTATAGTAAAAAAAAATGCAAAAATATAATAATTTTTTACTTAAAAAAAAAGAAACGAGAATATTTTTCAATGACAACCTAAAAAGGAAAGTGAGTATAGATTTGAACTACGAAGGGAGTAATATTTTATTAGTTAATTGAAATGTGTAAGGTTATATCAATGTAAAAAGTAATTGTATAGTATATAAAAGTATGTTTATAATTTAGGTAAAAGTTAAAGAGTATTTTAGTATTGATGCATGATTACTTTTACTCGAATATGAAATAGATATTTTGGAGTGAGACTGACGAAAATGGTAAAAATAATACTTTGAATTAGGACGAAATGAGTACTAAAAATCAATTTTACATTCAAAACATCACATCAATCATGTTTATATCACATCATACAATTATTTCATTTCAAATTTTTAGTTATTCAAATCTCAATTCAAAATCCAAACCCTAAACAAACACACCCCTGATAAATTTGGTTTTAAAAAAATCAATGAGAACAAAAACAATCAATTTTAAATTTGCATTATATAAAAATATCAATTGATCTCATCATAGAATGTTTAATTACTTTTAATCCAACCATTGAAAAACTAACAAACGTAACGGATCTATGTAGTATGTATGATTAAGAAACAATTTGCAACATATTGAATCTAGTTGATCGATGCTTTTGATTAGGACTAGGAGTGAGAGATGGCGGGAGTCAAATGGCCCGTAATTCAACTTTTCCGTTCACTAATAAACATTCAATAAATTGGGGTAGATATTCTAAGAGCAACTACAATTGTTATATTGAAAAAAAAAAAAATTTAAGTTTATCATAAAACTGACGTGATCAAGATTTTTAAATTTAATTTATTTTAAATCTACAATTTACACACGATAGTTATTTGAAAGAGAAAGAAAGAATAAGAAACAAAAGAAACAAAAGAGAATGTAAGAGAGAGGAAGAGAGAAAGGAGAGACAAAGACAAGATAAATTTGTCGAACAAAGATAAAGAAAGAGAAAAAAAAGTAAAGAAGAAAAAAGAAAACTTGGATATGGCTTCTTCCGAAGCCACGCTAATTTGTGGTGGGAAGAGTTATGGCAGGAGAGGCGAGGAAGAGACAAAAACAGGATAAATTTGTCGAACAAATTTTTCATTATACACGGTCATATTGTTTAGCTTTTTCAGCGTACATGATTGTATTCGGTCCAAATATATGACACATTAAATCAGTTGCATTTACATCACCTCGCCCGTTCATTTTTCTAATGGTAAAATCGAAAGTAAATATTTTGTTTTTATATAATAAAATTAAAATTGATTATTGATTAAAGTTTATTCTCTTTGACTTACGAGTGAAGCTCAGCTTTCCTACCTATTTCTTATTTTGTGTAGATTTTTCTGTTCTAGAAATTATAGATTATTGGTAATATATTTTAATATATTTATATTTTCTCAACAGTAGATTAAGTTGGAAAGAATCCATACATACAGATAATGATCCAAAGTATCTCTTTCACCTTTAATTTACACTCTCTTAATTATCCTCGTATTCTCTTTTATTCACATCAATAAAAAAATACATATATATTTATATTTATATCAAAATTATTTATTTTTAAAATTAGAATTTTAAAAAATATATCAATATATGTATCATTGTACAGAGAATAAAATTCTGTATGATACGAAAAATATAAAAATAAAAAATAAATAAATACAAATATACTAAATATATAAAAATAAGAGAAGGAGAAATTTCTTGGGCGCCCTTATGTTGTTTAAAGTAATTAATTGGGTGCTAACTAGTAACTACATATGCATTAAAAAAAATTTCTTTTTTCTTTCAAATTAATCAATGCAGGTGCACATTCGTAGCTTCCCAAATCAGTGATTGATATGGTACATAACTTTAATTTAATTTGTTCATGATAAAAATAATTAAAAACATCAAATTAAATTAAAGTATTTCACATTAAACTATAAATATTAAATTGGTGTAGGTTGTGGGCACAGATGGAAATAGGCCAGGTCTGTCAGGGCTACCGCCTACGTGAAGCCTAACCTAGCCTGATCTATTATTTAAAAAAGTCTTAAAAGTAACTTTTTTAATTAACAAGCCAGCTTATGTACTATTATTATTATTTTTTTATAAATTTTTTTTATTATTATTATATATTAAAAATAATTTTCTATCTAATAATAATATTTATTAAATAATTTTAATTATAAATTTATTATAAATAAATACAATATTTTAATTTTTATATATATTAAATAATTGTATATACTTAATTTTTTTTTATTTCTAACTAAATTTGCAGATAATAAATAAATAAAAATATCATGTAGTCCTTTAAATAGACTTTTAGATCAGGCTTTTAAAAATACTAATTCAAACTTATAGGCAAAATATTTTTGAAACAGACCAACCCTATCTCCACACCTAGTCGTGGGGTATGCTTTAGGAAGTGGACAAGGTATATGCTCGATCAAAATAATCGTGAACTTTAATAATGTTATTTTTTGTTAGACAAGACCTAAGGTAAAAAGAAGACTTGAAAAGGATATATAATGCTCAATTCATTTTTTAATTGTACTGTAATTTAATTTTTTAATAAGGCTTTTGAAATTTTGACTCAAATCCTAACATGTTGAACTACCAATTTGGCTAAATATATTTCAAAATTAGGCAGGCTAAAATTCAGCATTGTGTTGTCAACGTTGTAACCATAAACAGTACACGATATACTTTAATATAATACAAATCCAGTACATAATCTAACAGCACATGATATAGTTTCACATAGCACATACAATACTTATTTTAGCACATGACATACTCCCATACATCACACGCTATAATTATGAAGTAACAACACATGTTTATATTACAAACAACACATGCTATGTATAATAAAAACGTATGCTATTTCTATATTTTATATGTGCTGATTTTCCAAATTTAGCACCCTACAATTTCCCTTCAAATTAAATATCATCATTTGTGCTAGAAAAATCTATCACACAAATAGTATTTGACTCACCAAAAAAAAAAACATAAAAAATGAGCGCAACTTAGGCGGCAAAAAATAACAAAGAGCACATTAATACCCCACCCCTAACGCAAACATTGCTCGCAAGCAATATTTGATTAATTTTGGTTAGATTCTACTTAATTTGTTAATTTGTGTATACATTGTTCATTCTCAGTCGAAGAAGTGTATTCAGCACAATTATTAAAACAACAATATCACATGTAAGATAAAACGGTTCCATTCTAACGCCTATTGCTATAATAAACTTTTGGCCAAAGACGAATACATTTTTAAAAATGCAACCAAGTAGAAAATTTTATTAAAGCATGTTCCGATGTATTTATTTGTAGTTTAAAAAATTACATTCATATATAAATTTCTCTAACACATGTTTCATCAATGATTTAGAAGCAACTCAACGATGGCACAGTACTAACTGTGGTGCCCTAGATCCCACAACTACAAAACTAGTCGGTACTTCTCAGCCAATACTAATCTGATTCGAAATGCAAAAAGTACAGCAAAAATCACATAATGAAAACGCGAAAACTAGGGTGATAGGAACAGTCATGCCTAAATAAATGTCTGCATAGCACAATTATAGGAAACCAACAGATGCGACGCAAAATGAAAGTAAATATAGATTACCATTTCAACAGTGGTCGCACCAGTCGTCACTATAACCGCAATCACTTGGAAACTCTTGGCTACATCTATTTCCGATTCCTCAACCAATGCTCTAACTTTGAAGAACAATTTGCAGTGTACACATTGCTGAGTTCACTCAAACTCAGCAAGTTGTCGCTATAACCACAATCACTTGGAAACTATTGACTATAGAGAGCTATTAACAATTCTCCAACCAATACTTTAACTTTAAAGAACTATCTGCTGTGCACGCATTTTTTAGTTCACTCGAATAAGGGCGGATAAATCTCTCAAAGAACTTCTCATCTGTCAAATAGCAAAGTACGGGGAGGGTGGGCCAATACTTAATCAGACTCCTATTTTCCAAAATTTCAAAGGCCTGAAACCGCGGCTTAAGCCTCTGCTCTACGCTGAAGGTAAGTGATGCAGGGTTACTAACAATGCACGACATGTCATACTTTCCATTAGATAGAATAAAATCTTTTGTTCTCCTAACGTTATCCGGAGACATAATAACCACAGATGGTGCCTTCTGAAATAATAACAGTATGTCACTTTCTGTGAATCCACAATTCCGAAGACCCTGCAATTTGAGCTCCAAAACATTGCTAGATATTTGTGCTAAACATCGAACAGCAAGTATGAACATTCCGGAGTTTCTATTGACACCCATCTCCTCAGTCTTTTCCACAGACTTCCTAAAAATTTCAGACTTCAACAAAAAACACCTCGGATACGAACACAGGAATTTAATGATGCAATCCATAGGTATACCAAAGCTCTTCAATATTTGGATATTGGGAAGCATCGTCCTTTTCAAGTCACCGCTTACAAACCACCCTGATCTGCTCATAAACATGGCAACAGCTTTATTGTTTCCTAATAAGCCCTTTAGAATAGATAATAAAGGAATGACTCTGCTATTAAAGTTTACATTCAAAATGAAAGGATTAGCTGACATAATTTCGGCAATGTCCTTAGAAGAAAAGCCCATGTCCTGAAAAACCTTAATTCTGGGTTCAATGGAATACTCGAGACGAGCCGATAGCAATGCAGGCGTGAACTTCACCATTTTCTCCAGTTGAGTATTTGAAAAGCCACGCTGTTGTAAATACGAAATTATCGAATCGCATTTCTTGGTGTCTTTCACTCGATTCAAAACAGAGGCAGCTTTAGTGGCCACTTCGGCCGAAAATTGGTGCTTATGCCGCAATAAATCAAAAATTACAGCAGAACTAACGGACTCTCCTTCGTTCGAAGTAGAGAAAAGGCGGAGACAAAACGAGCGGGTAATACAGTGAGGCGAAGCATAATCCGCGAAAAAGCAGCAGGTAACCTTTCTGCGCAGAATTGAAATCATTTCGAAATAAGAAGCACGTAAAATCGATCGATACAACTTACAGATTCAAATCAGTCCTCTGTAAATAAGATTTGCACTGTGCAGTAATCGAAGACGTAGAAAAACAAGGCCAACAGCCGGAGACGGAGAGGAGAGCGCGGCCATATCGGCGAGCCGCTAGGGTTTGCAGTTGATCGTCACTGTATCTGTAATTTAAGCGACCGACTTTTTTATTGATAGTTTTGTAAATATTTTTATTTTTTATTATTTATATTTCCATTAGAAAATAATTCTAAGTATAAATTGTGTTTAGTAGTGTTTATCTATCAATTACCCCAATTCGATTTGGCTAACTTCAACGCACAGACTCTATCTATATAGTTTTTAACTCAAAAAATGAAATTACTATAGCAGTTTTATTTCGATTCACAACTATATATTAGTCCAAAAATAATATTCTGGATAATATTTTATTTTATATATTATTTTATACTAGTTTTTATATCTACAATTAATATTATTATTTTTAGATAAAATTAAAATAAATAAATAAATAAAAGAATTAATATATAAAAAATTTAAATAAAAAAAACAAAAACCAACCATAAAATGACGTTGCTACGTGCAAAAACTTGAGGATGACTGGAGAGTTGTTTATTAGTCCGATTAATTGAATATATTATCTATTTTGTAAAACAGTTGTTTACACATTAAATTATATTTAAGGTAGTATTTTATATTTTACTTTTTTAGTTGTATAAGATTTTTTATAATTTTATTCTTAGTTATTGAAAATTTAAAAAAAAAAAGAATATATCAAAATATTTACTTTTGTTATTTTTTAAATATTTTATATGAAATTGATGTATCTTTATTTAAAAGAATAAATATTCCTTTGTCATTTGAAATAAGGATAAGTTGCAATAAATATTTCGTATATGTATTTAATTATCATTTTTATCTTTTAATTGTAATAATGGTAAAATATATGCTATATATGTCATTTTTTTCAATTGTATGAAGGAGCGATAGTTGATCTAACAATAGTCCCAAAATAGAAGATGTTATTTTTAAGTCGGACAGAATCTAAGGCAAAATTTTAAAAACTTATTTAATGTCTTTATAATTTTCAAAAAATCATTATAGGTTCATAATTAATCAAATTTCAAATCATATAATGGAGCACTCAAATTATAAAATATTTTCAAAAGTTGGAATTATAAGTAATTTACCTTCTAATATGAACTTCTAAAATTTAGACCAAATCCTCACATGATTCAAATACATCATAGCTCAATATATTTCAATTAAATATCATAAGTTCAACAACAAAAATAGCACATAATACAGTAATACTCTCCTCACATCTATAGCAAATATTGTCCGCAATATGAATAATACTTCCTTCGTCCAATTTCTATTGTCATAAAGTATATTTGCATGGTTTTTTAGGTGATTGTCTTTTTGTTATGAATGAACAAATATGCCTTAAGTGTATGGTAGAGATTAAAAGTAATAAATGAATGAAGGGTAAAAATATAAAATTTGTGTTTAAAAAATGAAATAGGACAATAATTGTTAGACGTCCCAAATAAAAAAGTAGGACATTAGTTTGTGAACGGAGTGAGTAATAATTATAAAGTAAAAGAGAGTATAAACATCATTAGAATCCACAGAGAGCAACCATTGTACTTTCTTGGTTAGTTGGAGGAGGATGAAGGATGAAACCAATGGAAAGAAAAAGGACAACAATGTATGTTTTTTAACTCAAGAAGAGAGAACCAACCACTTCAGCCAAAGCTCATCTTGAGTTGGTCAAATCAAATCCTTAACTATAAACAAAATGGTCCGGATAAATCACTGTTTATTTGTAAGATTTTACTTATGATTTTAATATTTTAATTTTATTTTTCTCGCAAAAATATCACATCAAATATCTCATTTTCATTTATTTTATTACACTAAAATTTAATTTTACATTCAAAATATCACATCAATACATATTTATATAACATCAAACAACTATTTCAATTCAAAATTTTACTATTTAAAATCAAACCTCTTAAGTAAACACACCCTATATATATATAATCTATCTCGGTGTAAATGAAGACGGACGATCGAAATCCACTAACTAATGTAAGTAAAGTATTCAGTGAAAACTACATAGATAAGACCAAGATCAAGGGTTAGAAGCATGATGTAGGAGCCATGAATGAAACTACCGCTTTTGGTAGTGAGCACCCGAGCAAATTTGTCGGCTAGACGAAAGACAAAGTTGATTTGAATACCACAGTGTTCCAAAATATGTAGAACTTGACCTTGGATTCTACGCTATCGTTTCTACGAAGCAAATTAAAGGCAATAATGGTTTTCAGAGACAAAACCATGGAAACCAAATAAAAAGAAAAATAGAGGTGAAGGGCAATCTTGGACGAGTGAATCAAATAAAAGAAGCACGATCGACAAGAAAAATATTTTCTTTTACTCTCTAATATGAGTTGTATTTTCGTTTTCTCTCATTTTCTACTTGATTATTGACTTATGGATGGAGTTATTCATGTTTTTCTAGTTTAAAAGATTATAACGAATTGATACCTAAATTTGAGAAATTTCTCATTATTGTGATTATTAATACTTCATCCGTCCACTACTAAAATTTCTAATTTTTCATTTTAGTTTGTCCAAATAAAAAAATTTCATTTTGTTTTTTTAATAATATAAACTAAATATCAAAATACTCTTACTTTTTTCTTTTCACGTTACTTTTTTAAGGGTAAAATAAATATTACATTATTTGATTACACTATATATCTATAAAATACTAATTTACTTTGATTCGCGTACAAAAGTCAAACGAAAAGTTTATTATATTAGATATTTATAAAAATACTAATTTACCTTAATCCGCCACAAAAGTCAAACAAAAAATTTACATCACTCCTTGAACTAAACCTTTTTATTGGTAGATAAAACCCTAAATGTTATTTTATATTCTTAATTACTTGATAAATTACCATTCTTAGTTAACATAAGAGGATATATCACACAATCACGGTAAACACATTCCATAGCTAAGCACAATTTAAACATGTTTAGCATGTAAGCAAGTGTGATTTTGTTTTTTTTAAGCACTTATCAATTTTACATTTAAAATATCATATTCAATCATTACTTCACCTAAAAAACAATACAAACAAAAATTTACAAAAAAACAAACATAAACACACAGTGTTCGCCAACAAAACATCCAACAAAGTAGACTACGCAATAGTTGAAACAACCACCAAAATAAAGGGAAGAAGAAAATAAAATGGAAGTTAGTAGGATCTATTGTAGGTTTAGAGGCATTGATTTGTTGTTAGGACTAAGAGTCGGAGTCGTATAGCAAGGATAAGTGAGTGATCTCAGAAGAAAAGACATATTCAGCACAATAGCAAAACAACAATATCACAAGCAACATACAATGGTTCCATGCTAATAAGTATTAATAAACTTAGGGCCAGAGTCGAATATAATTATAAAAATGCAACCAAGTAAAAGTAAATTATTAAAGCATGTTGGATGTATTTATTTCTAGTGTAAAAAATGAACATTAACATATAAAATTTCTCAACATGATGCATCAATGATTTAGAAGCAACTCAAACATGGCACAATTGTTGCTTCTTAGCCAGTAATAATCCAATTCGAAATGCAAAAAGTAGAATGAATATCACATAATTAAAACACAAACACTAAGGTGCCAAGAACAAAGATGTGCCTAAAGAAATGTCTGCATAGCACAATTATATGAAACCAATAGATTCTGCAGCAAAGAAACTAAATACAGATTACCATTTCAACAGGAATTGCGCCAGTCCTCACTATAACCACAATCACTTGGAAACTCTTGGCTACATCTATTTCCAATTCTTCAACCAATACTCTAACTTTGAAGAAAAGATTGCAGCGTACACATTGTCGAGTTCACTCAAATGCAGCAGTTGTCACTATTACCACAATCACTTGAAAACTACTGGCCATAGCTATTAACAATTCCTCAACCAATGCTGTAACTTTAAAGAACTATCTGCTGTGCACGCATTTTTTAGCTCACTCGAATAAGGGCAGATGAATCTCTCAAGAAACTTTTCATCTGACATCTGGAAAAGTGTTGTGAAGGCGGGCCAACTTTTAAGCAGATTCCTATTTTCCAAAATTTCTAAAGTTTGAAACCGCGGCTTATATCTCTGCTCTATGCTGCACGAAAGTGATGCTGGGTTATTAAGAATGCATCTCATACCATACTTTCCATTAGATAGAATAAAATCTTTTGTTCTCCTTACGTTATCCGCAGACATAACAAACACAGATGGTGCCTTCTGAAATAATACCAGTATGTCACTTTCTGTGAATCCGCAATTCCGGAGAGCCTGAACTTTGTGCTCCAAAACATTGCCAGATAGTTCAGCTAAAGTTCGAACAGCACGTATGAACATTCCAGAGTTTCTATTGACCCCCATCTCCTCAGCCTTTTCCACAGACTTCCTAAAACTTTCTGGATTCAACAAAAAACACTTTGGATACTTAGACAGGAATTCAGTGATGCAGTCCAATGGTATACCAGATCTCTTCAATATTTCAATATTGGGAAGCATAGTCTTTTTCCAGTCACCTGTTAAAAACCAACCGGATCGGATCAAAAACTTGGCGGCGGCTTTATTGTTTCCTAATAAGCCTTTTAGCATAGATAGTAAAGGAATGATTCTTCTATTCAAGTTTATCCTCAAAATGCAAGGATTAGCTGAGATTATTTCGGTAATATCCTCTGAAGAAAAGCCCATGTCCTGAAAAAACGTAATTTTGGGTTCAATGGAGTAGTCAAAACGAGCCAAGAGCAACTCAGGCCAGACCTTCACCATTTTCTCCATTTGAGTATTTGAAAAGCCACGCTGTTGTAAATACGACAGCATCGAATTGCATTTCTCGGTGTCTTTCAGTCGTCGATTCAAAACAGAGGCAGCTTTAGTGGCCACTTCGGCCGAAAATTGGTGCTTGTGCCGCAATAAATCAAAAATTGCAGCGGAACTAACGCACGCCTCTTTGTTCGAAGTAGAGAAAAGGCGTAGAAAAAACGAGCGAGGAATAGAGTGAGGCGAAGTATAATCCGCGAAAAAGCAGCAGGTAATCTTTCTTCGCAGAATCGATATCATTTTGAAAGAAGAACCACGTAAAATCGATCGACACAACTTCCAGATTCAAATCAGTCCTCTGTCAATAAGATTTGCACCGTGCAGTAATCGAAGACGTAGAAACACAAGGCCAACCGCCGGAGACAGAGAGCGGCCATATCGGCGAGCCGGTAGGGTTTGCAGTCGATCGCACTTGTTTGTACATCAACGGGCGTTTGTCCCGGGGGTTTGGATTTTGAAGTCAACAGTGAAAATTTTTAGTTTTGAATTTGAATACTCCTTGTTTTTTAATTTTTAAATGTTAAATTAAATTTTAATATAATATATAAATTAAAAAATAGACGTTATGATATAATATTTTATGAAAAAAATAGATAAATAGTAAAATTTAAAATCTAAACAAACGCACGCTAAACGAAAAAAAAATATAATAAAAGCCTTTTTATTCCTAGTTTTGTTAATATTTTCTTTTATTTATTTAAAAATAAGTTTTAATATAAATTGTGTTTAAATATATGCATTTCTATTATTTTCGTCTCATTTAATTTGTTCACTTTTTATATATTTTCGTCGGTCTCATACAATGTATTTTTTTAATATAATTATACACTTTAATCAATTTTAAAATTCATAATTTATAATTTTTATTTTAATTAAACTATTTAGTTATTTAATTTTAATATTTAATTATTTTTATTAAATTATAATTATTTTTTATTATATTTTTATAATTATTTACTAACTACACAAGTTCTAAAACTTCGTGCCCAAATAAAATGAAATAATTTAAGTGGGACAGTGAGGTATAACTTTAGAGTGCTTATTTTCCTTCAATAGAAAAATAACTTCAATTCAATATACTAGTTTTGTTTCGCAATAAAAACATTATTTGTTTTTTGCTTAAATTTTTTAATATTAATATTATATTGGTTTGTAGTGAAAAAAAATACACTTTTAGTATAGTATAATATAAAAATAATAACATTTATATAATATATTGAAAATTATAATGATATTTATTATATTAAATAACTGTACCATTACCAAATTAAAAAATATTATTGATATAGTTAAAAATAAAATATATTATCATTCTTACTAGAAGGATTGAGTATTATTTAATTTGTTTATAAGTAACTTTACTAGTGATTAATGTATAAGATAATAAATGATATTACAAATAGTATATTTCATATTAAGGGTGTGTTTGTTTGGGGATTTGGATTTTGAGTTGGGATTTGAATAGTAAAAATTTTGAATTTGAATAGTTGTATGATGTGATATAAATAGGTGTTGATGTGATGTTTTGAATGTAAAATTGATTTTTAGTATAATATAAAAAATGAAAAATAGGTGTTTGATTTGATGTTTTTGGGGGGAAAAAATTGGATGAATAGTAGAAATCTTATTAAATCCCCCAAACAAACACACCCTTAGAATATTGCCCCGACAAAAATATGATCTTGTTTTCACAATAGTTATGTCGATTTATTTATGTTTTGGTATTTCAATCTTTTAAAATAGAATTGTCTAAAAATGATAGTAGAAAAAATTATAATTAGAAAATGATAATTGATTCCTTTATTCTATAAAACGAGGAATTCAATTTAAAAATATACTCCCTCCATTCCATAACAAAGTATCCATTTTTCTATTTTAGTCCGTCCCATAACAAAGTATCGATTTCTTTTTTTTTAAGTAACTTTATCTACCAACATTACAAATACTCTTACAACGTACAATATATTACACAAATGTCATAACATTTATATCACACATGCTAATAAGGTTATTTTAGTTATTTCTACTTTATTCCTACTATATCCCAATATAATACTAATATTTCTAAAATTACGTGCAAAAAGCAAATGGATACTTCTTTATGGGATGGAGGGAGTATATACTTTAAAAATACAAAAAAAAAAATAAAAAAATTGCGCTATACTGCTAATTAAAATATAAATTGAGCACTAAAAAATACTTTCTCCGTCCCAGATACCGTGTCTGCTGCACAGTAGACACGGTATATTAGGAGGGTGTAATTAGTAGATAATTAATAATGTATTAGTGAAAATAATTATGCTATAATATAAATAATTATAAATTAAGATTAAGATAACTAATTAGTTTAATTAAAATTAAAAAAAATAAAATTTAAAAATTTAAAATGAGATTAAAGTGTGTAATCATTTTCCAAAAAATGAAAGTGACATGGTACGTGAGACGGATAGAAACGGCAACATGGAGATAGTATTTGGGACGGAGGGAGTAATAACTTGGATAACAAAAATATTATTGTATTTTTTAATTATATTATTAGTTTGATAACTTATTTTAATAATAATTTAGATATGATATTTTATGATATTTGAGTAATATAAAATCATAAAAATTAAATAATAGAAAAAATAAAAATAATAATAATAAATACAAATTAAATTGTAAAAGTTAATTATAAAAAATACAATAAATAAACAAAAAAAAAATACACACAGCAATATCAAAATTTCATTTATCTATCTCATTTTTCTTTGTACTAATTACTTTTTATATTTTATTACTTCAGCTCTTTAACTTATAATTTTTATTATTATTATTTTGTCAGTCGTTTTTTACATTAAAATTATTCATCCTTTTCAATTCCAAAGACTATGGCATGTTTTTTTAGTAAAATTTTTTCAAATTTTATTATTTGTACTCAGCAATTTTTCGAAAAAAATATATTTTTTTATGTTACAAAATATTTCATCAAACATTATTTTAATGTCAAATTCAAACAATTTTTTTTTAAACTCAACTAAAAAAACACACCCTAAGATATATATATATATATAATTACAATTTCATCTTCAAAATCAATATCAAATAAACAAAATTTCGAAAAATACTCACAACACGAATCATCATTGGTTTTTGTTAAGGCTTTTGTGGGAGTAGTCTCTATCTCTTTTCTAGTTATTTCTTCTTCTATTTTGTTATTTTCTACATTATAAATTTATTGATTATATTTTAATATTGTTTTTTCTTTAACAACACTTTTAACCTTCTTTAACATTTTAGATTAATTTGTTTTGATATTCCCTATTAGTTATATTAATAATTTTTAGCCTTCCTTTTGGTTCGTTTAATCTCTAATTACAGGAAATTTTTACTGTGTTAGATTTTAATTTCGGAATATATTTTAGTTGATATTTTCATTGGTTGACAGATTTATCAAAACATAGCGTGTATTTATTTGTGAGATTTTGATTTTGAGTTTTGATTTTAAATAATAAAATTTTAAATTGAAATAATTGTTTGATGTGATATAAATATGTATGTAATATTTTGAATGTAAAATTAAATTTAAGTGTAATATAATAAATAAAAATTAGGTGTTTTGATTTGATATATTTGAAAAAAAAAATTGTTCGGAATAGTAAAATCAAAAACAAAATTCTACATAATAATTTGCATGTATACACACGTACACTCTTCATTCATATTCTCATAAATGGTGGTGTCGTGTTGACAGCATACCGCATCACACGCTATAGTTTTATATAGCATAAACAATAGTTGATTTTAGCACACCACATATTGTTATACAATACATTTATAATTATGAACCAACAACACAAATACAACACATGAACTAACAACACATGTCATAGTCTTATACAACACAAATAATAGTTGATTTATCATACCACTTACTGTTATACAACACACTTATAATTATAAATAAACATCACCTGTCTTTATTATACACAACATGTGTTGTGTATTATAAGACTATGTGTTGTTTGTATATATTGCAGGTGCCGATTTTTCCAATTCATCACCCTAATTGTTCCCTCGTAAATATATACATATGCTTATGACGTTATCTTTGGTTTATTATGTAATAACTAATTAGGAATTATATTGTTAGCTAAATTGGTATTGCGATAAGTAAATGTACCGTGAAATCAAGTCGAGGATAAATTTTTTTTCCGAAAATTAGATACGCCCCGGTAGTGCCTCTGGTGGCCGGCATTCTAACCCAAAGATAAAACAGTTTCTGTCTCCAATGAGAGTGACTCCTCTGATCGTCAAAGCTCCGGTGAATAAAACGAGGTAGAAACTGAGTTTGAGAGGTTTCTGGAAAGCTAAAAAGCAATAAGAGAATAAAAAGAAAATGTTGTTAGTGTGTATAGAATGGAGGGAGAGACCCTTTATATATGCGTCTCCACCCGGCCAAAATAGCAGATGATCAATTACAATCACAATTATGACCTTAATTACCGATGTAATATATTCTAATTTCAACATTCCATTTGAGGTGGTCGTAATTTATTCTAATTACAAACCTTCCGTTTGAGATGATCATAATTTATTATATTTTCAAACCTTTCGTTTGAAACGATTGTAATTTTTTATAGTTTCAAACATTCTGTTTGAGATTATAATAAATTCATCTAACGGATAATATTTTATCCAGATAATACCGCGACTTAAGTCATATACCTGGATTTAACTTAGGACTGCATAATTTGGTTTGTCTCGAAACAGGCAAAATAGTCAAAATATTAACCAAGCCCCATATATAATAAATAAATAATATTTATTTATTTCATCCAAATTAATTCAATTAATTTGGTTCATCGGCCCGTCACATTTTCACTCACCAATTAATCGATTGTGTAAATAACCGATTATTCAACAATCCCCTACGTAAGTGGGAATGTCCATAAAATGACATAAGCCCAGTTCAATCTCTCTTAAACATTGATACATTTGGACAGGTAGCTTGTGGCTTTGAACCTTCCATAGTCAACATTACATAATGTACTGGTGGCCGTGATGCATTGAATTGTTCACCTCTGCGTGCACTTAGTCAATAATATTAATGTGTTGTTATCTCAGGTTTTGACCCGTTTCAGTCATAGATCTCGTCTTTGGATTCATAAGTGTTTTGTTTGAAGTGGCACACATTTCAGACTCCTATGTCAAGATATCTAACTCACACTTTTAGGATCATTAAGAACAATTGACTCAACCTCACCACTTTTATACATTGTAACACTAATTACTTTTCAAAGAATTGTAATTGAGTGTTTGTACCGGACTCTCACAATTTAGTTTTCCTATTGAAACAAGGCTTGAGATTTCCTAGTGATTTGGTTGGATTATCAATGTAATTGTCTTGTGGATGTCAAGCTCATTCTATTTATCAGTTTGTACATTTGATCTCTCTGCAATCCTTTGGTTAGCGGATCCGCTAAGTTTTCTATTGACTTTACATATTCAATAGTCAATACTCCACTAGTAATCAAATGTCTTACAGTGTTATGTCTATGTCGGGATTTACCATTGTAAATTTCATTCTTAGCACTTGCTATTGCAGTAAATTATCACGGGATGTACTGGTTTAGTCCAGTATAGAATATCATCCATGAAGTTTCTCAGTCATTCGGCTTCCTCGCTAGCTTTGTCCAAGGGGATGAACTCTGATTCAATTATAGACCGTGTAATGCACGTCCGTGTTGTAGATTTCCACGAAACAGTTCATCTTCCAATTGTAAATACATATCCATTTGTAAACAGTGAGTTTTTTGCATCGGATATTCAATTGACATCGCAGTACGCTTTTAGTACCGGTGGGTATTTCGAGTAGTGTATGCCAAAATTTAGAATAAACTTAAGATAATTTAAGATTCTTTCTAGCGCTTTCCAGTGTTCATGACTGAGGTTGTTAGCGTATCGACTCAACTTATTTTTAGGGCAAGCCAGGTCAGACCTTGTACAGTTTGTTGAGTATATTAAACTTCCAATAATTTTGGCATACTCTTCTTGAGCTACGGGTTTTCCTCTATTCTTGCTCAAGTATACATTGAGGTATATTAAAGTTTTTACTAGAGTGTTGTCGAAGGCATTGATATCTTTTACACATAGCGGGACTAAGTAAGAACAATATATTCAGCTTATCTTAAAATCTTTATTCCAAGAATAAGACCACCTATCTATCTGTGAATGAGAACAGACAATCGAAATCCACTGACTAATGTAAGTAAAGTATTCAGTTAAAACAACATAAATAAGACCAAGGCTAAGGATAAGAAGCATGTTGTATGAGCCATGAATAAGACTGCTGTTTTTGGTAGTGAGCACCCGAGTAAAATGGTCGGCTAGACAAAAGGCAAGGTTGATTTGAATACCACACATTGTTCCAATATATGTAGAACTTGACCTTGGATTCTACGCTATCCTTTCCACGAAGCAAATTAAAGATAATAATAATTTTCGGAGACAACCGTGCAAAACCAAATGGAAAAAAGGTCAAATAGAAGAAGCAAGATCGACAAGAAAATTATTTTCTTTTCACTCTCGAATTAGAGTTTTATTTTTTTATTTTCTTTTTCATTTTCTACTTGATTGTGGACTATTATGGATGGAGTTATTCATGTTGTTCTAGTTTAAAAGATGATAACGAACTATCACTTATATTTGAGAGATTTCTTATTATTGTGATAAAGTTCTTATTGATTATAATTATTTGTTTAATTCTTGAATTGGTATTTATTATTGTTGGATTGAATGAATATTTTAGTACCAATGTTCATTTATGCAACGGTCAATTTGACATTTGAACTTAATAGTTTCTTCCCGGACTTAGACAATCCAATTTAATTTGCTCATCTTAAGCAATAATTAATTGAATTGAATTTTTCTAAATTGGAAAACAAGTTAGCAATAAATCTTACGATCTTACAATTTAACATAAGAGAATATATCACACAATCACGGTAAACACATAATCACGGTAAACACATTCCTTAGCAAAGCACAATTTAAACATGTTTTGGCATGTAGGCAAAGGTGTGTGATTTTGTTCTTTTTAAGCATCTATAAATTTTACATTTAAAATATCATATTCAATCATTATTTCACCTAAAAAAACAATAAAAACCAAAATTTTAGAAAAAACAAACATAAACAGAACATCCAACAAAGCCGACTACAGGGGAGAAGAAAATAAAATGGAAGTTAGGAGGATCTATTGTAGGTTTAGAGGCATTGATTTGTTGTTCGGACTAAGAGTCGGAGTCGTATAGTAAGGATAAGTGAGTGATCTCAGAAGAAAAGATGTATTCAGCACAAGAGCAAATCAACAATATCACAAGTAAGATAAAATGGTTCCATGCTAATACGTATTATTAAACTTAGGGCCACAAAGTCGAATATAATTATAGAAATGCAACCAAGTAAAAGTAAGTTATTAAAGCATGTCGGATGTATCTACTTCTACTGAAAAATATGTACATTCACATATAAAATTTCTCAACATGATGCATCGATGATTTAGAGGCAAGTCAAACATGGCACAGTAGTTGCTTCTTAGCCAGCAATAATCCAATTCGAAATGCAAAAAGTAGAATGAAAATCACATAATTAAAACACGAAAACTAAGGTGACAAGAACAGAGGATGGCTAGAGAAATGTCTGCATAGCCCAATTATATGAAACCAATAGATTCTGCAGCAAACAAACTAAATATAGATTACCATTTCATCAGGGAAGGCACCAGTCGTCACTTTCACCACAATCACTTGGAAACTATTGGCCACAGCTATTAACAATTCTTCAAAGAAACTAAATACAGATTACCATTTCATCAGGGAACGCACCAGTGGTCACTTTCACCACAATCACTTGGAAACTATTGACTACATCTATCTCCAATCTTCAACTAATGCTCTAACTTTGAAGAAAAGATTGCAGTGTACACATTGTCAGTCGTCACTATAACCACAATCACTTGGAAACTATTGGCCACGGCTATTAGCAATTCTTCAACCAATGCTGTAACTTTAAAGAATTATCTGCTGTGCACGCATTTTTTAGCTCACTCGAATAAGGGCGGATGAATCTCTCAAGAAACTTCTCATCTGACATCTTGAAAAGTGTTGGGAGGGTGGGCCAACTTTTAAGCAGACTCCTATTTTCCAAAATTTCTAAAGTCTGGAACCGGGGCTTATATCTCTGCTCTATGCTGCACGAAAGTGATGCTGGGTTATTAAGAATGGATGACATGCTATACTTTCCATTAGATAGAATGAAATCTTTTGTTCTCCTTACGTTATCCACAGACATAATAATCACATATGGTGCCTTCTGAAATAATACCAGTATGTCACTTTCCGCGATTCCACAATTCCGAAGACCCTGCAATTTGAGCTCCAAAACATTGCTGGATATTTGAGCTAAACATCGAACAGCAAGTATGAACATTCCGGAGTTTCTATTGACACCCATCTCCTCAGCCTTTTCCACAGACTTCCTAAAAATTTCAGATTTCAACAAAAAACACCTTGGATACGTACACAGGAATTTAATGATGCAATCCATTGGTATGCCAAAGCTCTTCAATATTTGAATATTGGGAAGCATAGTCGTTTTCAAGTCACAGCCTACAAACCACCCTGATTTGCTCATAAACATGGCAACAGCTTTATTGTTTCCTAATAAGCCTTTTAGAATAGATAATAAAGGAATGATTCTTCTATTCAAGTTTATCCTCAAAATGCAAGGATTAGCTGAGATTATTTCGGTAATATCCTTAGAAGAAAAGCCCATGTCCTGAAAAAACGTAATTTTGGGTTCAATGTTATAGTCAAGACGAGCCAAGAGCAACGCAGGGTCGACCTTCACTATTTTCTCCATTTGAGTATTTGAAAAGCCACGCTGTTGTAAATACGACAGCATCGAATTGCATTTCTCGGTGTCTTTCACTCGTTGATTCAAAATAGAGGCAGCTTTAGTGGCCACTTCGGCCGAAAATCGGTGCTTCTTCCGCAATAAATCAAAAATTGCATCAGAACTAATGCATGCTCCTTCGTTCGAAGTAGAGAAAAGACGGAGACAAAACGAGCGGGTAATACAGTGAGGCGAAGCATAAAATGAGCAGGTAATTTTTCTGCGCAGAATTGAAATCATTCTGAAAGAAGAAGCACGTAAAATCGATCGACACAACTTACAGATTCAAATCAGTCCTCTGGATATCGGATTTGCATTATCCAGTAATCGGAGACGTAGAAACACAAGGACAACAACAGCCGGAGACGGAGAGCGGCCATATCGGCGAGCCAGTAGGGTTTGCAGCCGATCGCACTTGTGTGTAATTTAAGCGACCCAAAAAAAAACCAAAAAAAAAAAGAAAAATCGTGGCCTTTTTATTCATAGTTTTGTAAATATATTTTTATGTATTAGAAAATAAATTAAATTTAAATTTTGTTTAAGAGGGTGTTTGATTTTATTTATTTATTTATAAAAAAAATTAAAATATAATTTAATATTTATTATAATTATAGGGAAAATATATATATATACAATATATATATCATTAAAGAATAAAATTTTTTATAATATAAATAAATAAAAATTTAAATATATATATTGAATATAATATAAATGCATAATCAAATCATATAATATAAATTTTATCCATTAAATTTAATATATATTTATATTATTTTATTCATTGTCTATCCAATCAATACACATCATTGTTCAAAAAAAAAATATGATTGTATTTTCACAATAGTTATATCCTTTTATTTATGTCTTGCTATTTCCATATTTAAAAATAGAATTGTAAATAAGTGATAGAAAATAAAATTGAGGAGAAAAAAATTAATTAAAAAAATGTGCTTTGATTCTTTTATTTGGTATAATAAAGAATTCAAATAGTATAACTTAAGAAAATATACTATATTGTTAATAAAAATAAATTGATCACTAAAAATAATAAATTGAATAACAAATATATTATTGTAATTTTTAGTTATAATATTAGTTTGATAATTTATTTTAATAATAATTTAAATATGATATTTTATGATATTTGAATAATATACAAATTTAACAATAGTAAAAAAAAAAATACAAATTAAACTATATTATGTCAATTCTATTTCTCTCCACACAAGAAGAACGAAACTATAAAATAAAAATAATTTATTTCTTAACCAAACAAAAAAAATATATAAATTTTTTCATTTCTCTATTCCTTCCTATTTATCTTTACCGAATACCCCTTATATTCTTTTTCATTTAGCTCTTTAACTTATAGTATTTTTTTATTTTTTATTTTTATTTTCAATCGCTTTTTATTTTAAAATTGTTTCATCATTTTCAATTCTAAATACTAGAATAACCCTGAGAATATACATGTATATATATATATATAATACTACCAATATTCGGCTCTAAGGGTCTCATTTACTTTTTGCGCGTTGATTTTTTAATATTAATTATTATATGAAAACGTAATACAAATCAAGAGAAATAGGCAACAATACTTTTATTAATGTTTTATAATACTATTATAATGATATTTGTGCAAAAAATAATACAAATATAAAAATATTTTTAATGTTAAGTACAATAACGTAAAAGGTAAATGAAACCCTTAGAGTCGAGGGAGTAACAATTTCATCTTCAAATTCAAAACCAAACAAACAAAATTTTAAACAATTTCATCTTCAAATTCAAAACCAAACAAACAAAATTTTAAAAAATATCACACTCGCATAGAGGCCCACAACATAATCAACGTTGGTGTTTGTTAAAGCTTTTGTGAGAATAGTCTCCATCTCTTCCTTTTTTCTAGTTATCTCTCCTCATGGTCATAGTCAATCCCTACACCACCATTCTTTACGGGACAATATTCATCCTCATTATGAAAATAATTAAAGATTTCAAATTAAATTAAAGTATTAGCTATTACACAATACTTTATCTGTCTTAAAAGCGTGTGTTTGTTTGGATTAGATACGAATTTGAATGAACATAATATTATAACAGTTGATTGTAACATAAAATTATGCATTTTGAAAAATATAAGAGTGACTTAATCAAATTGAAGAATATTAAATTGCATATATTAATGTGTAAGATTACTTGCTATAAATAAAAATTCATACTTTTTTAAAAAAAATAAATAAATTTAATGAATGGATAAAGTGGGTTTGTTTGGTTGAGGGTTTAGGAGGGGAGGGAAGGGGAGTCAATTTCATCTATTTTTTTTTTCCTCCAATTTAGGAGAATTTGGAGGGGAAGAATTTTACCAAAATATTTTTTATCTATTATACCCTTTACATATTTTATTAGAAATTTCATAACATCTTTTAAAATATTAATATTTATTTATTTTATTTTTAATTATATCAAATAAATATTAATATATTGAAATTATATTATATATTTTGAAATAGTTTTAATTAATTTTTTTAATCAAGTTTAATTATAATAATTTTTTAATAAATTACAAATTAGCATATAATTATATCTATAATATTAATATTAATTTCTTTTTTCTCATGTAATATGATCATATTATTAATGACCTTATAATTTTCAAAATGTAATATTCAATAATTGTAGATTAATAATTAAAGTTCTAGATCATGTAACCGTTTTCACGGTTTAGGCTGCTCCCATTTCGCTGATTTTCAAAAGCTTGAATAATAGGTATTTTATATTCTAACATGAGCTTCCAAAAATTAGATTCAAATCCTCGTATAATTCAAATATCAATTTGGCTCAATATATTTCAAATTAAATATATCAGTTATGCAAGAAATCTATCACGCAAATCACCGTTAACTCACTTCAAAAAACATGCAAAGGGAGTAGCAAGTTAAGTACCAAAGACAGCATAGAGCACATTAATACTCTTCCTACATCTAAAGCAAATATTGTCCGCAACGTAAATACTCTCTCCGTCCCATAACAAAGTATCCATTTTTCCATTCTAGTCAGTCCCATAACAAAGTATTCATATCATTTTCTTTCGTAATGGTATTATCTACCTAACATTACAAATACCCTTGCAATTTACAATATATTACACAAATGTCATTACATTCATATCACACAATACTAATAAGATTATTTTAGTCATTTCTACTTTATTCCTACTATATCCCAATATAATACTAATATTTCTAAAACTCCGTGCAAAAATGAAACGGATATATAGTTATGGAACGGAGCGAGTAATAATAATAACAAATGTAAAAAATGAGAAACGTTCTTGAGATTCATAAGGAGCAACTAACCAACAAGATCCATTCCATCTTCAATCAGTTTCATTGTCTTCAAACAGGGCATATCTATAGGTTTCGAATAAGACTCAAATATCATTTCTGTCCTCAATTGGTTCTGTGGATCTTGTAAAGGGAAAAAGAATTAAGTCATTAAGTGAAAACATCGTAAATAAGACCAAGGCTAAGGGTGAGAAGCATGATGTAGAAGCCATGAATGAAACTGCCTTTTTTGGTAGTGAACACCGAGCAAATTGAATAGCTAAACAAAAAGCAAGGTTGATTTGAATACCAAATGCATTTCAAAATATCTTGAATATGACCTCGAATTCAACACATATGGTATATTACTAACTGTGGTGCCCTAAATCCCACAACTACAATGCTAGATTACTAATAGTTAATTCTTAGACAGTAATAATTGAATTCGAAATGCAAAAAAGTCGAATGAAAATCACATAATGAAAACATAAAAACTAAGGTGACAAGAAAAGTCCGCCATAGAACAATTATATGAAACTAGTGACTTATCTTAAAGAGGCTCACACCAATAGAGCCGAAACTAAATATAAATTACCTTTTCAACAGGGGTCGCACTAGTCGTCACTACAACCAGAATCTCTTGGAAACTCTTGACTACTTCTACTTCCAATTCTTCAACCAATGCTCTAACTTTGAAGAACAATTTGCAGTTTACACATTGCGGAGTTCACTCAAAAACAGCAATCGTCACTTGTCACTATAACCACAATCACTTGGAAACTATTGACTATAGAGAGCTATTGACAATTCTTCAACCAATGCTTTAACTTTAAAGAACTATCTGCTGTGCATGCATTTTTTAGTTCACTTGAATAAGGGCAGATGAATCTCTCAAAAAACTTCTCATCTGACATCTGGCAAAGTGAGGCGAGGGTGGGCCAATATTTAATCAGACTCCTATTTTCCAAAATTTCTAAAGTCTGAAACCGCGGCTTATACCTCTGCTCTATGCTGCATGAAAGTGCTGCTGGGTTATTAAGAATGCATGGCATACCATACTTTCCATTAGATAGAATAAAATCTTTCGTTGTCCTTATGTTATCCGCAGACATAACAACCACAGATGGTGACTTCTGAAATAATACCAGTATGTCACTTTCTGTGAATCCACAATTCCGAAGAGCCTTCAATTTGAGCTCCAAAACATTGTCGGACATTTGACATAAAGCTTGAACAGCATGTATGAACATTCTGGAGCTTCTATTCGCCCCCATCTCCTCAGCCTTTTCCACAGACTTCCTAAAACTTTCTGGGTTCAACATCATACACCTTGGAAAAGTATACATGAGTTTAATGATGCGTTCCATAGGCACACCATAGCTCTTCAATAATTCGATATTTGGAAGCATAGTCCTTTTGAAGTCGACGGTTACAAACCATCCCGATCTGCTCACAAACTTGGCAACAGCTTCATTGTTTCCTAATGAGCCTTTTAGCATAGATAATAAAGGAATGACTCTGCTATTCAAGTTTACCTTCAAAATGGAAGGATTAGCTGAGATTATTTTGGTAATATCCTTTGAAGAAAAGCCCATGTCCTGAAAAACCTTAATTTTGGGTTCAATGGAATTGCTAAAACGAGCCAAGAGCAATTCAGGCCAGACCTTCACCATTTTCTCCATTTGAGTATTTGAAAAGCCACGCTGTTGTAAATAAGACAGCATCGAATTGCATTTCTCGGTGTCTTTCACTCGATTCAAAACAGAGGCAGCTTTAGTGGCCACTTCGGCCGAAAAGTGGTGCTTCTGCTGCAACAAATCAAAAATTGCAGCGGAACTAACGCACGCTCCTTCGTTCGAAGTAGAGAAAAGGCGGAGACAAAACGAGCGAGCAATACAGTGAGGCGAAGCATAATCAGCGAACAAGCAGCAGGTAATCTTTCTGCGCAGAATTGAAATCATTTTGACAGAAGAACCGCGTAAAATCGATCGATACAACTTACAGATTCAAATCAGTCCTCTGGAAATAGGATTTGCACTATGCAGTCATGGAACACGAACTAAAACCGTGCCAACAGCCGTAGATGGAGACGGAGAGGAGAGCGCAGCCATATCGGCGAGCCCCTAGGGTTTGCAGTCGATCGTCTCTTGTGTTTAATTTAAGCGCCAAATAAATACATAAAGAGGCCTTTTTATCCATAATTTTGTAAATATTTTTATTTTTTTATTAATGATGTTTCTATTAGAAAATTTTGGTATATTTTGGGTTTGAATTTAATTTTAAAATAAAAACGATGATATATTTTGTTAGAGAACTTTTTTTTTTTTTTAAGTTTGTAGACAAAATAAACAAACCTCTTTTTTTTAGGTTTTTTTTCTTTTCTTTTTTTAATTATGAGATTTAGAGAGTGTGCTTATTTTGTGATAATGTTGAATTGAAGAAAAAAATTTATGTGAAAACAAAGCTAGAGTTTAGTTTAAATGAATTAAATTATATATTTATTGATAATATTACTATAAAGAATTAATATAAAAATTCGAAATGAACAAATATTTAAAGTAAATATATTAATAATCAAATCCAAGATTTCTTGATTTATTTTTAACAAAAATATTAAAAAGGAAGACACAATGGTGCACTTTTGGAAATTATTATTACAACAAGGCTTGACAGAAGTCTTATGCAATCGAATCCATCAAGTCTTATACAGTCGAAAGCCATTGAGAGGTCCAAAAATTTCCCCCAATCCGCCCATTTTTTACTCTACGAGGCAATGGAAAACTAAATGTCAGTTTTTTTAGACTAATTTTTTTAAATTTTATTATTTAAATTATATGTTTCCGGAAAAAAATATATATTTGTTTCTTTTACAAAAATATTTTATTAAACATTATTTTAATAACAAATTTAAATCAATTTTTTTAAAACTCAACCAAAAGAGCAATTTGTTGAGTTGAGTCGCAAGTTTTTTTTTTGTCAAATTCTTTGTTGGTCTTTTTTTTTTTTTTTTTATTGTTGAGCAAATAATACTGAATTAATTTGTTGCAAAGACATTTGGATTGAAAATTTCTGTAAAAAAAAAAGTATAGAATGTGGACGTTTTAAGTCTTGAGTTCGAGTCTATTGTTAGGTGAGAATTTCACTTTAATGTGTACAACCATGTATATGATATATTATCTTGTATAAGTCTCAGAATTTTTTTTTTTTTGGGTGATGGTGAAAAAGTTGACAGATAAGTCGAGGAAAGGTTGTTCAAAAAGAATTAAACAAAATTTTCGTTTATTAAGAATGAACGAACGCCTTCGATCAGTGCAATGTGATGTGTCTATTTATATATCTCTTGACTCATTTTGGTCGGAACAGATCTACTAATTTTTTGTAGGTCTTCAAATTGTTCATTTGAAAAAATGGAAACCCAGCCTTCTTAAGACCAAAGAGTCGGGCGGAAGGTGGGGCAAAATCCTACGAAAAGAAAATTGAGGATATGAATTAACTATATCAGATCCATCGGATGGACGTCAAGCAATGCCGCGTGGAGGTAGAATGCCCACGGGTCGTGAACTTCTTTTCCGAGAGAAGAAGCAATGATGGTATTTGGGGAATAAGTATCAGCTAACTTTGTACCAGGCGGTCACTAATCACAAGATATCTCCAACATCTAAATACATTTATTTTCAAACGTCAATGTGTGTTTTTGTTGAAAATATTATTGACTATACATACATAATTTTATTTAACAAAATATAATGGTAATATAGTTCTATAAGTGATGACATATAGGTGTGAGAAGTGAACTTTTGACCATAAGGTCCAGAGCACAGTTACTTATAATGTAACTGTATTTGTATTTATTTATATTTATATTTTATATTTATTTTTTTAATGATAAAAATTATTTATAATGAAATCAAATTGATGATTTTTTTTTTCTAAAACAAAATTGATTACTCCCCCGTCATTCAAATCTATCCTCACTTTTCTTTTTAAATTGTCATCGAAAAATATTCTTATTTTCTTTTTAAGTAAAAAAATCATTTTATTTTTCTTGGTCAAATAGTATTGTTTTTTTTATAGGAAAGAGATTTTTTTTTTCTAAAAAAATATGTTAGGACTGAATAAATACTCCATCCGTTCCCACATAATTTGATAGGAAAGAGACTTTTTTTTTTTCCTAAAAAAATATGTTAGGTCTGAATAAAATACTATGTCCGACCCATATAATTTGTCCGTATTTTTTTTTTGTTTCGTTCTACATAACTTATCTTTTTTATTTTTAAAATATAATTATGCACTCCCGTTTTAAATTTTATAATTTTTTTAATTTTAATTAAACTATTTATTTATTTTAATCCTAATTTATAATTATTTTTATTAAATAATAATTATTTTTACTAATATATTTTTTAATTATTTATTAATTATATTTTAGTCGAACGTGGGAGTAATTGACTTTATATAATAACCCTAATCTAATTCGCTCGTATCCTTCTTCTTCGAGCGTTTTCTTCTTCCTCTTCCTCTGCTCGGCTTCGTCTTGCTGTTTCTTTCTGCTATCGTCTTCGTCTTCCTTTTCCCTACCTTTTACTTTCCTCGACCTCGTCTTCGGCTGTAGTCGTCTTCGTCTTCGTCTTCCTATTCCCTCGCTTTTCTTGATTGATCGTCTTCCTCTTCCTTTTTGGATCCAACTGCCATCAGCTTTTTGGCAGGCCTAACACAGAAACCCCAACGTAGCATAGGTCTGGCGTGAGGGCTCTCGCCGATAATTTGGCTAAAGGGTAGACTACAGTACCGACCCTTAAACCAAAAACACCCTTAACCTTACCCGAATTAAATGCAGCTTACACACATAGACCAATAGACAGCGTAGAGTCTCTCCCACGAACCTGCCCCGGCGGCGGCCTTCCATTCTCCGGTGAAATATTTTCCGGCGTTGATGTATTAGTTGTAAACCTAAAACTTATCGCCCCGAGGCTACGGGGGAAATTGGGGCTTTGACCATCCGGTGTTTGATCACGTTTTGTTTTGTAGTTGCTGAACTTTTTCATTTTTTTTTCTCGATTGTTTGTGGTAATTTAGTGTGAGATTATGGAGAGCATAATTGGGAGGATTCGGAGCTTGGATGTGTACCCTAAGGTTAACGAGGATTTCTACAGCAGAACTCTATCGGGAGGCGTTATAACCTTGGTTTCTTCCGTAGTTATGCTGCTCCTGTTCATCTCGGAACTAAGTTCGTATTTCTTAATCTCATCTCTCTGTTTTCCTGGACTGGTAATTCTTTGAGAAATGAGAAATTGACATCCACATTAAGTGAAACAATTTTATGGCAAAGTCAATCAATCCTATAGGATTAAAAATTAGTTGATTGACAAGAAAATGAATGAACCAGTTTCCTGTTCTATGTTTGTGCGGTTGTGATATGTTTTGAGAAACTTTGTGTTTATGTGCAGTTTAACTTTTGACATTGTTTAGTGTGCTGGACTTTTTATTTCCATATCTGCTGAAGGGTCGAAGTTATCTGTGTAATTTTGGAAAATTTGATGGTTTTCTGTTTGGAAAGATGTGAATGCCATAAAGTTTTTTATATTGTGAGATAGTGGGAATTAAGTAAAGAGATTTGGTTTTGTTCATATGCTTCTTTGGCAGTCAAATTAGCTTTTATGTTGTTATGTAAGCCCCGTGAGGCTGTGCCTTTTCTGGATTTGACACTATATGCTGCCTTCATCTTCTCCATCAGAATACTATGATAAAAATATACTTCATTGCTTTCACTTACGTATGTGGTTTAATGTATTCATGTGCCTGGGATTTTAATATCTGTCCCATAAGACATTTCATATTTAGCTCTTGATATGATATTTATATTTGTGTTAGATTATTTGTAAACATACGAAGGAACAGAGGGTTGGAATTTATTAAGGTTTAAGCTATATAAGTTAACACACGGTATCATTATTAACTTATGGCATTTAAATCTTTGCTGAGATTATACACTAGATTACTCATCTATTCAAATTTGTGTTCTTCAATTGAAATCTTCTTGATACATTTGGTGTTTAGATTGTTTAAGTTAGTTTCAAACTTTTGAGCCCTTGCTATATGTGCATTTTCATGAGGTTTATAGCTTGGATGTCGTACAAAATTTGTATATCATGCTTGTGATTATGGCAAGTTTTGTATATTGCTTGAATGTCTTTATGCTTCTAGCCATATATTTATTGATACCTTACCTACGAAAATGAAGTCATATGTTAATTGTGATAATTAATATACTATTTCTTAATGATAATGTAATACATGCTATAACCTTGTTATGGGGTAATTGCTTGCTCTGGTAAGTTTCTTTGGGTTTGCTTGGATGTGATTTGGGAGTGGTTTTGTGGTCTGGGAATAGTAAACATTTGAATCGAGATAGATTTTTGATGTGATGTTTTAAATGAAAGATGATTTGTGATGTAATATTTAAATAAAAATATAGGTGTTTGATGTGATGTTTTAAATGAAAAATGAATTTTTGATGTAATATATCAAATAAAAAAAGAAAAGGAAAAAAATCACATTTTGATCTGAAAAAACAATATTGAAGTACCTTATTAGCAATCCTGCAAAGCAGCAGAATGAAAAGTTGTCTGTATAATTGGAATCAATACTCTAATAAAGCCCTGTTCTAAATTAAAGGAAACATATTTTGAACTAAATAAATTTGAAGGTCAGCGCACATGGGTTGATTACTCTCTATACTTTTCTTTTGTTGGCTATTCCCCTGTATAATGCTTTGAGTTGATGCTGCTTTATGGGGAATGTGTGAGGGCCCTAGAGAGCTTTTGTGATGTGCAATGTCAATTCCATGTGTTTCACTATTATCAACTATAGGATGCCTTTTGTTTCTCATCGACCCTAACCTCCACACACTCCCTATAAAGGTTGTTATGGTGTTGCTAGTCATAAACATCGGAAATTTAATGTTGGTTATTTGGTATGTATATTCATTTACATGTTGACATTTTGATATCTCCAGAAATGCTAGTGTCAGTATCTCTGAGTATATTACTTCTAGTTTCTTTTGATATGGGGTCAGCCTACATCAGCTAAGTAAGTGGCTAGAAATGAATTTTATCCTATAATATTTTGTTCCACCCAGCTTTTTGTTTATGTTGAATACTGTGTAAAGGGTAAACCCATATCCCTTCCTTGTCCATGCCTTAAGAAGATTATACATTAGTTTAAAGTCTTTTCCATGACCAATGTGAGACAAGTGCCTTATATTCTCCTTCACCCCCTTCGTGATTGAGCTCGCGTGCTGTCACCTTCACTTGAGGGTAGCCGTCCTTGATCATTTACTTTAGTTGGCCTCTTTGGTTGGCTTGTTTTGAGAAGTCACACATTTTGATCTTCACTATTGTGTTTCACCATTTTTGCTGTTTACCCTTTAGGATTCGTTTTATGATATTTGTCTCTACTAACTAGTTGAAGTGAATTCATGATTGAACAAACTATGGCTTGCCTATCCAGAAGGATTGTAATGTGTGCATTACCTATTAGGTTTTCCAATATCCAAATGTTGATTTATTATTATTATTATTCAATATTTTTCCATAGAATCAATAGAGTGTGTAGTTAATTGAGGTGGACGTTTGAAATTTTGAACTTGTTGGGAAATTGCTAATTAAGAGCATACATCTACCAGATATTCTCTTTTCGAAATTTCCTATTTATGTCAAGCATTCATCTTTTGAAAAATACTAGCGTTTTCTTGATATATATTACACAATTTCATTTTTTGCTCTTGCCCCTTGTCACCCCATCTCCCTTCACTGTAATGGTTGAATTTGCAGGATTATATCTTCATGCAGTAACAGAAACAAAGTTAGTGGTAGATACATCAAGAGGGGAAAGGCTCCGTATTAATGTATTATTCCTTTTTTGTTGTTTATATGTTTAGATATTACTATTGTTGCTTGTTTAAACATATAATGGTTTCTTCATTTTGTTTTCCTGAAATGTTTATGAAATCATGTCAACCTTGAATTCACAGCATCATTTGTGTCTCTTTTTGTGAAGTAATTTTCATTTGCCTTTTTTTTTTTTTTTGTCCTTTCAATGGGTTGGTTACTGTTGGGCCTTCTTAAATATATATATATATATATATTTTATGAAAACATCTCAATAGAGTTGTTTCTTTTGTTTTCTTTTTTTTTTTTTTCTTATGCTGTTAGTTCGGATTCTCTTTATGTTACCTGAGATTTTGTGGCCTTTGAACTCAACTAATATGTGCATGCCTAAAATGTGAGTGATTGTGTAACAAAAAAGGGAATGACAGAAATAGACAGGAGACCTGGCCATATATGTGTGTGTGTATAATCTATACTCACAAATCAATTCATCTGAAATAAAGCACTACTGAATCAGCTAGAGAGCATATCATAGTCTATAACACTTTCTGTTCTAATTCCAACTACAACGTTCTACCTTCCTTGTAGTTATTTTAAATTCATTGCTTCATCTCATTAATGAAAATAACATGATTTATTGAACGGGCAATTTCATTTATGACCTTTTTGCCATATCATGAGACATGAATTTCTACCTTCATGCCCCGTTGCGTTTTTATCTACTTTTGTGACATGATATAGTTTGCTAACATATAAGGGTCTTTAACTAGATAAATTTTGTTTATTTCATAAAAACTTGCAGTTTGATGTGACTTTTCCAGCACTCCCATGCTCTATGGTCAGTCTTGATGCGATGGATATAAGTGGAGAGCAACACCTGGATGTTGTAAGTGCTTTAATGAGATAATTTCTTTCAATTGCTTTATGTGTTGAAAGATTCATCTCACTTTTTTGCACTGCCAAATATATGTAAATATTTTAAGCTAGTTGCCTAATATCCTGTTTTTATTTTTATTTTATTTAATACTCCCTCCGTCCCCGAAATCATGTCACTATTCCTTTTTTGGCCGTCCGCAATCCATTTATAATAAACAATTTTTTTTACTCACTTATATTTTTTGGTGTTTGTAAGTTGTTGTTTGATGTATAAGTTTATAGCAGTGTTAAAGTTTATATCAGTGTTATGTTCTGTGTGTATACAGAAATACATAGTATAATATGCTTGTCTTATCCGATATTTTTGCGTCAGTAGAAAACAAAAGTGGGTCTCCTAGATATAAGTTTGTTAAAGAATGCCAACCGTAGAAGAACTAGCATATATGACAGGTGAAAAATTTTGAGAACTGCTAATTGATGGATCTCTCCTGAAAATTGATAATACTGTTTAGTTTTTATTTTTGTTGCTCTTTAAGTGACATTGGATTATTCCTGCAGAGGCATGACCTAATAAAGAAGAGGATTGATGCCAATGGCAATGTGATAGAAACAAGACAAGATACCATTGGAACTCCCAAGGTTAGTATCTTTGTTAAATTATGGAGAATATTTCAAAAACTTTTGGATCAACCACTTTTATAAGTTTGCATAATTTTTGTTTGTGATACCTAGTCATGCAGTGAGCCACAAACTTTAAATAGGAATATCCTATGATATGTAGAAACACCCTTTCTAGATCGCATTAGATTAATGTTTTTGCCTTATGCAAGTTATGTCTAATTCTACTACAAACATCCATGTGTGATAATATTTGTATTTTATTCTGGCAATACCTATTGTAACTATTGTGAATGGAGTTTGCACTTACTACTTTTAAAGAAATGATGTCTTGTTCTGTTTTTATGTCTTTTGATGGCCAAGATTGAACGACCATTACAAAGGCACGGTGGAAGGCTAGAAAAAAACGAGACCTATTGTGGCTCATGTTATGGTGCAGAAGCGGTACACTCCAATTCATATTATATGCTGGTTTTTGTATAGTTATTGTAATTACTTCATCTAACATTGTGCTTTACCATGCAGGCTGATGACGATTGTTGTAATAGTTGTGAAGAAGTTCGGGAAGCATACCGAAAAAAGGGCTGGGCATTGTCAAATCCAGATTTGATTGATCAAGTTTGTGCCTCTTACTTATTTCCTTATTATATTCTAGTGCTTTCCAATTGATATATGCATTTTTAGCAACACAAACATATTTCCCTTCCTGTAGGTTGTTTTTATACCAAGATAACATGATACCTGAAAATGTTTTGATTTCATTGTCTCATAAGCAATTGTTGCTAGAATTTCAACAGGCTAAAGGTCCACATATTCATGGTTGCACTTAATTCCATTTTGGCTGTTATTGTAGACTATGCTTATGATGACCGTTGATTAGTATAAAAATGCTGTACATTGTAATTGCTGGACCGTTAAAACTTTTCCGTGCAAGTTATTACATGATATTCTTTGGTTTTTGCATCCATATTTTCAAAATTTATCTCAGAGGTGAATGCATCTATAATCTAATGTCCTGTTCTTGTAGTTGGTCATTGAATGCAGAAACAATTTATTTGATTTAGTGAGACAACTATTCTCACACTCTTTGTACATTTACTCTGCAACCAATGTGTAATTTTCTTGAACTATTTACTGTGCTGGGTGGCTGGATTGTATTCCCAACCGTTTGTCAGATCATTTTTTATATATGCATGCTTCAAGTTTATGGCTTTCCTTCTGCCTGCAACTCTATTAAGCTAGAAAGTATATGCTTAAACTTTTATTATATGTTTTACTGCAAATGTCCATTGGTTGATATGTAGACGTGAGCCCTCTAATGAACCAAGATGATTACAGACTAATTTTTTGTTAGAACCTGGAAGCTGCTTTATTTTTTTCTTTGTGATGGTTTATACATAATATAAGTTCAATTCATTTTCCAATCACATATAAGTAAGGGTGTGCTTGGTTTCAGTTTGAAACCGGTTTGTACTATGCTCCTAATTTTTTCCATCTAAAATATTTATCAAATTTAAAATTAGACTCACTTAAGGTGTGTCCTTTTTGTGTTTTTTTTATACACATTTTTCCAAAAATAGTAATACATTACACACATTTATTATTTTTATATTACCTACGTAATTCTCTATACTTCACATAAAAAAAAATATTCCTTCAAACTATTTCACAAAATAAACGCACCCTTATATTTTCATATTTCCGCCTCCCCTAAATAAACAAATACATTGATAAACATTTAAAATTTCTTATTTCATGGATAATTATATATTATTTATTTATATTATATAAAATTTTATTCTCTATTAAAATAATATTCATATCAAATATATTTTGTTAGTGTACGTTAGAATATAGGAAAAGATATCTAATCTTGTAATGAGGAATTCATTTTAGTGTATAGATAGAATTAGTGTAAGTTAGACTAAAGGAGAACATATTCACTCTTATAAGAATGTCATTTTCGTATGTAGATGCAATCAATGTAATAAATTGGAATTTTGACATAATTGTATCTTTGTAAAGTCTGAGACAAAAGACAGTATGATAGTTTTGATGTAATTATATTATGGGATTATGTTTTATTTGTTTCTTTTGTTGAGATATACTCTTGATAAATACTGTGGTTAATATTATTTAGATTTGATGGTTATTATTTAATCATGTCTACTAGATTAATGTGTTATTATTTGCGTTTGTTCTTTTTGTGTCATCCTGGTAAATAGATTTTGATTTTATTACTAATAAACAACTTAGAAGTTAGAAATTCTACCAAAATGCAACGTGGTATTAGAACCATAATTTTTTGGATACTTCTGGTAATTCGAAATGTTCCTGGAGGATTGCCTGAATTTGAAAAAATATCGTACCTATTTTAAGACTTGTTTAGCACTTTCCCATGCATCCTACCTACACCCCAATTGCCCACTGTAAGACGACACTGGCCATTGAATACCATGAAGTAGCATGTGTGAGCCATCTGCATTTGTCAATGTTTTTACTTTTGCCGACTCCGGCCATGCTCTGTAATTTTTCATTGACAACATATTGAGAATATTTCCCACCTATCTGTCAAGTTAGTTTTATGTTCTGATCAAGTTCTTATTATTATTATTATTATTATTTTTAATTTTATGTTTTGTCTTCAATTATATGTCAATTAGAGTTTAACTTCTTGGAGTTTAGCTCCTCTCATCTGACGGGTATCACTACTGCTGCCGCTAGAAACCCTAATTTGACTAAAATTCTAATTTCTTAGGGTTTTAACACCATGGCTGCGATAGAGGATTTTTGGATGGTGCCGTTACGATAGAGGATTGATATGATTAGTCTAAAGTTAAAACCCCATGATATGCCATACTGTAGAACTCTTTGAACCCATCCATACTACCAACAAATCAAACATTCAAAACTTGCTGCGAAGTTTGTCTAGATATAGACTTCATCGCCTTAAGTTGGCATCCATAGTACCACCTCAAGTTTGAGGGAATGTTTGGGATATATTTTTTATAGATATTTTGGTTAATATTATTTAGATTTATTATTATTCATACATATCTATTGGATTGTGTTATTATTTTTCTTTATCTCTTTTGTACCATGTTATAGTAGATATATATGAATAATAACCACCAAATATGAATAATATTAATTAAAATATCTATAAAAATTATATCTCAATATTCCGCCTCAAACTAAAATTGGGGCCGTAGAAGCCAATTTGTGGCAAGAGAAACCAGAGGAGATAAAGTCTGAATTTGGACAGGCTTCATAGCAAGTTCCACCTTAAGCTTCATAATTGGACATCGGATTAGCTTGGAATCCCTATCAGTCGAGTGCTAATGCCCTCAGCCGGTACGGACCATTCAAATGGATCATATGTTTGGCAATCCTCTACTGTGGCAGGCGGTGCTAAACCCTAAGAAATTAGAATTTGGCCAAATTAGAGTTTATGATGATAGTGGTGGCAGTGATTCTTTTTGGAGCGGTAACACTAGACATTAAGAAATTAGGGTTTTTGGTGACAGCTGTGGCGACCTATGGTCGCGATGCCAGTAATCCCTTTTCACAGCGGTAGCGTTAAACCTTAAGAAGTTAAATCCTAATTGCTAGGAACTCTGGATAGATGACTGAAGATCAAACAAAAAATTTGATCAAAATTCGAAAATAACTTGACAGATTAGCCGGCAATATTTCTAGTATGATGTTGCCGGAAAAATTTGGAGATTGGACGTATCTCCATGTGCGGCCGGAGTTGGCGGCTGTAAAAATGTTGACCAACATGGGTGGCTCACAAGCACTGCTTTTAACGACGATGTTCGGTTGTCAATGTTGTCTCAAAGTCAAGAATACAGTTGTTGTGTTGGTTGAATGGTTGGATGCATTGAGAAAGTGACAAATAGATGCGATCAGCACGGACTTGTTATTTTTAGGTGTGGCTGATATTTTCGGAGTGGTAAAGGATTTCATATTCAAGAGGTTTTTCTTCGAGTACATTTCGGATTACAGTCATGTATTCCGAAAAAAAATGACTATGATACCATGGAACATTTAGGGAAAATTTCTAAACTTATATTATTAATAATGAAATTAGAGCTTATATATAAGCATGTTATAAAAGAGATAAACACATCTAATAACAACTTAATCTAATAGATATGTCTAAATAATAATCACCGAATATAAATAATATTAACGAAAATATATCTCCACAATTACTATGTAAGATTGCATGTACATTTAAATCGTATGTTCTTTAGTTTTTTACAAGGATTATGGTAATGTTGTAATTCTCATTTTATATATTTAAATGAATTGTTTAATTGAATGCCAGTTTATTCTTCTGAGTTCTGATCAGTCTAGAATATGTGTGAATTAGAGATTGCAGTGTGTTAACATAGATATATTCCTATAAAAATTAAGTCTAAATATTATCATGATCTAACTGAAGTCTACACCATTGTTGTTGCCAAAAGTTAATACTCTTTGTAATGCATCACCGCCTGACTATGAAGAATCAATCTAGAGAGTGCAAAATTATCATCAATCTGGTGTACGGATTGGGGTTTTGTATCTTTTATGGTGGCTCTAAGTACTCACCTTTTGGGTTTGTATTTATGATTTCAAATCAGTGCAAAAGAGAAGGTTTCCTTCAAAAGATCAAAGATGAAGAGGGAGAAGGGTGTAACATTTATGGATTCTTGGATGTCAATAAGGTAGGTGGTAACTTCCATTTTGCACCTGGGAAGAGTTTCCAGCAGTCAAATGTACATGTTCATGACGTGCAAACCTTTCAGAAGGACAGTTTCAATGTAAGACATCCTTCTACCTCTCAAGTTTTCTGAACTTTGTGGTTTCAATCAAATTATATATTTCCTTCATGTCACATATACAGCTATGTAAGTCTAAATTGAACTGATTTAGGAGTTGCACTGCAGATAAGTCACAAAATCAACAGATTAGCATTTGGAGATTACTTCCCTGGTGCAGTAAATCCTCTTGATGGGTATCTAGCCCCTTTCCTCCTTGTCTGATAGATGTGTTATTTTTAGTCTGATGTGGATAGTTTTCCATTTACTGTACTAATGTTTCATGCATCTGCAATTTTATCTTTATTCTTTCATCCTGCAGTGCACAATGGGTACAACATACACCAAATGCAATGTACGAATATTTCCTTAAGGTTTGAATTTGCTTTATTTCTTCATATATTTCCACATTCTGTCCATTTTTTTTTAAATTTGTGTGTTTCTTAATACTGCTTAAGGGTTGTTTGGATGTTGGCTAGCATATAGTTTCCTATTTGTGTGTTGTGCTCATGATCTGTGTAATTTTGCCAGCATGATTTACTACAATAATTTCATGGATGCACATAAATTTCTCTACCAGTTATAGTATCAATTTACTATGACCAATTGTTCTGCAGTAATTTGATGTTGGATAATATGCTCGCTCGAGTTCAGAATATAACAGTTTACTAACTGGTTCCTGGTTTAATCCTCGTTGATACTTCATTCTGTTTCCCTTCTCAAATTTTTGTTTCGGTTTTTTGTGTTTTCGGTTACCAACTAGCATTTTCCTTAGATACTTCATTCTGTTTCCCTTCTCAAATTTTTATTTCGGTCTTTTGTGTTTTCGGTTACCAAGTAGCATTTTCCTTAACATATACCTACTAAATTTATGTCCGTCTTTTTTTTGTTTGTCCACGAGAATATGACTTTTTATTTATAGTAAATAATTCTTCACTTTTTAATTTATAACTTTTAGTGTTACACATATTTATAAATATACCACAATCACTTGCACACTCAATTTATTAAAAATAATTCTCACCTTATTAACTCGCTTATGTACTTTCTAAAATGTCTCTATTTTATATCACAATCAACCAATATCATACTATATTTATTAAAATCTGTGTCCAGCTCTAATAAGCATAAATTTCATGGACGGAGGGAGTATATTTTACGGCATCTCTTTTACGCCAACATTATTATACCAAATATTGCTAATTGCCATGCTATTGGAATATCATCACCTTATATTGTTACCTACGTCAAATTTATTATTATTTCTTTTCCTTCTCGACCCTCTTCTAATTTTCTTCAGAAAGTTCTGTGGTGGTAAAGAGGGGAATATTCTCCTTCCAAGGTTAATAAGTGTTTCAATATTAACATATGTTGCAGGTTGTACCAACTGTGTTCACAGATGTCGATGGACACACAATTTACTCAAATCAGGTTCGTCATCATTACAATTCATGCTTCTGGCTTTGCTCAAATTGCCTACACAAATTATATTTGCATATCTAGCCTCCTTCAGTTTAGCAATGGCCAATTTCTTTTCTCTTATGTAAACTACCTAGGGGTGAATAGATTAAATTATCTTTTAATTTATGCTATAACGGTGTATTATGTTCTCTCTCTCTCTCTGCTGTTGTTTGGAAGTGACATCAGATTAATGTATGTGTGTCTTGATTCAGTTTTCAGTAACAGAACATGTTAAAGGCGGGGAGGCAGGTCAACTTCAATCTATTCCCGGTGTATTTTTCTTTTACGACCTCTCGCCAATTAAGGTTGGAATTCTGTTTCCATTTGATAGCTCAAAAATAGGAGTTTTACTTGTGTTTTTCCTTTTACCAGACAGCCCTTCGTAAAGTAACTTAATACATAAAGAATTTAACATAATACACATCTTGGTGTGAAGGATATTCTTTATTGTGGTATTAGAATAGAACAAGAGAGGCAGTGTGTTTGCACATTTCTACCCGGCATGATATATCATTTTACGTGCAAGACTGTAAAATGTACATCTTATTCCCGAGACTGGCGTGTGAGAGGCAAACAAACGTGATATTTCACTATTAGTTCGAGTTTCTAAGTGGGTTGATCATTTGATAGCTCTCTTTTCATGATTGACATATCTTTATGTGCTACATTCAAATTCCAATATACATTAATTGGGCACTAAATATTTCGACTTGTTTTACTTTTTCTTGCGACAGGTGACTTCTATAGAGACATATTTCCCTTTCTTGCACTTCCTGACCAACGTCTGCGCCATTGTTGGGGGTAATTACTCTTTCACCAGAATATTCAGATTGTTTACTTTTTTCCCTATATTAATTGGTTCTGCTTTGTCTTTAGGAGTATTTACCGTCTCAGGGATAATCGACTCGTTTGTATATCATGGTCACAATGCAATTAAAAAGAAAATGGAAATAGGCAAGTTCAGCTAACCCTCGATGCATTGCAAACAAAATTGAAATGAGCTTGCTCGAGAGAAGATAAAACCTTATAATCGAAGGAGTTACATCCGGTACTCTTACAATGTTTGCAAATCATTTTCCATTTAATTTGGAGTTCTCGGTTCAATTCGATTTTGTCTTTTGGGAGAGGTTTCGAAGACGAAACTTGTTTGGATGTTAGTTTGAACATGTAAAAATAGTACATATTTTGTTGCCAAGTTAATTATTACCATTTACCAACGTTTATTTTTTCTATCATTTTTTGAAACTATTTATTTTTTCGACTATATGTTATATAGTACTCCTCAGTCCCATATAATTATAAATTAATATTTAGAAATAATTATTGTATAGAAAAAATAATTATAAATTAATATTTAGATAACTAAATAATTTAGTTAAGATTTAAAAAAATTATAAAATTTAAAGTTTAAAATGGGATTAAAATGTATAATTATATTTTTTAAATTAGAAAAGACAATATGTGGACAGACGAAAATAAATTATATGAAATGAATGGAGCATTGTTCTTAGCTAGAAACAAAAGCCCATGAGACTCAAAGTTGTTAAGCTAAGCTTTGTTAGAAGAACGGATGTGAATTATTATTGCACATCCGGGACTATTCGTCTGTCGGGCGATAGTTAGAAGCTACATAATATCCGAAAAACTTTGTCCCGAAAGTAGAGCTGTTAAAAGAGCCGAGCGAGCTTGAGTATTGGTTGCTCGAGGCTTGAATTTTATACATATTATTTATATTTGTAATATATATTTAATTTTATTCATAATTTTTTATAATAAAATATTCAAATTTTAATAATAAATATAATTTTTGATATAAAAAATTATATATATTATCTTAATATATAAATAATATAAATATATTATCACTAACGAGATCAATTGAGCTACTCGCGAGCCGAGTTCGAGCTCGGCTCGTTTATAAAAAAAATAACTTTTCAGATCGAGCTCGGCTCGCGAGCTACTCGATTCGTTTAACAGCTCTACCTGAAAGTAGTCAGGTTCACAAAATTGTTTGTAGTTGCAACTATTTGCTATCGGAATGGGGAAGCAGATGATACAAAGTCATGAAAGATGTGATATGATCGGAGGCTTGCGCCCGAACTAGTAAAAAGTGGACACAATGGCCATCAATGAAGACATCATTCGATGGGTAATAGATCGAGTGATGATGAGAATGGTGTTTTTGTCCTAGCACCGGAGAAACCGGTAATAGGAATAAAGCGAGAGTTGCTTCTCTTTGTTGCCGGCATGGCATAGCACATATCAGGTTTAGGAATGAAAATGGGACGGTGTGGGGAGGATTTGTGACTCGGTTATGGTTTAAATTTTCGACTCCTTCGAATTTTGTTTGCACCATATAATTCGTGTAATATGATTTGTTGTTGGGCCTAGTGGTGCAATTTGGATGTGAACATGATTGTATTCAGTATAAAACACTTTTTATCTTCTTATTTTATATTTTTCGGTTATTGTCGTCGAAACTAATAAAATTAAATTTAAATTTACAAAATAATGTTACTTTAGTCCGACTCTAAGGATCTCATTTACTTATTACGTGTAAATCTTTGAATATTAATTAGTATTATATCAAAATATAGTACAAATTAAGAAAAAAATTACAAAATGATAGTTGTAAAAAAAATATACAAATACTACAAGGGGGTATTTTCAATATTAAGTACAAGGAGAGATAGTATATTTTAAGTTCACTCAAAAAGTATATATTCTCTCAGCCCCATATCTATATATTCATTTGTTTTTTGCACGAAGTTTTAAAAATATTAGTATTATATTGAGATAAAGTATAAATTAAGATAAAAAGACTAAATTAACCATATGATATAAATGTAATGACATTTGTATAATATATTGTAAATTGAAAGAGTATTTGTAATGTTAGGTAGATAATACAATTGCTAAAAAATGAAATAAATACTTTGTTATGAGACGAACTAAAATAAAAAAAAATTGATAGATTGTCAAGGGACAAATTGAGTCTATATCTATTCCATTCATTTAGATATAAAATGCATATTTTATTTTTATTAAGTTTTAATCATACCAAATATTACAAATATATTTAAAAAATAAAAATATAAAAAATTTTAAGTATACAAAATATCTGTAACTTTTTCTCCTGGAAAATTATGTATATTTAATTTTTGGATTATCATCAAAATTCTAATATGTATATATATATATATATATTTCTTTTTTTCTAACAAAAAATATATCTATAAAAGCTTATCTATTTTTATTAAAATCGTAAGAAAACATTTTAGCATTCAAATGGACGGCTAGAGAAAGTATTATTTAGGATCTTTTCTTTATATTCAACTAGCAGAATACCCGTGCTGTGCTATTTTTTATTTTTTTATAGTAATTTCTTTATCTATTATATATTTTTAATTAATATAAAAAAATAAAATCATATTAATAAATTATACTATTTTCGTAAATATTTAATTTTGTAGTATTTTACTTTTATTTCTTAATTGAATATAATATTATAATATAATAGTATTATTCAAGTAATTTTAAATGCAAAATAAATTACATTTTAAAAAATTAATATAATGTTTTCTATATCTTCTTTATAATCATAATTACATATAAAGTTATTTATCAATATATATGTTGTAATTCTAAAATAAATTTAAAACATAAGACTATCATTATTAAAATTCACATAAAAAAACAAAATAAATATATATATACTATTTTTTAAACATTTATATGTGGTTGCATAATGATTTTTTAAATTAGTAAATTTTATGCATTTACTTTGGATATTATTACGCATTTATTATTTTTCCATACGAACATATTAAAAGTTTATTAATAAAAAATATATCAAGAATCTACATACCAGCCATCTTTCTATCATATTTTTTTTTGTTTTACATCAAATTAATTTCTTTCACTAAATATCTTACAATAAATTAAAAAATAAAAAATATATATAATCCAACAATACTCTACAAAACAAATTTCTCATTCTATTGCAAACAAAGGAAAAACAAATAAAATTTCCACTACACCCATAGCAATAATTTTAACACTTCTTCTGATTTAAACTACAGCTGCTGTAGGATCATCTGCAAGTTCGAACAAAAACATCATCATCATCCACTAATTCTCGGCAAAACAGACACAACAAATAGAACCAGCATCAGTCCACCACTGCAGACGCCCACATCAGACAAGACTATCCGAACACAAACTTTACCGGAAAGAACTTCGATGGGTACACCAAATTTAAAAATCGGCAGCATGCCGAACATGTCATTGCAATGAGAGACACACTATTGATGAAAATGATGAAATAGATCAACTATTATTCACACATATATATATATATATATATATAGAGCCATATTTGGAAGACAAAGTAATAGAAAAAAAAGACTCTTCGATTCCTCTCCATTATCATAATTAAGAGAAATAAATACAAAAACTCTTCATTTTACTTGGAGCCATTAATATTAATTAAAAACTCTTAATTATACATAATGTTTATCCAAGATAAATATAAAATATTATATAAATAATAGTAATATACATAAAACAAAAAATATTTTTGCACATAAATAAAAAAATATTTTTATTCACGGTCTTTTATAACTAATAATTTTTTTTCTTTAAAAAAAAAAACTAAAACTATTGAAATTTTTTACTTGGGGCCATTAATATTAATTAAAATAATAATTATGTATCATGAGAAATATTAATGTCTTAAGATATGTGAATGATCAATTAATAACAAAACTAAAATTGTTAAAAATTAAAACTTTTGCAAAATCTACAAATATTTAAGTATATAAAACGATTCTATCAAATAATCAATAAAAATAAATAATTATTAAAAAAATAAATTTAATATTTAAATTACACCATATTTAATATATATACGCATAAAAAATTATTAGAAATTAATATTATACTATTATTATTAAAAAATATATATATAAATTATATAAACATATTATATGACATAGAATAAAAAAAAATGTATTGGTCTACATTCATATAATAGTTAATCAAATTCAATAACAAAAGAAAAAATTCAAAATTGTTGAAAATTCATAACCAATCAAATCTTTCACCAAATCAAATTTTTTTAAAAAAAATTTAAAAATCCTATAAATTCTTGTCTTATATTGTGGTGGGGGCGCAACGAGCTCAAATATATATATATATATATATGATATAATATGATATGATTTGGGCAAATTCACAGTTCAAACAATGTGCATATTCAAAAATATCTCAAAACTCCTTCTACTTTCCCTTTTATTTTATGATACTTGATTGATTGTGTTCAATGGCAATTAACATAAATTAATTTTCAAAATCATATTATTATTATTAATTTTATAAATTTAATCTAATATAAATTTATATTAGGGTATGTTTTCCCAACTTGATCAGGAGGAATCTTACTGTGCAGTACACAGTAAAAATTCAGCTAAATCACCCCTGTCTCTCTATCCAACCGAAACATTGCAATTTGTGCAGCTTTTTTATTTTTTTAATATTTATAAAATTATTCTAATAATAAAATAATAATATGATAATTATAATAATTATATATTATATAGTAAAATTTTTTTATAATACAAATAAATAAAATTTTTAAAATATACATGTAGATATAACATAAACTCATAATCAAATCATATTATTATTACTTTTTAAAATTTAAATTTAATATATATTTTTATTTTTATTTTTTATTATCCATTAAATCAATATATTAAAATTCTTTAAACTCAAACCAAATTTATATTAAAAAAAAAAACACATAAATTCAAATTTATCTTAAAATTCAAATAAAAATCAAATTTAAATTCAATTTTTCTCAAAATCCTCTAAAGAAATACATCCTTATTATTTTTATTAACTATCATATCAAATAGACGTGAAACAAAAACTCTAAACTCTAATAAAATTTAAATTATTTTTAATCGAGTTCTCACATTTTACTATTTAGTATTTGCATTTTTTAATTTCTTTTCGCAAAATAAACATTATTTTCGTACTAAATTCAAATTATTATTATTATTATTTTTTAAAACTGATACAAAAAACACACCCAATATCTAAACTTAAATTCAATTTCTCAGAACATTCGAAAAACACCCTTATTTATAAGAAAAAACAAATGTATAATTGGACGGATTTATAGAAAAACCCTAATCTAATTCGTCCAGTGGGTGCGTCGTCTTTCTTCGTCGTCCCCAGCTTCCTCCTCGCCGTCTTCCTTGTCGCCGTCTCCACCGAATTCACTCTCCTCTTCCTTGTCTTTCGCATCTGCTCCATCTCTCCCTCGGTTCGACTTTTCCTCTTCTTCGTCCTCGTAAGTCAGTTATTTAGTCTGCAACAAGCCTCTACCGCTACTGCTACTGCTACTGCTGCATAAAAATTTGTGACTTGGGTACTTCACACATAGCTAAGGCTTTCGATTTTCGCCCAATTTGTTATTTTAAATTATATTATTGACAGGAGAATGCTTAAATTAGAACTATGAGGAGTATTTGCTTGTATTGTTGAAGTAGAGATTTTGTTGGCAAGGGGTGGACGTGTTTTGAAGGTAAAGTTTGAGAAAATGTCGTGTTGATATAGAAGTGATTCACTGGAAGAAATAGGAAAACTGGCAAATCAAAATTGGTGCATTTGTTTGATTGATTGCTAGTGCATTGAGAATTATTCTGTAATGATTAGTTAGTTGTAGAAATTGAAGACAATGCATTGTTTTTCGGTTGTCCAGTGATGAGTTTATTTGTCAGTATAGGTTTTAACAGCTTCATAATTTTGGCCTAAACCATTGAATAATCTCATTTAGATTGTCACTTTCAGAAGCTTGGGCCAAACTTTCAAGAATGTCACTTTTCCATTTTTGTTGAAATTTCCATTTTCCAATTTTATGGAGCATTTGTTATTGGGACTTATATAAAAAAAATGGAAATGTTCCTTCTGCATCTTTTTATACTTTTGGGTATTTGTTTCTTTTTACTTATGTTTATCTTGTTTTTAGAGTAAATCTAACCATTTGTTGCCATTCATTTAATCACATGCTCATTTTCATTGAACAGAACTCGGAAAAAAGCTCCATTATCCCCGGGCAATACACTAGTTGCTCGTCTATATTGTTGGTAGAAGATGGCAAGTGCAACAGGACTCGAAAACCTTGTTGACCGTATGAATCTTTATTTCTTCCATTTACACTTTTGTATTTAGAACATGTGCTTGAATACCTATAGACACAGGGACAATAGTGAGTGATTAACCAGTGGAAAGCTTAGTAAGAGATTTCTCTTAATCGCCACTCTATTTCAAACTCTATCGAGGAAGTCATGTTTTTGTTTTAATATGAACTGTGAACTCTTTGTCTTCTACATTTTGTACTGAGACATCCAGAGTCTACTATGGGCAGAGCCAAATCCTTTTTGAATACTTCTTATCATTTTTTTCCACTTCCTTCTATTACATTCATTATATAAATTATATGTATACACATATTTTTCCAGTTTAATGTGTTCATAATTCATTTCAACATTTAACTTCTGCTATCCTATTTTTTATTTCCTGTTCACATTTAATTCCTAGTAGCAGAATTCATCAAGCATTGTGAGCCTTATATTTGTCCTGCAATTTATTATTATTATTATTTTAATAACCTACATACTGGATCATTCTCAATACCTCCATATGCATTTCAAGTCTTTTGTAAAACTTCTCATTTTATGGGATAGTCTACACTATTACAAAATATTTGCAAACTTCAAGTGTTTGTTTAGTTTGTTTTGGAAGTATTTTACTGTTTTTGATTGCTTTAGGAATATTAGAAATTTGAATGGAAAATGGGTGCTGGATGAGTACTTTAAATATAGGTGGTTTATACAATGGGTTTTATGAGGATTTTTTTTTCTTAAAATGAATGGTGCAAAAATGTAGTTAAAACATAAGTTTTGCATGTTTGTCTAATCATGTTGGGTGTATATCCAATAGATGCATATACCTGCCTTACTAATGATTATATCAGGAGCTATAATTTTATCCAACTATTTATACAACATATGTTATGAGTAAAGGATCTACAATAATTCCTACTCCCTTATAGTTCACTTTGTTACAAAGTATATGTTTCTTTTTGTTGTTTTTTAGAACAATAAAATTTAAATGGGTATTAAAGGTGATGTTTTGAATGAAAAGTAGTGTGTTTGGATGTGATAATTTAAATGAAAAAAAAAATAGGTGTTTAATGATATGATTTTTAGGGGGGGAAATATGTTAACGTAGAATGAATAGTATTCAAAATGGCTGAAAACACAGCCAACCAGACCTGAGTCATGCTTACAATGAGCTACAATTAATGTATGAAGGCTTGTGTTTGTATTGCTGTATATCCTAGCCTTTGTACGAATGTTGCAAGAAACCTTAATGGGGGAATCCTGTAGCATTTACAGAATGAATTATATAATCTTTATATTGAAGGATGACATGTTTTTATTTTGGTTTTCTATTTAATAAATTTCTTATCTATCTTGGTCTGATACTAGCAGTGCCTATAGAACACCACAGAGTTACGCGAATAATAAATTCCATCATCATAATGTTGGCAGTGTCAGCTGAAACTATGGGTTCCTTTAATATGTTGCACTTCAATTTTGAAGTTGGTTGGATTCTTAGTTATGGTCTTGAGTAATGGAACAACATCTTTGCAAGGGCATGCCAATTTTGACTGTTAATGCTAATAGCTTTATCTCAAAATTTTCCTTGAGAAAGATTTTCCTTTTAAATTCTGATGTTCTGCATTTTATCAATTTATGACTTTCCTTCTTGTTATTGCCAGAGACAATTTCAATCATCACAAATGACGGACGCAATATTGTGGTAAGCTTCATGTTTGGGATATATGGTAACTCATATTTGTCTTGTTTTTGGTTTACCGAAATCATTGATCGTCTCATTTAGGGAATTCTCAAAGGATTTGACCAAGCTACCAACATAATCCTCGATGAGTCTCACGAACGGGTGTATTCTACAAAGGTATGTCTCTTACAAACAGCAAACATATAAATCAGAGTGCCTATTTAATGTGATCTTGGATATATTATTTTTTTTAAGTACCTTTTCTTCCTGCACTTCAATTTTCCCCCGGGTTCATTCTTGAATCAACTTTGGTTGAACCTTAAGCCAATTATGCTCTAAGGTTCTCTAGAGCACTTTTTATTTTATACTTTAAATTTTTTAAGATAATGTTACTGGCAATAATTTTATTGCTTGTATCTGTTTACCTAATGGTAACTTTGGCTTTGGATTTGGGAGCTCTTTATGCTTAAATTTTACTTTTGTTTAATGTTTCGTCAATTTGATTTCTCAACGAGATGAAGATAAGAGGGTAAACTTCACTTCCCTGATTCTTGATAATGATATTTCCTTTGCCCTTAGCATTCACAACAAGTGACACCGAGACTACCATATTGCCATTCTTTTTATTTTATTATGTCCGATGTGGGGGGCTGGAGAATTAGAAAAATGATATTCTGATTGACAAATTTCTTCTTGTTTGTAGGAAGGTGTACAGCAACTTGTGTTGGGGCTCTACATAATACGAGGCGACAACATGTATGCTAGTTTCTGTTTTTATGAACAATCGTCTAATTCTGCTTCACTTCAATCAATGTGACTGTTGGTCATTTACATTTGTAGAAGCGTTGTTGGAGAGCTAGACGAAGAGCTAGATGCGAGCCTAGACTTGTCGAAACTCAGAGCTCATCCATTGAAGCCAGTTATTCACTGATTTGTAACATCTTGTGAGTATGTTTCTGTGTCTTATGACTCCGGTGTTCGTCGATTACTTGCTTGTGTGTAGAAAATTAAGGAATCTGCAAATGAAGTGTGGCTTTGCACATTAACTTGATATTTTGATTGTTCATTGTTGATTGATGAATACAAATTTCTTAGGAGGGTAGAGAGAGAGAGAGAAGGAGAGAGAAAGGCAGATTTTGAAGTTGTATGAAAACTTGAATTGATGGATGCTTTTCTAAATTGATTCTCACCCTGTTGCTGAAGCATTATCAACTTCCATCAGTATGTATATAACTGTTGATTTTACAAGAGAAAATGATATATTTTTGAGGGGTTGTAAAATTGTATAGTGACGCAACAAAAATTGAGATGGGATCTCTATGTGAAAAAGTTCGAGAGTCTAAAGAAATAATTTAAATTGGAACTGTTAACTTTTATTTTTAAATATACTACATTTTACACTTTCCGCGGTCCAAATTTTTTTACTTTTTATTTTTACCTATTTTACTTCAAATCTGTGCCTTGGTCAAATGAGCACACAAACGAGCAGACGGAGGAAGTACTACTTTTAATCATTTACTCGTAGAGTTTCTTTATTTTTTTTTTATATATATTCTCTTTGTTCTAAATAGAATAGTCTTATTTATTATTTTTGTCCGTTTTAAATCAATATTCTTATTTTTATAAATAATCATATCACTATCTTTACTCTTTTATTATTATTACAGTATCTTTTTATCCTTCTTAAATCTCTTGACTAAAACAATCAACATTATAGTTTCGGGACTGAAGGGAGGAGTATATATATATAATTTAAATATATTTAATAATTACAATCAAAATTAATTAATTTATATATAAAATTGAAATATATGTAATAATTACAATTACAATTAATTAATTAATTATTCATTAATAAGCTCGTGGATTCCAGCTTCCATTGCGATTTATCCTTTTTCCTCCAACAAAAAAAATAAATAAATTCTAGTCTTTCTTTCTTGATGGATTCTCTCTTCCCTGTGCTGTGCCGATGTCCGATGGTCCTCGGCCAGTCGCCGTAAATGTCGAAGGGAGAAGCCATAGACTATGATTCCGAGACCACTGGGTAGTATTTTCCCTTCAGTGGTGTCTAAGACTAAATTTTATGAGTTTATTCCTAAAATTATTTTTCCGATTTGATAAATCGGTGGCAATGTTGCTTGGTGACTACCAGACGACTTTCTGCTATGTGACTATTTTTGCAGCTTTCTTGTACGTGAATGTGAAGATATCAATTTTTTCATATCGACCTTATACAATGATCTCAAGAGTGTGCATATGAAGATGATAAATGTTTTGTTTTGATATGTTTTATGTAGATAATCTTTATCTCAGATATTTGGCAATATAAAATTATTTCTCATCTATGACATGACATTATCAATACATTTAAAATCAATAAAATCTTAAGTTGAGGTGTAAATAAGCAAATTGTAACTACTTGAATAGTTTGTTTTGTTTGGTGCTACCAAATTGGATTTGATTTAAAAGCCATATTTGAAATCTACTTCAAAATAATATCTTTAGAACAATTGATTGACACAGTCTAACTTTGAACACACACACACATATACATATATATATATATATATTACATCCTTTCGATACCGATTAATACTCTTAAAACATTAAAAAAGAAAAATTGTCTCTGTTTTTTCAAAAAAAGTTGTCATTTTTAATGTTCATAGGTAAAACTTAAATTATAATACTACCTTTTATCATCCAAATCTGCTCAATTCATTTGTAAAATGCAAAAAGAATAAGTACAGATTTTGATAGCGGAATGAGTATTATGTTAATTAATATTAAGATCTTTTTTCTTTGTTATTGTAAACAAGATATAAAAAGAAAAACTTGTATTAAATTGATCAGGAGGAAATTACAATATAAGATAAAGTAGAAAATTAAAAAGAAAACTTTCCTTACATAGTTTATATAGTGGAATGATCCTGAGATAAAAGTTTAATATAGCAATTGGGTAAACTGTTTTTTTAGTCCCGTAACTGGACTTCTTTATTATTTTAGTCTCGTAAGTAGAGTCTTTCGCAAACTAATCTCATAAGTAAAAAATTTTCGCTGTTTTAGTCCTCCGACGCCAGAGACGCCCGCGTGGCTTGCCGGAACCCGTCAGGTCAGCAACACCTGGCGGACAAGTGATTTATTTATTTATTTTTTTCATTTTTTTTAAATTTTTTATTTTTTATTTAATTGGACCAAATTAAAAAAATAAAAAAATACAAATAAAATTAAAAATAAATTAAAAATAAGTTTAAAAAAAATTAAAAAAATGAAAAAATAAAATAAAATAAATTCCACGTGCACATCCGGCGAGCCACACTGTCATCTCCGGCGCCGGAAGATTAAAACAGCGAAAATTTTTTACTTATGGGACTAGTTTGCAACAAGCTCCACTTACGAGACTAAAATGATAAAGGGGTCAATTACGAAACTAAAAAAACAGTTTAGCCATAGCAAGTTTACTTTACCGAAACAACTCATAAATGATTATGCTCTCTTTACTGCATAAATTTTATTTATTTATTTATTTTTGTGTGTGAAAAAAATTACACATTTGTGATCCCTCTACTACATTTATAGGAGTAATAGCAACATATATTTTTTTGGAGGGAAAGCAAATCATTGGGAATATCATGGCGGGAATAATTATTTGGATTGGTTCATCCATTATTCATCTTATTTTTTTTCCCCAAAAATATCAAATTAAATATTTATTTTTCATTTTTTATATTATACTAAAAATCAATTTTACATTAAAAACATCACATTAACACATATTTATATCACATCATACAACTATTCAAATATCAACTCAAAATCTAAACACCCAAACAAACACACCCCAAATGTACTCCCTCCGTCCAATAACTATAGTCTTAATTGGTTTGAGCACGAGATTTAAGGAATATTGATATTATATTGGTAGTCGGTAAAAAATATGAATAAAAGATTTTTTTGTCATTGTGATTGTGTAATAAATATGAAAAAGTATGAAGTAGTTTTACGATGATATAATTATTTATGGGAATAAGACTATTGTTTTGTAACGGATAAAAATGATAAATAAGACTATTGTATTGGGACGGAAGGGAATATTATTATCTATATTTTATCTAAATTTATATCTTTCTTTTTATATTATTGAAAAATATTCTTTTTTTAAAAAAAAAAAAAGTTAGAAAAAGAATATATTTTTATTATAAAAGAAAAAAAGTTATTTTTATCAATTTTTTCTTAAAATTTGTGTCGATCAAACAGACATAAGTTTCAATAACGGAGGAAGTACGACCTCTGTTTGGCTGTAAGAGTTTTATTTATTTTTTGCGTTTGATCTTTGAATATTAATTATTATATCAAAATGTAGCACGAATAAAAAAAAAATTATAAAAATACTTCAATTAGTGCCTTATAATATTAATATAAAACATTTGTACAAAAAAATTATACAAATATATTTAAATGTGACCCTTAAAAGTGGACGGATGAAGTATAGTTTATAGTTGTTGTTTTGTATTACGAGGGTGTGTTTACTTTTGAGTGATTAAAACGGATAATATTTTTTTATCTACTATAATCATATAATTACTATGTATTAATATAATCCGAAATAAAGTAAAATTTGGTATAATAGCAGTTTAATTAATCTACCATTTATAGGTACAATTAAATAATACTAAGATAATATTAATATTCAAAGATATTTTAGAAAAATAAAATAAAATTATACAATAATCAATTAAAATATACATTGGATTTATTTATTTATCATGTGATTATATAATTGTTCTGAGAGCACTTATTTGAATTAAGATTTTTTAGTGATTAGATTAAATAGGTTTATGAATTCACTAAATTAATTAAGATTTTTTTTTTTTTAAGCTAATGCTAGTTGTTGTTTTTATTTCTCATTTGTTGTAAAAATGATTTATTATTACGAAAATTAATTAAAAAACATATATATATATATTTTATTCGGACTTCATTCAAAATATAATACTCTATTCGTTATTCAAATCTATACTCACTTTTTTTTTTTGGCTGTTATTAAAAATATTTTCGTTTCATTTTTAAATAAAAAATTATTACACTTTTATATATATTTTTTACTATAAAAAAATATAACAATTATTACTCACTTTTATTAAAATTCATCTCAGTCAAATGAACACATATTTGCATGTAGGGATTAAAAATTTTCATTATTATTATTCAAATAATTTCAAATTCAATTCCAAAAACGTTTCTCCCTTTAACTTTTAATATTCATATAGTTTCAAATTCAATTCCAAAAACGTTTCTCCAAATTTAATAAATTAATTAGATTGAATCCTGTAGCATTAACTATGTGTTTGTTCGGGGGATTGGATTTACACTATTCATCTAATTTTTTTTCCCCAAAAACATCAAATTAAATACTTATTTTTTATTTTTTATATTATACTAAAAATCAATTTTACGTTCAAAACATGGCATCAACACTTATTTATATCACATCATACAACTATTCAAATTCAAAATTTTTACTATTCAAATCTCAATTCAAAATTCAAACCCCGAACAAACACACCCTATTATGCAAGTGCATGTCATAACCGTTATGTATATAGAGATAAAAAGGCGTTGCTGGCTAGCAAACAATTTTTTATTTTAGATTTTAGATTATTGTTATTAATAGATAGGTCTGTTTATAAAAATAAAATAAAATAAAATAAAATAAAAAAAATTGAATTTGGTTTGAGAAAAATTTATTTGAATTCAAGATATATATTTTGAATGATGTATTACAACACATAGATTATTGTTTTTTTTTTTTTTTTTTTGACGTAGTATAAAGTATATTAATATTATATTAATATATATAGTAAGAATAAAGTAAAATAATCTTATTAGTATTGTATAATATAAAAATAAGAATATTTTTATATTATATTGTAAGTTATAAGAATATGTGTAATATTAGATAAATAATATAATTACTAAATTTTTTTTTGATATTTTGTCATGACAAATAAAATGAAAAAAAAAAAGAAGATATTTATGAGATGAAGAGAGTATAAAAATACTCCATCCGTCCCACATTGCATGTCCGGGTTACGAGAATTTATGATAAGTATAATTAGTAGATAAGTGAGAATGTATCATTGAAAATAATTATTCTATAATATAAATAATTATAAATTAATAGTATTGAAATAACTAATTAGTTTAATTTAAATTTAAAAAAAATAAATTAGGAAATTAAAAATGATATTAAAATGTGTAATATATAAGATGTGAGACGGATAAAAACAGAAATATAAACATGGTAAGTGGAAGGAGGGGAGTACTATTTATAATGAATTTACTTGTAATAAAAAATCTAAAAATACTTGAAATTTATTTTGAGAATATAAACATATTACCTCCTTCCCATAAAAATACTTGTAATGCCTGGTTTGCAGGGTATTAGGTTCGGTCGGGGGTTTACCTGGCGCGCACTTTCGGGTAGAGGCTGCGGGTTCCCACATCATCCTAAAAAAAATAAAAAAATAAAAATAATACTTGTTTTTTACACAATTTTTTTAATATTAGTATTATATTGGTTCATAATAAAAAAGACAAAAATGTTTTATTAGATTCTGTGATATAAATGTAACAACATTGGTGCAATATTGAAAGTTATAAGGGTATTAATTACGTTCGGTAGGTAGCGCAATTACTAAATTAAAAAATAATACTCTTATTTCGAAACAGACAAAAATAAAAAATAATGTCCTTCTTATGAGACGAAAGGAGCATTACATCTTCATTCTTATATATATAATTAAAAAATAAAAATAAAATTCCAAAATCCTTCAAATGAAACCAATATTTTTGAAAGAAAATGTATTATACTCTATTCCCTCTTCACTTGTGTTTTGAATGAATCCTGTTTTTTTTACTCAATGTAGAGAATTTTATTAGTGATAAAAAAATAATATTATTCGTCCCACAAAAGAAGAGTACTATGAACTTTTTGTATATAAATTTTTAAATATTAATTATTATATCAGTATGTAATACAAATTAAGAGAAAATGACAAAATACCTCTATTAGTCTCTTTTAATATAAATGCAATAATATTTTTGGAGTAAATTATACAAATACAAAAAAAAATTTTACTGTAAAATAACGCAAAACACAAATAGTACCTATCTTATGAGATGAAAATTGTATTTTATATTTAATTATTATTTTTGCAAACAGATAATATATATTAGATATATTATGCTAACTTGTATATATTGTATTTTTTTTATAATATAAAAGAAATCATGCCAAAAAACACACTAAACTATTTTTACTTTTGCCATGGTATATTAGGTGTTATAATTTTGATAGATATATATTTTTTTTTTCAGTACTTTTTATTTAAATTATTTTTATGATAATTAGGGTGGAAAAAAAAATTGTATGCAAATAAAGTTACAAAAGTCATAAAACATTCCAAATTAGTACGAATAACAAATGGTTTGTTTAGTTGTTATTATTTTTATTTTTTATTTTATCAGAATGGTTTGTCTAGTTTTGTATTTATGTAAAATGTGACTTTTACCAAAAAAAAAAAAAAAAAAAAAACATAAAAACCACACACACATTTCTCAAAAATATTAATATATTATATATATTTATTATTTTAATATTATTTATATATTTTTTCATACTTCATCATAAAAAAATTTCCTTTTAAATTATATCACAAAACGAACACACCAGAAAATTTTGTTTTAATTTTAATTTAAATAGTATTTAGATATTATATTTTATAAAAAAAGGTTCTACATTTTTATTAAAATCTAGTATATAAAATAAATAATAAAATGAGTTCGAAGAGCAAATCAAACAAATCCCAAAATTTTGAGTCAAAAAATAATTAAAAACTTACAAACAAACAAATTTATTTTAGCCCCTACAACCCACCCCACCCCCAAGTTGCTTAAAAGTGAGTATAGGTGTGGGGTAAGTTATAATGACATATATATATATATATAGATAAACGTGGTTGTGATTTGAATCTTTGCTGGTTCCGTCCGGCTATAAGGTCTCGTTTATTTTTTGTGTGTTAATATTTGAATATTAATTATTATATCAAAACATAGTAAAAATTAAGAAAAAATTGCAAAAATACTTTCATTAGTGTCTTATAATACTAATAGAATGACATTTGTACAAAAAATTATATAAATATAAAAATATTTTTATTGTTAAATACAATAATACAAAGATAAAGTGACTGATGAAAGGTATTTTAGTCACAATTCTCAATAAAATCATAGTACTATGATTTTATTTCAAAAATATTGTATCAAACCGCTGCTTCCTATCATCCAAATTTGTTCTTACTTTTTTCATTTTTTTTTTTTTGGTTGCAATCCAAATTTATTCTTATTTTTTTTATAGTAAAAAATACCATATTTTCTATATTTTTTACTATAAATTTTTTTATACTTTTACTCATTTTTTTTTAAAACTCGTGCCCGATCAAATGAACATAAATATACACGACGAGGAGAGAGTAATTCCAAACCAAACACACCCTAATATATATATATATATATATATATATACTAAAACTTCAACTCTCACTTTTCTCCTAAAACAATGAAGGGAGAATTAGACATGCCCACACTTGTCCTATGCTCTATCTTCTTCTTCCTCCTTTTTGTTGGCAAAGCTCATTCATCCACCAAACCTCCATTTTCTTGTGACCCCTCCATTCCATCCACCTCTTCCTACCAATTTTGCGACGCCCGCCGTCCGATTTCCGACCGTGCCCGCGACCTCGTCGCGCGCCTAACTCTCGACGAGAAAATCTCCCAACTCGTCAACCAAGCCGCCGCCGTTCCGCGCCTCGGCGTCCCGTACTACCAATGGTGGTCCGAGGCGCTCCACGGCGTCGCCTACGCACACGGCGTCGAGACCGGCGTGATGTTCAATGAAACGATACGCGCCGCCACTAGCTACCCTCAAGTCATCCTCACCGCCTCCTCCTTCGATTCTGATCTTTGGTATCGCATCGCTAAGGTTTTTATTTTTATTTTTTTTAAATTGCTTTTTTTTTTTTCGGTATTTAATGTGATATTTTTTTAAAAAAATTATTGTCTTTAATACTAATTGTTTATCTAATATATTGTAGTGTATAATAAATGTTTTAATCTTGAAAATGTATAAATTTAGAATATCAAATGAACTTTGGAATATAGCATTTTGTAGAAGAATTTTAGTTTGGCTGCAATTTTTATTTAAGTAGTATTTTGATACGATATTGTATAAAATAATATATTTTTATTGAAAATTTAACGAATTGAAGTATTTGAAATCATAAAAAAATCAACTCCAAAATTTGTTTAATTTCACTACAAGGAAAAATTGTTTTTGTAATAAAACTTTTTTGTCTCTAAATTTACTTTTTCCGTTACTAATGACATTAGAGACGAAATTAGAAATAAAATTACGTTAACTGCGTGAACTTTAGGGACGAAATTCTATTACAAATATATTATTTTTTTGCAGTGATTTTTTTTACTATATAATGTGGTTTTCAATATATATATATATATATAAACGGATGAATGGGATGATGTTTGAATGTGTTTTCGGAATAGACATATATTTTTAATAAAAAAATAAATTTAAATTAATTATATATTTATAAAAATTTGAAAATGATTTATTTAGAGATGTATAAAGAAATATTGAAAATGGATCATACAAAATTGAGATCGGATCTCTATCTTTGAAAAATGATAAAAAAAAATTAAACCACTTGGTTCATATTTAAATTCAATACTATAGTATTATGTATAGACCGTATGTTATATATGTCAAAAAAAATAATAATAAAAAATAAAAAATTGATGTGTAAGTACAAATTAATTATTTTTAATAATGTTAATTAATGTTTCCAATATATATTTAAGGAAAGGAATCTTGTGGGTAGAAAATAAAATTCGTATTATTTAAGGATATCTTATCCGTGACTTTAGCTCAATTATTTTTTTGTTGTAGGGACAAAAAAAAAAATAAATTAAAATAAATAAAAAGCATCAATCTCTAGAACTTTTTTCTTTTCAAATATTAATTATTGAATCTCTCTTTGTCTCCAGCCTCGTCATAGGCTGGGCCTGCCCATACTAAATTATTTTATTAAAAAAAGGTTTAATCTATATATATATATATATATATTCTGTATGACTGAAACAAAATTAAAATTATAAAAATTTCATGGGTGTGTTTTTTTTTTTTTTTTAATATTACATTTCCTAAATTTTTTTTTTAAAAATAAATTAATATATTACATATATTTATTATTTTTATATTATTTACATAATTATATATATATATATATAAAATCTCTTCAAACCATCTCACTAAATAAATAAACCCCACACATTCACATGGTATGTGTGATATTTGAGAGATATTATTATATAACAACATTGTAGTATATTATAATCCAATGTGGGAGACCATTCTCGACTTAAGGATTGACCAAAATTTACTCCTACTCTTCGTCCATAAACTAATGTCTTAGTCTTCGTCTACAAACTAATGTCTTATTTTTCTATTTGTAACGTTTAAAAATGATTGTTTTTTTTATATTTTTATACATAAAATTTATCTTTTTACCTTTACTTTATTTATCTTTTTTATATCTATATACAAAATAAATGATTATTTTGTCAATTTACAACAAAAAAAACTAATTACTTAAAAAAACGTATAAATATCACTTAGGATATTAGAAAATAAACTGAGGGAGTATTACCAATTTGTTTGTATTTATTTATTTTTAATGGAATATTACCAATTTGTTTGTATTTATTTATTTTTAATAATAGTACTTTAAATATAATATCTTAAATAAAAATATACCAAATATACTATAAAAATTCAATTTAAAATTAACATTTCAGATATTAATAGTCAAGTCAAAAGCATATTGAAAACATAAAACATGTAAACAATTCAATTATATATTGAAATTATACATTTATTTGAATTAACTTATTGATTTACCTAGGGGAGTTCACATATTTAAGTAGAGAATTAGAAATATATTTTGATTAACTTCTATGAAATATATATATATATTTTTATAATAAAACATGCATATTGTTGTTGTTTTGGAGTTTCCAAAATTAGATTCAAAATTTTTCGGGACATGCTTGCCCAGTTCTTTAAAGGTAATATTTTAAAGTTAATATATTTATATATATATATATTCATTAATGAAATAATGATAAAAATTAAACCATGACCCATTAATTAAATTGTTGTCTCATTTGTTTTATTTGATTAAATTAATTTAAAGAAAAATAAATAAATAAAGGATTGATCCTTTCAAATCGGGTTATGCTCGGGCCTAGCTTTTCGGGTCTAGTTTATAACTAGGCCATACCGGTACAACACAATTTAAAATCGGATCGGGTCCAAATTGCCTCCCCTATTTTTCTGTAGTGTCCACTTGCTTGCCGTACATTTTGGATAAATAGACATTTTCACATTTAACTTCATAGTTAGAAATCAACTGGGCCGTACATCAAATAGAATTATAATAAGTCTCGTAAGGGATGACCTGGTGGTGTAGGGGTTGGATTAGTGACATTGAGGTCATGAGTTCAAACCCCCGAACGCCTCAGATCACCTGCCACATATGATTGATTTACCCAGTGCGCTACCCGACACTTTCGGGTAGCAGCTGCGAATTCTTCATTTTAAATGCATCTACACAATAGTATCCCAACATATATGTTGTACAAGTTATATATGTCATAATTCTTATAATTTGTATATATTTTTGTTTACTTTGAAATATTATTTAATATTTATTAAATTATATAGTATTTTACAAATAATCAAACCTCATGTAATTATAGACAATATTAGGTGGTTTGAACATGTTTGTTTAGTGTTTTTAATTTTATGCATGGAAAATATGTCGGTAATATAATTAATAATTTTTGTATAGAATTATTTACTTTTTTTTTTGAATTATTAACTTTATATATTGTATTTTTTGGTAATATTATTTAGATGTATTTATATGTTGGATGAACAAATTCCAAAAAAAATAAAAATCAATAGATTTTATACATAATTGAAATATATATAGTATAAATAATTTTAGTTCAAGTAATTATTTATTCAAGAAAAAAAAATTTAAAATTTCACATGATAATACTCCCTAATAGTATAAAAATTACCATGAAAGATTAGTCGATAGATCAAATTAAACCATAAACTATATTGCAACATTTTATTTTGTGAATATTAATTATAAGTTTTGCTAATTTACTATTTTTTTAAAAGATTTTAAAATGTTAATCTAAGAATGTATTTTTTAGGCTACCGGAAAGGAGGCGAGGGCGATATATAACGAGGGCGAGGCAAATGGAATTACATTTTGGTCGCCAAACATTAATATTTTTCGCGATCCGCGGTGGGGGCGAGGCCAAGAGACCCCCGGCGAAGATCCTTTGGTCACTAGCCGATACGCTGTATCGTTTGTGCGTGGAATTCAAGGCGACACATATCAAGGCGATGGCCTTAAAGATGGTCATTTACAAGTTTCTGCTTGTTGTAAGCATCTCACCGCTTACGATCTAGATAGCTGGAAAGGAATAAATCGATTCACTTTCAATGCTCTGGTAAAATTTCCTCGACTTTATTTATATTTGAAAACTATAATTTTCGTTATATATGATGCTAAATTGAAAACAAATAAGTTAGATTTTAAAAGTACAATCTTATTTTTTTCCCTACAATTTTTTGTAATACAAGTATGCAGAATGTTAATGATGTCAAGTTTAATGTTCTGATTAGATAGAGTTTTTTCGATGTTTTAGTGCAATATTTTATAAAAAAAGATATTTGATATAATATGTATTTTTATTATTGAAAAAGTTGTTAGATTAATAGCGACAAAACTTCAAAAAATATGTATGTAAAGAAAATTTAAATATTTGTAGGTCACAAAACAAGACATGGCGGACACATATCAACCTCCGTTTAAAAGTTGTGTCGAGGAAGGGCAAGCCAGTGGGATTATGTGTGCGTACAACCGCGTCAATGGAGTCCCAAATTGTGCCGATTACAATCTTTTAACCAAGACTGCCCGTGGCGACTGGGGATTCCAAGGGTAATTAATTTATACTACTTTTGTCCTAATTTTTTTGCAAATTTTTGTTCTATTGCAGCCTTTAGATGATATAATTTTGATATATATATATATATATATAAAGTTACAAATATTTTGAAATATTTCAAAATAGACATAATAATAAATAGATTTGGATGGAAGAAGTGCACCTATGAGGGTGTGTTTGCTAGTATTTTAGTTTTATTTTAGTATTTTAAATTAATTTTCATTTTTTTTTAAAAAAAATATTGATGTGAAATTAACAGTAAATGTGATATTTAAATAAAAAATATACAATGTATGTAAATTTTCTTTTAAGGAAAAAAAATAAAAAAAATACTATCATACTAAAGATAAATAATCACATGTGTTCTAACGTCCTCTTTTAAATTGTAATTGTTATCGACTATTCCTAATATTTATTTCTTAATTTATTTGTTCTCACATATTATTGTGCTGAGTCATGCAAGGAAAAATAGTTTTTTATGAAGGTCTAACAATCCTTGTATCTTCTTCTTTTTTTTCTTTTTCTCTCTCAATTTTAAATTTAATTGTTTCGATAATTATTATTCAAAAAAATAAAAATAAAATAGGTATATAACATCGGATTGTGATGCGGTCTCACTCCTATACGAGAAGCAAAAGTACGCAAAATCGCATGAAGAGGCCGTTGCGGATGTCCTAAAAGCGGGTGAGTATATAAACGGTGTTGATGTTGCAAGAATGACATCGATATTTATCTAACTTAATTTTCAATAAAAATATACTATTTAAAATAAGCAGAACACATCTATTACCAAACTTGAAAAATGCAGGCATGGATGTCAATTGTGGTTCTTATTTGAAAAACCACACAAAATCAGCCGTCCAAAAGGGCAAGGTGTCCGAATCCGACATAGATAGAGCTCTTCACAATCTCTTCTCGGTGCGGATAAGGTTAGGCCTTTTCGACGGCAATCCAAAAAAGAATCCGAATTATGGAAAGCTCGGGCGAAAGGACATTTGCACGCAAGAACACGACGATTTGGCCCTTGAAGCTGCTCTCCATAGCATTGTCCTTTTAAAGAACTCCGGGAATCTTCTTCCATTGTCTAAGACAAAAACCTCGTCTCTCGCCGTTATTGGTCCTAACGCCGATGTAGCTAAGACCCTCGTGGGGAACTATGCCGGGCCCCCTTGCAAGACCGTCACGCCCCTCGAAGGGCTAAAAAGTTATATGGACAAAACGAGCTTCCATCCAGGTTGCAACACCATTAATTGCACGTCAGTTGCCTTAGGACAATCGATCAAAATATCAAAAAAAGCAGACTATGTCGTGCTTGTAATGGGACTCAATCAAGATCGTGAAAGTGAAGATCACGACCGCGAGGATTTGGTGCTACCGGGTGAGCAACAAAGCCTTGTAACGAGCATTGCAAGAGTTTCCAAAAGGCCCGTCGTATTAGTGATGCTTTGTGGAGGCCCGATCGATATATCATTCGCCAAGAATGACCCGAAAATCGGTAGCATTTTATGGGCGGGATATCCCGGGCAAGCCGGAGGGAGAGCGATTGCACAAGTCATATTTGGAGACCACAATCCCGGTATGTTCCTCAAATCTTATGTTCTTCAAGATGCATATAGAAATTTTCTGAGTTATTCTGTTCACAATAATAGCTTTGAAGACTTTAATACTATTCAATTTTTTTAAAAACATCACATCTAGAACGGTAAACGAGCCGAACATAGTCGAGCTTGTCATGTTTGAGCTCGGCTCATTAAGGACTTCAGCTCGACTCGTGTTCGTTCGTTAAGAGAAACGAGCTAAATTTTTTTTTTTTTTTAGCTCGGCTCGTTAGGAGAAATTTAATTTAATTTATTTAATTTTTCATAAATTTTAAATTCAATTAATAATAATTATAATTTTTATTAATAAATTTAAATAAAAATAGAATAAAATATAATATTTTTAAAGATATATATACTTATTAAATATAAAATTATTAATTAAAATTTTATAATAAATACTGTCGAACGTTCTCGAACACTTGAGCTCGTTCGTGAACATAATGAGCTAAAATTTATGTTCGTGTCCGATTCATTTAGCTCAACGAAGGAGCTCTTAGCGAGCTCAAACGAACCGAATCGAGCCAAACTCGAGAACTGTTGATTTGTTGTACAGCTCTAATCACATCAAATACTCATTTTTTTTACTACTTCTAACTTTCTAAAACCTCAAAATTCTCAAAATTCTTTTGTCTAAACAGATAAAATTTCACTCGAAAAATTTACATTTTTTATTTAATTACAATATCGCATGTTATATTTCTCTACACATTTTGTTTTATGTAGGAGGAAAATTGCCTATAACATGGTACCCAAAAGATTTCATCAAAATTCCGATGACGGATATGAGAATGAGGCCGGATCCTCGTACGGGCTATCCAGGTCGAACTTATAGATTCTACCAAGGCAAAACGGTTTTCGATTTTGGCTATGGTCTTAGCTACTCCAACTACACGTACAAGTTCGCTTCGGTCACTCAAAGTAAACTAGATTTCACTACTACCAATCAACATGAAACAAATACAGAATTTATATCCGTCGAAAATATTGGTTCGGAGACATGTGAGAAGACAAAGTTTTCCGTCATTGTTAGAGTTGGTAATGAAGGGACAATGCCCGGTAAGCATCCCGTTCTTCTATTTGCAAGTCATGCTCGGACAAGTAATAAAGAAAATCCGGTGAAACAATTGGTCGGGTTTCAAACTGTGAGTTTGGGCGCAAATGAGAAGGCCAATGTTGAGTTTGAAGTGAGCCCGTGTGACCATTTTAGCCGAGGGACAAATGAAGGAACTCTCGTTGTTGAATCCGGCGATCGTTATTTAACGGTGGGCGATGAAAAGTACCCTATCAATGTTAACATTTGAGGAAAAAATTGTTGATTTTTGGTAGGGACTTATTGCAATGTTCGAAAATAAAGTTTTCTATGCTTGGATTTGCAAAACTTGTTTTTAAAGATGAATATGTTGTTGTATTGTTCTTGTTTCTTAGTTCATAACTTAGTTATTTAATTGACCTACAATATGTTATCAAATTATAATATCACGAGAATATCAAATAATTATCGAAAATTAAAATTCGATATCAAAATAATTTATCGAAATAAATTCGATAATTACAAAAATTTTATCGAAAACTCTCTTGTAAAAATGATTTCCTATTTGTATATTTTACATGGCGAAGGGGTTTCACGCAATATTTTTTAAAGTATAGGTGCAATTTTTTAAAGTAGAGTGAAGATTTACGTTGAGTTTTAAAATTACAGCGAGGTTTCATGTAATATTTTTCAAAATATAAAGGGACGTAATACAATTTTTAAAGTAAATGGTGGATTTATGTTGAATTCCGAAATCACAAGAGAGTTATGGACAATTTTGCCTTTTTTTTATTAAGAAATTGTGTGCAAAATATATAATATACTCATTTCGTCCCACATAATTTGTCAACTCTTTCTATTTCGATCCGTCCCACATAATTTGTTCCATTTTTTTGAAATATAATTATATATTTTAATCATATATTAAAAATCAATTATCTATAATTTTTCTATTTTGATTAAAGTATTTATTCATGTTAATCTTAACATATAACTATTTTATTATATCATAATTATTTTTACTAATAAATTTCTTAATTACTTATTAATTATATAATATTATTCTCCAGATAAGATGGACAAGTTAGCTGAACTGATGAAGTATTATTTTAAATTGAATATTTGATTTTTCTTTACTTTTTATAATGAATATTTGAATATTTTATTTTTTTTGGTATTTTAACTTTTATAAATAGTTTTTTTTTTTGTATTATTTATTGTTATTTTTGAGAAATTTAATTGAAAAATAGTGTTTGAAGACAGAGAGTGAATGTATGTAGATGTTTATAAGCAAGAATTGTTTATACTCTTGCTTTAGTAGACCTGCGCACCTATCAGTCCGTGAAGAGTAAGCAATAGGTATAGGGCATTTAGCTTGATTTTTCAAGAAAATACGAACAGTAATTTTTTTTAAAAAAATTGTTGATATTTATTTTCAATTAAAACTATAAGTCCGAATTTTAAAAAAAATGAATAATAATTATTATTTTGTCTTGGTGTGTTCTTTCAATAATTTTTAAAAAAAATATATATTTTTTAAAAAATTAATATATTATACACTAATTATTTAAATTACTTACATAAATTTTTTATATTTCACAATATAAAAATATTTATTCAAATAATTTCACTAAACAAACACACAATTTATCTTTCATAGTAAAAAATACAAAATATATTTTTTGATAAAAAAGAAAATAAAAATATTTTTTGATGATAAAAAGAAAATCTAAATTTGGATGAATTATGAAATACTTGTTTAATAATAAATTTGTACAAATCGCGTGAAGGATGACCTGGTGTGAGAGGATGGACTCGTGCAAGTTCAAACCCCGACGCCTCCACGTCTTGTCTGTCACACATAATTCGTCTAAAGTGACTTGCTTTGTCGTGCCTAGTTTGCAAACTATTAGGTTCGACCGGAGATTTTATCCCGAGCCCACCAGATGAATAGCGGCTACGGATTCCCATATTTAAAAAAAAAAATTAAGTTAAATAATTTGTACAAGTATCAAATAAAGTTACATTACTAAAGGGTTTGTTTGGTTTTGGATTCAAATAAAAATTACAACTATTAAGTCCATGTAATTTTCAATAAAAATACATAATTTATTTTTATAAGTATCATATTAAAAAGTTATTTAAATTAAAATTCAAATAAAACCTTAAAATCAAACAAATCTATCATCTCACTCCAATCACCATTGATTGAAAACTTATAAATACGATATAATTGAACATGAACAAATAAATTGATCATTAAGTTTGGATCCATACTTTTTTTTTTAATATTATTATTGAATTAATTATAACATATAAAAAAGCGTTTAGATATAACTTTATTTCCGATGCATTACTTAAACATCACAACTTTATCATCGTTAGAAAATCATGATACAATTAGAAAATCATGATACACTCTCTCTTATATATAGATTGAGTTGGTGGAGTCAAGAAAACAACTAACAAAGCTTGTTAAGTACAAAAAATTGAAAATTAGGGTTTAGGCCCGAAGAAAAGGAAAAAGTGTGGACCCGGTGATGGGTCAGGTTGCTTCATGGAGTGAATTTCAGTTGGACTGATTGGCAGACCATCAAATGTGATCGGTCGGTTCATCGGATGAGGAGTTTATCCGAATTTGAGTGCTGAGTCGGTTGGTTGTGAAGGAACCGACTTGAACTATCAAATTGGTCGTTTAAGGTTACAGTTGACCATGTGTCGGCAGGAGATTGACAAAGAATAACTGACGGTTGTGCTGACAGGGTAACCGACAGACGACAACGGTTCAATGCATGATTTTGGTAACCAACTGAGAGACGGTTTCAGACGGTTCAGACCGATTCGTTATTTAAGTGATCTGATGGAGAATGGACATACATCTTCAATCATCTCATGAAAAGTCTTATTATTGGGGATCACGCTTTTAGATTTTTTCAATTATTCGCATATTTTCTAACTTTTTATGTACTTTGTTTTACTGATCTCTTACGCCTTTTTATTTCAAGTTCGAAATATATTTTTGGAATTTTACTTTATATTATTGAATTTCTACATCAACAAAGCTATTAGTTAAAATCTTTGTAGATCAAGTGGATCCTGAATTCTATCTCAAGTAGGTGTGTGTATTTGAATTGGATGAAATTTTCGTCTTATGCATACCTGTGTGGGTAAAGAAAAAAACAAAAAAGAAAAACTAAGAGAGCTATTAAAAGTGTTGGGTGTAAACCCAAGTCTCACATCGGAAGTTGCGAAGAAAATTGCATACCTTATAAATCCCAAGTGAACTTCACTAGTATGAAATTTTTTGGAGAATATTAAAAACAAATTCGTGCGGGTTTAGCCCATAGCGGACAATATCATAGAGTTGACTCAGTCCCAACGGCAAACAAAATTCATTGTCCGAAGATCAAGAATATTAAAATTTAAACGGTTTATCTAAATTTTTAGGATAAAAATCAATTTCAAATTTTAAGTGGTGACACTCTAATTTTTTAGTGATTGCATAATTATTAAATTATAAATAAAAATTATTGGTAGTGTGTGCTATTACCAGATATAATGTAGATCCGCCCATGGTTGACCATCTCCATCATATTCATAATAGATTTTTTTTACTTTTGTGTTGTTTTGTAACAAAATCGTATTGTATTGTTTGATAAATTTGTTACCGAATATTCATACCAAAGGTTATGTTCAAATTTAATTAATTTTATTTTTATTTTTATAATGATATTAAAATTAATGATTTTTTTGTAATGACATTAAAACTTTCTCTTTCATATTGGTTCTGATTTTTTCTGATTTTCCCTATTTTAATTTTGGAGAAAAAAAAATTCATAAAAATGTCCTAATAAGAATAAAAACAATAAATTTTAATTACACTATTAAAAAAAAATTGATCAATTTAGATTCTGTTGTAAAAGATTTTAATCATTTTGATTATACTATTGAAAAAATTAACGGCAACTCTACTCTGACATGGACCTAAGAAATCTGATGTAGCATTCCATCAGAAATTTGAACACAGTAGTGTTTTGGTAAACACGGCCGTGTGTCATACTCAGGTGAGTTTCCTTTGTTTAGATCGAAGCTTTTCACGTTGCTCCGGAGCTTGTACTCCTTAATGACCACGGCGGGCACCGACGGTTGGCGAGAAGGAAAAGAACCAAGGAAAATAAAATCCAAATTGAGTAAGATTTTGTTTACTCAACTAATTTTTATTCATTTGATATTATTTATTTTTCATAAAATTTTAAATTAAATACTAATTTTTTATTTTTTTTTAAATTTACAAAAATCCAAAAACCTCCGACAACTTCAATCTAACCAAAACCCAAAGCTTTGATAATTTTTTATAATGGGACCAATTTGATCTTTATTGTTATTAGAATCATTTTTTTATTTTTTTTTATTTTTTCCCTTTAATTTATAATATATTGAAATGTAAGTCACACCTTGCCGCCCCCCTCCCGAGCCTCCCCTCGCCATCTTCTTCTTCTTCCTCTTCCATCCTTCTTCTTTTTCCTTCTTCTACAGTGACTTTCCGAATCCAAAACCCAAAGAAACAAACACGCACGCAGGCCCGAAGCCGCCGAAACCAGGGAGGCTTTGCTACTGCAATCGCCAAGCCATTTGAAGAAGAAGAGCTCGTGAGTGAGTTGATTCCAATAAGAGGTTTGCTTTTTTTCCCCTCTGTCCGTCAACGCCCTACACTAGAACCTATGCTGCAGAAATTGTCATTGTAGGGCTGATAATTTTTGTGTTATATATTATTTATGAAAATGAATGCTGTGGAGTTCATTACCTGAGATTCATATTATTGTTTTGTCAAGTTAATTGTATTCTGAATTGAGTCAAGAAGCTAGTTTAGTTTAGTAGTTATTCACCATCTAAATTCTGTCAGTGGCTTCATCTTGGCTGAGAACAAACTCAAACTTTGAATTGACTCTGTTTGTTCGTAAGAGCTCCTCTAAGATTAAGTACAGGGTTGGTGTAAACTCTGAGCTTAAGCTACAATGATATTAACTAAGAAGCTCTGGAAAGTCGCTTAACTGTTAATGCATATGAACATAGCGTAAAATGGAAGGATAGGTTAATTGAGTTATTTGATTGTAGTTGTACTCTGCCTTCCAGAAGGATGGGACCTGTTGAAACAACTAAACTTAAAAATTTTGCGTTAGGGGCTTAGGGCTATAATCCACTTCACTAGATTGGAAAGCATGAACACCACATAGATATCGAAGACCTGAATTTTGGTAGATTCCAATCAGAAAGAGTCTTTTCGATCATTTTTAGATTAATAATCAACAAGAGAGTTCATTCCTACTTCTATGTAGTTCCAATTCACTTTATGTTGAGCAAAGATATCTAGCTTGAGGTTTAGGTTGTTAGTGGTTTTTTTTTTCAAACACCGGTATTGCACAGCCCATAATGGATTCCTCAACCTTTCAAAGAATCATAAAAATTTAGACTTTCAAAAACTTAGGACATTTAAAAATTTAGTAATTGAAAGAATCAATTTTATTGTTCTTTTGGGTAAATCTTTCTTTATGTAGGGGTAAAAAGAGAAAAAGAAAATGCTAAACGATTATTACCATAATTCCATGGAATAATTTTAATCTAACTAGGATTCCAACTCCTAGTGGAAATCCAAATATATATAAAATAAAGGCTAAATAACAAAATGCTTAAAGATTAAATTTTGGGTGTAAGGATATGCTGCAGATAAACTTTTACAGAATTTCGACCCAATTGGGATTCGGACTCCATTCAATAACTTCCTTTGTTGTGATAATTTGTTTCAGTGTGTTCATATCAGTTACAGATAAACTGTTCATGTTCTTGTTCTTTTCTATGTCTGCATTCCTTTTCATGGACCATTCTCACACCATGTCTCTTATTTCTGATGTAAATATGTAATATATTGCAGATGAGAATAGCTGTTGAAGGTTGCATGCATGGGGATTTGGATAATGTCTACGGTACTCTGTTGCACCTGCAAGAAGTTGAAAAAGTCAAGATTGATCTTCTGATTTGTTGTGGGGATTTTCAGGTACATTATTGGAATAATTTGCCCTTATTGCTATTCTTGTTGAAGTAGTTTCATCTCTGCTGTCATCATTAATCATCACTTTTATGTGATTACTTAACATCAACTATCTAGGTTGAACACTAATGAAAATCCTTATGGTAAACATGGAAAAGAGTGTTAAACAACGGCTTCTACAACTTTTACAAGTCTTCTAAAGTATGTCCCATTTTGTTATATTAGAATTATGTATATTATATATACACTGTAAGATTTATCTTGTTTAAGTCTATTTGGATAAGATTCTTGATTTGCATCATGTTTAGGTAACCTGACTCTACACATATTATTACTTAAATTCAGTTAATGGAAGATGCAATCCTTTTTAATTGCATGGTATTCGAGCCACCATTTACCCATCAAACCCTAATATGGCTTCTATCTTTCTGTGATCATTGGCCATTAATGAGGAATGGCCACCGTGGGAATCATAAGAGTGCTGCAAGATTTGGCTCCAAATGTTTTGACAAATTCAATCAAGTTGTTTTGAAATATGAGATGCATAAGTTCAAATATGTTCACTCAGGTACAAAACAAAAAATCAACATTAAGGTACCTATACTATTAGAGGCCTAACATAAAATCAAGATTAAGAATATAGATTCAAAAAATATATATATATATCTTAAAGATACAGACGAAAAATTCTTTCCTAAGTTTACACTACTTAATGGCTATTTATATGGTCAACAATGAATAATTTAGTTCTGTAAGTAAGTTGCTAGTTTATCATTGTATGTTGGTAATTGAATCCTATGCATTTAGTTCAGCAAATATGTTTGAATGTACAAAATAATTCTTTGTAATTTTAGTTGTGCTTGTGTCTTTTTTGGTTGATGTTATTTCAAAGTTATGGAAGATTTCTCAGTATCTTTATGCAACTTATATACCCAACCCTGCAAAGCGGGATAAAGAGTTAACGTAATTTTGAAGATTTGATATGTGAACAATCAGGCTGTTCGAAATGAAAAAGATCTAGAAAGCTTAAATGTACCACAGAAGTATCGAAGCATGAAGTCATTTTGGAAGTATTATTCGGGGGAGAAAACTGCACCATTTCCCACTATATTCATTGGTGGTAATCATGAAGCATCCAACTACCTTTGGGAATTGTGAGTACAATAATTTGCAGTAGTAATACATATTGAATTGACTGCAAATTTATGTTTTTGTTGCCTAAAGCATAATTGTTGATACAATGGATGGGTATTTTGGTTTTACAATCACCGCCTTATCAATTTTATGCTTTAGTAATTGTGGACTTCTTGTCTTGGTTTGAAATATGCTGATTTTTCTTTTGTGTGTGGTTTAGGCAATAAAATAGTTTCTTGCTTCATACCTTCTAAAAAAACACTAAAAAGTAGGACTTGGAAATAATCAAGCTTCGCCTCTGTATAGATAAGTTTCCCTTCACTTTTCAACATATTCCCCAGAGTGCAAATGGGGTTGCACACTTCTTTGCTAAGCATGGTGCCCAGGGAAACTTGAGTTATCTATTTGGTCGTACCTCTAATTCTCAATCAAACTTTCTATACAGAAAATCTACCTTTACCCTTAAAAAAATACAATTAAAAAAGAAAAGATCAAACTAGTAATTTTGTTTCAAGTGGTAAATTATGCTACACCAGTGAAGTATTATAACTGTCACAACCTTTAAAGAACTTATGCAAGAACAAATAAGAATGCAATGCAATTCAGTATTCTACTTTGTAGGAATTGTTTCAAGACATTATCAAAGCTTTCAGTGGATTTCTTCACTGATACTAAAATAATCTATAATGATGTAATAAGGTTTATTATTTATTTTTGTGTCTGTGTTTTGGTTTTGATATTTTTTCAGGTGAAATAGTAGTTGAATATTATGTTGGAAAATGGTGTTGGATGTGATGTTTATGAAGGGACATTGAGAGATTGATTTGCAAAATTTAAGAAGACAGAACACAATGTAATAAGAATTTTCAAAAACAGCCTTCATGACCTTGGACGCTAATATAAACAATTTATGATTACTGATTAGTGTTTTGTGTAGGAGTAGAACATGTAGTTTTATAGTGATTGAATACAAATCTTAGCAAATCCTTTGAAGTCTAATGAAATGAAACGATAGAAAAAGAAAAGAGGAGTGTTGGAATGTGATTACTATATATCTAGATTGCTAGAAATAAGAATGTAGCTTTTCTTATAAAGGGGTGCTTGAATCTAAAATGATAATATAGTATTAAAGATGGAAATAGAACTACTATCCTAAGTTCATTGAAACAGATTTGGGATACTAGATAACCACAAATATTGTTTACTAAATATTAAGCCTTTCATTTGGAACAATTTCCTTATAAAAATGTACCATGTTCTGTTGTTTTCAGCAGCCACCACATGAAACTGAGAACAGCATTGAAGATGGATATGATTTAGCTTGAGTTTAAAGTCATACGAAGAATTTCCACTAAACCAGGAAACATTTGCATTAAGTTTAAACCTGGAAGAGTTTTATATTAAACCTTTCTGTTTGATTAGGTTGCTTCTAAGTCTAATATTTCTCTTCTTGGTCTTAATTGAACACAGTAATTCAGTGATCTGAACTTGTAGGATGGTAGACTAAAACATTGGTAATATTTAGAACATTTGTTTCTCTGGATACATCCTGCTTAATCAAATTAATGAGAACTTCTTAATCCTTATCGACTCAGATACTACGGTGGATGGGCTGCACCAAATATCTACTTTCTAGGATTTGCAGGAGTAATAAAATTTGGAAACATTCGCATTGGTGGACTATCTGGAATATATAAGGCACCTCACTATTATTTAGGTAGGTGCAGTAGCGAATGGTTGGTCCCTCTTCACATTTTAATGTTTGATATTAATAAATTTTGTGTATTGAAAAAATTAGTTAATGTAATATTAATTATTATGATGCTATGCTTATTGATGTTTGGAAAAGCTAAGTTAAGAAAATGTCCAGGAATAGTCTGTAGTTTATTTCCTTGCTGCTTGCTGGTTTTCAAGTTATAGTTTTTATTGGCTGTTTTGTATAATGTATATGTTAATCTTATGAACAGGACATCATGAGAAGATGCCTTACAATGACCGGGATATTAGGTCTATATATCATGTTCGCGAATATGATGTTCATAAGCTCATGCAAATTCAAGAACCAATTGATATCTTTCTTTCTCATGACTGGCCTGTTGGTATTACTGACTGTGGAAACCTGAAAAATCTACTGCGCCGAAAACCATTTTTTGAACAAGAGGTACTAAACATGTCTCATGTTAATGTGCTCAGCTAATCGATCTTACATTTCTCTAAATTTGCATTAAAAACCCTTCTAATGAATCTTACATGACAGTATCTATGCAAAATAATTCTGAAAGTTCTGTAACATTGCTCTGAATGATGGTTCTTGTTGGTTGTGTCAACACACACACACATACATCATAAAAAAAAAATAAAATGATGCTTTTTATTTTACTTTTTTTTTTTTTTTAATATAGCTCAGGACTTTTTTGTGGGTGCTAGTCATTCTAATATAGTATTGGAAAGGTTCTGTATCTAACCTCTACCACATTTATTAGAAATAAGTATTTTATGTGTGACCTTTTGAAAAACAGTCTCACCTAGATTGTTGTTTGGTAGAAAGATTTGCATGTGCCATGTAAATTATTTTCTTGCATTACTGTGTAGGGGTGGGGATTTTCATGCTGAGATCCTATGATGTCTTTTAGAAAGACCACCCTGCCTAATATATATTACGTAGTAATTTAAGTGCTTTAACTTCTATTTTAACCTTAGTGTAATGAGGCGGGGAGGTATGTATTTTACACAATTTTCAAATTGCTTCAACTCCTGTCAATACATACTTATTTCTTTTTTTACTGACAAATTGTTCCACAATAGATGCCAATTTATTTTTTGCTTGTGATTTTCAAGGGGATATGTGTTACCCTTTTCTTTCGATATGAAATCTTGAACTAAATTCAGATTCTGGAAGGAAAACTGGGAAGTCAACCTGCAGCAGAATTATTGGCAAAGTTGAGACCTTCTTATTGGTTTTCTGCACATTTACACTGCAAATTTTCTGCTCTGGTCCAACATGGAGATAATGGTCCTTCCACAAGATTCCTTGCCCTGGATAAGTGTCTCCCTGGACGACAATTTTTGCAAGTAGTTACTCATCTTTTCTACCATATCTTGAATATCAAATTTTGTAACTAAATTATTAACTCAGGGATCGGCTGGCTGGCTGGCTGGCTTTTTAATTGATACAGGTCATTGAAATTGAATCGGAGATGGGTCCTTATGATCTTCACTATGATGAAGAATGGCTTGCAATCACAAGGAAGTTTAACCCAGTCTTCCCTCGGACTAGAGTTCCTGCATATTATAGGTCTGTCTATGGCTATACCAAAATAAATGTACATTGCTAAATATTTGCTAAATTTGTCTATTTTTATTGATATATAGTGATGCCAAGCTTGAACTGGAAGATTGCCGCCGATTTGTGAAGAATAAAATACAAATCCAGGGTGGAAAGCCATTTGAGTTTGCGCGGACTGCCCCATGCCATGACCCCTCTCGATCCTTCGCTGAAAATCTTCCTTCTGGTGAGTGTTAGTACTAAGTGCCTGAAGAAGTTATCTGAATCTATGAATAATACATATTATCGTTTACAAATAATTTGATAAATGAGAAACAGTGATTAGCTTTGTAGTACTAAAAAAACTTGTGCGTGAAAAACATATGATAGAAGCGGCGAATTTATTTGAAAAACCTAAGAAAACAGAAGATCTATTGAATTTTTATATTTCTATCTGGATTATGGGATGAATTAATTTAGGACGTTGATTATAAATACTATGGCCAATGTTAATATGGGAATTAATAACTTCGTATTATTTGTTGAATGTAACAACTACTTTGCTGAGCTTTTTAGTACTTAGTGAATGATTTTCTTGAATAGCTTGATGATGTTGATTGTTGAATGTACACTATCTTTGTTCTAATATTAAATGGCTTTAGGATATGATATGTATATATATATATATATATGTATGTATATACATATCTGTGAATTGGGCACCAGGTTATCTTAAATGTTTTATCGATTTAGATGGAATGGGTATTTCTACTTGTTTTAATGGATAAGTGACATTAGAAAATTGATATCTATAAAATGGGCAGCATTCAGTATTGAATGATTTATTAATTTTGGAATTTGAATACCCCATTCCTGGGGTTGATTTTTTGCCTTTAATTGCACATGTTGATTTGATTTCTTTTCGGAGTTTGTTATATGTATTGAAGAGTGAGTCACACATATTGAATGATTGTCAGAGGTTGTCCCCAATTGAATCCTAGCCGTTAATTAAATGATCCAAAGGTTAAGGATGTGTCAGAACTGTTGAACCCAAATCCATACCGGACTAAGATGGTGTCTTTTTTATCCTGTAGGACACATTCGAAACCCCCAAACAGAAGCTCTCTTGCAGCTACTAGAACTTCAATACTGTCTGGATGCAGCCGCTGAATCAGGACAACCATCACAAGGTAAAGTATCCATTTATCTTTGATGTTAGAAAAAATATAATTCTCTAGTGAATTATTCCAACTCGTAAGGTGTATATATACATATTATGAGCATTTAGCCATAAGGGCTCCATTCTTCCACTATTCAAATACATCTTAACACATTGCGAATGCAGAATCCAAGGTTTACGACAATGAAGATATCCCAATCGATGATATTGAGGATGCAGATGAACCGGAGGAAATCGATGATGACAATTGACATAACCAAAGAAGATTATGCATCACCTTGTCTAGGTATAGCTCTTTTCTTCACACCTTTCGTAGGTTGAAAAAAACTTATCAAAGTGCTAATTCCACCCCCCCCCCCCCCCCCCAAAAAAAAAAAAAAAAAAAACATGTTTCTTCTGCATACCTTAGTTCTCCTTGCCTGTAGAATACTTACACTTGAGTAGACATTCAGTTTGAATAATTCTCGTATTAAAAAACATCAATGTTGTATTAAGGCGAATATCGATAGTTAGTGCATCATTTTCAAATACACTAAGTTAATGATTTTGATGGACAAATTAAGACAAGTATACATTTTAGTAATTGTTTACACCATTCTCCCAAAGATATAATGAATGACCTATTATTGCAACCAATGTATTATGGCTAAAGTAAGATAGGGAAAAAACCTTTACTGATCAAAACCACCACTTTAGTTTCGTTTCAACTTCGCCCGAGTCTCCGAACCAAGTCATTTTCAATTTCTGCTCTTTTTATCATTAGCATAGTGTACTTAGCAACAAGCTGTGGATCACCTGCGCGCGCGGATAGCTTGCAATTCAAAGAAGTTTGCTCGAGTTTGTCCATATACAAGGATTCGATGGGCACAAAAGCTCCGTTTTTGTGGCAAAGCCAACCATGGGCAGCCCTCAGTGCCGCCCCTAAAGAAGCCGAATCTGGAAATAAAATAAAAACTATCATCAAAACACTTAACATAAGCATACCTTTGAATTTGCTTTAATCGTGTGTTGTGTTTTTAATGAAGTTTTAGACTCTGATACCATGCAACCATTGCGATTATCAATAAAAATACACTAATTTTCTCATGAAATATTATATTCAAATTAATTAGTGTTCGAATCAAAAACCGAAACACAAATAAATAAACCCTCAAACATGTAATGCTTTCTAATATTTACTCCGTTCGGCTAATAAGTATATATTTATTTTTTTCACGGAGGTTAAGAAATAATACTTTCTCCGTTTCAAAACAATAAAGATATTTGAGATGGACACGGAAATTAAAAAATCATTAATATTATATTGATATTTAGTGCAAAAGAGTTTCTAGACTACCAAAATATCCATATTTTATGTAGTTATTATGAAAAAGTGGACATAGTTTTGTAAAAAGGTAAAAAATTAATTACCAAAAATGAAAATGAGACTATTGTTTTGGGATAGACGAAAATGATAAAAAGATACTATTGTTTTCGGACGGAAGGTGTAGTATTTTAGTTATAATGAATAGTTAAAAATAGTGTGAAAATAATTTTGTTTTTTTGGTGTAAAAGCAATGATGTGATGATAAATTAAGAATAATTGTGGAACAAGTGGAGTATTTAATGAAATGATTACTTTATAATTAAACAATCTGAAATAGAAATATGTATACTTTCTTGCTGCACGCAAGAAGTAATTTTTAGTAACTAAGAAAGCAAAAAAGATACCTGGCCTTTGAACAGTATATACATCACAACCGAAAATGGAAGCCATCAAGCTCAGGATGCATTCATTTGCAGACGCTCCACCGGTAGCCACTATTCGCCTCGGAGGAGAAGGCAATCCGAGTCGCGCTGCATGAGCACGCATCGACAGTAACTGGCCCTCAATAAGCGCTCGAACCTGGCAACAACTCAAAATTTGCATGTGGACAAACAATTAAAATCGAAGAAAAAACATCCAGTTAAGCGCACATCTTATTTTGGTTAGTACTACAAACCTCAGATGGAGCATCGAACTCAGTCACCCAACGCTCCTTGAGCCCGGAGAGAGAGACATTAGCGAAGTTTTCAAGAATGCAGCGATGCTCGCCAACTGGATACATCATTATGACATCGTATGAGCGTTGGATATTCGCATTAGCAAAAGAAACAAAGAAGAATATACGACAACACTATCAAATACGACGAATGATTTCCATCATTTTTATTTTTACTTTTTCTTTATCCGTTTCCTTTTGAATTTTTTTAGCTCTCATAAATAAAGGATACTTTCTGATTCCTTTTTAGCTTCCTTTTTCTTTCTTTCTAAAACCTTTCCATCACAAGTAGCCATTGTCCTCATTCAAACTATATCTAAAGCGCAGGAGACAGTTTATTCCGTTTATTAATTTAAATTTTGTGCAAAAATAACAAAATACAAAAATGTTCAAAAATTTCTTAAATGATGGCTCTCCATTGAAGAATTTTCTGACATATATTCATTTAAGTAGTCCTGAGGGGGAAAGGGGGAAAGGGGTTGGGTTGGCATGTCATAATTTAAATATATATATATATATTATATCTTATAATTGACATAGTACAAGTATTACAAGATTAGTATAATTAGGGTGTCGTTTACTTTGTAGGATAGGATAATAATATATGTTATTTTAATGGATTATATAATCACATGATCTTGCCTGAAATGTCCTTAATTAAATGATAAAATTAATATTAAGTTAGGTATTAACTATAGATAAAATAGTTTTTTTATATTAATTATAATTTAGTATTATTTAATATCACCTATAAGAGAAGGATTAATAATTCTTTGCTTATAATATTATTATACTGGACTTTACTTAATACCGGGTTATAGTAATGCATAGTAAACACATAATTAGATTGGATAAAATAATATTATCCACTCTAATCATGCAAAGTAATCACACTTTTAAAATGTAATCCCCAAATTAATGAGTAAGTGTCACAGTTACAATTAGTACTCCTTCCACCCCCAATATATTTGCTATCATTTCTAATTTAAAATGTTTCAAAATGTTTGAAATTTTTCTTATTATGCTTAAATTTACATTTTTACCTTTATAGATACAATTTATAAAATCATTTTTTTCTTTAAAAAAAGGACAACATTCTATCAAAATTATATCATATCCAAATTAAAACTGACAATCTTAATGAGTCGGATAGAATATAAAATATAATGACATTATACACTATTTAGGCAAAATACTTTGGAGTAAACTTACTTGGAAGAGGTGGGAGTATTTCATGCTCCTTGTAGTAAAACCCCATCTTTCCACCTGAAGTACAGAAGATATTGCAAGTAACAAAAATGAAAAAAATAAACACATCTATTCTATATGGTAAACATATAACTCAGACTGACCGTTTAGAGGTGGCGTTTGTTGCAAATAAGCATTGAAGACATCCCAGGAATGATCTGCATACCTGTTACGAATATCTATTTATGTTGTAATCAGATAATCAATCTGAACTTACGATATTTTGATTTCTTGAAAATCAACATCACACATAAAATCAGTACCTTCACGCGTTAATGAGCCATTTTTATAGACCAACATGACCATATAATTTTCTGTATCCACTGGACTAGGGAAAGTGTGTCCTTCAAGGCTAGGTTTATGCTCGGTAGCCACTCCAAACAACTGAGATATTACCGACTCTGAATTAAGATACTAACAATTAATGTATAACTACTTGCAGTAAAGCATAATGACGTAAAATTGCAGTTTTAATCTTACAACAACTGGTCATTTACTTTCACTGTGGACATTCAGAGATTTTAACTATGACAATGTAAAGCATCGTGCAAAAACAAATCAGTTGTTAATAGTTTCAGTCCCATAACTCTTAAAAATTATAATAGAAGAAAACAAACTATAGTCATTTTTAATGGCCCCAAAGCTATAGATTATTAAAATTACTAAAAGCTTGTCTCTATTTTGCAAAGAAAGATATATGTTTAGATAAGAAGATGGAGATACAGAGCTAAGGCTCCCGGAAAGGGAGAAACAAATTATAGAGACAAATTATAGCGAAATTATTTGATCTTCCCTACCCTTAACACCACACTTATCAAAATAGTTCGGAGACTCATTAGCACCTTATATGCTGAAAAATTATAAAGGATAATTTTTCAATAGCAAGGTGGAGCCTATTAATGTTGAAGTTAAGTCTCAACGGAGGAGCAGGACCATTAATTCAACCGAGAGCATTTGTTGAGTTACATTCAACAAAAATTATGGGAAGCAGGCTGAGATTAATCAGAAGTAACAACTTTTTTGTCAACATACTTACAGTATCACTAGTTCCAAGGCTTATCGCTATGTCTCCAGGTGTGTTGAGGGTCAGCCCTACAGATTGCAACATAAACTTCATTAATAAAGTGAATATAATTTGTAAATTAGCCACATAAAACCCAGAGAAAAATAAATTTATCATACAATACCCTTATATTTGTGAAAACTTCAAGAAAAAAACAAACAAACACATACACACAAAAATACAAACATAGAGGTGTAAATTGCATTATATTTGATAAGAAGCTTTTTTCCTTATTATTTGAAAAATAATCTTATAAAAATGATGCCACTACGTTGGCTTTTTTGTAAATAAAAATGGCACTTCATTGGAATTGATAACCTTTCATCAACTCAACTCAGAGTCAAGAAAAGGATGCAGGGAAACATAGATTTTGTTTGCACAAAAGTTTTGTAGCTAAAGTAAATATAGAGATGAGAAATGTACCAAGAAAATGTGTTCAAACATTTTATAACGGATAGGGATAGACCCACCGGCTAAGCTATTAGGGTTGTCTCCAGACCACTGAATGATGAGGCAATCTCTATTGAAGTTGTATCTGAAAGAATGAACCAAACATCAATGTACCTTCATGAATTTTCTAGATATACATAAGAAAATGATAAACCAAATGCATCTTCGAGACTTCCTCTCAAATGAAGAATGATAAATGACTGTCATTATCATTTTTCCACCTACTTACCGAATAGCTGGATCTAGATTATGCAATGGACCTCATAAATGCATAGAATGATGGCACTAGAAAATGTAGCACCAAGAAACATGCATCTTTTCTTCCGAAGATACAAATCTAGTGATATACCTATATATGTATGTATATGTTGAATTCTCAATTGAGAATTAATTTCTATTAATCACTTTAGATACAAGGAATACATATATAAACATAAAAAGAATTACCATAGTCCATGGAATAAAAAAGGTTATATATGTAGAGAGAGAGAACAGTTCAAGCAAAGTACATACAATAGTAATTTGCTAACATTCCAACTACAACTTTTCTAATTTCACTTGAAGAAAAATATCACAAACAATTGTCATAACTTTCTATGGTGACTTTTAAAGTAATATTGTCTCAATTTACCATTAGAACGACAATTTCGAGGAGGTGTTTTTGAGCGTAGATAATAATTCATCACCAACCTTTCCACATTATACTTAGAGATTAAACCAGAAACAGCATATGCTGGCGCTAATCTTCCAAGTCTTCTCTCCAAGTCTGGAGCTGTAGCCTACAAAAATCAGCAAATGCAAACATAAACAAATTGAGCTCGGGAGGGAAGTTCTTAGGCGGTAAGAATGCAAAAGTGCCCGTTTTCGTTCCATAAAGTGTCCATTTCTATTTTAATCAAACAATATACTAATAATTTTAAGTGGTTGCCATAAGAAGCTAGGTTTTAGTAATATTAGTAACTTAAACTTTCATGGTTAATTTGTGGACTTAAAAGATATGTTTCATTTAAAAAATCTCTAAGTCTAATTTAATGACTTGTAGAACTAACATAAGATTTATAACAAGCTTTAAAATTACGTAGTTAAGGTTAAATTTACTATATTTTGGAACCAAAATAAAAGTAAACATTTGTTCATGGGACTAAAAGCATAGTGTTACCATGGTAAGTTAAAGCTACATTAAGAAAGTAAGCACTTTAAAAGATCAACAAAAACAAGACAGAAACCTGCAAAGCTTTCTCAGACCACTCTCTTGATTCAATATTCATCAGATTCATTCCAGCTCCATCAGTGTGATCGATGCAAGCATACTCTCCAATAAGTAGAGAAGCCATGAAAGAACTAACCAGTGAGATCCTTTCTGTATTCTCATATACTTCTGGCTGTGTCTCGAATATTTTCCTAATCTGCGGTCCTGCATATCTTTCATGAGCACAAGATCCTGTAAGCTTAGATAACTCTAATGCACCTCCAACAACCTTCTCAATGGCTCGGCACTGAACTGTAGTGCTGCAGTCCATCCAGATTGGTGATTCATTTACTGAGAATGCACCAGAGAGTTGATCTACTAATGGTTTCTTTGAATCCAATGATGCAAGTATAGTCGAAACCCCCTTCTTCCAATACACACTGCCATGTTGCTGTGCACTGCCCGAAACAGCAACAATCTTACTGAAATCTAAATTTGTGTTCTTTAATCTTTCGAGTACAGTGTCCAGTGCTTCTACCCACATTAATGTTGGTGAAACAATCCTCCCATAGACTGATGGATCCCGGTAGACACCACCCTTTGTTTTGTAGTGAGGCAATTCAGTGTCGAAGTTTACCACCTCTGTAGCACATATGTTTATATTTGCATCTAGTACAGTTACTTTCAGTGACCTGAAAACAGCATTAGACAAGATTATAAGTTGAACAGGATTAAATTTTGCAATTTGGCATCAAATTTATCACTTCTATGGGACAGCCGGGGCTGGAGAAGCACCAGGCAGTGTACCCCTCAGGGTCTGCACTTTCTGGGACAATCTGGCTTCCCTTATTTAGCCCTATCATGGCCTATCCTACTAATCCTGGTTTTATTTCCATCATAACTGGAATGTTCTTCCCCTTTAACTAATATACCAATCCAATTAGACTAATAAAGGGATTAGTCTTAGTTTTAAACATTCCTGGTTTTGGAATTTGGTATGACAGGTTAGACGGTGAAATTGATAGTTATTGATCCGACTTGCCATATCACTTCCGGACAATGGTTTTGATGCATCTGAGCAGTGACAAGACTGATTTCAAATGGTGAATATAAAAGACAAAATTTTGACATCCATGAACACAGATGAGGGTGATGTCTTCAGACAGGCTGAAGTTCTTAACTGAACACTTACTGAATGGTGTGTGTGTGTGGGGGGGTGGGGGCGCAGAAAATAAACAAAGGATGACTGTATGGATGAAATTCTCAATGCTGTTTCGGCTTCAAATATTCCAGAAGCTGCCGGATTAGTAAGTTAGAAGAAAGGTATATGGAGAAGTCCCTGGTTGATAAATTATGTCTCGGACAAAGGCCATATTAATGTCTCAAATAGGATAACAAGCTGACTTGGAGAGGCTTTGTAACACTCTAGCCCCCACCCGAGCTCTCTGTTGCGAGTTGGGTATTTTATATGATTGAAATATTTCCATCACTTTTGTCATCACTCATGCACCCGGTAAGAATTCTAAAAGGTTAGCCATCCTAAAATTACTTCAACACGAGCATGCTAACTTTAGGATTTTTTTCTGGTGGGCTCCAAAAAAATAGAGTTGTACTTTGTTGACATAATTAGTTTTATCAATCCACTTAAACGTTGTCCAAATCCATGATTGCTCAAACTTCGTAGCTCCAATAGAGGAAGCTTAAGCCAACTACCAACCACATGAACTTCATCTTCTTCCCAGTTCTGATCCAAAGTTCAAAGTCCAGTAGGGCAATTTTGCCTCCTTTATAGATATTAAGGTCAATGGCAGTTGAGTTGGACGGCGAAACACATTTGACCAGCTGAAGTTCGACTAAAACGAACCTCCTTTGCCTCTCCAAAATGATCCACCGACAAAAATGGCATTTGACCCAATCCAAACCACCTAAATATTTATCCGGGGAGACTCATACCAATGGACAGAGCCTGGGTAGTTTGAAACCCTTGCCCAGTTCCAAAAATTATCTAACTCGCCCGTGGCATTAAACGTCAAAAGGTTCATGAATGTCAATTTCGGAGAGTTCTACGGCTCTGGCTCTAGGGTCGGGACTTATAGTGGTTGCAAGGTTTGCTCCTCCAGTGTCAACGGAGGAGGTTTATTTAAATCGAACCTCAACGGTCCTTTCACATGTCGGAAGATCATATTATGAAAATTCAAGGAGATTCGTTTCAATCGAACCTCAATCTTCCGGTCGGACATGTTTCGTTGTCCAACTCAGCAAACATTGCAACCTCAATACCTATAGCAAAAAGGCGAAATTATCCTACTAGAGTTTGAATCTTTGGTAAGCCTGTAAATAGACCACTGCTTTTATCATCAGACAATATACACAATTATGACTGCAAAATATAACATGATATCACAGTTATATTTCTTCGGGTACACTCAACCGGAATGTAACTAGAGGCTTCCTCAATTTAAGATTCTTGCCATCATATCTTTCCTGTCAAATTTATTTTGGTTTTAATAAAGTTATATATTCAGCCAATTGTTGTCTTTGTTCAAATCACTTCTTCTTATGATCCTGCTAAGAGCCCCGTTTCTGCTTCTGAACTATATTAAGAGACCTATTTATGCTTCAAACGCCAACTAGTTTAGCGCCCTGCTTATACTCTAATGCGTCCAGAGCTTTTTTCTGCTTGACTTTAAATGGGTTCAAAGGCTTACTTCCGACTTTGACTCAGTGGACGATTCTAGCTACATCATCTCTATTCTCCAATCTCTCCTGGCAAATTCAAGTGGGTTTCTACGACGCCACTTGAGTTTAAAAGAGATGTTAGATAATTTAGATGTTTGGTACATGGTTTAAATTAAGTTTCTATTATTTGAATCTATCGAGTTGATTTCATTATTTGCAAAATGTACCTGTTATCATGATCATAATCTCTTGTGCAAACTCAAGTTGGTCTCTTTGATACCACAAAGTTGGAGGAAGCGTGTTGCTATATATATGGACTATATTTACATATATATATATATACATAATAATAATAGTCCGAGCCTTAGAGATTTGTAATATTCTAGACTTATTCTAGAGATGTATGCTATTCTATGTGAATGAAAATAGCGAATTTAATTTTACAAAGTAACAAGTCGGAAGCTGAAATCTAGAAGGAAGAGATTGTTGCTTCCATTAATCCGAATGCAAACTTAACAACAAAAAGAAAAAAAGAAAAGAAAAGTGGTCTACTCCACCAAGTAGAAACCATGCTGATGCAGATTCACATGCTCCAGCATAAACTGGTAGGAATTCAGTTGTTCATGCATGAAGAGGGGGAATAGATGAAAAGAAAAAACACTGAGTCTCTGATGTTTTTTCATATTGGATTTCCCTATTGCTTAATTTCTTAAACCAGTAATTTCAAAAAATCTGATTGTTTGTATTCACACTTAAATGTTTGGAACATGACCCAATCAAACAAGTGGTATTCAAAGGTTTGGGGGAGAGAAATTCATCCGAATTTTTTTTTTCAGATGTATTCTATTCTCGATTCTCACAGATTTGTCCAGTTTTGGATATATATATATATATACACATATATATATATTCTCTGTTCTTTTAAAAAGAACACTTGTTTAATTTCTCAGCAAGTTCTATTCGCAACAATCAAAACATGAAAACCATATGCATACTCATAAGAGAAAATAGGGAAAATTCGAAGGAAACAATTTAATGGAAGCAAAATAATCATCGTCATCATACAAATTTGCAAAACAGTAGAGAGAGAGAAGAGAGGATGTTACTGAGTGGAAGAGTCGAAACCAAGGAACAGAGAATCAGGTGGGAGCGCGCAGTCCTCCATTCAACAAGCAGCAGGGCCGTTCCAATCCTGCCCCAAAATTAAATAAATATAAATAAATAAATAAATTTTGGTCCCGCTGTTTGACGTGCACTAAAATAGATAAATAAAATTTTATATAATAGTATAGGGTGTGTTTGTTTGGAGGATTGAATTTAAATTCAACTATTTATTTAATTTTTTTTCCCTAAAAATATCAAATCAAACACTTATTTTTTATTTTTTATATAATACTAAAAATTAATTTTACATTCAAAACATCACATCATCAGTATGTATTTATATCACATCATACAACTATTCAAATTCAAAATTTTTATTATTCAAATTTCAATCCAAAATCTAAACCCTCAAACAAACACACCCTAAAAATAATACTATAAAAATCAACTAAAACAAAAGTTAAAAAATATCATGGATATCTTTTTAAAAAGTTAATAAAAAAATATGAGCCAGACATATTAAGTGGCTTTATTAAAGAAGTCTTCCACTGTAAATAAATGCTTTTCTTCTCCATCGCTGTAAAAATTAATCCGTAGTGACTTTGTTTACGATGTTAAAAAAAAGGGTCGGCGCAGCCGGTGACAAAACTAACGTCAAAATTTACAGGGCAAAATGTTATAATTTATTTAATATTTAATTAATAAATTTAAATAAAAAATAATGATAGAATTATAATATGCTCAAACAGCCTCTGTTGCCAACTCAGATGTTGATTTGACTGGGTCAATATATGCCACCCGGGTGACCAGCGACAACAGCTAAAATTTAGCACTGTGCACATTATTTATATTAATATATTACAAATAAAGAACATGAACTAATAACACATGTTATAGTTTCATACAATATACAATAGTTTATTTTAACACATGACATACTCTCGTACAATACACATGTAATTATGAACAAACAACACATGCTTTTATTACACACATAATATGTTGTGTGTAATAAAAATATGTGTTGTTTGTATATGGGTGCTGATTTGGAAATTAGCATGATGCTGAATTTTTCAAATCAGCACCGTTAACTTTCCCTATAATATATGTTATATTATAAATATACTAAAATATGTGTTGATCGCTTTTATAGCATATGGTAATTCGATCAAAATCAGCACCATATTGATTAGACCGGATTAACAACTAATCAATGTTTCGATCAAATGGTCGGTTTGAACGAGATTTAAAATAAAAAATAAAATTGAAAGGAATAGTTTAGATAAGATAAATATTGATTTGACGGCTGTAATTAGTCGGGACAATTGATTTGGACACAATATGATCGAATTGAACTTCAACATTCTCAAATTGGTACAATTTAATTTGTGAATATATCAACATTTCTAAATTCAATATATATACATATTTTTCAATATATATATATAATTAGAAAAACAAAATTTTAGATCAAATTAGAAAAAAATACGGATATATACAATTATACATGACCGTATGAGAACATGCGTATGTTGTACACAACAGTGTTGTATTGGTGGATCAAAATTGATTAAATTTATTTATAACGAGACTAAAATTGATGAATTTTTTGTATTGAAAACAAAATTAATACATTTTAATTATATTAAGATTATATTGATTTTATTTTTTTTAAATTCATTTTCATATTTCATAATTTTTCTCTAAAGTTCTCAGTCTTAGAGTTTATATTTTCATAATTGTTCTTCATTTTTTCTTAGTATATATTTTAATCATAAATCTTTATACAATATTCTACACTATTCTACAAGAATTAATTTTAAAAGTAATAATATAATTTTAAATTTGCTATTCTTTTAAGACTTTAAAGTATGTTTATATATATATATATCAAATAAAAATATATAATTATATCCAACTTTGACTATTTTCAAACATATTATTATTTTTTATAAAGTACTAATGGTGTGTCTTTTTTATCAAAATATTCAATTCCGTTTCAAAAAAAAAATATATTATATATATTTATTATTTTTATATTATTTACATAATTTTTTATATTTCACATGAATTTTTTTTTCTTCAAATTAAACCACAAAACAAACAAACCCTAAATCAAAATACTATTTAAAATGAAAGTAAAATAAAAACTCTTAATTTCTTATTTACTTACTTTCTATATATAAAATGACAATTGGTCTATATGAATATAGAAATGCACAATATGATATTTCCTTCGTTTTGTTTTGTGTTTTGTGTTTTTTTTTTTTTTTTTTATTTTCTCACGAAAAGAATGCTAGTGTGGTTTGTTTAGAGGTTCGAATTTTTTGTATGAGTTTTGAATGGTAAAAAAATTGAATTGAAACAATTATATGATTTGATATAAATAAATATTGATATAATATTTTGAATGTAAAAATTATTTTTAGTATAATATAAAAAATAAAAAATAAATGTATAATTTTATATTTTTTTTAAAAATAAAATTGGTGAATAGTAGAAATTTTTAGAAATCCTTCAAACAAATACAACCTTCACGATGTATTTGTTTGGTAAGTTTTGGATTTAAGTTTTTAATAGTGTTTAATTTGAATAATTATTTGCTTTAATATAAATAGATATATTATATTTTGAATGTAAAATTAATTTTTAATATAATATTCCCCCATCCCATATCTATATATATCAATTTGTTTTTTACACGGAGTTTTAAAAATATTAGTATTATATTGTGATGTAGTAAAAATAAAAGTAAAAAATTAAACTAACCTTATTGGTATTGTATGATATAAATGTAATGACATTTGTGCAATATATTGTAAATTGAAATGATATTTGTAACGTTAGGTAGATAGTACAATTACTAAAAAAACAAATAGATACTTTGTTAAGGGACGAGCCAAAATAGAAAAAAATGATAAATTGTCAAGGGACAGAGGGAGTATAAAAATAAAAAATAAGTATTTAATTTGATATTTATTTTAGAGAAAAATAATAAATAGTAAATTTTTTTTGAGAAAACCCCAAACAAACACAACCTTATTATTTGTTACAAAATATTGTTACTCCAAAACTTAAATGATTTAATTACTTTTGCATTTATTTGATATATTATTAGTTGTTAAATTACTTTATCGCATAATAAGGTTAGATGCGATAAACCATTATTATTAGTATTTTATTATGACTCATTATTTTATGAGAAATATAATGAAACCTTTGAGTCAATATGACACTCCGGCCCGCAAGTCACGTAAAGTCGGCCGTGTCGAAATTATAGACTGATCCAGTCTAGTCCTCACTCACACGTACTCTAGAAAACTTCCTAAGTAGTCTATTCAATCCATTTAACCTCTAATCTACTTCAACCTAACTCCGGAGGTATCACAACTGTGGGTTGTAACAGGTCCGCTTTGATAGCAACTGTGACACCCCGACTCACAAGACACGCAATGCCGGACATGTCGGGATCGTAGACTGGCTTCATAGGTCAACACGAGTCATTCCACCACGCTCCTGTCCTTACTCACGCTCAGACACGCAACGCCGGACGTGTCGGGATCATAGACTGGCTTCATAAGTAAACACGAGTCCTTCCAGCACGCTCTTGTCCTTACTCACGCGTACCCTGAAAGACTTCCCACATGATCACCCATTCTCAAATTACTGTAGGCAAGCACACTTAACTTAACTGTAAAGTTCTTTCAGATTGAATTTTCCGAAAAGGAATATGCACATTGTTGACATAAATAGTTTATTCAATCAATTTAATAACATTAGGTACAAAAAAATGCTTGCACGTTCCATATTAACCGTAGCCGCCGAACAATATTTAGTATAGGTTATACATTAAGTGCTAGACATTCTTAACTAACCGCTGAATACTTAAAAAATCAATATTTGCTTGATGATTACGTGAAACTTAAAGATATAAGTCAATATAAACCTAATAGTTTAAATTCAAGTGATAGAACTTTAAAATATAACCATAAGTGATTATTAACGATTACTAATTTTAGATTTTAATCACAACTCTTAACAATTTAAATTAATTAATTTTTTTTTTATTTATTTAAGATAATTAGTTGGTTATTAGGATTAAATCACAGATGCTAAATTAATTAACATATCAACCTATGATCTTTTTTTTTTTTTTTTTTCCCCAAAACTCTGATTTCAAATATTAAAAATTAGCTAGAAAACTTTTGCAAAAAAACACACCCTAAGTTAATTAAATAAATAAAAATTTCATTTAACATACATAAAGTCATAAATCTAAGATATATTTTATAAATGTAAATTACAAGGGGCTTGTTTCTTTAGTATTCTAGTTTGAGGTATATATTTTATATGAAATATAAAAAATTGTATCGATAATATAAAAAATAATATTTTATATTGAATATTGATTTTTTGTGAAAGAATAGAATATATATATATGTTATATTCAAAATCATATCGAGAGAATTTTTGTTGCACAAACAAACCCCATATAACTTAAATATTATTAAGATTTTTTTTTTTTTTTTATATAATTTTTTATCTATCCCAACTTCTTGATGATACTTCTTAGTAGTAGGTGTATAATTGCAACCATGCATTTGTATCTAAATCCAATTGAGCAATGAAAAACCCCTTTATGCTTCTATTGTAGCAAAGTAATGAATTTTCTTCTTCTTCCGCTACAAAAAAAAATAGTATATTTGTAACGGAATTCCGTTTCTAAAGTTCACGTAGCTAACGTAATTTCATCCCTAATTCCGTCTCTAATATCATTAGTAACGGAAAAAGTGGATTTAAGAACGAAAAAATCTCGTTACAAAATTGATATTTTTTTGTAGTGTTCTTCTTTCTTCTTCTTCTTCTTCTTTTTTTTTTTTTTTTTTTTAAATGTATAGAGACAATTTAGATTTGGAATAGATAAGGTCCACATTTGATTTCTAGATATAGTTACGACCAACAAGTTAGTTCTATAATTTCTTCTATGAACATTTTGGTTAATGCTAGTGAAGATCTTGTGATCGTGCAGTTGAAATAATCTCATCTTCCATTTCAAAAATAACGTTAAACACATGAACTTCGATTGAAATTTATAGCGACTCTAAATCTAAACAAAATCTACTTCATTTAAAAATGAATTGAGTTCATATTATTGGATTGTGGGGTAAGGTTGAGTTGGCGAAATTAAGTTTGAATTAAATTTTGAGGCCAAAGTTCAAATATCCCCATCAAATTAAAATCGAATTTCTCCCTCTACCAAAAGTTAAAAATATTCGAACAAACATATCAATATCATGTAATAACCATATCATTTTCCGAAATCAAAATAGTGAATGCCATGAATTGTTTTTGTGGGTTAGTGAGATATCGACAACTCGTTAAGTTTTTAGTCTAACTCTTGTCAAGACTCTCAGCTTTTGTTAAATTAGAAAATATAAAATATGAAATTTAAATTTATGGGGTTTTGGATATTGGTTCCAAGTATTATTCATGTTATATCTAATTGGTAAGCATTTGTGGGTTCAATGCGAAAATTGTTACATGATAGTTTACGCTATGGTGAATGTCAGCAATCGGATATGTAATTATTTGGAATAATTATTGAAATAATAGTTGGAGACATGCCGTACTACAAGAAAATATCATTTTTGTAACAAAGTTTTTTCGTTTCTAAATCCAATTTTTCCATTACTAATGATATTAGAGACGGAATCAGAGATGAAATTACGTTAGCTACGTGAACTTTAGGGACGAAATTCCGTTACAAATATCCTATTATTTTGTAGTGACGGATATGTTATATGATGTTCTATATCTCTGTTCTTCTTTCTTTCTTTCTTTTTTTTTTTTTTGTATGAAATTCTAAGAAAGAAAAAAAAAGCGTATATTGCACAAAAAAAAGTTTTCGAAATTTTGTATTGTGGATAATTTTTTTTTTAAATGTAAATAAATACAAAATATATATTTTTTTTACATAGAATTAATAGGAGACACAAACTTCCAAATCTCATTAAATGTTTAGAAGCATTATTGATGGTCCATAACAAGTGACAAAAATTTGAGGGTCCCCAAAGTTGAAAAAGATGGGAGAATATAACCAAAAACATTAATTAAGATGAAATGCACCATTCCATCAAGGGATAACATGATTGTCTATATTTATTAAAAAATTTATTGTTTTGGTTTGAGTTTTAATTTTTTATTTAGTTTCGATCGAAATAATATTTTGATGTGATATTTTATAGAAGAAAATAATATTCGCTTGGTCGATGGATACTTATGCATATTTGCTTTGGTATGAAGATTAATATATAATAATATTTTAATATAAAAGTGAAATAAGTAAAATGTAAATTGAAATATATTATGAAAATTTTACTAAAGAATTGATAAATACTACTATGTAATAGACTAATTTTAGAAAATAGTTACAAATTAATTATATATAGTTGATATATATTGTCAACTGATTTGATATATTTACTAATATTGTTTAGACAAATATTTATTATTTGAATTTATTTATTTTGTTTCAAATCTTAACTTAAAATTTCATTATTAACATATAATTCAGAAGTTCTATCAAAATGTAACAATTGGTATTATTTCATACTAAAGTAAACTAAAATTTGGCCAAGCTTTTGAACTCACAATGTAAACCATATTATTAGTAGTGACGATTTCTTTTTATTTTATTTTTTTGAATTGGTTTTTAATTGAGTTAATTTTTGGATTTTGTAAGTTATCCCTTTCGTCCGAAAAATTTAGTCACATTTCTTTATAAAAATACGAAGGGATGAAGCTAAATTTTATGGACGGAGAGAGTATTATTTGTGTATTTGAACCCTATTATTGCAATAAAATTAAGAGTAAACTGTTTTTTTAGTCCCGTAACTGACATTTTTATCATTTTAGTCCCGTAAGTGGAGCATGTCGTAAACTAGTCTCATAAGTGAAAAATTTTAGATGTTTTAGTCCTCCGGTGCCGGAGACGCCCGCGTGGCTCCCCGGAGGCCACACATGTGGATTTTATTTATTTTTATTTTTTAAATTTATTTTTTAATTTTTTTAAAAAAATTTATTTTTAATTTTATTTGTTTTTTTTTAATTTTTTTTATTTGGTCCAATTAAAAAATATATAAAAAACACCCACGTGTCCGCTAGGTGTCGCTGACTTGGCGGGACACCTGGCAGACACGTGGCCTCCAGCGAGCCATGCGGCCGTCTCCGGCGCCGGAGGACTAAAACAACTAAAATTTTTTACTTTTGGGACTAATTTGCAACAGACTCCACTTACGGGACTAAAATGATAAAAGTGTCCAGTTATGGGACTAAAAAAACAGTTTACCCTAAAATTAATAGTAATCCATGCAAATATGACTAAGGTTCCAAAATCTCTTTTAGGCACATATACAACTAAAATGTTTATAATTTTAAGTATTTTTAATGTGAGATATGAAAATTTATAAAAATATTATGAAAAACAATATTTTGTATATTTTTTGTTTACTTTATGGATTTGTTCACCCAATGTTAGTTGACATTATTTCTATAAATATTATAAAAATAATACAATATATACAATTTAAATATAATACATAAAATACATATGTTTTATTCACCAACAAAAATCAATAATTCAACAGAAAATATTATTATTTTTATTATCGGCATGACTTTTTATATTTAGCATAAAAAAAAACTCGTTCATCCAAAAATACAAAATAAATACACCCATTATACATATATATATACATTGTATATTATACTATTCATGTCTCATAAGAAGGGTATTATTTATTTTTTGCGTCATTGTATTTAATATGAAAAATATCGTTATGTTTGTATAATTTAGCCCACAAATGTCATTGTATTTGTATTATAAGAGACTAATAGAAGTATTTTTTGTATTTTTCTTTTGATTTGTATTATGTATTAATATAATAATTAATATTCAAATATCAATACGTAAAAGTCAATGATATCCTTCTTACGAGACAAAAGTAGTATATTTTACTTTTTAGATAATACCCCCTCCTTTCATTTTTTATTATCCTAAAGTATATTTGTACAGTTTTTTAGGTGATTGTCTTTTTATATGATAGAGATTAAAAGTAATAAATGAATTAAGAGTAAAAATGTAAAATTTGTGTTTAAAAAAAAATAGGACAATAGTTGTTGGACGTCCATATAGGAAAGTAGGACATTAGTTTGTAGACGGAGGAAGTATTTTATTTTTAGGAATCACGAATTATTAAAACATTAATGAAACACACACACACTCTCACACAAGAAAACACAAAATTGAATTAAATGTCTCCTCCCTTTCCCCACATCTCCTTTTATGCCATACCCAAACATTTCCTTTCTCATCTTTCCTTGCTAGATTCCTTCAATTCTTCATCTTCCTCTTCAAATCTTGGAACCTTTTTCACTACCCTCTAATGTCAATAGAGTCACAAAAAACAAACACAGCCGTGTACATGGAACAAACCCCCGAAGTAGACAAGCTAGACAAGAAATTTGACGATGATGGTCGTGCTGAAAGAACCGGTATCAATGCTTTTAGTTTTCCATCATTTCCTCATTAAGTATAACCATAAATAATTTTCTCGCAAATCTTTTTCTCGCCAAATAATATTTCTAAATATGTGTATATAAATGTACACCGCGTGCATGAAGGGACACTATGGACGGCGAGCGCTCATATAATAACTGCTGTGATTGGATCGGGTGTGTTGTCTTTGGCATGGGCGATTGCTCAATTAGGTTGGGTAGCTGGCCCCATTGTGCTCATGGCCTTTTCGTTCATTACCTACTTCACTTCCACATTGCTCGCCGATTGCTACCGCTCTCCGGGGCCTATCCATGGAGATCGGAATTATACTTATATGGATGTGGTTCGATCCCACTTAGGTATGCTCAAATATTTTTCTAAATTTTTGGTACTATTCACCAAAAATAATTTTTTTTTTCAAAAATATTTTATCAATTATTTATTCACTTTCATGAAATATCACATGAAATATTAAAATATTATTATTTTTAATTTTTTCTTTTTATCAAAACTTAAAAAGTTTTGGTCTAAATAGAGATATTTTTAGTTACATAAATGAAAAATTAAACTTAGATGTGGTTTTTCAAAATATAATTTTTGTATCATATACAGTGTTTTGTGTCCTTATATAATAAGTGTGGAGCCTATAATATTAATAAAATATATTTTAATTTTAGATATAACTATTAAAATACTCCTTTCAACATACATTTCGTAGTATTACAACTTATTTTCAAAATATCTCACAAAACAAACACACCGTTTTTACATGCACAAATATTTCCTTTGTCTAAGAGTAAGCTTTCCATATACTTTTTGCATATTGATTATTATATCCAGAAGTAGTATAAATTAAAAAAAAATGACAATTTTTTTCTATTAGTGTCTTATAATGCTAATATAATAACATTTGTATAAGAAATTATACAAATGTAAATATGTTTTTAATATTAAAAATAATAACGTCAAACGTAAATGAGAAGTTTACTGACGGACGAAAGGAGTATAAAATATTTTTAGTTTCTAGTAATCATGCTAACAATAAATATATTTGTTCTTTGTGTATTAAAGAATAAATAGTGCGGCAAAAGGAGTTTTAAAACATAAACAAGCACGCCCAAAAAGAATTATATATTAAATATAATACTTGTATAATAAAATCATAGTAATAAAATTTATTCCATCTTTTTATTAGGAGTATAAACTTTATGCAAGAAACATATACATAATTCATAATTTGAAATAAAAATAAATATATGAAACTATCGCTACAAGAAAATATCATTTTTGTAACGAGATTTTTTCGTCCTTAAATCTACTTTTTCTGTTACTAATGGCATTAGAGACGAAATTAAGGATGAAATTACGTAAGCTTTACGGACGAAATTCCGTTACAAATATACTATATATATATATATATATTTTTTGGTGTAGTGTATGAATATTTTGTTGCTAGTTTGATTATTAATGGCTTAATGTTATAATTATATTTTTATGTTGTAGGAGGAGTGAAAGTTCAGCTATGTGGATTGGCTCAATACACCAATCTTGTGGGGATTAGCATTGGATACACAATTACTGCATCCATCAGTATGGTGTAAGTTTATTGTATTATATATATATATATATATATATATTATATTGATTAATCAATAAAATTTTTAAAATAAATAAATAGAATAAAATCAATACAACTAATCAAATTTTAAATTGAATAGTTAAAGGATAAATTATTTTTTTTGTCCCGTAACTTACCCTTTTTATCATTTTAAAACTTTAAGTGGACCATGTATGAAAATAGTCCCGTAAGTAAATTTTTTTCGTTAAAATGGTCCACCGGTGCCGGACTTGCCACGCAGGCCCGCCGTTGCTGATGTGGCGCTGACGCGGCTGACATGTCATCGCCACGTAGATAGTCACGTCAGCTACACATGGATTTTTTTTTTCTTTTACAAAATGTTTTGGTAAACTATTTTTTTAGTCTCGTATATGACCTCCTTTATCATTTTTAGGACATTTAAATGGACTATGTCCAAAAATAGTCCTGCAAGTAAAATTTTTTCCGCTAAAATGGTCCTCCTACGTGGCATCTATGTGGCGATGAAATGTCAGCCGCGTTAGCGCCACGTCAGCAACGGCAACCAGTGTGGCAAGTCTGGTAGCGAAAAAATTTTACTTACTTGACTATTTTCAGACAAAATTCACTTAAAGTCCTAAAATGATAAAGGAGGTGAAATACGATACTAGAAAAATAGCTTACCTATAGTTAAATTTAGCATGACTTACATTGATTAAGAGTATTTGCACATACATGCAACAAAGTAGTAGTAGTAATAATAATAATAATAATAATAATAATAATAATAATAATAATAATGTACATGCATTTTATTCTTAATTTAGGATAAGATCAATGTCAAACCTTCGTGGCTACGAAATAATTATTTGATAGGATATATATTTAAATGAATACTATATGTTCAAAGCTGCCTTTGATGCTTTTTTAAACAAGAAAATTAGTAAATTTAATAGTAAAATAAATAAATAAAAAATAGGCCCACAAATGAACAAACTATAGAGTTTATTCTTGTTTTTGTTGTGTGAAACTTTCCTATTTTAATTTATTGATTCTAGTTTTGATTTAGCAAACATTACATATAATTTTGAGAAACTTTTAATTTAGCATTGATTAATTGATTTTTTGTAATTAATAATATACTAATATTAGGGCCGTAAAGCGATCAAATTGCTTTCACAAGAACGGTCACCATGTCGAGTGTTCGATATCAAATTATCCATTCATGGTGATCTTCGCGGCGATTCAAATATTTCTAAGCCAGATCCCGAATTTTCATAAACTATCTTGGCTCTCTATTGTTGCAGCCGTAATGTCGTTCGCGTACTCTTCCATTGGTCTCGGATTATCCATCGCCAAAGTGGCAGGTATGTAGATACACAATATTTAAGATCGATATTTTTTTTTGTATAAAAAAAATAAATATATATATATAAATAAAAAGCCACAACTTCAAACAATCATCTTCAGCTAAAAACGACACAATCAACGCAAAAAATATGCTAAAGATTATATAACAAATTTCTATTTTATGAAAATTTTGAAAATTTCATTTTTAACTAGTTAATTATCATGGTTACTCTATCCGTTCCACTAAAAGTGTTTGATGTTACCGTAGACATAGGAATCTAAGTAAAATATAATTAGTAAATAATTAAAAAGTGTATTACTAATAATAATTATTATATGATAAAAATAATTATAGATTAAGATAACTAAATAATTTAATTAAAATTAAAGAAATTATAAATTCTAAAATTTAAAATGTGATCAAAATGTATAATCATATCGTTATTTGGTTGTATACTTGTATATATACTTCTCTACCTTGTATAACGACAAAAAAAAAATAATAATAATGATCTTCTTATATGAGTTCATACTATACATGACGATTAGCCCTAATCATCGCACTTTTCATCCCATTATGACCAATTAACACCTTAACTATCGTCATATATATTTATATTTATCGTAGAAAAAGGGCACAATGTTAGGACAGGAATAACCGGGACAAGAGTAGGAGTAGAGTTGACGGGTTCTGAGAAAGTGTGGAGGACCTTCCAAGCCATTGGAGATATTGCCTTTGCCTATGCCTTTTCTACTGTCCTTGTCGAAATCCAGGCAAGTTATTTCTTCTTTCTTTTATATATGTTTAAATCATTTTTATTTATTTAATTTATCATATTTAATTATTATTTTAATTTAAAAATATCAAAACAAAAATAATAATAATAATAATTATTATTATTATAATTATAATACAAGATCCACAAAAATATCAACCTCTATCTTTTGCGTCGGTGACTATTTTAATTTTTGGAAGTATTATCCAATTTCTTGATTGTGTTTATAATTTATGAGTGAGCACATGTCAATTTAATATAGACCATGGCACGTCACAATTGACAATTGGGTCCTACTTACTTAGGCTGTCAATATTGAATACACTTGTTCGACTTAAAAATAATATTCCCTCCGTCCCATAATAAAATATTCATTTTTTCATTTTAGTTCGTCTCGTAACAAAGTAGTAACTGTACTATATATATTATACAAATGTCATTACTTTTATATCACATATACTAATAAGGTTATTTTAGTCATTTCTACCTTATTCCTACTGCATCTCAATATAATATTAATATTTCTAAAACTACGTACAAAAAACAAATGAATATCTAATTATGTAACGGAGGGAATACTTATTAGATTTGGATTTTGATGTTTTTAATTTGTAATCAAACCAAAAATGAAAATAATTTAAATGGGATTAAGTCGGGTTTCCAATTAACCTAATGACTTAAAATACAATAACCAGGTCACTTAACATACAATAACTTGATAATTTAAATTCCAATGATACACATTACAACAATTTGGTTGATTATTTGGATTTTTTTTCATATATTTTATTACTCCCTCCGTCCCATAACTAAGTATCCATTTACTTTTTGTATGTTGATCTTTGAATATTAATTATTATATCAAAACGTATTACAAATCAAGGAAAAATTGCAAAAATATTTCTATTAGTGTCTTATAATACTAATATAATGACATTTATATAAAAAAATATATAAGTATAAGGATATTTTTAACGTTAAGTACAATGGCGCAAAAGGTAAATAGATACCTTATTATGGGACGGAGGGAGTATTATTTTTCCCAAAAATATTATATCTTTTTTAAAAAAAAAAAAATTGCAAAACATTAGACGGACAATCCATTTAGCACTCTTCTTTTGATTTTACGGCCTAAAAAACACTCCATGTTCGGGTTTGCCAATTTATATTTATCAATTAGAGTACGAATCAGTCTATGTTATAAAGGTAAATATTATATACTCCATCCGTCCTATATAATTTGTTCTTATTTTTTATTTTTGTACGTCCCATATAACTTGTCCTTTCATTTTTTGGAAATATGATTATCCACTTTAATCACATTTTAAGTTTTAAATTTTATAATTTTTTAAATCTTAATTAAACTATTTATTTATCTTAATCTTAATCTTAATCAATAACTATTTTTAGTAAATAACAATTATTTCTACTAATACACTTCTTGATTACCTACAAATTATACTTTATCTAAATTCTCGTATCTACGGTAACACACCCAAAAGATATAGGACGGAAGGAGTATTTACATAGTACAACATATGTGTGTAAGAGATTATATTAGGTTATAATATAACATATATTGTATTATATTATAAATATACTGCGATATGTATAATATATGTTGTTTATCTATATCATATATATTGAGCTACACATATATATTATAGTTAGCAGAACACATTTATTACCGCAGAAATTTTTTTTTTTTATATATATATTTGGATTTGATTTAAAGCATAATTTGAATATGATGTTTTTATTTTTTTTTTGGATGACATGGAAATCCATAGTCGCTACCCGAAAGTGTACACCGGATAAATCCCCGGCCCAACCTAATATGATGTTTTGGGGATAATGAGAATTGTATGGTAAAAAAGTTAAACTCCAACCTAAATAATAATAATAATAATAATAATTTCTAGGTGGTGAAGAATAATAGTAATTAATGAATAGCAATGCAAAATAGGATGTGATATTCGGTAGTTTGAAAATAGTAAAATTTGAATTAAAACATGTTTTCATGTGATATAAATAAAATTTTAATTTGATGTTTTGAATATAATATTTTGAATCAAAAAATGCAAAATAAAATCCAAAACACATTCGCTTTATTTTTTTTCATAATTATATAATGAGTTATCCCTCTTTTCTTTACAAAAAATAAAATAAAATTATACCTATAAAATCCAATTCAATCCTACCCAAAAAATAAGCTAAATATGCGACAAAAAGGCACCATGTGTAGTACAAGAAGTAACATACTTAGCTTCGAAATTTTGATCTAATCCAATTGAGATTAGATAGCGTCTAGTGGAATCGAGTTAGGCGACAAACTAAAACTTGGTTACATTTTCCAAAAAAAAAATCAAGTGCTTGCGAAAAATGCAAGTAATAGTAAATCTCGATTGAGAATTGATTGACTTAGAGATAAAAATAAATTTAAAGGAAAATAGTTTTTCACTAAATTCTCGATTGATATTCTTCCTAACAATATATTTTGTATAGGACACGTTGAAGTCGCCACCTCCGGAAAATAAAGTGATGAAGAAGGCCTCTTTTGTGGGAGTGTTGACTACAACAATGTTCTATGTTCTCTGTGGTTGTGTCGGCTATGCTGCATTCGGAAATGATGCTCCTGGAAATTTTCTCACCGGTTTTGGTTTCTACGAGCCCTTTTGGCTCATCGACTTTGCCAATATATGTATCGCTGTCCATCTCATCGGGGCTTACCAGGTATGTTTTGATTAGTTTGAGTATCTTGGATGATAGATTCGATAATATAATACTTCATTCGTCCCAAATCTTCTACTATTACTTTTATTATAAAAATTCTCAAAACTTCTGAGTTATATACATCTTTTTTTCCATTTTAACCTTATAAGGCCAACTCAAAACCACAAACTCTATTTTTGGCAGTTTTAACTTCAAAATTGCAGTTGTTATTTTTAATAAAATTCACAACTCTATTTTTTATCCAAAAAAGAATATTTTTCAAATATTCTATTTTAGCTCTGAGGTCTTGTTTATTTTTTATTTATTTATTTTTTTTAGGTTGATATTTGAATATTAATTATTATATCAAAATTTAGTACAAATTAAGAAAAAATTGCAAATATACTTTCGTTAGTGTCTTATAATACTAATAAAAGAACATTTGTAAAAAAAATTATACAAATATAAAGATATTTTTTAGGTCAAGTACAATGACATAAATGTAAATGTGACCTTAGAGGTGGACGAAGAAAATATTATTTTAAATCATTTTTTAGATCTATAATTAATATTATTTTATAAAAAAATAAAAAATTAATACTTTTTTTATGTTGGACTGTGGCAACGCCCCCAAATATCGAATGGATTGGAGCAAATTCTCCCTATCAAACTCCATATTTGGTGTGTGTGTTGGAATTTCATATATAAACAAGTATGAACAAAAGTAATGAGAAATAAATAAATAAATATATATATATTAAAAATTTATATCACCTAAAAAGCTATATTAAATAAATAAATAAACAAGCAAAAAGGAAAAAAAGCAAAAACAAAACAAAAACAAAAAACAGTGGTATAGTAAAAATAAAAAATAAAAAATAAAAAATAAAACCTTTTTAAATGCATAGTAAATTTGATAGGTTTTTCCTTTTTTGCCTTTTATTCTTGTTCACATGTGGATTATTTTCAAATATCTTACCTATTTTATAATTAAATTTCGATTAATTGTTACTTTTATTATTATTATTTTACATGTAGGTTTTTGCCCAACCAGTATTCGGATTCGTCGAGTCCAAATGCACGCGAAAATGGCCCGATAATAAATTCATAACGGGCGAGCACATGGTGGACATTCCATTGTGCGGGCCTTACAACATCAACTTGTTCCGATTGGTGTGGCGAACAATGTATGTCATTGTAACAGCGGTGTTTGCGATGATTTTTCCATTTTTCAATGATTTTTTGGGCTTACTCGGCGCGGCATCCTTCTACCCATTGACCGTTTATTTCCCCATAGAGATGCACATCGCCCAAGCTAAAATTCCTAAATACTCATCCCCTTGGATTTGGTTGAAAGTATTGAGTTGGGCCTGTCTTGTCGTGTCATTAGTCGCGGCAGCCGGATCCATACAAGGGTTAGCCCATGATGTCCGGCGATATAAGCCCTTCAAAACCGAGTAATAGTGTGTGTGTGTGTTAGATCGCGTCAATTTGATTTGTGTATGTGTGATAAGGTATTTGCTAAATTGTAAGATTGGCCGATGTGCTTTGGGATATAAACTCATTTCCTCTTGGTCGTTTAGTAGATGCAAATGATCGATGATGAGCAAACCTTTACAATTTTTTCTTAATATTAGATAATGAAAAAATATAGGGGTTGTTTAGGTGGTGACTTGTTTGGATTCTGATTTTTAGTTTTGAATTTAAATAGTAGTTTGAGTGTATTTTTTGTGAGATAAAATTATATATTTTTGGTAAACTGATTTTTTTGTTTCGTAAGTAGATCCTTTTATCACTTTAGTTCCGTAACTAGAGTACGTCGCAAACTAGTCTCGTAGGTGAAAAAATCTTGCACTTTTAGTCATCCGGCGCCGGAGATGCCTATGTGGCACCCGCGTAGCTCCCCAGATGACATGTATCCGTCAGGTCAGCGACACCTGGCGGACACATAATTTTTTTTATTTTTAATTTATTTATTTTGTCTTTTTTTGTAAAAATGTTTAAAAAAATTAAAAATTAAAAATAAAAATAAAATTCCACGTATCCTCCAGGTGTCGCTGACCTGGCAGATACGTGTCATCCGGCGAGCCATGCGGGTGCCACGTAGGCATCTCAGGTGCCGGATGACTAAAATTACGAAAATTTTTTATTTACGAAACTAATTTGCGACATGCTCCAGTTACGAGACTATAATAATAAGGTGGTCCAATTACAGGACTAAAAATTTATTTTACCCTATATTTTTCACTATTAATAAGTGTTGAATTGTAAAAGAGAAATGAGTCTTCCATTTCAATTCCTTTGACCAAATCAGCTTTCACATAACTCTCAATTATTATTTTTTTCCCACATTACTCCCCATTTTAAGTTATTTATTATTTTCCAACTTTTATTATTATTAAAAAGACTTAAATACCCCTATTATCTAAACAGACTTATATACTTTTAATATACAAAATTTAAACAAACATAAAAAAAAAAATCTCACTGTTTGAATTCTATTCCGCCGAGACCATCCACGCGTGCTGAGACTAGGTTTCTACTGGACAATTTTGTGGGTTTTCTCGTATCATCATCAATAGAGTCAAGTGAAGAATATATATCTAGTATTCTTCTTGCTTGTAAGAACGACGGTAAGCTATACATAACGTCAATAAAGTCAGATGCTACCTTGGTAGATATTTTTCTGAAACTAGAGTGAAAATGGAGATACATTCATAATGATTTACGAGACTTCAATATATGACTTCACTACAAAAGTTATTTGTCACTTGGATTGCGGCGAAGATGTTGCAAATATGATACGTATGCATCTAAATTTGAAATTAATGATGATTGACATGATAGTATTATCGAAGCAACGAGGCAATCCGTTCAAATCATAACAGGTATTGTTTGTCCATCCAAATATATTATATGTAGTGTGTTTATATTTATACAATTTACTAACTTATTCTTTTTCCTGCAGAGACATTGACATAGAATCCAACAATAAAATAACAATTATTAAATCGAAATCATTAGATTCCTTTTCTCGCTCTTTAATCGGGAACAATCAAATTTTTGCTGATGTCAATGATTTTTGTATGATATTAAGAATTATTCTATTGCCACTCATCGTTCTTTCAAGTATTAAAAAAATGGCGACAAGAAAATTATTGTTGTATGCAACAAGTAAGGTTGTGAGTGACGAATATATGCCGCTTATCACGTAACAAATGGGCTATTTCGCACACGTAAATCCAACATGCAACATACATGCGGTGAAGATAATCTTCAAGATTGAGGCCATCCACGTTCCAACTCCCCATGGGTAGCCGAGATCGTGAAAGATAAACTAAGGATAACTCTGTCGTATAGGCCAGCTCATATAGTGAAAGACATATATTCAAGCCGACTACTGGAGTTAAAATTAGCTACAAGCAAACATGGTTAGCAAAAGAGATTGCGGTTCGAAGTATATATGGCGTAGAAGGTCATATCTTTGATAAGTTGCGATGGTATTGTAATGCTATAAAACAAACAAATCCTGGAAGCATTGCATACTATGAGACAGAGCCGGTGTGTAATAAATTTTACCGTCTTTTCATTTGTTTATATGCATGCCTAGTTAGATTTGTCGGTATATTAAGACAGATTATTTTTCTTGATAGAACGCACTTGAAGTTAGAGTATAAATGCTGTTTTCTAAGTACAATTACAGTTAATCCTAATGATGACTTATTCACAATTGTCTTTGCCGGTAAGTTGTTGCACAGTTAAATTTTTATCCAATTGTATATGTGTTCAATATTCATTCAACATTCTTGTATATCAAATGATGCAGTTGTTGATGCTGAAAATGAAGAAAATTCAGATTGATTTTGCGGAAAGTTGCGAGATGTTGTTGAATCTAATATCCCAAGATACTTGAATGAATTCACTTTTTTCCCCGTCATCTCGGGCTTAAGGTTATTTCGAGCTTATAAATTGAGTATATTAACCAATCTATTCTATTCTATTCAACCAACAAACAAACAATCAAATAAATATTCAATATTTTCAAACATAAATAACCAAACCAAGTAACTAAAATATAGATATATGGAATACAACAAAAAAAAATCAAATAATAGTACAAAATAAGAGTATGATAAGAACATTATGCGGGAGAATAAAACAAAACTTAAAACACACATTTTTTTATAGGTAGCCATTGTGAGAAAATTTCAGAGGGCAGTGACAAGACAGCGAGCAGTAGGCGGCGGCGGCCTGTGGGCAATGACAGACGGTGGGCGGGCGACGGTCCGATGAGTATGATTGATCGAATGTGAGGCAACAGTACAAATTTAGAAGGGTAGAAATTTATTTTCAAAGTATTTTAAAGTTATGTTCAGAGAGTTTTAGGGAAAAATAAAAAGAGGAGGATTTTAAAAAAGGTTTTGAATATTTTAGGGATTCATGTACAATTTATCGTTTAAAGGGAAAGAACTAGTAATAATAATGATAATTAGGGGCGGTAAATAAGGTAAATCCAATTTTTTTTATACCGGGCTGGGCCAAGCCCACAATATTTTGGGCCAGACAGGAATAGCCCATTTGGCCCATTAATTTTTTTAAAAGAAATTAAAGTTTTATATATATATTTTTAATTCTAAAATAATTTAATAAAACTTTATATATTAAGTGTGAGAATTAAATTCATAACTTGGTACCTACACCACACATATTAAATCATTGAACTACATTCATTTCTAGCATAAAGTAATTTGTTAATATATTTATTAAATTAAATTTCAAAATTATATTTAAATTGAACCGGCCAAGCACGATCGGATTCATACTCAATCCGGACCATGATCCAAAATTTTTCGAACTATTTTTTTTTTTAAGTCCAAGCACAATTTTTTCGTTTTTGTTTAATTTTCTCTAATAATAATAATAATAATAATAATACATCAAATCCACCGCCAAGTGTTTCGAGGAGAATTGTACTTATTCCACAATTATTTGTTGTTGTCAGATAATGAATCAATCGGTTAATCCAATACACCCACCCTGTTTGCTTGCGTTACAAAGTTATATAATACTAATTTATGTTTCTTACATTTTTTTTTTAAAAAACATCTTATAATATATTATTTTAATACCGAATCTAAACCAAAATTTTCTTTTATTATGTCGAACCCTGACTTCAATTTTAATTTTATTAGTTTAAAAAAATACTAGTTGAATTTAACCAACCACCCAAACAAAAGCAACCAAACAAGTAGAACCGATCGAAGCAGCAGGCAGACAGGCAGGCGACCGAATAATTTGATATATACTAAAACATATTGAAAACTAACCACTGACAGAAGAAGAGGAAAGATGTGCTACGAAGTCACGTGCTCCACGTGCGGCAAAAAAAGCTGGGGCGGGTGCGGCAGCCACGTCCCCGCCGTCTACAAACGGATCCCTCAAGGCCAACACTGCAACTGCAAGGCCTGGCCAGGCGTCGCCGCCGACACTTGCGCCGCCGATTCCCAGGCCAAGCCTTCTCCTTCTTCCGGTAATAACTGTACCATCATGTGATCGATCGATCGTATGCTCTGTCTATCTGTCTGTCTGTCTTATTTAGTATTCTGAAGATTGGGGACGACGACAATAATAATAACAATAATAATAATAATCGATCATCATCTCGGTGATCATCATAGAGAGTTTATGAGTTCAATCATCTGTGAATTGAAATCGAAACAATCTCATCTGTAATATATTGACCAACGATCATAATAAGTTTGGGCATTCAATTCAATTCTATCGTTTTTTGTTTATATTGCTCTACTTTGTGGTGAATTCAACGTGTAATTTAGATAAATATTTTAATATAATTAATTAAGAGAATGACTGACAAATTTAGTGAATGTTATACCCCTCCTATATTTCCATTTTATAGCTCAGGCCAAGCTCCAAAGCAATGAAGAACCAATAATACTCATTAAAAATAGGAAGCCCTGAGAGATGCATTTATATATAATATGTATGGATGTGTGTTATATACATATTCCTCAAATTATACACACCCCTTCTTCTTCCAACTTAGTTTCATACCTTCATGAATGAGGTGATTCCAAATCAGGGCTTTCTGCTTTCTGCTTCTTTTCTGCATTTTCAAAACAAACAGATGCAGGATTCCGGTATAAAATCTAGTCTTGCGACGAGGAGAAAAAGGATTGGAGTAACTACCTGCCGCAGTTTCCTCCATATCTACTTCGACTGTGGCATTGTTGCCTTTCTCGGTGCTATCCAATGCTAACTCAGACGGGCTTTGCTCCGTCTCCTTGTGAAGATTGATCTTCTTGGATTTGAACTGGCAGTAGGAAGATTGTACTTTTTGATGGAGTTCTTGGATCTTTCCAGTGGCCTCGTCTTTACGATCCATCTCCAACAGGGTCTGAATGAAAAGTACCAACAACCAAACATTTCACAACAAAATTCAGGTGGTGGGATTGGATTAGATAAACTGTTTTCTTCAATTTAATGAGATATTCACTTTGAATGATTGAAACCCTGATTATGCTCACTTTGAGTTAGCCTAAGAGATTAACATCCAACAAAAATAACATATCCCTGTGACACTTTTAGTGGGAAAAAATAAAATAAAATTGAGGCACAAAAGGATTTATCTTAAAGTAATTTATTAACTCATTCATATAGCACTCATCTGTAACTCATTGAGCCTATACCTTATGATGAAAGTATGTATTAAACTTCAGAATTTAATCTATCCTGCCTAACCTTCAAGCTAAACATATTTGAAGGATATCTTTACTTTGCTGTAAAAAATTTAATTAGTTCACTGGTAACGGGGGCTTAAGTTTTAACCAAAGGCTTAATATATTACACAGAATTCAGGAAGATAAAGTGGTATATTCAACTCAAATTACTTGTAGGCAGTGGGTTTTAAATCAAGCAGAAGGAAGGATTGAGTGTTATTACCTGGGCCGGTATTTTTCTGAAGACTGGGTGGAACCGTTGTCGGCAATACTCATGGAAGAGAAGTGTGCAGATGATCAATGGAAAAGTGAAACCTGATGCAACCGGCGATTTTTTCAAACCAAACACACCCAAAGCAATTGTTTGTGTCAGGACCAATGAGAATATCGTTGTATTGTGCACGATAGGCCAGTATAATCCACCAGAGTCGTACTCTGTCACGTATACATTCAATATCTGGTAACATACATTTAGAGAATCAATAAAAGAATGGCTTGGTATGGTAAATTAAATCTTCTCAAACAAAAGGAAACAGCAAAATTGGAGAAAACTATACTGACCAAAAGATTATGAAACATTCATTGTAATTGAGGAGCCGTAGATCATATAACATATCAAGAAATTGCATAAACTTAAGATGAAGTTTCAGACAAATGGCCGACTCTAATAATGGCATGCCAAGGCATCATCTCAAGGGGAAACCATGAGTTAGAAAGCAATTTAACTTGTCCCTAAACGTCAGAAATATATAGAGATTGCAAAAATGCACTTATATAGCTAAATGGAATACCAGACTATAATTACTAGTAATTTGAGCTATGATGATTGAACTCAAATTACTAGTAATTAAAGGCCTAAAAATTAAATTTAAACAGGAACAAAATTCAGATTGTGTGGTTAACACATTTTTCTCTATCATGGAGCCAACACGGACAATGAAAACTGCGAATATGATTAAAAGCATAATTTTATCTCAGTGAACTAACTCAGATTATGTTTACTGCACATCTTGCTTTTTGGTAATTAGCAATACCAAAAAAAGTAGGTGCATGGCAACCATCCTGCTATCATATCCCAGTCTAGAGCATGCAATATTGTGCTGCAAAGCAAGGGATTTAGCAGGGTGGAAAAAGAGAATTTTAATTGCAAAACCTCTATGAAAAAGCATCAAAGCTGAACACAGGCACTGTACAACATTAAGGAAATGAAGCCTTTGACATTACAGGAGCAGGGCTCATATTTTAGCTGCTAGTGTCATAAAATTTTTGGAAATCTTAAAATGAAGGTCTAAAGTTTGCTGCAATGTAGTTGAAACTACCAGTTTACTACACAATTCAGAAAACAAAATCAGTCAAAATAGCAGAAGATTGTAAGAAACATTAGTACAACTAATCAGTCAAAATAGCAGAAGATTGTATGCAACATTAGTAGTTTTTCTAATTGGGAACATGAAGCAGAAAGGGCATAATGAAAACATTAATGATAGGTAAGCATAATCCAAACCTGATTGCGGTACACTAGAAAGGCGAGCACAAAGTAAAACAGCAATATGGGCAATATTAGAGGTGCCAATATGGAACAACTGAAGCCAAGAAGACCAAACAAAAGGACTCTCGGAACTTCTGTGTGATAAGGGAAGGTATAGGTGCCATAAGATAAATCATCTGTGTTTCGAAGAATAAATCTACAAAACGAGTTGAAAATAAGAGGAAATGGCTGAATTAGCTCAACCGACAAGCTTGCCCAGCCTGATGTGAGGACATAGGTCGTAAAGAAAGTTGCCTGCAAAAGATAAAATCTTAATAAGTTTGAATTATGAAGATAATTGTTTATCTTATATATTACATAAGAAATATGGAAACTTTGAGCTTTCAATGCATAAGAAGCATATGTTTCTATCTCAATTTCATGACATAGTAAAATTTATTTTTTATATCTATAAATCTAGTCCAATAATAGGCTAATTCATTTAGCAATTCCAATCCATCTAAGGTTGATTTAAAAATAAGTCATGCATGACCATTTTAATGATTTCTCTTGCAACATTTTAAAGTCAATTTTAACATTCTCGGATATTACAAAACTTAGATTACAAAGAAATAAGACATGCAAGACCATTTTAATGATTTCTCCTGCAACATTTTTAAGTCAATCTAAACATTCTCAGATATTACAGAACTTAGATTACAAAAACATAACCTATTTTTTGCAAATCAATTCTAAATCATGAAATTAAGATGAAATTTAAATCAGAAATTTACATTCTTGGAACTACATAACTTCTCCGAATCGCCAGAGTGTCAAAGATTCCAGAAATAACTATGACGATGATATCTCCAAGCAAAAGCCAAAAAGAGATGCACTCATGATGAAACAGGGGAAAAAGGAAAAGGAAATACAAGAAAGAAGAAACTACCGTGGATGGTACAGCTTTGGCAAGTACATGTGGTATGTTTTTTGGATCTCCCAACTTTTGGATTGAAACTTGATAATGCTCAATAGCAGCCTCTGTGAGAATGTTGGCAAAGAACACATTCCAGATGACAAAATATATAGATTTAATGCATGTGCTTCTTTTCCTGCCACTACGAGATATGGCACCCTCCAATGTAGAAAATAGCATCATTAATGGAGGGACAACGGACAAGAAGATGATGAACACAACGCTAGGTAAATATCCTGTGATCAGCTGTTCAAACAATTTCCTGAACATAAGAAAGAACCAGTTTCAATCCTTTGTAATTCTAGTAAATCCGGGAGTGAAAGGAAACGGCATGTAATGATTTTCTACGTGAATTAATTTAATCACTTGGCATACTTTTAATCCATAACAATAATGTGGAATCCATGATTCAAACTAAACAGGCTAATCAGCATGTGAAAAACTAGTGTTCAACACAAGCCTCATGTTATATATACTATATATATATATATATATATATCCATAATATTAAAGTGGAATACATGAAGTAAACAGTACAATCATCATGCGAAAAAACTAAGTGTTCATCCCTAGCCCCATACATGTATATCTATATATACCAAATCATTCTCTTTATTTTGTTAAAAGTTCCAAAAATAATCAACATAACACCACTGTGAGGAGGTAGATTGGGTACTCTTCAACAAACATAGTGGGTATTCATGGGTATTTTCAAAGATTTTTTCTAACGTGTCATGTTGTACCGGACAATTTGTAACTAATTATATCTCAAAAACTCCTGCCTCCAATGAAAAAAATACTTTGTTACTGATTCAAAAAATAATCTAATTCTTAGAGTCAAACCACAACAAGAATATCGAAAATTTTAAATGTGCAAACATATAGCTAAAGCACCATAATCACTTTACCTTTCCACAACATTATTCAGGAATGGCATTATCTTCTTTAGCTTATCAAGATGAACCAGACTTTGCGTAAACACCACAGGAATGAGAAAGAAAATCACGAAACAAACAGAGGCAACGATGACAGCTATCCTGCGAATCCAAAAAAGTCGGTGCGGCACACTTAAGTTTGACCAATATATATCACTTGGTTCTGGGGCAGCATCTGTCACCCACAGCATGGGGTTTGGTGATTGGAGAGCCTCTGAAGCAACCAATGCAGCATATCGTGTCCTGAAGAAAACCAAAGCAGCTGCACACTCCTGAAAGAAAGATTACAATCCTTTATACATACAAGATACAAAATCTATACCACAATCACCAACATACCTTACAACAGGTCCTTAATAAACTAACATTTTTGTTTGGCTATGTGAATTAATTTGGCACTGATAGCTTTAGTACTGAATACTAGCAATATATAGCGCTATTATAAGAGACTTCTATGTTTCTTGTCATGGTAGTGGTTTAGCTATCTTTTAGTCATCTGCTATGTATCTGTTATTATACAGCTTTGTCCTATGCAATTCTTTTCATATGTCACTTCATTCCTTTATAATTCATACAAAATAAAATAATTCAATGTTACGCATACTAAATGTTCAAAATGAAAATGAAACAACCCAATATTTTGTCAGCTTCCTATTCTATGGTCAGCATGGTGGTAGACGTCTAGGAAGGCTTCCGGACACTACAACTACTTTACACTAGAAATGTTAAAAAATTCCTAAAATATATATACACAAGTTGCTATACTTTTGATAACCACCAAGCATAATTTCGATGGAAAAGTGCACACATCTACCCAGAGCTGTGGCCAATGGTGCAGTGTGGTGCGGATAAGTAATATAGTTTCAACATTTATAAACAAATAACAGACATAATTATACTTATTTGCAAACAATGCAAATAATTCTAGAAGAATTATAGTTCACTCATACACAATATTTGCATTTTTTCTATGGGTTCTGTTGTGACTCATCAACAGAGTGCCACAAGTATAAAATACGAGTATTATCCATGTTGATGAGTCACAACAGATGCCATAGAAAACCTTGTCTCCAGTTCTAACCTAGCATTAGAAAAAAGGGGCACTCAAAGTCTCAAGTCATGATGACTCGCTCTCTCCTGGGTGTGTTCTGCCTATGTGGCTATACTGTGTGCCTGGCTATCTGCTATTTGTCTCATACATACTCAGGTATCTTCTGTGTCTCTAGCTATCTTCCAGTTGCTTACCAGATTTAGAAGTTGACACTTCTTGCCAGTTGACATCAACAATCAAAGCAGAATATCCGTACATAACTATATGATATATATATATATATTTCTGACATTATTAAAATTCATCAACACTGTATTAAGGTTCTAATTTACCTAAACAACACTTATTTATGCAAGCAGTAAAGTTTTTTTTTAAGCTGAGCTTCGCAACTTACATAATCTCATTTATACAAAGAATTTAGTCAATGAAGGAAGTTCGATTCTTCATTTCCAAGAGAATGAAAAACTGAATAGCTGATATGTTTTACAAGATGACAGTACTACTAGAAAGTCTAGAATTACAACTTAATTTTTTCCAGCATTTTGCTACAGAAATTTGATGATTGAATGCTTCCAATAGTTTACACATACCATGCACACAATGATAAATGTAGTTAATGGAAAATATGAGATGTTGAATACATGTAACAATTAAAACCTTTTGTTGAAGATCTGAAGTATCAAGGGATGTTTCCGCCTTACAGCTTTTGCAATCATTGTCAAGGATGTTGAAAGATGTTGTTGTGCCTCCACAAAAGCCACATCTCACTAATTGCACACAACGTTGCTCCACGCGGTCAGACTTCATTAGCTTATACATCTTCTCCGCATCATGCTACACATAATAAAAGACTTAAGAGAATGATTCCATCATTGAAAACATAGTTTGAGATGCCGATTCCACAGATCAAAGCTATTTCAATGCAAAATGTAGCATCAATACACCAAGCGATACTCTTCAGAATATGGTGGCATAGAATACTCATGAATTCTAGTTATAAAAAATCACTCATGTAAAATGCAATTTCCGATGCTCACAAGCATGTCAAACACAAGAATTCCTACAAACACTAAACATGGAACCTTGAGCAAACTAAGGTACATCTACTCTTAAGTTTAATTGGTGGCATAGGATCAACTCTTGTTAATAATGCATCATACACTCAAACATGAAGATGATAGAATTATGTTATTAATGATATTGAAAGTGTCATAGCTAGAATGAAACTGTCAAACCCATGTTGTTCATTGTGGATTTTAGGAAGCTGTATATTTATTCTTATTGTAGATTCAATTCTAACACTAGGATTACATGTTTAAAACAATCCCAAAATCGTAGGGATTTGTCACCCTGGAAATTGGAATTAGTTGACCACATTTGCTGCGTTGTGCATATATATAGGTAAAATTGAGCCACGCACCAATGTAATTACACGTATGGAAAAGTGATCAGAGATGAGAATATATTAAAGGAAAAACTGACTATGAGACTTACATGCACTAACATGAACTATTAAATCTATGTAAACTCTTACTATCAATTTCTGAACTGATCCAGAGTGATAAACCATTTGGTGTGACAAATAGCTTGAAGGATAGAACTCGGTGAAGAATTTAGTTAAAGTGCCACTGTATGATCCTTCTTGATTCCATGGAATTGCACGAACAATTACAGTCAAGTGGCTTGGGTGGGAAAGAGAGTTAGCAATATGTGCCAGCCTCATTTTTGTCATGTTCTTGTATTCCTGAGGTACTCAACAAAAAATGATCATAGGGAAAGAAGACTTTAAATTAATAAATTGTATGTGTTAACCAAAAAGACAAAACACAGGTAAAGTCCTTACAAAGTAAAGGAGAACGCTTGTAAAGAAAGATATGATGTATAATGCAAGACAATGGAGCAAAAGCCTGCAAATGTGAATTTTAATGAATATTTAGAATAATAAAAATCCAGCAACAGTGAAGAGCACAGAAAATATTTAGCATTTAATATGATTTTGGGATTGAAGATGATAGGAAGAATTTTATCAGTTAAACCCTTCATGTGTGATTCCAATAAATGGAATCTCAATATCAGTCAAATTTTGTATTTGGCCCATGACAACAGGAAAAATATTGCTACAATAATCCATTGATGTCATGGGAAATGTTGTGAGGACAAAAATCCTAGTCATCGTGGAGAGGGATCTAAGCACAACTAGAACCTGAACTTACTCTTGGTAGTAGAAAATAAGTGCAGTCATTCCCAACAATTTATATACAAGGCTTTCTGAGTGTTTTTTTTGGTTTTTTGTTTTGATATGCAATAATCATTCTCAGTAAAAACATACCCATTTCCATACAAACCATCATGTCCAACCACTATTTCACCTAAAAAAGAAAACAACAAAATTTAAAACCTACAATAAACACACTAATTTAAAAAAAAAAAAAAAACTTAAATATTGCGTATGCTTCTTAATCTTGCAAAGAGATGGAATGGAAACAAAAAATAAAATACAGGAACTTATCCAGATGGTATATAAATATATGAATGCCAGACCATTGTGAGCCTTCACGGACATTCCCAATTGTGAACACGTCCAATGGTTCATCTGGAATTCCCTTGTGATTCATTTCTTTCCCATAATAATTAACTGGAAGAACAATAAGCAAGCATACAACAGCAGCAACACTGAAAACTCTGATACTGCAATAAGTAAGCAAGAGATTATTAACACAGTGGGGCTACACTAAAATATTGGCAAATAAGGTGTATCCAATTCAGTATTCTTCCAAACTCAAGTAAACCTGATGAAAATGTAGCTTCCTGTTTAATAGTTTGCACTAGAGGGGCTGTATGGATGAACTTATGTATAAATAATAATAATAATAATAATAATAATAATAATAATAATACACTTTGCTGCTAATTTGACTTTTGGGGACATGGTTATTTTTGCAGTTTCATTGTATGAAAAACTGCAAGGGAAAAAAAAAAAAAAAAAAAAAACTACATTCAGCCAACAAAAAAAACTACTTTCTTTTACTGCAATGCCTTTGGTAGATGAGGAAATGAACATGGGGGTACTGGCTACCACATAAAAGGATAATCAATAAAAATTACTATTTTACCACTCAATTCCAGCCTCCTTAAGCCGGATACAAAGTTATAATGCAGTCAGCAAAACATGTATATACCTGAAAACAACAGCGCGGAGAAATACCACGGCATCTACACCCCCAATGTCATATAACTCATCTTCAGATGTTTCCCATGCTTTCATTATCCAACTTGGAGAAGGAATAAGTCTCCCAAAACGAAACGGATCACGGTGCTTTGACTGCACATTAGCAAGCTTTTGCCCGAAGTACACGCTCACAAGGCTAGGTTGTTTTCTCAAGACAGAGTAAAGAGAAAAGAGTCCAACACAAACCCCAGTATTAATACCAGCAGATGTTAGGAGACCAGATATATTCATCTCTTTCCCACTGAATCTACAAGTCTATGGAATTTCATCACGCATACGTGAGACAGGGCTTCATCAGATACAGTATGTACTCGAATCCAAACAGATTGGAAGGATAAGAAGCCAATGGCAGCTTACTGTAAGATTACTGGAGCTGAAAGAGAAAAGTGGAAAGCTTATAATTAAGAAGATGATCAATAAACATCCCCACAAATTAATTAAACATGACTTTGTGAATTTCATGGGAGACTAAAGAATGGGAATTTCTATGAAATGTTTCAAAAGATGAAATAAAATTAACTCATCAAATAACCCTCTGTCAAAAACTGCAGAAAAAGCACTACCAAGAAGAAACCTGTCACAAAGACAAAATCCACCATCATAAAAACATGAATATAAGCTTTTACTTGACTTTTATTTCAACATTGGGTTTTTGAACATCGTATTTAATTTCTAAATTTGGCCCTAAAGGGAACAGCCAAACAGAAAGAGAGTTCACTGATGTCATAAATCCTAATACATGTGTCTAACATGCTGCAAAAACTTAGGGTTTATTGAATATGAACATAATTAAAATTTAATCACAATTAACACAAAGTCAATAACCAAAAAATTCAGGCTTCATCCGTAAAACAAAATTTACAAATCATCACTGTAAACAAGGACAATAATTTCAGTCAGAGGACAACAAAATCAACATCAAAACCTAACTGAACAAGCCAAACATTCCTCACAAAAGAAACTGCCAATTAATTGAGCAATCAAAATCAAGTAAAAACTGTCCGAGAATCGACACCATTCTTAACGGAAATCAGAACAATTAAAAAAAAAACAAAACAAAACAAAACAAAACGGCTAATAACCACCTGTCCTTCCTGTACTGTGATCAAAATTCAAAACGCAAATCAATTAATCAAGCAAAAGTGCGAGTGGCGGCTGTAAAACTTTCCGTGGACTACACAGATGAGCAATGAGTATACGCGACGATGGCGGTTGTGGATTGGAAGCAATTTCGGAATCCTTGAACTTAATCGAAAATTGAGATTTGGGATTCAGAAGAAAACTGTAAACGGGCGGGGGCATTATAAATAAAAAGTGGAGAAGAAATCGGGCGGGATACACATACACACACACATCCTATTTTTTTTTATTATTATTAATTAATTAATAATTTATTTATTTATTAAATAATGTTGAAATTATGTAGCAGTTGATTAACTTGAGATTGAGGCGTGCCGCAGAATGCGCCACGTGGAGATCATTTAGTGGGCAGTGGAGTGAAAGGCAACTGCCTAAGGCCGTGTTTGTCTCACACGTAATAATGATAATATTAGTACGAGTATTTGAGTTTAAATGTATTTTTTATTACCACATAATATACATGAGAGTGGATATAAGTATAAATATATTATCCGATAACGTCATTAAAATATATATATATATATATTATCCGATAATAAAAAAAAAAAAGTACAAATATATTATATTTGGTTGTGCTTAGCTACAATTTTAACTCAACGTTGCTATTATATTTGCAATTTTTTAGGTTCTCAAATTATTTTTATCTTAAAAGAGAAAAAGAAATACAGTTTGTTTATCTAATAATTTTTTATTTTTTTTTTTTTGTCTAACACGAATCTTATGGCGCATTTGGTATAGAGAATGAAATTGCAGAGAAATGATAGTAGAGAATAGAATCGGAGAAAAATAGAATTGAGTAGAGAATGTGAATTAATTCTCTTGTCTGATAAAACAGATAATTCATTTGAGAAATCTAAAAAAAAATGCAGCGATATATGAATGATCAAACAAAAATAAATGATTAACCCGATAAAAAGAGAGTTTTAACGAATAAGAATTCATGAAAAATATTTTTGGTAATTTTTTTTAAAAAAAATTATAAATTATATACGATATTTTTTAAAATTATATTTTAGTACAATTTCTTAAAATATCGTAAAAATTAAATACTTTAAAAATAAATTAAGTTTGTTTTTTGTATAATTAAAATAATATAATTTTAAAAAAATTATAAAAATTAAACAGTACAAAAAAATTTAAAAAATTAAAAAATATATATATTGCAACATCATTTCTCTGTATATGGGATAAAAATGAAAACAGAGAAATCTCAAATTCCATTTCTCTGACTCAAACAAACAAGAGAAATGATGTCATTTCTATTTCTCTGCACCAAACACGACCTTAATATAATGTATACAATATAATAAATTACTTTTAAAAGTATGTGTTTATTTTTTATAGGAAGTTTATAAAATAATAGCACTCTCCAGTTCATTCAAAAGTATACACATTTTAGTCCCATGCGGGATGGCTTGGATCAAAATATATGGATAAAATTGTCTTTACACTGCTTTGAACCATCTACTGCAATTAAAATGCTATTATTTTTTAATATGTGCACGGTAAAGTAGAAATATTTAAAAAAAAAAAAATGGAGTCTATATTTACTAGAAAATAAAATAACTTTGGGTTTGTTTGTTTTGTAAAATTTTTTAACACATTTAATCAAAATAATAATAATAATAATAATGTACTACACTCTTATTATTTTATATTATTTATATAATTCTCAATGTCTCAAAAACAAATTTCTTTCAAATTAAAAAACAAAACAAACACACCTTTTGTAATTGGACATGTTGTTTAATCTTTAATTATATTAATTAACATAATTAATTGATATATACACTTTAACATAATTTAGGCATTTTCTTTTACTTGATTTTAATTCGTTTTATTATATAATTTTTATATATTTTTTTTTATAAAATATCATATTTAAAAAAAAAAATTAAATGAAATTTTAATCTTCAAACAATTCCAATTCAGTGATAGCACATTGGCGAGATGGTAATAAATATTAGCATAAAATTATAAATGTCTTATCATTCTTTAATAAATATAAATAATGTATTGAGTATAAAATCCCATATAAATAATCAAAATATTAAAAAATCATGTTTTTCGGTAATATAAAACTAATATTTATATTGAATTATTAGATTTTTTTTTAATAGATAAAGTATATATTACATAGGAGGATCATAATTTAGAAGAATTGAATAGATGAAAAGGGAGTGGGAAGGAAATCACTTGTGTGTTTGTTCAGGGGATTGGATTTTAAATTCATTATTCATTCAATTTTTTTTTAAAAAGACATCAAATCAAATAATTATTTTTTATTTTTTATATTATACTAAAACTCAATTTTACATTTAAAACATCACATCAACACCTATTTATATCACATCATACAACTATTCAAATTCAAAATTTTTACTATTCAAATCTCAACTCAAAATCCCACTTTGAACAACACATGACTTGGATGTAGTAATATGCTAGATCTATAATACTTCCGTCGTCTCATAACTAGGTATCTATTTACTTTTTATACGTAGTTTTAGAAATATTAATATTATATTGGGATGTAAGTATAAATAAAATAGAAACGACTAAAATAACCTTATTAGTATGGTGTGATATAAAGGTAATGACACTTGTGTAATATATTGTAAGTTGTAAGGGTAGGTAGATAGTACAGTTACTAAAAAAAATGGATACTTTGTTATGAGACGGATTAAAATGGAAAAATAGATACTTTGTTATGAGAGGGAGTATAGTCAATTTCATGATTATATTATACAATTATTTTAAATATATATTTTTTTAAATAATCTATGTGTCATAAGTTCAACTTCTACACCACCAGACCATCTTTTACGTAATTTTTTTTTTAGATTGTGGATGTTGTTGTTGTAGCTAACATTTGGTTGAGGGGTAGTAGAGCATAAGTTGTGTTGAGTTTGTGCAAAATAATATCATCCCAATATTATTATCAATTATATGTTAATAAAAGCATCCCATCAATTTTTCAACTCAATTATAATCTCCCTCTATTTTAAAATTTTTTATTTATTTATTTAATATTTTGTTAAAACATCGCATTCAATAAATAAAAAAAATTAATTTTCAACACAATCATTATAAATTCAAAATTTTCAAGAAAATACATCTTCAAAATTTTTATTTAAAAATCTCAAAAATCCAAGTCTCTAATAAAAATTTCACAAAAGTATACGATCATTGATATTTTTTTTTTTCCGAACAATTTAAAAGAGTGCTTGTGAAAATTAGGGAAATTTTAAAAATTGTACACATAATTTTTGCACATATATATTTTCTAACATGAGCCTCACAGCCGCTGCTCTTTGAGTGCGTTTTGGGTAAACTTTCAATCAAATTTAATAGTTTGCAAATTAGATTCGACAAAATAAATTATACTAAACTAATTATGTGTGACATACAAGACTGAAGATATCGAGAGTTTGAACCTATAATATTTTAAGTGATTACCTCGTAATATTTTATTTCACAATACATTATCAAAGTTCACTATGTTCATTTTAAGATTAAAAACATCGGTATGTTAAAGTGTTTGTCTTACCTTGTTTGATGGTGTGTTGTCTTTCATTTTTACATTTCTTAACATTTCCATAACTTTGTGCATCCAACAAGTTTTGTATTTATTTGGCATCAATTTTTTTGGCCTGATTTATGGAAATAACGTAACGTAAACGTTCTATACTTATTGAATCGATTGAAAAAATTTACCATGGGCACTAATATTCAACTCATTAGCCAATAAAGTGTACCACAACTTTGATTGTTGTTGTACTTGAATTGAAACACATTATCAGGTGTGTTTATTTGAGGGTTTGGATTTTGATTTAAGATTTAATATTAAAAAATTTTCAATTTGAATATTTGTATATAAAAAATAAATATTTGATTTTTTTAATGGGAAAAATTTGATAAATATGAGAAATTTGGAAAAATTTGATAAGAGAACACAGTGTTAATGAATTTTTTTACATGCATGTAGTACTATTATTTGATTCTATACTTTTATAACAACCAAGGTGCTGATAAGGTAATAAAAAACTACTTAATATGTTTGCTTTTATTGCTATTTATTGTAATCTTGTCGTATTTTTTAACAAATTACTTACTCTCTCCATCCTGCGACATATGATTATTTTTCTTTTTTTGTTCGACTCATAAAAAATAATTCTTTTTATTTTTGTAAATTTATTTATTTTAAAAATATTTAATAAATATAAATCAATTTAATTAAATTTATAACCTTTTACGCATAGGACCCACTCACTTCTTTATTTCTATCTATTTCAATTAGCAAATATTTTCATCTATATTTAAAACTCAATATTTTTTTATAAAATTAGTTTTAAGTTAATTATAAATTATTTGTATTATATAAAATCTTATTCTCTAAAAATGATATAATGTTTTATTGAGATATAATGTTAAAAATATTTAAAAAATGCTAACAATTCTACTCATATAAAAAATAATTTCATAACTTATTATTAATAACTTATTGATCTACATTGCCTGAAATACAATTGACATGATCAAATTCATAGGGACTGTTCTGTTTCTTTAGTTAATTATTTAATTAAAATGAGTGGTTTTTCAATCGAGAGTTAAAATAACTATCCTAAACAAATTAAATTAAACCAAATAAAAATTAAGCAATGAACAAAAGAAATAAATTGATTTATCAAGAAGTAAAATCTTTAGTCCAAGGATTGGGAGAAAAATCAGATAATGAATTTTATCATCAAATTTAATAATCTAACCAATCAACTGATAAATTAGTTATAGGTGTTTGATGCGATCGAACACCCAATTTTTCCTAACCTTTTCGGTGGTAGTGGTACGATCAATTGACCACCTTCTAATTGAAAGAATTAAACTAGGTACAACGGTAGTAAAATTTCTTTGATTGAAAATAGCACAAGAAAAATTCAATTCGAATATTTAATCAATTATGAATGATTTTCTTCGATCATGCAATTCCTATGCTAAATTCCTTAACCTATTTACTACTTTATTGAATAAATACACAATTATAGATGTAGTTATTCAATTAAGCACACAATCGATAGAAAGACTTAAAACTTGGCCACAATAATAAATCGCATCTAATGACTGTAAACGCAGTATGCAGAAATTGCACAAATACGAATTATCGAAAAAGTTTAATTAAAAAGCAAATCAATCTCACAAATCCATAATCTAATACAAAATCAAATTCGACCAAAAATCAATAAGAATTATGCATAATTATAGTCAATACAAGACATTAACGTACAAAACGTAGAATGAACAATAAGTTCATCAACTGTGTCCCTAACTAAAGGGGTCATTTTGACCGGAATAGAGGAACTACAATATTAGAAAGTATTACATTAATATTATGCATTCTATTTTGCTTTGCATAATTTTCTATATGCTCTTTAACACGTTGATTAAGTGTTAACAAGGTACTTAATCAATATTTTATTTTAATTTGAAGTAATTTTATTATAGTATATTGTTGATAATATAAAAAAAAAATGATATTATACAGATATAGGATTGCGAAACAAAAATTCTTATTGCAAATTCTAAAAAATTATGTCAATTGGGCTATCATATTATGAGGCGGTTGCTATCTTGTGAGTCATTATATCATGTTAGAAAAATGAATATTATTTAAGTCCCGTAAAAAATGGTCTGGTGGTATTAGATCAATGTGATATTTCAAATATAAAATTAATTTTTAATATCATATAGAAAATAAAAAATACTTTATCTGTTCCATAAAAATGACATATGTTTAATTAGTTAATAATAGTACTTCATGTTATTACGTTATTTTATTATTTTCTATATAAGGGATAATGTTAATAGTTTTAAAATAAAAATTAATATATATGAATACAAAAAATTTAGAATATATATATAAATTTTTTAAAAATTATATGTCAATAAAAATATATTTATTTATTTATGACTAATATAAATTAATATTATGTAAATTAGTTGTACGATGTTATATGTTATAAAGTTAATTTAAATTGATTTATATTTGTTAAAATATATTTTAAGTTAGTAAAGTCTACAAATATAAAAATGTGTCATAAATATTATTTAAAAATATAATATACACATATTAATTTAATATATATAATATTATATTATATTTTATACTACTAATACAATTTTCATATTTAAAAAAAAAAAACTTATGTCTAAAAACATAAAGTAACAAAGTGTATAACATGATTCTTCATCGGAGCCGAACACAGTTAACTTTTCACCGGAACTGAAATGACATGATTCTTCATATAAAAAAAAACAGATAGATAGCAAACACCAAACAGATTACACACACGGCATATAGCGATTGCAAAACGACATATTTATAATCCGAAAAAACACGGGTTGATAGGATATATTTTCGCATGCGAAAAATAAACTTTGATACCATTTTAAAAATTTTGGAAAAAAATTATGAAATGACATATAAATTTGATAAGTTTGATAAACAAACTACTTAAGAGCATATCCAATGCACACTCTATTTAATGATTGGTGGCATGATCTTGCTCCAATCTACTCTAAAACTGGACATGTTAATACACCGCAATACTATTTTTAGTGTTCGTATATTTTTTTTAATATTTATAAAATTTTTGTATATATATTATTTTATTTTATTTTTATTTTCTTTAAAAAAGTAATATTAATATAATATATAAAATAAAATATTCGAATAATATTTTTTTTTAGAGTATGAAATTAGAATTATGGATCGGAGTAAAAATACTGTAACTAAAATGTATTTTTTGAGTTAAAAACTGAGTTGGTCAGTGGAGACTGCCTAAATAGCAGTCGTGAAAATTAGTGAAGGTCAGGCAGGAATTGGAAATTTATAACTGGCCATCCCTCTCGAGAAAATATGGAAGAAGGAAGCACATAATCGAGCAAAGAGTTGCACTCTAGCCGCGGGGAAGACCACTTTGAGGTGAGGGGTGGCAAGCGGTTTCATTTTTGGGATTTCCAAATCAAATAATGTGTGAGTGTGATCGCCATAGCTAAGCCATCAAAATTATTCATTCGATAGTATGAAAGCAGAAAAACCATGAGCAAAGAGGAGGGCAATAAACGGAGCTCGGATAATCCATGGGCCCAGACGAACGGCTATGGCCATGGGATGGAGGAACAGGACCCCAAGTTATGGGCAATCGTACTTTTTGGATTAATTGGAGCCACGTTCACCACTTTGGTTGTAAGTCAGTATATATATTATATATTTTTTCCAGAGTTTAGAGTGTTCTTTTTATTAGATTCTCTGAAACTTTTTTATGTTTTCTGATTTTTTAAATGTCAATTAGCGGTTGCTTTTAGTGTAGATTTTCTTGTTGTGGAATTGAATACCCCGTAAAGCTTGGGAATTCTGGTTCTTTCTAGGATGAAGTTAATTATCTGCGATTAGGCTTTGGCACTGTTCGGCGCTGAGGGTTTGCTAGTGATCTGTTATTCGTTAAGCTATTAGCTTCGGTGCATAAAGAAGATGGAGGATTGTTTCAGTAACTATTAATATTTGTTTTTGTTTCTTAACAAATTTTATTGGTTAATCAGTGGTTCGTTTTTGTTTTTTGTTTATTTCTCATTATTTAAAATAAATATGGTTTCCTGTTGGTTTCTCATTAATGCAATGTTTCGACACTTAAGTTCAGATTCTTCTGGCATGTTGTTGGATCCGAAACTACATGTAGTTTCTAGAGGAGAAATAAGCTTCTGAAATTATACAAACGGATATGAAGATGTTATCCAGTTTGTAGACTGTTATGCAAGATGTACGAGTGAATCAGGTTTTTGGGTTATATATTCCTTCATTCGTAATTTTCTTATGCATGGTATACAAGTGCTGAAAATGATTTAGAGTCGTAATATATGATATTCCTTATGGAAGAAGGTGGTTGTAAGTAATGAGTGATGGTGGTGGAAAGGGATGCGGACTGATTGCTTATGTTGGATATGGGTGATGGGAAAGAGAAAATGATGCTGAAGTATGCAAGTCGGATATAGGAAGCATTGATAAGAGAAAACTTGTGCTGCCATTTTAGTTTCTATGCGTATACATTTTTGGATATTTAGCTGTAAGTTGTGCATCTGTAGAATGGACATTAATCTGGGCTAGGCATCTAATTTTAATCGTTGAATTAGGAAATGCATTTAAGTTCAGTGTTCATAATTTAGTAGAAGCTGGATCTTAGATTCCTATCCCTAACAATTAGTTTTGCAAAACTAAGATATGATTTACAAGAAATTAATTCACAGAAATGTAATACATTCTATATAAAGTGCGTATGCCTTTGGTACTGCGTTCTCACTTAATGGAAGCAGCTTTAGGAAATCCTATCATAGTGGAATAGAATTTTCAACCACTGTTATCATGGTAAATGCCCATCTTCAGTTGTTCCCCCTAAGGCTATTGAAGTGGGAAGTTTGGCTTTTAGGTTAACTTCTAAATAAGGCAGTATGTTTCCGCATTTAGATATAAAACTGAACAAAAAAAAAAAAGGTTAAAAGATAACTTGTGGTTTGTGTGTTCATAATCTTCCTCTTTTGTGCCTGGTGCACTCACTCTCCAACATGTGAAGTCTCGGTGGAAACTGTCAGCAGTGAATATGGTTCATGTGGAAGACATTGGTTGCTGGACATAGGCCAACTTGGAGGACCAGATGTTAGCCCTGATATTCTGTAAGATTGAAATTAAATTAGAGGAAAGTGTGTTGAGTATTTTACTAAAACACTGGCATCTTATTTTCGGTTGATGAGTATTGTAAATAAAATAGAAAGTGTGATATTATAAAAAGAGAAAAAGGAAAAGACTTGAACAGGTAATAGATACTACTATTGATTAGATATTCCATGCCAAGATGATGTTCTATTCTAAGTTTCTTTCTGGCGAGTTCAACTTGAGAGCTGAACATTATTGGACACAACCGTGAATTGGGTGCTTATTTTGATGAATCAATGCAGAAGCAAGTTCTGGCATCAGATGTAGTTGGTCTTATATAACTCTTTCTCCCTCTCTCTTCACACACACAAACACAAACACACACATATATGCCTCTAATTTTTACATATGTCATATTGTTGATTATTTAGTATACGTTGTAATGGTTTATTAGTCATTTCCTTGTGGAAAATACCTTGAGTTGGCCATCTTGTGGCTTTTTTAACATACGCATCCTATAAATTTTTTATTTTTACTTTTTTACTTTTGTCGTGGGAAGGTCCATTTGATTTAAAGTTAACAGTTCATATATATTTCCGATGCAAATGTCATTTCTTTATTTTTTTAATAATTGTTTCAGTTTACCTCATTGCGAAGGCTAGGTGATGCGGTGAACCCTCAGGTAATCATCAGATTTATGTGTTCTTTTTATATTTTTTAATTTTATGAGTACTTAAAACAATTAAAACAATGCAATTGCATGTGGAAAGCAAGATTTCCTCAAACAGATAGAACTCCTATTTCTAGTAACTTGTGTTGACTGAAGATATTATTTTCCACAGAAATTCAATACATCTCGATCATCATGGAAGAAAGAGCATTCTTTTCGAACAAGTTTTCAAGAGGATGCTCGGAAAAAGTATTATCGTCGTTTGCAAGAAGAATATGAAGAAGAAATGGAGAGAGTGGTGAGATCTCTTTTAGGTGTCAGTATCATTTTGTCATTTTTAAATTGGGATGTTTATTATATACTTCCCTTTACAGATTATTGCTAGTTTTGACATAACTTAACTAAAATAAGTACGCCACAAATTCTTCACCTTTAGAAAACCTGCTAATCAATCAATATTTTTTCTAATTAAGAATTATACGTTGGACTCTGTCATAATTATAATACACTGCCAAATTACATTTACCGAGATTAATAACCCACACTGTATTTGACATCACTCCTCCAGTAGGGGGTAAAAACTAAAACACAGCACCGAAGAATTGAATCTGATGAAAGTGGATTGTGGGTACTGCTTTGATTTATATACAAAGTTGCATTACCATGATGATTCTTAGTTATGCTTTTTTCTAGGAAAGAATTCGGAGAATGCAAAGCATCTTCAATCGAGAGAGAAATAAAATAAAATGGAGTTATGAGCGTTGGCGTGAAAATGATCAAGGCTCAGATCATCAGCATTTTCAGAGCAATGATTGGTATTGGCAGTCAGACGCCTATTTTAGAGCTTATGATCATAATTTTAGAGATACACATAGGACCAATGCAAGTGCTCCATTATCGCATCACTACTCTGTTCTTGGTCTTGATAGGTACGCCATGTCCCGCATTCAGGATTACTTTTGGTCTTTAATTACACCAGTTGCATACATGACATCAGTGTTATTTAACAATTCTGTTGTTTTGTCTCTAGGCGTGACCGCCTAAATATTTTAAGAGCCTTGCTTGTGCATGCTGTATCAGCTTTTTAGTTGATGCCTAAGATAGCATGGTTCATACCTTTCTTGTCCATCCTTATGATGGGGGGTGGAGCTTCATGAATTCTAATGAAACTTCTAGATTGCATAATTGAACAAAAGCCCTTGACAAAACTTACAGCATTCATTCAAAGGATGCTGGACGTTTAAGTTCATTTGCTAGGTGCAGAATTTTTCAGGTCAATTCTTTGTTACTGTAGTTTCAGTTCTATCATGCCTACTTTAGAGATGGTTTGGCCGACAGCTGAATTGTACTTTGGATTGCTAGAAATTTTATCCAAGAAGGTTGTTTGGCCTTTTGAAGCTATTCCCACACTATGCGAACACTATAATTTAATCCTTCTAGTGTGTTCTTTTTGTTTTGTTTTTTGTTTATTTGAGCTTTGGTATTATTGAGGTGAAATAATGGTTTGATGTTACTTTTTTAAAGTAAATTGAGAGATTAAATAGTAAAAAAATGCAAAGTGAACAAAGCTCTCTCTCCTTAACATATTTATATATATATATATATATCCAAACCTTGTTATTTCCTTTATTAAACTAAATTATGATAATTATATAGAAATACATATATTTCTTTTCTATTTATTTGTAATATATAAAATTTTATTTTTTACAAATAAGATGCATATTGTGGGTGTGTACTTTTGTATTTTTGTTTAGTGTTTTTGGTTTCAATGTTTTTAAAGTGAAAATAGTTGTTTTATGTGACGATTTGTATAAAAAATGAGTGTTGGCTGTGATGTTTCCGGATGATAAATAAAATATTGAATAGTACAAAAATGGATATAGAAATACAAAACAACTAACCGTAAGTATATTTATATTGAAATATAATTTACAAAACACTTTAGTACATATTATTAGTTAAATATATTACATTACCCCATACTCATCCAAACACTACCTCATTTAAAACATTTTTCAAATCCAGAATTGAATACCTCTAAATTTCAAAAAAAATCTCAAAACCCATCAATTTGTGAAGGTTACTGCTTGTGTTATCGTACAAATTTCAAGTATATACTTTGCATTAAAGCTGAAGTTTTCTGTTGGCAATGAGATTACTAGATCCAGCTGTCACCTATATGCTATACTAATTTTTATTCTGTGCTCTCTGGAGAAAATGCTACTTCAGTCTAAATGTTAAGTATGTCATATATATATATATACATATATCCTGTATCCTATGGCCTTCAAACTTACTGTATGTATTTCTGCACGTGTTAGTTTCTATCAGTATCAACTAATGACTTACTATTTTTTTCCCAAGTAGAGAAAGAAAAGAACAAAATAAAAATAAAAATCATGAGGCTGAAGGAATTATACTATCTATTTGAGCTCTTTTATAACTGTGCTCCATGCTGCCCATAATGCATGCATATATATGGTTTTATTTATTGATAAATTAAATTATTATTGTTGATTTTATTCTTGAGGGAGCAAAGTTATAGTTTCATATGTTTCGGAAGCAAAAACTAGAAACCAAAAATTGAAGTACATGGGCATGATCCAACCATTTGGGTTATTAGATCTATAGTAGATAAAAATCTTGAGTTACGGTGCCTTATAACCAAGCAATAAGGTCCTTTCTGTTAGCAGCTTTGTATTTGCTAGAAAGTCAACTAGAATGTTTCCGCTTCTATAGCAATCCTAGTTACTTTGTTTAGTTTCACTAACTCATTTATCTTAGATGATGTGGTGAAACATGATAGCTGAGAATCTAGAGATTACTAAATATATCAAAGTTGATCCTCCTCGGGGGAAATCACTGTAAATCCAACCAATGATATTTTTGGAGTTACATTCCACCATATTGCATGCGGAAGTTCACAAATTGCACATTTTGTTCATCTGTTGCAGGTTGAGGACAAAACCCTACACTGATGATGAGATAAAGGTATGTTTGAATACACACACCTAAAATATTTGTATCCACATCAATCATATTAAAAGAATTTGAGAGAAAGACAAGGGAAATCAAAACAACAATGAAATGAAGTACATAAAGTGATAATTGCCAAAACTAAATTTGATGGGAAATCAAAAGGCGAATATTATATTGCATATGGTTGGATGTAGGATTTAGGGTTTACATAATCTCCTTGGAACTTCTTTGGATGCTCTCTCAAAATTTATGAAGTCTCGACCTCTCCTTTGCATAAATAATTCTTCTCACTCGCTCAAATTATATCTGGAGCTATTGATTATCAATAATGCAACATTTTCTCCTTTGAGGTTGATACAATAATTTGTTTTGAAGACTAATATGTCAATTCCTGTTTAACTGAATATGCTTGCCAAAGATGATCATGTTACCTCTTGATTTAGGTGCTCAAAGGTCTCTGATGTTTGAAAACTTCTTTTTTGTTGTATTGATTTTTTTTGTGATTCCAAACATTTGTGCTTCCATCCTATGCGCACCCGATATTTAAAATTTTCATTTTCTTGCCTATGAGTTACCTAATCCATTTGTCACTTATTACAGTCTGCTTTCAGAAAAAAAGCTAAAGAATTTCACCCAGACCAGAATCGGGACAACAAAGGTGTTTAACCTATGAAATGTTGCATATTTTGTATCAAGTGTTGAATCCAGGGGTCTTATTACTTTCTTTATTTAAAATTTTTATCTGCAGAGTCTGCTGAAGAAAAATTCAAGGAAATTATGGTGTCCTATGAGGCTATCAAGTCAGAAAGAATGAACAAGAGTTTCTAGTAAATGAGCATGAGGTAACATGATATTTCCAACTGCAGAATTCTGCATTTGTTAGGATTTTTATGGTACAATCGTTTATTTTCACATTATAATGAACTTAGTACAGTAGATTCTGGGATAACTGATTGAACATTTTCTTGTAATTTTTTCTCGCTATATTCTTCTGGCATATTTGGCATTGACCTGCAGGTGTTATTTATTTATTATTATTATTTAAATATATTGAGAGATGGAAATGCAATTATGAAGAAACTAGCATATAGCATGTAAGAAGCAAACACATATACCAAATGATGAATTATTCAAATAAATACCTTATAGAATTCAAGTTCATTGCATTGCCGCTCGATCATTACAGCTTTGTTTAAATATGTATTGGTGTTTTGGATTATTTGGGAAATAGAAAACATTCGAATGGAAAATAGGTGTTGAATGTGATGCTTTTTAGAACAAAATTTTTGTGGTGTGAAAAAAAAAAAAAAAAAAAACAAAAAAAGTTGAAAACACAAGTAAACATAGCCCCACATCTTTGGTTGTGTAAAACTTTTAAGGGCACTGTGCAGTCAAGCTGCAATAATTTTGTTAAAAAATTTTCCTGCCTTCTGGATTACTTCATAATTGTCGATATTTCTGCTTCTCCTTGTCTGTGCTTGCTTGTTTATCATCATCCTTACAGCCTATCTGCTGATGGCATCTTGTATTCGATATATTACAATATCATGACCTAGAAGAATATCGGGGTGAAGGCATCTTATTGCCACATATACTTGAAGTACTTCTGCAATTTTAGATACTTGGCATTATAAAATCTAGTTTATAGAAGTCGCGGGCATCGTATTCATGTGTTCTTTTTCCCTGAATAAAGGAAGTCCATTAAATCTTGTGTGGAAGCTGCTTTGCCTTAACTTTGGTGTTGACTTCCTTGCTAACCTCGGAACCCTGTTGGGAATGGATCTTACAGCTCGACTCACCTTCAATGCACTATTGGGTGTTATCCTGACTTAGGCTTTCTGTCTCTTCGTTGTTAGCTTTAGTGTTTCACTTTATGTTTCTATCTATATTCTTATGTTTGTGTTTAGGATTATCATGATATATTTTGATGTGATATTCTATGGCATGAACAAAAGTTGCAAAAGGAATAGAATAGTTGTCTTCTCTACATATATTACAAAAACTAATTAGATTATAAATGAGATAGTGTAGTAAGAGAGCTTTCTGCGGCAAGAATAGTCCCTTTATATATATATATTCTCTTAATAAATTAAAAATAATAATATTTATTTTAAATTTATTTGTTTTTACAAATTTCCTTGAGAAGTATCACAATCCATTTTATTTTAATTTTTTTGTACAAAATATTTATATTTAACAATATTTTTTCATCAACAATATCAAGTCCCAAACACGTGTGTGTATATATATATATATGTGCGCGCGCTAAGGTCTTGTAATGTAATGTTCGAAGAGAACCTGTAAGAGATGGTGTGAGATGAAGTCGTGATCGCCCGCACCAAATGAGATAAAATTACCTAAAATTACCTAACAGAAGAAGTATTAATTAAAAAATAAATGTAGGATAAAAATTTTTCTAAAGAAAAATAGTTACTGTTGATAAATAATTGAAAATTGCTGCTGAAAATACAATCAAACAAAACAAATTTAATGGCTATATCATCAATAAATTCAATACATGATACAACTAAATCATGTAGTAGTTTTTTTATTTCTTTTTTTAAATAGTTATTGATGTGTTAATGATCTTTAATATATTTTTATTTTCAAAATCTTTTTTTAGAATGACACCGAATAGATGATATTCAATATAATTTTATGTTGGTTTAACATTTTTCAAGTTTAGAATGAATAATGTCATGTTAATTTTGAAATTTACTAATTAAAGTACTCTAATACAATCTCAAAATTCCAATTAAGTGCAACAAGTTATGAGAAATAGCATCAAGAATTATTTATCTATAATAATAACAAGAGGTAAATATAGCATAATTTCAACAAAATCAACATGCTATAGCCAAAATGTCTTGCTACATGTAAATCAAATTATTATTTAGAAAGAAATAATGAACAAATTTTATTTAATTATTTGTCGACTACGAAGGATGACATATCTTAGAACTATATAACAAACTCTTCTTATTAGCATTTCATTTCTGTCATTCTAGAAATTTAAATTTTTTTGTCAACCGTCAGTAATACATGATATTTTATTCTTTTTATCGTCTCTAACTTTTGATTGATCAACTAGTCCGACTCCACCACCACCACCACCGCCACTACCTCCACCATAATTACCATAACCAGAGCCGGAACCACCTCCTCCGGCATAATTACCATAACCAGAACCAGAGCCATTTCCTCCATAGCCATATCCTCCGTTGTTGCTCCATCCGCCATTATTACTATTTCCATTTCCACCACCGTTACCATATCCAGAACCACCACCACCACTTCCTTTGCCTATGTTATTGCCACCACCACCGCCGCCACTACCCCAACCTACACCGCCCCCCGAAGCGAATCCATCACCCGATCCTCCTCCTCCTATACCACCACCTCTACCAGCATCTCCACCACCGCCGCCACTTCCCCAACCCCCACTACTTCCTCCACCCGAACCATATCCAACACCACCATTGCCACCGCCACCACCACCGCCACCACCACCATTTACTCCTCCTCCTTGACCCCCACCGCCATATCCACTTCCTCCTCCTTGACCGCCACTACCATATCCTCCCCCAACACTTCCACTAGATGTACCGCCGGATCCTGATCCATATCCATTTCCACCACCACCACCACCGCCGGCACCACCTCCACCACCACCACCATTATTGCCACCGCCGCCGCCACCACCACCACTAGCACCTCCACCAATACCTCCACCTACACCCTTTCCACCACTCCAACCTTTTCCAGGAACAAAAATCCTTCCTTTATCGTCTTCTCCTATCGCATCAAGAACTTTCTCTCGATCCTTCATCTCAAACACATAATTCATCCCATTTCGATCATCAACATGTAAGAACCTCCCAACCCTATTACCCCGAACAACCGGATAACCGCAAAGAACAAAACAAAACACAATCGACAAACAAAGAGTACTACAAGAAACAACATCAAGGTTTCCCATGACAAACCAAATTCAATATATCTTCAATAAAAAGAAACAAAAAACCAAAGAACCCTCAACAACCAACAACAATCATCAATTAAATGCTCACTCAATTCTCTAAACCATTTTGAAAACAAATAAATAAATGTATCCCCTAGAAGCATGCAACATGTAAGAATTTGTGTAGTAATTAAGTATGTCCTAATCAAGGAGGCAATATATATAGGAGAAGGGTTTAAGGTTCTTGCACGGGTTGGCTTATTAGTTATTAACTAGTCATGGATATGGAGTGGTGAGTGAACATGGCATGAAGCTTACTACATCAATTTGGTGGCCTAAACATTTTGCATGAGTGCACCACCCCTCATTCACTCTCCATGAAAATACTAAGCTCCCCTTTTGGTCGAATGGATTTGAGTTTCGACTTTTCCAGATGATTTTAAATGAATGAATTTGAATTATTTCGATTAAAAAAATAATTTTTTGGATGTTTTTATTTTGTGTTTATCTTTTAGTTTCTGACAGTGGACGAAGAGAGTATAAAAGAAGACATACATAATTTTGTAAAACAAATAGTAGATATTATTTTTTTATTTTTTTTTTTAAAAAAAGTGAACAATGTCATATTCGTTTTTCTATGAGAAAAAATATAAATAATTTATTTTTCATAATTTATTAATAACATCGAATTTTGTTACTCATAATTTTACGGTTACAATTTCACCATAACATTAGTAGATCATCATTCAGAGGATATTATAAGCAACTTCAAGTTAAGGCTTAGCTTTCGGTATTATTAAAATGATTATAAGTTATGTAATATTATTTTATCTCAAATACAATGCAAATAGGATAAGTTTTTTTTTAAAAAATAATAATAAAATATTCTCCTATACTTTGTAATAACTCCAAAATATCTTATTAAAGCCTTTGTTGTTTCTTTAATGTCTAATTAGGTTGGTGTTATCCATTATATTTTTTTTCCTTCAAAATCATCAAATTAAATATTTAATTTTATTTCATTTACTATTTTAAAAAAATAATTTTCATTTAAAGAATTACATCAAATAATTATTTATATTACATTAAAGAATACTTTGATTGAATTTTTTACCATCCTCAAATTTCAAACTCAAATTCCACCTTTAAATGAACAATATTTATATAAGAGGTGAATTGCATTATTATTATTACGACAACTTTTGTGTATGTCCGTAAATATTTATTTTTTGAAAAAAAATAAAAAATTTAGTATTTTATATGGTTTAAAAGAGTTTCCTTTAGTTTTATTTCTTCAATCGCGTTTTCATTGTACCGTATTCCTCTGGTTAAAAAGGTAAATCCAAGACCAATAATTCGTTAATTCCAATAATCCAATTCTTGAATCAATCACAAGTATATTTATTTTCATATATTTATTTTCATTTAATTCATTTATTTTATATAATTCAAAATATTGTATCAAATAAATTTTAGTTCAGATTTTTTATTATTCCTAGAACACTTATATTGATCTTCGATTTACTGATTCTAATTTTATATATATGCACGAGGATTTCTTGTTACTGAAACCACTTATTTTCATACTTTATTTTCAATCATCAATGACTTGCTTGTTATTAATTTGTAATTTGATTTTAGAATTGATTAGGAAAACTTAATTGTGTTCTAAATTTTAGCAAGAGTTTCTTTTATCGAAACATAATTGGCATGCACTAGTTTAACATTTTAAAGCCTAGTTGATCGAATACGGGTGATCAAACGATCGTTGGATTACTATTATTTATGAAATGTCTCGTTCAACGCCCGAATAGCAATCTTCGATGATATTTAATTTGGTTCGATCCAATATTGCTAATTCTACAAATACCAATACATTTGGGATGGGATAGACCAAACTTTGATCGATCCTTTAACGATTCAGATTATTATTAGTAGCGGTAATAGTTATAACATTATCATATCAAATAATCAGTACAATTATATTGTAGTACATCGTCAGTCCCGGCTATCATGTCTGTTTTACTGTAGACACAAAATTTAAAAGGAGTATAATTAGTAAATAATTAAGAATATGTTAGTGAAAATAATCATTGTATAATAAAAATAATTATAGATTAAGATTAAGATAAATAATTATTCTAATTAAACTTAAAAACATTATAAAGCAAAAAATTTAAAATAAGATTAAAATATATAATTCTTTTTTAAAAAAAGAAAGTGACAAAATAAATGAGACGGACGAAAAGAAAAATGTGGACATGATAAGTGGGACGGACGGAGTATATTTTATTTAAATTGACACATTATATTTTAAATGATATTATTACAATGAATTTATAAAATAATAACAATAATAAATATTATGTGTTTAATTATTTTTACAATATATTTTTTTATGGTGTGCACATTGAGTAAAATTTTTAGATCGAGCACAATAGTTTGCAAATTAAGCAATCAAGTAAACCATACTGAAAAATACTCTTTGAGATTCAACCACGAAGCCGTCGACAAGATTTGAATTTGTTACTTCGCAATTACAATCCTACTCGTAAGGATTATTTTTTCCTTTTAGGGTGTGTTCGTTTGTAGGATTTTGATAAAATTCTACTATTCATCCAAAATTTTCCTCCCAAAAACATCAAATCAAACACCTGTTTTTTATTTTTTTATATTATACTAAAAATCAATTTTACATATAAAATATTATATCAACACCTATTTATATCACATCATACAACTATTCAAATTCAAAATTTTTACTATTCAAATCCCAACTCAAAATACCAAACCCCCAAATATAAGATAAAATATAAACGACTATGAATCATGCATGATCTTATATGTCTTCCTAGATCTTACAATTCTTAAAAATTCGAAGAGAAATACAGAAAAAGATGACTTTGCTTTTACTAGGAAAAAAATAAAAATAAAACATCAATTACAATAATAAAATTTGATCTTGTCAATGTAAATTCAATATTGTTTATCATATAAATGTTATTGTTTTGTAGAAGGATTAGGAAGTCTTATCGAGTGGATTTGACAAAACACCAAAAATTGAAATTACATAGCAAAAGCTAATTAATGAAGATAGATATATGTACCAATAATAATAATAATAATAATTTATTGATGTTTAACTTAATAATAGCGTTAGTTAATACACACACAAAAATGATACAAAACTAATAATAATAATAAATACTTAAAAGAGATTGAAAAATCTATTCATAATAAATGAAAATTTATCTCAATTTAAAATTTTATTATTTTGAAACACAAGTGCAATCGTTCACCTATCATACTTAATTTTATATTCTATTTTGTTTTTGCTTGCGTGACCATGCACAAGGAGTATATTATCATTTATTTTTGTTTGTATTTTCTTCTTCATTCAGTGTTCTTTCAACACAAACTAGTATCGAAGCCTCGTTTAACGAAGTTTGTTAGTAAAGTGGATTGGATGTCATTCGACATTACTTGTAGGTTTGGGAAGCCCTCGTTGACCTCGTTATTGAAATCTACAGTGTCGAAAGTCTTCTTGACCTGTGATAGTCGATCGATGGTCCCGACATGTGTAGTCAAACGGGAGGTCCCTTTGTTTATAAAGACGGCCCAAGATAAGCAAATCAACATGATATAACCGGAAAAGAGATCAAGTTATATGGTCATCGTCTGAGGGGAGGATTGTTAGATGTAAATTCAATTCCATATTGAAATATTAGAAGAATAACCCACACTTTGCGAGTCACACATAAATTTCACTAATCCGAAGCTTTTTAGAAAAAATTCGAAAACAAATATGTGCTAATAATATCATACTAGTATTTGAGTTATTAAGTACTAACAACTACAATAATAATACAATAAGAGATGGATATTGCAATTAGCAAAAATTTATAGTATGTAATGGCTCAGAATGAAGGGGAAATCCTTGTCCATTAATGGTTAGTGAAGTGTCCATTACAACCTTAATTAGTACCCACTAGCCTTGTATTAATAGGTGGTTAGCCAGCCACCCCATATGATAGCAACAGCAATAACATTATTACTATTATTATTATTGTCCAAAAATCTATAAATCAATAATTGCTCATTTTCTTCATGATAAGATATCCCAACAACTCACACACCTGTCATTAAATCTTGCAATCATGAAATGAATCCCACTTGTACCAAAATGATGATAAGAGTTCAAATCCAACCATTTTCTAAAATTTTGCATCAACATTTAATGAATGGTTCATGTGGATAATGATCATCTACTAGGACTCCAATTTAAACTAAAAGTATCATAACTATTGCACAAAAGTTCGTTGTTTGGGTATATAATTTTGGAATTTTTACACTATACTATTCATTAACACTAGTTCTTTAAAATATATAACATTCAATACTTTTATTTTTCTTACGAAAAATCATATCAAATGTCAATTTTTTTACCCTGAAACTTTAGAACTCCAAAACTTCTATTTAAAGGGACTTGCTGAAGCCACTTCCAGCTGTAGTCAAGTCTGATTTTGTCCTCCAAAATAAAAAAGACTAATAAATCAAATTCAATATTTGTTCTCTTCAATGTGTGTATATATATATATACACACATATATAGTTCAGGTTGGGTGCTGAACAGATCAAATCAACACTATTTTTATTTGATCCCAATAACACATATATATAAGGTAAATAGCACATAAATAAAATCACATAATAAATACAATATACAATACATATTCTGACAACACATGATAATATTATATACATCATAATATATTATTGATTTTCATTACAATAAACATATATACATATATACAATACAATATAATATATAAACCGTAAAACGCATGTGCTGATTTAACTCAATCAATACCTAAACCACCGTCATATATATACATACTCCATCCGTTCTCCCATACGATAAATATTTTTCATTTTCGTTTGTCCAATCAAAATATATAAATTTCATTCTTTAGTAAGTTTGATAACATACTCATTATAAATAACCCCAAACTTACATTTATTTATATTAACACAGTTGCATCATATTAAAGCATAAGGACAAAAAATTTATACACAAAAAAAGTTTACATCGGCCGGATGTAGTATATCTTTTCAATTTCTTTAATATGCAATCTCATGATTCCTTATAAAAATACATAATTTCTTCCAACAAAACATCAAATTCAACCACTGTTTGACATAAAGACAAACCAAACAAACAACATGAATCCCTATTGTTAATTAACCAGTCTATCCTGTTATCAAACTATTAAAGTTCAAAGTCTAATACCACAACATTTATTATCATGCTATGGTCTATTTTTATATTAATATAAGAATTTAACTTCTATAGACTATATTAACAGAACAATATATTTTATGTCAAAATTAATACTAATTTATTGGCCAAAAACTTCCTCATTTCCAAACAAAAAAAGGAAAACATTAAACTAAAATTTCAATGTATCAAAAATTGACGTATTAGAATATAAAGGAAACCTGTGAAGGACAATTAAAGCAACTTTATAGAAAGTGTAGGCAAATGAATCCACAAAAGCTACACAGTAGATATTGAATCATCAAATAATTGAGCATTTTGTTGATATCAGAATTCCACTATGGTCTCTCACTACTATGGTGCTAAGTTATCTCTTCATTGATTTACTCCACACATGTTTGTCTAACATATAAACAATAATATAAAGATTAATTTAAATGACTATTTTGAGTTATAAATTTCTTACATGAGAAATTGTACCTATATTTCATTTTTAAAAGAGAGACTGGCCATGTTCATTTATGTTTTCATTGTCTTTTCCATAATATGCAATCTATAGTATTTTGTTTCCATCTAAACCTCTTATTTTTCATTCAAACATCACGTCTAAACAGCAATCCAAAATACAATTAAACACACCCTATCACTCGTAACTATACCTAATAGTAAACACGCCTATAGAGAAACAAAATGATATTGCCAACATGTAAAAGCATCAAGTTTTGACCCCCAAATAATATCAATAAAGCAAAATATGTCTATTAGTTGACAGCCTATCCTCCACAACCACATCAAATTCATCAATCACATCCATCATGAGTATAACCAAAAATTTTTAAAAAGTGAACAAATAAAGATGGTCCCAAGTTGCGTGATCTAACTTGTATTTCCAGCACTGGACCTTTTGTCTTATCCCAGTCCCCAGTAGAGCTTTTCAGAGCGTTTTCAGTATCTCCAAGAAGTTCATCAAGAATTCCAGTAGTCTAGTATGCGTATGATCATAAGAGCAACATAAACAAAGTTTGAAAACTCTACCAAATTCTCACTCATGGGGAAGGGTGAATTTAGAAATGATCACAGTTAAGATTTAGGACAACAAAGAGAAGCACCAGAAGTTGACATGGTCAATACAAACCATGTTTATAGTAATAAGAAACTGAGAATAATGAAAACACAAAACCTAAATGTAATGCCAATCCTGCATAATAATAATAATAATAATAACAACAACAATAAGAGATTCTGGTTTAAAATGAATCTTACACCAATTAAACAATAAATGAGCCAAGTTCTTTAATTTCTACCAAATATGTGGGTCCAGAGTAATAATATCAATTAAGTTCCCAAACCAGTGAATAACACACGCATATATATATATGCACCAAGGTAGCTCTCCTTAAAAGAGAAAATTATATGAATACACAAAATTTGGAGCCCAGATGAAATATTGATCTCTTGCTCAAAAAGTTTAGACGGGGAAAGAAACTTACAATATAATTTTAGTCACAGGGAAGATCTTTACTCTCATCTCCAAAAGTGGACAGCTAAATGAAGATGCCAAGGCTTAGGCTTCTTCCTCTGTTGATAGTTCTGTTTCTCTTCCATTCATCTGTTGATGCAGCGGACACGAACATCAGTCACAAGAAGACATTCATAATTCATATGGACAAGTCATACATGCCAGAAAGCTTTGATGATCACCTGCAGTGGTACGACGCTTCTTTGAAGTCAGTATCACATTCTGCAGACATGCTGTATTCCTACAACAACGTCATCCATGGCTACTCTGTTCAACTAACGGTTGAGGAAGCCAAGTTGCTCGAAGAGCATCCAGGAATTATATCAGTCCAAGAAGATGTTGTGTATGAACTCCACACCACCAGATCACCTGAGTTCCTTGGACTCCTCAACACTGGCGCCTTGTTACCTCAGTCCAGCAAATCTAGTGATGTAATCATCGGTGTGTTGGACACCGGGGTTACGCCTGAACTGAGCAGTTTTGATGACAAGGAGCTTGGTCCAGTCCCAAGCATCTGGAAGGGTACATGTGAAGTGGGCAAAAGCTTTAGTGCATCAAGCTGTAACCGCAAGCTGATCGGCGCGAGGTTTTTCTTGAAAGGTTATGAATCTGCATATGGGCCAATTGATGAGACAATAGAATCAAAGTCCCCAAGAGATGATGATGGTCATGGAACACACACAGCAACCACAGCAGCTGGATCAACTGTGGTCGGAGCAAGCCTTTTTGGTTTTGCTGCTGGTACAGCACGTGGAATGGCCCCTCATGCCAGAGTGGCTGCATACAAAGTATGCTGGATCGGAGGATGTGTCAGCAGCGACATACTAGCAGCAATGGACATGGCAATCGCTGATGGAGTGAACATTCTATCATTATCCCTGGGCGGATCAGTCTCTGAATATTTCAGGGACACTGTAGCAATCGGAGCATTTGCAGCAACATCAAAGGGAATACTCGTTTCCACATCAGCTGGAAATGGGGGGCCTAGTGAAGGAGCCTTATCCAATGTTGCACCATGGATGACAACAGTCGGGGCTGGCACAATGGATCGTCAGTTCCCATCCCATGTTACGCTTGGAAATGGAAGAAAGCTGACAGGAGTATCACTATACAAAGGAAAACCGTTAGCTCGCTCAGTGCAACTTGTGTATGCCGGAAATGCTAGCAGTATGTCCACAGGTAATTTATGCATGAAAGGAAGCTTAATACCAGAGAGAGTCCGGGGAAAGATAGTGCTCTGTGACCGAGGACTTAATCCAAGAACAGAAAAAGGATTGGTTGTGAAGGATGCAGGCGGCATCGGAATGATTCTATCAAACACTGATACTTATGGAGAAGAGCTTGTTGCAGACTCCCATTTCATACCTACAGCAGCTGTTGGTCTGATAGCAGGTAATGAGGTGAGAGATTACATCACGTCGACGCATAATCCAACTGCTACAATTGTCTCTGGGGACACTCAACTAGGAATCCAACCATCACCTGTCGTAGCAGCTTTCAGTTCAAGAGGTCCGAACCCAATCACACCAGAAATACTGAAGCCAGATTTGATAGCACCAGGTGTTAATATTCTAGCAGGTTGGACAGGAAAAGTTGGTCCAACAGGGCTGCGCGAGGACACCCGGCGTGTAGACTTCAACATAGTTTCAGGCACTTCAATGGCATGCCCCCATGTAAGCGGATTAGCAGCGTTGATCAAGGGTGCCCATCCAGAATGGAGCCCTGCCGCTATTAGATCAGCTTTGATGACCACTGCTTATAGCAAATACAAAAATGGAGAAAGAATTCAAGATGTTGCAACTGGAACAGCATCATCGCCATTTGATTATGGTTCAGGACATGTGAATCCTGTATCAGCCCTTGACCCAGGTTTAGTCTATGATGCTGCTGAGGAGGACTACATAAACTTCCTTTGTGCCATAAAATATAGTTCAGCAATGATCAAACTCATCACAAAGCGAGATTACACCTGCAGAACAGATAAGGAATACAGTATAGGGGATCTTAACTATCCGTCTTTTTCTGTTTCCCTGCAAACAGCTTCAGGCCCGAATGGTGGAAGCAGCACTACATCGGTAGTCAAATACACAAGGACTCTGACTAACATGGGACAACCAGCATCTTACAAGGTCTCGATCTCTCAGGAAACAAAGGAAGTCAAAATAGTAGTCATACCAGAGGTGCTTAAATTCAGCAAACCGAATGAGAAGAAGACTTACACAGTGACATTTACTGCAGACTCAATGCCCTCTGGTACAACCAGCTTTGCTCATTTGGAATGGTCAGATGGAAAGCATATAGTCAGTAGTCCAATTGCATTCAGCTGGACATAATATAGTACGGAAGAAAGACAATTGTATCCCCATAATTATCTTGCCACTAAATCTCAGAAGCTCAGCTTCCCCAGCTGTCTCTGAAAAATGATGTGAAGTGCCCTTCAAACTTCAAAGGAGGCTGTTTACAAACTACCAGAACAAGTAAGCAAAGAGCTCACAGTTGCTCAATACGAAACATAATGCAAACCAATATCCCAATTACAACATGCAGCCCATGATGAGTCAACCATCATTGCTACATTTCTTTATAAAGTTCCCATTCATAAATTATTTAACCAGCTCTTCATAATGAAATAGAATTTGACAAGTAATTTTCCTTAAACTAATAAAAAATACAGAATTCAATCTTTTTGAACCACTAATACTGCAGTCAGTTCATTAAAATATTCGTCTTCATGCTTCCAACATATAATCATGCCAGTCTCTTCTCGTATGTACCGTACACATAAAGCATGAGCCCTAAAGTAGTGTACGGCGTGGTCCTGAACACATGCCTGAATAACCCCATGCAACATCACAGGTTATAACAGCAACATCAGGAAATTCAGAAAGAACATCAAATCATGACCCAGTAGGAACAATAAAGGAGAATGGTCATAATTAAGCAGATGCATTCTGCTCAAGCACTTCATAAATGTTCTACAGTTAAGCACAACATCTAAATGCATTCTTGATGCAAAAGATAATAGGAATTATTATTCAGTATCATCCATACACTGACAAACAGGAAGGTTGTAAGTATCCAACTGCCAATATTTGTGTTTGACACCCTCCCAGATTTCTTCTCCTAAGCAATCCTTGACAGGTAAGGGTATGAAGGTGGTGGAATAATCCAAATTCTGAAGCTCCAGAGCAACCAATTGACAATAAACAACATGAAAGAATGGATTACTGCCACAAAGACCATTGAAGAATGAATATATTCCTCCGGGTTTTAATAATTGAGGGAGATGCTGATGAAACTCTCTCATGTCTTCATAATATTCGCCATAGGTGTCGAAGAATATACCTGATCAATTATTTAAAAAGAAAAGATTTATTAGTGAATATTCAAGTACAAAGAAGGGCAATATCAAGCAGCATAAATAGAGAAAATGCCTGAAAAAAGAACCCAAAAGGAAAGTTTATGAAAGGAATTTTTCTCGAAAGCATTGTATTAGCTATTCCAAATTCTACTACATGCCAATGCAAGAAAAGAAGAAAATGCAAGTTTATTATAATTAGTATATATTAAGTGCAGGGGAGTAAGTGGCGTCTCTGAGATATCCATAAGCACAGGCACCTCCACTACGGTTAACTGATTATGTTTATCATCTTAAAACTGACATTAATAAGAAAACCAATGTATGCAGAATTTAATTAACTACTTTGTGAAAAATTAATAACATGGCATTTCCGATCAAAAAAAATAAATAAATAACATGGCATTTGCCAAATATACAAACTCATTATAATGTGTCAAACTCCTATCATGGCTTTTATAATTTATTCAACTTCAACAATCAACATACATATGGACCCTTCGAGATATCCAGATCTTTCCATAATATGTTAGAAGCATCACCTATACACACTGATATGTACACATGAAAAAAGGCAATCCTAGACTTTAATAAAAAACAGCACCTATAAATTACTATTTTCAGGGTGGTTCTATATACAACTTCGTGATGGTACACACGAATTAAATTCATATTTATATTAAGATTCATTAAACATTTTTCTTTCTCTTCTATGCATCAAGTGCAGACAGGTAGCAGCTAGTTAGTAACCAGGTAGGTGTCTCAGGTTGAGTCTCTACAAGTAGATAGCTATTAGGTATATCGAGCTATTTGTTGAAAGCAACAAAAATGGTTTAAAGAATTATCGTCATATCAAACTTAAAATTTCAGTCGGGAACTTACATGTACCAAAAGCAGAGGTTTGGAAGGCACAATCAGTTTAGTTTTAAAGATCCTGAATCAATCTATAATCTATGAAATTTAAAGAAATAAAGAAACGACACAGTACAAGCTTCTATGCTAGAAACAATGTAAGGTTCTTTATACGAGAAACAAAGTACAAGCTTCTATGCTAGAAACAATGTAAGGTTCTTTATACGAGAAACAACAAAAGAAAAAAATGCCCACCACTCTAGCCAAAGCAGAACAAAGGTGTGTTCTTTCGTGTCTTTTTTCCCAATTTCCTACTATTCGATAGATTATCTTTCCCCTAAAATTGTCACATCCAAAACCCAATTTTCATACAAAAAATCACATTGAACAACTATTTTCACTTCAAAGATATCAAAGAAAAAAAAACTAACTAACTAAAAATTTTATAGAAATGTTGTGCGGAGAAGTTAAGTGTGCAATTGCTAGTAGATGACAGTGGCATGCACTACAGAATTCACTTTAATTAAAAACACATTTACAGATTACTGAAGCCCTTTGGAAAATAAGTTTCCATATGGATATATTACCGTCATATGAATCCAGCTGAGGAAGAACATCCTGCCAGCGTCCAAATACTATTTTGACGTTTTTCTTTTCAGCCCATCCAGTCCGTACCATCCGATCATATACCTCTGGGTGTGCTTCAATAATAGTGTGGGAAGCCGGTGTGTATTGCTGTATTGCGGTATCAACAAGGCCCATGCCGAACCCAATATTTAATATGTGTCCACCTCCTGAGCAAATTGCCTTAGCATGAGCTTCCATTAGTGGTCTCTCCCAAGCCATCATAACAGCCTTGCTCTCCATGTCCATCACCTTGTCCTCACTGAATGTAACCCGGTCTTCCAGGTAACAATCATTAGGATTACTCTTGGCATTGTCTTTCCTAGCTATTGTTCCAAGAATCAATTCTGCTTGTATGCCTATAAGCAATCAAACACTTGCCATCAATTAAACAAGATTGCATCGAAATGAACATATAGGAAATGGATTGTTGAGAAAGTATGATGGTAGGGAACTATATCATTCACAGGTTTGCATTCAAGTATATTGCACAATGTTCCTTGGTACAGAAGATGTCACAAGATGATTAAGTAAATACAAGAACAAAATTAATAATTTAATAATATATAGAATGAGGTTTTTGTTTTGTATTTTATGTTTTGTTGTTTTTGGGTGAAAATAGTTGTTGATGTTTGTAAGATAAAATGGGTGTTGAATGTAATTTTTTTAGAGGGAAAATAAAAGATTGGATACTTATAATGGTAAAGTGCTTCCTTTTAGCAAACTACAAACATGGGGAAAAGGACTTATTGGTTATCTTCCCCATAAACTTGCAAAAACCATCAAATTTTATCTGAGAAAAATGAATAATTGCACAAATCGAAGCTTACTTCGGAATACAACGTACAAAGATTTGAAATTTATCATCAGAAGACAGACCTGCGTTGAGGAGGATGTCGAAGGCCGACTGGTGGCCATTTTCCATGGCGAAGTCTCCGGCAGAGATGTTGGAAGGGGAGAGAGCGTTCCATGGGGCGCCGCTGTCGAGGAGCAACTGCACCACCTCCGCGCAGCCGGTTCTGGCTGCAAACATCAGCGGCGTTAGGCCGTCAGCATCGAAGAAGGTAACGTCAGCACCGGACTCGATTAGAGATTTTACTCTGCAAAGGTCACCGTTTTGGGCCGCCTTGCATAGCGATTCTTCTTTGCTCTCCGCCATGGCCGATGGCTGTGCCAGTGCTTCGGTTAAACCCTACTAATTACTTATAAAAGAAAAATTAATAATAATAATACTTCTTCCGCCCATATAAGGATGTGTTTTTTTGTTCGAAAAAAATTGATTTGACTTTTATATTAAAATAATATTTTGTGAATGAAAAAAATATAAATTTTTTAAAAATATAAAAATCAAATAGTAAAATTAGGGAAAATTTTGATAAAGAAACATACCATTAGTATCATTCTCACATCATTTTTTTTTATATAAAGTAATACCTCTCCCTCCTCTTCTAAGAATTTTTATTTATATTTTGCGTGTTAGATATTTAAATATTAATTATTATATTAAAATGTAGCATAAATTAAAAAAAAATTATAAAAATACTTTAATTAGTATCTTATAATACTAATAGAATGATATTTGTAAAAAAAAAATTATACCAATATAAATAGTAAATGTGACTATTAGAGACGGACTGAATGAGTATTTCACACTTTAATTATATTTAAAATTTGTAAATTTCACATTATTTTTAAATTTTAATGATACTTATTAATTATTTTAATTTTAATTTATAATTATTTTTATTATATTACAATTATTTTTATCGATCATATTTTTTTAAATTCTCGTGTTTATGACATTATATCATGAAGTAATAATAATCTAAACCGAATACATCAAAAAAGACAAATTCAATTAGCTTTTTCATAAATACATGAATAAAAATAAAAATTGATGATCTCCTTCTTTGTATATTGTACTTCCTCCGTCCCACATAATTTGTTCCTATTTTCTATTTTCGTTCGTCTCACATAATTTGTCATTTCCTTTTTTGGAAAATTAATTATAGACTTTAATCATATTTTAAAATTTAAAATTTAATTTTTTTAATCTTAATTAAACTATTTAGTTATTTTAATTTTAATCTATAATTATTTTTACTAAATAATAATTATTTTTACTAATATATTTTTTAATTACTTACTAATTATACTTTACCTAAATTCACGTTTATACAGTAATACATCCATATTATATGGGACGGAGGGAGTATATGATAATCACAACCACGACTATTTTACATTCTTTAATATATTTGCATCATTGAAAGTATTTTAAATTATTTACCGAAGAATCGAGAAGGTTATCAATGTCGGAATAATATGTTTGATAAATTTTCCAACATATGGACAAGTCTTGAAGATTGTCTAAGACAATAAAACCCGTCATATTCGGAAATAGCTTTATTACGAACTTTTTTAAGCATAAGGGATGCTCTTATAGTGTGTTTGTTTGGATGATTGGATTTAAATCCAACTATTCATCCAATTTTTTTCCCCCCAAAAACATCAAATCAAATCCTTATTTTTCATTTTTTAAAAAACACTAAAAATCAATTTTACATTCAAAATATTACATCAATACCTATTTATATCACATCATACAACTATTTAAATTCAAAATTTTTACTATTCAAATCTCAATCCAAAATTCAAACCCCTAAACAAACACACCCTTAGTAGTTCATTGGAGTCATGAGTTTTAAACTATAGAATTCTGTTTTACTTTTGCAGTAATGATGAGATTATCAAAATTTATATATCTGAAAATTTTGAAGTTGTCTATCATAAATAAAGAATAATCAAATTATCTTGAATTTTATACTTTTTTTTTTCATCTTTTTTATATTTTTATAGCACTTTTTGAATTAATTGTTCTAAAACAAGGTTTGAGTACGCTATATAAACATCATCAAAGAAGGGTCTTTAAAAATTTAATAATATTATAAAAATTGTTTTAATTGTTTTGTAGCTTACAAAAAATAAAAAAATTATACTACCTTACAAAGAAATTGAAGCAATTTTTTAATGACAGAATATAATAATATTTAGTAGCTTGAGTATTCTTAATTTGCATGGATCATGCAAACAAAAACAAGGAAAACTACATTTATAAGTATATGCCAAAGAAAAAATAAGATAAAAAGAGGAAAGTTAATATATATACACACAAGATCTATAGGCAAAAAAAAAAAAAAACATTAAAATTGTTGGTTCATATAGTTTTACATGATGAAGATAAACACCATGTTTATGTTTAGCACTTCCCATGAATTCACAATCATTAATGTTGTCGTCGCTATTTTATCGCTCTTTGTAGGGTTTTGCGTTTGCACATCATCGATGGATCCTTATTTTGATGACGTAGGCTCTTATTCATTTTCGCCTTCTGTCGCGACATGGTATGGAGAAGCTAATGGGGCCGGAAGTGGTAATGCCGCGCACATATATTTGTATATCAAAATTGAAAAACCCTAAATCTTGAACTATGAACAAAATCTTTTGATTATGTTATTCAATTTGTATCGATGGTTATTTTGTATTGATTTCTTGATGTGATGATAATGATATGATCGACACCGTTGATTTGAAGGGGGTGCTTGTGGATTCGGAGACGAAGCATTAGGAATTCATCCATATAATAGCATGACAGCAGCTGGAAATCAAAATTTATTTAAATCTGGAAGAGGTTGTGGAACTTGCTACGAGGTAATTCATGCAATGTGTTAAAATATGGATAAAATAATGAAATTGTCTTATTGATCATCAAAATAAGGAGCATATATATATATATATATATGGATAATACAAAACGGACTCTATAAACTCAAATCTAAGTAATCCAATTTATGAATAAAAACTAGATCTAAATATAAATCTACCAAATCGAATATCTAAAATATCTCGACACAATGATTAATCTTTTGATATATATATATATTCTAGTACTAATATTGACGTGAATGTTCTTTTAAATTAAAAAATAAATATTTGTGCTCAATGAAAGTGACATAAACATTCTTAACAGACAGACATAAATATTTGTACTTAACATTAAAAATATTTTTATATTTGTATAATTTTTTGTACAAATGTTCTTCTATTAATATTATAAGACACCAATGAAAATATTTTTGGAATTTTTTCTTGATTTGTATTACGTTTTGATATAAAAATTAATATTCAAAGATTAACACGCAAAAAGTAAATGTGATCCTTAGAGCTGGACGGAGATAGTATTTAAGATATAGGAAATTACTAAAAAAAATTTATAAATATAAATATAACATGTAATTTCTTCTTCTAGGTGAAATGTACTTCGCATCCATCTTGTTCTGGATCTCCGGTTAAAGTGACGATTACAAATGAATGTCCCGGCGATTGCAACAACGAACAATTTCACTTTGACTTGAGTGGAAAAGCATTCGGAGCATTAGCTAAACAGGGACAAGAGAATGCTTTACGCAACGCCGGAAGAATTGACATTCAACATAGGAGGTAATTAATAAATTATTTCGATTTTTATTTCTATTAGCAAGAAGAATAATTTCTTAATTATATATATATATATATACATATATGTATACCATTTTTTATAACAAATTTAGCATGATCACATCCTTAAGCCCTTATTTCCAACATTTTAATAGTATTATACCATACCTTTTTAGAGAGCAATTTCAATTAACTTAAATATGCCAAGATTTTGTTTTTATTTATTCGAAAATATTATCCTTTAGAAACTTTGCTAAATATTTTATTTTAACATTTGAAAAGGAAAATAGGCCTTAGCAATTTTGGTAGTGTTGATTAGATCATTAATCTCAAATGCATTTGCTCACTACAGAAAAATAATATATTTGTAATGGAATTCCGTCCCTAAAGTTCACGTACCTAACCTAATTTCATTCCTAATTCCGTCTCTATTGTCATTAGTAACGAAAAAAGTAAATTTAGAGACAAAAAAGTTTTGTTACAAAAATAATTTTTTCTTTTAGTGGCTTATACTGCTTTAGTTTTTTTTTTTTTTTTTTTTCGATCGAAAAAAATGCATTCAATACCATATAGTAAATGGTGTTAAATATGATTACTTTTGTTAATTACATGGACTAGCTACCACATAAGTTTTTAAATAGTGATTTTATATGATAATTTATAAGAAAAAATATTTACATTTTTTCAGAGAATTATGAAGATTGTATAGTGATTTTTTAGAAAAAATTAAATTTTAATTTTTTTTTTCCATTTATATAAATTTGTCTAACATAATTGATACATGTATTAAATATATTGAGATAAAATAAACTCTTCTAGCAAAAGATCAAAAACAAAAAGAGCTACTTACTATTAATTTTTTAGGGTTTCATGCCTTTACAATGTGAAGGGTATCACATTCAAGATTGATACCGGATCGAATCGCAACTATTTAGCTTTTGTGATTGAGTATCAAAACGGGGATGGTGACATTGGCAGCATCGAGCTATTGCCTTCGAATAGTAAACAATGGCTCGTTATGCAACAATCATGGGGAGCAACTTGGAAGTGTGATCTTCCAAACGGCATCGAAGGTCCTTATTCTGTAAAATTCACTACCATCGAATCAAAGAAGACAATTGTTGCACTTAATGCAATTCCAGCAAATTGGACCCCAGGATCTTCGTATTCTTCGAATGTAAACTCAATATTTCTCTAAATGATCGTAAATTGCCAGTAATTTGAATACTATCTATCTATACTTCCATGTGAAGATAAAGAGAATTGTATTAACACTTAACTTATCAATAACAACTGGCAGTTCTTATTGTTGTTGTTGGTTATTTATTTATTTTAATTTGGTAAAGGTTTAGATAATTTGTTGGGTGATGTTATGAGCATAGTTGCTACATCATATCATATGTAAAGAGTTTGTTAACAATGAAAAAATGCAATTAAGAAATTCTTCTAATACGCGGGATATTAAAATCATAAAGTTGAATTCTTTTTTAGTTTTGAAAACCTTCAACTATATTGTCGCTTCCACTCCAATCTCATTTCCCAATATGCAGAGATCATCACCTCCTAAATCTTTCCCAGTCTCCTAATTGTCCCTACACTAAAAAAACTATATAAAATGGACCCGTGACCGTAAGGATATTAATTTTATTTTTGCCAAGGACCCCAATTCGGTAGTATTTTTAAAATATTTTTCACTAATCATGTCTTACTCTTTAAATTCTTTTAGAATTAAAAAAATATAAATTTTATTATATTGGGTTAAAAGATTTCCAATTCGAGCAAGAGTTCAAATTGTCATGAGTTCAAACCCCCAAAGCCTTCAAGATTTTGTCTGTCAGACATGGTTTGCTTAATGCACTCAAAGAGTGGCGGTTGTGAATTCCTATATTATTAAAAAAAAAAAAAACAAAACAACTATGCATATGTATTGCCTATATATACAATAAAAGTGTATCTATAAATATTATTTTAGAGAAAAAACAAGACAAATTATATGAACGAAATTAGTATAATGAGATCAAATATTTATAATTTCAGAAAAAAAAAAAAGAAAGAAAAATAAAACGGTGCCAAAACCATAGCTATTATAGTAATTGTGTGGGCACAAAAAAAAAAAAAGAAAGAAAAAATAGAAAAATTTGAAATATATTGGAGGCGCCAAAATTGGTGTTACAAAAAGCAAAAACAAAAAAATATAGGTGTTGGAGAATAAGTGTTGCACCAAAATTTATTTGAACATCTAAACAAGGGTCAACTTTCGAAGCGTAGTTATATCACATTTATAACACCCTACTGCCAACTGAATGCTTGTGAAAAAACAAAGCAGTAAATGAGAAGCGTTTGTTTACCCGTTCAGAAATAAATAATTCTACATCCGGGATACCAATTTAGAAGAAGTTCACTAATCAGTGTTATTAAGAACAAAGACAAACCACAACTCGTTCAACTCAATCTCCTACCATGAGTTACCTTGGAAATTCCCTCCACAGGTATTCGTTGTCACAAACTCGTACTAACAACCACCACGGAGCAGAACTACTTAAAATCTGGACGTCTCCTCTGATTGGAACTCGAATTTCTCCTTCCTCCGACGAGGTCTCCAGCAATATAAGTGTCTAGCACTCACTCAATACATGAATAAGTGAATGGTTGGGGTTAAGAGGATTGAACTCACTTTATCTCACTACACACAACTCTCAAAATCTTTCCAACAACCAACTTTCTACACACAACTTACAATGTAGCAGCCATGGACTTGATAGGCGTAACCGGCAATTAATTCTCTTTGGTACAAAAAATGTATTGTGTGTCTCTGCATGAATTTTGAAACAAGTTGGCCACTCAAAACATCCATTGCTTTTGTCTTCTGCCCACCAACTGAGAGTGAGAGAGAGAGAGACAAAGAATGTTGTTGACAATTATTGTAGCAGCCATATAAGACTCGTTACTACAATGGAAATCTGAAAAGGCAGTAGCAGAAAGATGAAGTGACCAAATTCTAAAATAAATTGAGGGATTTCATGTTCCAACAATATGGTATATTACCCCAAGGTGGTTTGGGGATTTTTACTGTGCGGAGATTGTTGGAACATGAAATCTCTCATACTGTACACAGTAAAAATCCCGCCGAACACATTCATAATCAAATCATACCATTATTACTTTTTAAATTTTAAATTTAATAGTGTACACACCCAAAATTAATTGGGCCGGCCCAGTGCAAGTGCAGCCCAAGTCCAAGGACATTTGCGGCCCAACATATGGGGAAGCAGTCCAACGGAGGCAAGAAGGTCAAAGAAGTTGTTAGAAAGTTGGTGAAGTTGTTGGAGAAAAAGGTGGGATAAGATCTTATTCAAATAAATTCAAAAAATTAACTATTTAAAGAAGATCTAAGAGAGCAAAAAAAGGACGCCATTCATCGTCTTTTTTTCATCTGCATTATTTTCTTGTAATTTTTCCAGATTTTTACAGTTTTCTTCGATTAATTCCAATTTAATTTTCAGTTTCGTTCTGGTTTATTTTACTTTCTTTTTTCATCAATTTTTCGGTTATCGTGAGATAGCCCGGATCCTTTCTTGAGGAGGCCGGGGAACCATACAATTAAATCAATTCCGACAGGCTTTTTCGATTAAGCCGTGGCGATTTTTTTACGACAACAGATAGACATTTATATATTAACCATCAAACCAATACGATCAAAACTCCTTAAACATAAACCAACCCTACATACAAAATAAATACATAAACTCAAACCTATCTTAAAATTAAAATAAAAGTCGAAGTCAAACTCAATTTTTTCCAAACCTCCCTTAAAGAAACACACCCGTACTTATATCAAAATTTTCTCAAACTTATCTAAAGAAAATCTATATGTATCATTAGTTGAAAACTCAATCATTCTCAAATTAATTAATTAACGTAATGTGCAAAAATAATGTCCAAAACTCCAGATATTGAAAAAACATAACCAAAACATTAGAACATGGATGCATATACCGCAAAATGTATCAATGTTTAAGCAAGTAATTAATAAAATCCAATGTTATCCATAACTAAAGTGCGAAAAGGCTCTTTAGAGCCAATTCAATCTACTTTAGTTATCTCACCGTCTTTTTATTTTTTGCTAAAGATCCATGAACCAAACTATTGGAAACATATCACGTGCTTTAAATTATTTTTCATATGTATCTATAACTTGAGGGATATAGAACAATAAAAGAAATAAATTAAAAAGAATGTTAATCTAAATTATATATATTAATCAGGTCTGGCCTTGGGCTCGGACGAGAAGGACGATTCCAATATAAATAGCGGTTCATTATATATTTATATTATATATGAAATATTTAAATATAATTTGTATTTGATATTTTATATTTAAGGATTTTGACTTTTTTTTTTGTCCCAAACTCTTCGAAAGTCAAAATCAACCACATATAAGAATTAAAAAGTTACAAAACCACTTCGACTTATATACCTAAATTTGTCTTGTCAGACCTAATTTGCAAGTTATTATATTCGATCGAAATTTATTCAGAGCACACTCAAAGAGTAGCGACTGCAAATTTTCATTTTATATATAAAAAAGTTTTAAAAAAATTAAAATATAGTCTAATTATTGAGGTCTTATGTTATTATTATTAGGTTTTAAATTCAATTCCTACACTTATGATGGGTTATAATAATGAAAACTTTTACTATTTGAACATTATATATATTTCTTTGGAAAGATATAAATATATATATATTGCATATATAAAATATTAATTAAATAAAAAAATTAAACCCAATATAGGCTAAAAGAAATACACTTTTAAAAAGATTATTAGGTTCGGTCGGGGTTTACCCAATGCATATTTTCGAGTTGCGATTACGGATTCTCACGTTATAAAAAAAAAAAAAAAGATATATGATCATAATTCATTATTGTGTCCTTAAGGTATAGCTCGGTGAATTCGTAACCGCGAAGTCATTGGTTTACATCTAGACGTCTTCAAGTCTAAATACCACTAATAGTTCGTTTAGTGCGACTTGTTTTGTCAAGCCTAATTTGTAGAGTATTAGGTTCTGTCAGAATTTTAAAAAAAAATATATGATCATCGAATTTAGTTTGCAAACTATTAGATTCGGCCGAAAATTTACTTAAAAAAAGGTGCGAGCGCAGATTTTCACATTATAAATATATATATATATATATGTATGTTTAATTTGTAAATTTTTAGTAACTTGTTGTATGGACATGATTATAATTGTTTTGAATGAATCTTCGTCGTTTATAGGTTTATTCCTTCGATATGATAATGTCAAAATATTGAATTTTAATAGTTGATAAAATATTTTTGTGTAAGTCAATATTTTTAATATTTATTTTGATAATTTAATCGTGATAAATATAAACATATAAGAAAAATCAATATTATAATTATAAAAATAAAAATAAAACATATAAAATTACTTTTAAAAAAAAATTAAATTAAATATGAATGTATAGGCACGGAACCACACTTGAATTTTCAGAACCATACCCTTATTTTCCAATTTTACCAAATCGAAGTCCGGATTGCTCCTCAAGCCCGTAACCCCTGCTCCGCCGTCGCCGTTTCAAGGAAACCCACGGTCGACGATGAATCGGCGCCCCTAAGCCGCGCGCCTGTGCGGTGACAACTTCGCCAGCGTGAAAAAGAACAACAGCTCACCGCGCAGTTAGAAGAAATCGCAAGGTATGCTCAGGGTTTGGAGTGGTTTCATATCGATGTTTATGTTTTGTCAAATTCGTATTTTTGGTTTTAGAAGAGGTGTTTCTATTATGTTGATTTGTAGGAGGCCGAAATCGGACAATTTCGATTTGATTATTTGTTTACTCTACGTCCGTAGCTGCCTTACTTTTCCATTAACACCACAGACTACTCCAGTGTGTGGTGAAAATGGGTATTTTCATTTAATCTAGTTTCACTTCTTGCTAATTTTATTTGAGTATAATTTATGTGGCATGGGTCGAGCGTGAAATTGGTCTTAGAAGCAGCGAAATTGCTTCTTCATAGTTTTCATATGAAACTTTAGTTGGGAATCATTGGGCTTAATTAAAATTGAGTTGGGATATGATTTAGATTGGTTTTGGAGTCATTGAAATCATCAATTTTCTGCTGAAAACTGCTGGTGAAAGTTGTTCTGTCCTTAAGGTGAATGGGTAAGAAAATTCTTTTTGTATACCTTGTTCCCTCTCCTCGCCACCTTAGCAAATGACCTTGTTCACAACTACTTACACACTAGGTTGCGAGCATTGAATTGAAATTGTTTAGTAATCTGAAAATAATAATAATAAGGTAATGTTGAAACTACACTTTTGATGGTTTTTGTCGTTGCTAGGGGCTGTTGATGTTGTTGCTGATGGAGAGAAAAGAATCGAATCTCATTTATGAGATTAAAGTCTTCTGTCTGAATGGGAATCGGAATCTACATTAAACAAAATATACATTAAACTCCATATTGCAGTGACTAATTTAGGGCAGCATCGAGATCACTGTTGCTATATTTGCCCCTCTCTTAAGACATTCATGTTAAGATATCCTATGGCTCTCTCTCTCTCTATATGTACATATGTGTCAAATGTAATGCATTGAATTTGCTAAGGCTAAGGGGTGCATAGTTTGGATGCATGTTATGAATATGCATTTATGCTTATTGTAATGCATTGAATTTTACCTTAGTAAGTAGTTAACAAACAGGGCCTTTATGTTGTGTATCTAGGTGTTGGTTTTGCATAGGTTTTGTAGCCGTAAGTTTTGTGAATTAAAGCAATGTTTTAGATGTGATTCATGTTGTGTTACATGCTGTGTCACTTCAATGTGAATAATATTGTGACACATGCTGTGTAACATGATGATATTATCCTATTGGTTCTACTGTTGATGGAAATCATATCTAATGGTGTACTTTCGAATGTTTTGTTTGTTTTGTTTGTTTTTAGCTGAATAATGAGTTTGCAGCAATGCCCTTTTAAAAGTTACCGAGGCAGTAGTCAACGAAATACTGCAATTATCTTGTTTGGCTTGATTTTCTTGATTTCTTTCATATCTTGTCTCTCTGAATTCTTGTCACGTTCCAAGTTTTGGGTGAAGAAGAACAAATTTTTATATACAACCTTTTACGATGAAGCTACAACCAATTTTTTAGCTGTGTTTTAATAATCCACATTCTGGTAGCTGATCCCCAGGATATTTTGTTCCTGTATTTATTTATAGGAGGGTACGCTTATTTCATTTGTTGAACCTTTGGTCGTGAGGCTTGGATATGGATTTAGAGACGGAGAATAGAATAGCTGCCATTCTTTTGAAAGAGGCAGCAGAATTACGTCGGCAAGCACAGAGGGAAGGTGCTCTTGCTTATCTTGGCAAGCCGACTGTAAGGAGTAGGCCTAACTCTCGCTTCCTTACAGCAACTGTCCGTGGAGTACAACAAGGTTAGTTTTGATTGATATAATATTTTCTTTGTTTGGGTGTAGGGAAGTTGTGCTCGTAGTCTTGGTTGGATTAGCTTTTATGTTTTTCTTGGCGTTTATATATTAATATATCTGTCAGGTGATGTTTCCGTGAGTAGAAATACAATTTAAGACCAATCCATAAAGTTTCTTTGTTGGTGCTCGCTGGTTATTTCACAAATAAGAGAAAGTTACTCTCATGTTTCATTTGGCTATTTACTCGTGTGAAACTATAGTTATACCTCATTAAAAGCATGTAGGTTTTGTTGGGTGTGTTTTTTTGGGGGTTTGATAAGGTTAAATTATAATAGTTGTTTGATATGATATAAAAGGTATTGATGTGATGTTCTGAATGCAAAATTGATTTTTGTATAATAGAAAAAGGTGTTTGATTTTATATGTTTGGAAGAAAATCTTGATGGATAGTAAATAATTTAAAAAACATTTCAAACAAAAAAACAAATAAAGCTTTTGCACAATAGTTGTCAAGGATGTTTAGTTTTGCTTTTACTTCAAATAATTTAATGTTTGTCACTATGGCTTGTTTGAGATTTCTTAGGTAATGAGATCCAAGTATGAGATTTGAATACAATGTCGCTCATTTTGTCATTATTAGGTCTTTCATTCAGAGTCTGAGCGAAAGGCTTCTACTTATGATTGACGTTTATTATTCTCTCGCAACATTTTAGCATTGGATTTTATTCCTCGTTAGCTTCTCCTATTGTCTGGCCTGGATTTTGTTTAAATTTTTCTAACTTGTCATTTTTTATTTCAATAAATTTCTTTCAGCTAATCGTGCCGTGGAAGTAAATGAGATGTGGCGACTAAGGGAGAAACAAATAGAGCTCGACAACAGGCTTACAGGAAGCAGGGATGTTTCAAACACTCATAGGAGTAGTAAGCATAGGGACAACGACTCAGAAAGGAGTGGCACAAGCACTTCTATTTCATCGAAAAAAAGAGATGTTACAGATTGCCACACAATCGAGGATGGAGGGTTGGGAGATGATGAAGTTGAGGAATTTCTACGGTCAAGGTTAGCCCCTCTTCTTCCGATCTTCTGCGTTTGTTTGTGGGTCCGGGAATTAGTTTTGAGTTTTGAATAGTATTTAAAAAAATTAAAAAAATACTTCTTCCGTCCCAATTCAATGTACTTTTTTGTTTTTCTTTTGAAGAAATTAAAAAATAATATTATTTTATTGGTTAGGCAATGTGTAAGATAATTTTAACAATTTTGCTCTTGCAAGTACAAATGGAGTGAATACTTTTATAAAAGTAAAGTATTAGGAAGAAACTTTTAGTGGGACAAACCAAAAAGATAAAAATGATATATTGAGTTGGGGGCAGGAGTATTTATTTGATTTGATGTTTTTGTGTGGAAGAAAAATTAGTAAATAGTAAAATTTGAGTCCAAAACCTACAAATAATTAGAGAACCTTATTTACTGACCCCACTTTAAAATCATCATTTTATTTTTGACATTCGGCTTCAAATGTTAGAACAAAGCGAGGGAGGGGCGCAGTTGGTTCACGGATGGATGAAACAGGTCCTTACCTTTCAATTCCTCGTGATTATGAAATAAATGCATCGGACGAGGAGGTGAAAAGACCTCGGGTTTCACTTGGCCCGGAGAAGCCCCACTTCTTACAATCTAGGGAATGGTCGGAGAATTTATGTAGCCGAGATGAGAGGAAAAGTGCGAAGGTGCACTTGAGCAAACGGCACTCGAAGAAGCACAAGAAATCGGAGGAGAAGAAGAGAAAGAAGAAGAGAGGGAAACGTAGGACATGAAGTGTTTGATCTATCAATGGTTTCCCAATAGAAATGTTTTGTGGGAATATGTTGGGTATGTAAATTGTTGTGCTTTATAGCTTTGTATGTTCAAATATTTTAAATACTATAATAAAATTTTATATAATACAAATAATATTCTTTGTATTTTTAGTAAAAATGCATAAATTGTTTTTATGTATTGTGTTTGGTTGTAAACATTCATTTAGTATTTCTTTAAAGATAAATTGTTATTTCCTCGGTTTGTAAAAATTAGTTATATTCTTTTTGTTACTATACAAAATTGATCAATTATTTATTATATTTTGTTTATTAAAAAATACTATTTAAAATATTTTTATGCATTGTGTTTTGTGTTTTGTGTTTTTGGTAATAGTAATTGTATTTATTTTTTATTTTCTTATATATTTATAAAATTTAACTCTAATATTTTTTAATTTAAATTTAAATTTAAAAATAAATTAAATTGATATAAGTATTAATGTGTGTATATTTTTATTTATTTTTGTTGAGGTAAATGAAAAGAGCATAATGTGAAGAAAAAAATTATGATATAAAAATGAAGAATGTTACGAAATATACACCTAGCTTATACACAAAAGTATATATTGTATGTGGAAGCTTTTCATCCAACAAGTTGCTACGGCTTACATCTGTCAGTTTGTTATCTCATTCTCTCTCTTATATTTAATATATATACATATATATACATTCTCGTAACAAACACACCCAACACGCATACATATATATATATATATATACTGCACACACATACATATATTTATATACTTACCAATATTATATTATACTATTTATTATATAACACGTTATTAGCATGAAGGTTTTTGCCTATTTTATTTTTGGTAAGTTTTATTTTTATATTATCTATATAGTCTATTTTTTAAATTATGGAAAATTTTGCAAAATTTTCTTTTAAACCTCCATCTCTCACCGGCAATAATTTTCTGACTTAGTCACTGGATGTAGAAATGCATCTGGTTTCTATAGGCCTTGTTTATACAATTGTCAGTGAAAATGTGGCTACAAGCCAAGATCGAGCTAAGACTATTATTTTTATTCACCACCATCTAGACATTCCTTTACCGTCCGAATATTTGACGGTGAAAAAACCACTTGATTTGTGGAATGAATTAAGGGAGAAATTTGGACACTTGAAATATATCACTATCCCCAAAGCCTGACATGATTGGCTTAACCTGCGTTTGCAGGATTTTAAAACTGTTACAGATCTCAATTGAAACTTTGCAGAGAAATTTTTACTGATAATGATAAATTGGAAAAGACTCTATCTACCTTCCATGCTTCCAATGTTGCGCTGCAATAGTATCGTGAAATATTTTTTTCAAAAATACTCAAAGCTCATAGCATGTCTTTTATTAACTGAGCAAAATAATAAGTTACTGATGAAAAATCATCAGTCCCAGCCCACTGGTTCCAGTCCGTTCCCTGAAGCGAACGTGACATTTTCTAAACGAGGCCGAGGATGTGGTAAGGCCGTAAACGTGGTCGCGGTCGTGAGAGTCAACAGGGTTGATATACCCTTTAAAATCACCGCGGTTTTGACATTAACATGAAGCAGAGTAAACCCCAATATGAGGATATAGTCGAAAAGGCTAAATAGGGAAAAAGGCAAATCGGCATTTGTAATCGATGTGGCATTGAAGGTTATTGGGCCAATATCTGCAGAACAATCAAACACCTAGCCGATCTTTATCAAGCCTCACTGCAAAAAAAAAAAAAGGGAAAAGAGGTCGAGACTAATTACATTGATAACAATGACAACCCCGATGATGATGTTCTGGATTACGACACAATGCATCTTGTTATAGCGGACTTTGTCGTAGATCCAGGAAACCCCAGTGACAGACATACTATATCATTTTACATTATGCCATTTTATATTTTGTAATATTTAAATTATTGCATATTACTTTTTTGTAATGCATTTTGTAATATTTATATTTGTCTTTATTAATACTGTGCTTATTTATATTTGAAGGTTAAATGAATACCAATCAAAATGACGCAAATATGTGTTTCATTGATAGTGCAACAATGCATACTATATTGAAACACGAAAAATATTTCTCCCATTTGAAAAGGGAAAGAATGAATGTCAATACAATAAGTGGCAGTGCAAAATTAATTGAAAGCTCTAGAGAAGCCATTATATTTCTCCCCACGGGGACGAAAATTGTGAAACAATATGCATTATTGGCCACTAAAGCTCAAAGAAATTTATTGAGCTTTCATGACATTCGGAAAAGTGGTTATCACATTGAAACTATGAGTGATACCGATTGTGAATTTTTATTGATCACCAATATCATTGATAAAAAGAAATGAATCATTGAAGATTACCCTCACTCTCTATTGGTTTATATTATACCAGAGTAGGTGTTGTTGAAACACACCTCACGGTAGATCAAAAGATTACCAATTTTCAAATATGGCATGAACGTCTTGGGCATCCTGACAGTATAATATGAGGTGAATAATTGAGAATTAGTATGGTCATCCATTAAAAGGTCAAAAAGTATTAAACTGAAATGAGTTAACCCTGCACTCAGGGAAAATTGATAACCAGACATTTCAAGCTAAAGTAGGTATTGAATCACCTACATTTTTTGAAAGAATACACGGGGATATAAGTTGACCAATAGACCACCGTGTGGGCCATTTAAATATTTTATGGTGCTTATTGATGCATCTACGAGATTGTCCCATGTTTGTATATTATCTACTCACAATATGATATTTGCGAGATTTCTTGCCCAAATTATTAAATTACAGATACAATTCCCCGATAATCCAATTAAGACTATACGTCTGGATAATGCTGGTGAATATTCATCGAATGTATTTGATGATTATTGCATGCCGATTAGAATTAATGTAGAGCACCTAGTGGCTCATGTTCATACACAAAACGACATAGGCAAAATTACTTATTAAAATATTCCAATTAATTTCTAGACCATTACTGATGAGATCTATGTTGCCCGTTTCAGTTTGGGGGCATGCGATTTTACACGCAGGAACACTTATAAGAATGAGGCCGACAAGCTATCATAGTTATTCCCTTATGCAATTAGTATTTGGTTACGAACCAAATATATCTCATCTACGTATTTTTGGGTGTGTTGTTTATATTCCTATTCCACCCACCAAACGTACAAAAATGGGTTCTCAACGTAGATTGAGCATTTATGTCGGATATGAATCAACGTCAACTATAAAATATCTTGAACCTATGACGGGTGATTTATTCACTGCAAGATTTGCAGATTGTCACTTTGACAAATCATATTTTCCGACATTAAGGAGAGACAGAAATGAATCCAAAAAGGGATATTAATTGGAAAATCCCATTGAAGTTTTGTGATCCTCGTACAAAGCAGTGTGGACTAGAAGTTCAATGCATTATACATTTGTAAAATATTGCAAATCAGTTACCGGATGCTTTCAATGACTCGAGCGAAGTCACTCGATCATAAATCCAAGTTGCTAATGCTCCGACTTAATTAATTGTCTTTGATGGACAAATTGCAAGTGCTAATGAATCAGTGACACGCTTGAAGCATGGTAGACCACTTGGTTCCAAAGACAAACATCTTCGAAAGAAAAGAGGAATTAATGATGATGATCATGAAAATATCAGGAATGGCATTATTAAACCTCAATCTAATGAGGGAGTCAACCCTGAAATAATTGCTCCAGAAGAGCACGATCTTGAAGAACATGATGAGATTATTGAAAACTCAATTAACTATGTTACTTCAAGAAAATGTTGAACCGTAAAGAGACAATTATTGATAATGTCTTCGCATACAATTTAGCACTTGATAACATGGATGAAAATAAGGATCCAGAGCCAAAATCGGTTTATGAATGTCGGCAAAGAAATGACTGGCCAAAATGGGAACATGCGATTCAATCAGAGCTTGACTCATTAAACAAAAGGGCTCTTCAGACCAATTGTTCAAACACAAATGATATAAAACCAGTTGGATACAAATGAATATTTGTACGAAAAATAAATAAGCATAATAAAATTGTGAGATATAAATCCGGTCTCATGGCTCCAAGATTCTCACAAAGACCTGGAGTAGATTTTGATGAAACATACTCTCCGGTTGTTGATGAAATAACATTTAGATACTTTATGAACCTAGCAGTGCGAGAAAAGCTCGATAAACGTCTTTTAGATGTAGTTACTGCATATCTTTATGGCTCATTGGATACTGATATTTATATGAAAGTTCCTGAGGGATTCAATATGTCTGAAACATATAGATTAAACCCAAGGGAATCACATTCCATTAAATTAAAAAAGTCATTGTATGGACTTAAACAATCAGAGCGAATGTAGTATAACCGTCTCAGTGAATGTTTAATAAAAGAAAGTTATACTAATGATCTAATATGCCCATGCGTTTTTATAAAGAAAAATTGATCAAATTTTGTCATTATTGCAATATATGTTGATGATCTCAATTTAATTGAAACTCTTAAAGAGATCCAAATTGCAGTTGAATATCTAAAGAAAGAATTTGAGATCAAAGATTTTGGAAAGACAAAATATTTTCTGGGATTACAAGTGGATCATGTTAATAATGAGATATTTATTCATCAATCCACATATACCCAAAAGGTATTAAAATAATTTTATATGGATAAATTTCACTCTATGAGTACACCAATGATAGTCAGATCCCTCGATTCCAGTAAAGATCCATTTAGGCCAAGAGAAGAAAATGAATAAATACTTGGCCCTGAGGTACCATATCTCTGCGCTATTGGCGCATTAATGTACCTTGCAAATTGTATCAGGCCATATATATCTTTCTCAGTAAATTTACTGGCCAGATTTAGCGCATTCCTCACAACGCGTCATTGAAATGATATTAAACACATTTTTTGTTACCTTCAGGGGAGTCATGACCTCAGTCTATTTTATTCGAGTGAATCTCGAATAAATTAATTGGTTATGCTGATACTGGTTATCTATTTGATTCACACAAAGCAAAATCTTAAACTGGCTATTTATTTACTTGTGGTGGAACCGCAATTTCTTGGAGATCTGCTAAGCAGACGATAACAGTTATCTCTTCAAACCATGCTGAGGTTTTAGTGATTCACGAAGTCAGTCGTGAATGCGTTTGGTTGAAGTTTATGACTCACTATATTCAGAAAAATTGTGGCTTGAATTCTGATGATGTATTACCTCATACAATTTTGTTTGAAAACAATGAGCTTGCATAATTCATTTAAAAGGATGATATATTAAACGTGATTGGCCAAAACACATATATCCGAAGTTCTTTATCACTTACGATCTTCATAAAAGTGGTGAAATTAATGTGCAACAAATTCGATCGTCTGAAAATTTTGCAGATTTATTTACGAATGCGCTACCGACTGCAACATCCAACAAATTGGTGCAAGGAATTAGAATGCGTTGAATAAAAGATATCAAATAAAGTTCAAAACAGGGGAACTCATTAATACAAGAATGATGTATTTTTTTTTTCCTTCACTATGATTTTTTTTCCACATGATTTTTTCACAATAAAGTTTTAACGAGATATATATTTTTTTGTATAAAAATATCTAAAAGGAAGTGTTACAAAACATACACTTAGCTCATACACGAAAGTATATATTTTATCTGGATGCTTTTGATCCAACAAGTTCCTATATAATCGTATAATAATTATCTCGGTACTCTATATATATATATATATAATTGTCTTTGTATTTAAAAGACAATAAGAAAAATTTCAAATCACTTCTCTCAATTTGCTATCCCATTCTCTATATTATATTTATTGTATATACATTCTCGTAACAAACACACCGAACACGCATATATATATATATATAGTGCACACACATACATATATTTATATACTTACAAATATTATATTATACTATTTATTATATAGCAAAGAGAAATTTTTAGTTTTTTTTTACGTGGATGGATGGTCTCGTATACTTATTGCAAAGCACATTGAATGAAGACGACGCCGTTTCATTCACAAATTAAATAATTAATCAATCTCTCCACCGTTTGCCCGACGGAGCTTCGCGCAACCATACAATTCATCATTAGTTGATACCAAATCTAGAAAAAAAACCTAAAAACAACTTGAAATTGAATGCCTTGTTGTTTTCACAAATCCTGTTTTGTATTGAAACATTTCTTCGTTTTGTTTGTTAATGGATCTAGCCATTATTAATCTGCGTTAGCTAGGGTTTGGTCCAGTACGGTGCTTTTTTGGGGTTGAGCCTTCTGCCTCTTGCTTGATTCGTGTTTTTTAATTAAAGGGTGGTCGTAATTCTTTTTCCGGGGAAGAATGGCGTCGAGTTTTGAAAGATGGGAAAAGGATCCATTTTTCCCTGCTGCCGAGGAAGTTCAGGAATCTGCCGACAGGTGCTGCGATTAATTTATTGTATTTTGTTTTGAGGATTCAAATTGTATGCTTTCTAGGAACGCAAACGATTCTTGTGTTGTTGTATGGTGATTGGATTTCCTTGAGCTAGCTATGTTGCCTGGTGAATTTTTGTTCTAATTTGATATTGATTTTTTTTTTTCTTTTTGTTTGAAGGATGGAATCGACGTATAGAACTTGGATTCATGCAATGAAGGATACCGATGGTGTTTGGAAGTTGGATGAGCTACGAAGAGATCTTCGAACAACACTGGGAACAACCAAGTGGCAGGTCGTTTGTCTATAAAAACATTACATGTAATGTTTTTTATTGCAATATTTAGCTCTTAGTCCTCTAAGGATATGTTTACTTTCCTTGATTAAATTTTCTTTATTTTGGAATTTACAATGTAAAGATAGATTAATCGAGCAAAAGAAACTTACCCTAAGAGGTGTAATTGTAGAGAAACTTATTTTGAATCCTGTAATGTAAAATTGGTTGCATGATTAGACCAATATTTCCCCAATCATACTCATAAATTTTGGCTTGTTAAGATTGATGGAAATGTATTGCATTAGATTCCATCTTTTTTTTTTTAAGCATATACATTATTTTGTTTTATTTTTTCCGGACCATCTTAATGGCCTTAAAAATATATGAGGATTTTTACTAATATGTGAGATTTAATGTGGAACTAAAATGGTATTGTTCAGCTCTTTTAGTATTGAAATGCGATATTGCCCAACTTTGCGCACTTGCCTATTAGGTGCTGTAAAGTTACACTTTTGTAACATGTATTTAATTATTCTGTATTGGTGTGTTTAGTTAATTAAATGGTTGGTGGTGCAGTTGGAAGAATTTGGGCAAGCTGTTAGTTCAAGTTATACTAATAGCAATTCAAATGAAGATGAAAGAGATAGGCATCGAAGTTTCATTGTCGCAATCGAGAGTCAGATAGACAAAGTCGAAAGTTCTTTAAATGAATCAGCCGCATCTCATGGCAAGCCACCGCTGCCTTGGGTGAAATTAGATGAAGGAGAGCGAAATGAGCTTGCATTGTTTCTTTCAGGACCTTCGTCTTCTCTAAATAAAGCTTCAGGAAGAATTCATAGTAGAGGCCAGGGAGCGAAAAACTCAAAAGAGGATGATCGACCTACAATAACTGAGTGTTCAAGAAGTTCGTCTCATTTGGTTGAATTGTGTCAAGTTCAAGTAGAGGGTAAGGAGAATAGTCCTCCTGGGCATCGAAGGACAGCCAGCGCGAGCGCTGACATTGAATCTTGGAAGATTGCTGTGGCGGATGGTCATTCTGCTCAGGATGTATCAAGTGTAAAACCCAATCGTCAACCACAAAAGATACCAAGTTTCTCAGGGTTTTTAAGTTCCATGGAATCCTCCATGTCTCAATTGAAGTGGTCTAAGAATGGCTATAAGAAGCTAAAGCACACAGATCGGCTCCAAGAAGCTGATTCGATGCCACCCAGATCTCAGAATTTGGCTAGAGTTAGTAATCAACTTTCCTTATTTCTCTTCAGCAATTATTTTCATCTATTTCATGAGATGTATTGTACTATAGTTTACATCATGACGTAATTTTTGATTGATTGTAAAGGGCGTTAACATATGTTATGAGAAGAGCAAGAGTTGCCTTGATGGTTGTGATGAATATTATGACAAGCAACTATATGGTTGGTCTGGGGCTATACAGAGACAGCTTCAGAGGTCCCAATATTACATGCAGTATAGTCGTTCTGTTCAGGTCTTCTGTTCCATGTTTCTCATCCTTTGCGTGCTTGGTGAGTTACTGTTTCTTACTTACCTTGATATTATATTTACCATCTAGAAAGGTCTTTCTCTGAAAATTCTCAAACTTTACATTGCGTTTAATCTTATATGATTGTCTTAAATTCCTTTATGTATGCAGTATTTCTTATTTATGACCATTGCTTGGTATGTTGTTATTTTCTATACTGTTATTACTTATTAGTTCATATATAAAATTACTTCAAACTTATGGGGTATGTTTAGAGTTCGAAATAGGTTTGACAATGTTCTTTGGCGATACTTGGCTACTGCATCATCTTAAAAAGGAAGTTTATACTAGTGTTAATCTCAATTGAATCCAATGTTATCTAAATTGCTTAACTGAAACCAACACGTTATTGCGGGATTCGTCTACTTTAATCTATTCCATGCTTATATGTTTCTTACATCTGGTAATGCTTGGTTGTGCATTAACCTATGTATTATTGTTTGTTCTTTTGATGTACGAGTTGTTATTGTAGGAAAAATGTACTGTAGATGCTGATGTAAGGTGCTAAATTTTTTTTTTGGCAATCTTTGCAATTCATGGGTATTTGTTATTGGGTGAGGGATGAATAATTTTTCAGTTTGTCATGGGCTCATGGCTGAAAGTTGAAAATGGAAAATATAGCCCAGATTTACTTGAAATACTTTGGTTTGCATTTGAATCAAGAACCATTCTATGGAAAATTCCCTTTCCTGTTAAGATGCCCCTCATAATTATCCACAGTATGAGGATTCATAAAACATGATATAACATAGTTCAGTAATCAGGGTTTCGAGATGTAAAGATCCAAAACTATCATGAATACACGATGGCTTAACCACATTTGGTTGTTGAAATTTTGCTCTACGTCTCATCTCCAAAGTTATATAAGATATTCAATTACATGATGCTTCAATCATCATATGTGAACTATATCTCATTGACTCATGGTTAGTGAATGCTAGACTTTGGCTGCATACCTATGACTTCATATCGTAGAGTACTTATGTTGGATTGGATTCTTTTTGTTTCCTAGCTGATGATACATTTTTGTGAAAAGTCTCATAGATTTGGGCTTGTGCAATTTTTCTTTAAAATTGAATAAAGATAACATTTAAACTAGCTGTGAAAAAAGCAGATAAGTCATGAACACATCTAATGCCAGAAGGTTTTTATATATACATGTGAATTACAAAATCATATTCACACATTAGGAATACAATTACCTATTTAATATCTGAATCGTCATTTAGTCAGATTGTCGACCCAATCCATGGCCTGTCAATAGATTGGCTGATCTTGAGATAGCAATAGCGAAATTATGCTCCCACGATTCATTCATTAAAATGTTGTTTATACCATTCCGTTTCATCACCTGCACGATGACTATCTCTAGTAAAAGTTAAGGCTGACAAGATGTTTTGGACTTTTGGGGTGTGTTTCTTTTAACACACAACTCCTAAATTTTACTATTTAGACTCTGCATTTTTCGAAAAATTACATTTCTTCCTCTTACAAAACATCCCATCAAATATTATTTTAATACAATATCCAAACTAAATATTCCCAAACCAAACCCAAAGAAACAAACCCATTTGTTCCTTGGCTGTGTGGACCATACGGTTTGTGGCTGTTCAGATATTGTTCCTGTAGATCTTACCTTTAGAATCTGATCAATGTCTTTGGTTTCATTATATATCTCTTCAAGAAGATTCTCTAGGTCTTGGACATTGGATTCTCATCCAATTGTCTGATTGTCCATGCCTGCACGGGTTACTGTCCATTGGAGTATCAACAGTCCATGCTTAGATTGCTGATTGAGTGGAATCTAATTTTTGAGTTTTGATCTGTCAAAATCCAATCTCAACCATTGAAGTATCAAAGTCTTAGTCTATTAGTGAGGAATCTCCACTTTAAGTTTCAGATTGCGCAGATCACTCTGGTAAACTGTTTGATTATATAAGTTCCTTCAACCCCAAGTTTAGATCTAATCATTGAAGCAACCTAATTAATTGAGACCAGTTCATTTCACATGCCCAAGATTACTTTGTTATAAACATTTCCTACAGGACCTACACCTGTAGGTTGTTAGAGACTAGAGTGTTAGAATTATTAGTCGAAACCTTGCCTAAAATGGGACATGGCCACCTATTGAGATGCGAGATAACAGGTTGGTGGGTTCCCCGGATTTAAGTGTGTAAATTTGTTGTCTCATTTTTTGAAAATCTAAGAATGAGGGATTGCAGCTTATTTGAGTAGAATAAAGTCCATATGTTGCCTGGCTTATTCTTGACCTTAATATTTTGTCCAACTCTTATTTAGCAGTTAGTTAGCAAGGGTTTCGATGATTCCTTCAATACATTTATACACTGCTTTTTTCCACAGTCTATAGTGTCTTAGACAAGTTGTACAAAGTGCAAGTCATATCCTCCGACACCCAATTATAGGTCATTTTGGTTGTAAATTTTTAATGAACAGTATCATATTCTTGTAATGTTCGTCTTTATCATCCCATGAAAGGCGGTGTTCTCAGATATTTTATGGACTTATTCACATTATTGCTATGCACTAGCCAAATCTCCAATTGTGCATTATTATTCAGTGTCTTTTTTATTTTTTTATTGGGTGTCTTTTTATTATATCAAAAAGCGTCCGTTGCCAAGGAAGTTATATGCCCTTGTTTAAAATATCCATATTCCTGTCTCCTTGTTAACATTTTCGGTATGCTACTAAATATTTCGAAAAAGTGATTTGATTGATGACAAAGAAAGAGAATTCTTTGTTAAGTTGTCCCCCTTTATGACAAAAAGAAGGTTTGTTCAAATTCTATTGAGTTTTATTCATAGTGATCATTTATCAAAGAATGACCGGTTATCAAATGATTGAACAATCGGGAGCAATTTACTTATGACATGCCCATTGCAAATTAATTTACTAAAATTCTTTATGTTACCATGTTCTCTTGCATTTTGTTTGCAGCCTTAATGTTCTAAGAATTTGCTACTTGCCAGGAATTCAATAGCTTTAAATTTGGTTTTCTTCCTTAAAGTTTGGCATGCGATCTTTCAATCTCTCAAAATTATTTCTGTTGTATTTGCTCTGAATCTACCCTGGCTCAAACTAGCAGGAGCAATTTTCTATTGCTTGATAGGATACCTTGCAGTGTCTGCTTGCAGCTGGAAATTCCTCTGTACTCTCTTGCTACATCTTGTTTTCATTGGTCCATTTCTGTTTCTTAATAATGCAGATACAGAAACTACCCTGAAAATCGAGGCAACATCACATTAAATGTGCATTAAAATCATAAATCTTCACTTGAGCATCAAGGGATCGAATTACATTTGTTTTCTTACTTGCTATCACTTCATGATGGATTTACCTTTTCCAAAACCAAACAAATAATTGCTATCCCCTGATCATAGCTTTGTTTTAATTTTTGAAAATGGAAAACGACTGTGAGTTCTAAAGTGTTGATTTGTTTACTAAAATCATGAATATTTTGTTTCTTTAGAGTAGAAATATGACAACTAATTGCGCCCAACTGCCTTCATGGGCAAATTTTCATATCCTCTCCTCCTACATGATCCTTTGTTCTCTGCAGCTTCGGGATGTGGGAAATCTGTTACTTTGTGATGTGTTTGTTAGCTTTTTTGGCATGTGGTTGATTATATGTGGCATTTTTGATTGCAACCTTCCAATAAATTCAGCATTAATGAATAAATATTTAACTTAAATTCGGTAGTATTGACTGTTAGATTTTGAATTTGATGAAATTTGATCTAGAAACTTGCGTAAATTGTTAGTGTTATTAAATCTGATTGATCATCCAAGTGGCTTTTATTTATAGATGACCATCTAGAGCTTCATGACTTGTGCTTGGCATTGGTGAAGCAAATTTGAAATCCATTAATTTTGTTTTAATTATATTATTTCTTTATATCATTTAGATAGAAATTTAGAGATCATTTATCTTCATTTTACCTCTAGCTTTGATTTTAAAAATATATTTAAAAACAGATAATTTAATATATTTGTTGTAATAATGCTTTGATCTGTGCAATGGTTACGGTAGTTATATGTCTTATTTAATTCGATGCAATTTTGAATCAGTATCCTGCCCGAAACAATGAGTCTCAAGAGGATAATTTATCAGTTCCTGATATAATTATAATTTTAATTCCCTGCAGTGCTATTTGTTTTACGCTCAATCTGAAGATGACGACAAGCTCATACCATCATTCCAATGCAGCAATTCGCCTATGTCGAAAGCTAGAGTTGCTGATTAATTCTTTTTAAGGTGTTGCCCGGTATGGATTGATGCAAAACAATGTGTATATGGTTTCGCCCACAGGTTTATCTTCAGGTAGCACCATATTATCATCGATAATATCATCAGTTAGGGCGACAACAGGTTTTGTTCTCTTGCACTGTTTTTAGTTCTAATTGTAGCCATTAGAATTCGCTGTATTGCTTCTACACTGAGAGCTCCCATTGTAACATGCTGTTGTATTATTGTCTTGTTGCCCTTTTCCATGTCGTGGGCTCGTGGCCATGTTTTTTATCCTCACCAGCAATGAGATACGCGCACCAATGGTTAGCTGTACACAGGTATACTGTAAATCTGATTCCCTGGATTTATACAATCGCATATATGATGGATAGACAAGTTAGCATCTTTGGACAATTGGCAATTCCTGTGTTGGACATTTCAAGGCTAAATAGGAAGAAATCGAAATGAATTGTAAGATGCCCGTAGCTTTACTTTTTTCTTCGGTATTTTCAGCAGTATTGTGGTTGTGGGCTTGGTTATGATGCTGAATTAAATTAATCAGTTTTATGTTGATGAAAAAAAAATAAAAAATGACATACATGCAATCTACATATGTTTTGAATGAATACAACAGATGTTGTGATGATTCTTAGAATGCGATGTTAATTTATATTGTAAATGTATATTATTTTTATATACCTTATTTGTTGAGTTCAATTACAGCAGATGTTGTATGGATCATTGATATATACTGTCAGTTGATTATGTTAACATATATAATGTGTTGTCGGTATTACGCCTATTGCTTATTTGTTGTATATTTTTTGGTTTATAGCAGCAGGTGATTCCAAGAAAAATTAAAGGTGAAAGTTCAGTGCACTCAACATGTGGATAAGAAAGAACACAAGAATATTCTACCAAAAGAAAATAGAAGCATGTTGATAAACAAACTAATTAAATAGGATTTCATACTAAAATGGGCATTAATTAATGTAAACAATTATTATATTTGTGCGCGAGATTGTGTCTGTTGTGAACTTACCAGAGGATAAAAATTTCGAAAAAGTGACATCTAGAGATATATTACATTTGTCTGTCTCTAAGAGTTTTATTTACTTTTGTATATTAATACTCGGTACAAATTAAAAAAAAATTGCAAAAATATTTTCATTAGTGTCTCGTAATATTAACAGAGAAATTTGTACAAAAAAAATTATACAAATATAAGGATATTTTTAATGTCAAATACAATAAATGTACGGAAAAAATATTTTACAAGGGTGATAATTAAAGAATAAAAGTGATAATTAGTTATAAATACAAGACATTTCTTTCAATTTTTTCGACTATTGACAGATAATATATAATTTTAATTAAAACAATATACTATGTGTTACCTAAATCATACAATAACAATTTGTTACCTAAATCATACAATAACAATTTATATTTTACAAAAATGTGTCGTATGAAAATACTTTTTGTGATGAAATCAATTTCAACATATAATATTTGGACTATTGTCACGTTCAGTCGATTCAATCCTAATCCCAGATTCCATAAACAGAAAAAATCTGAAGAAGTGGGATGTAAATATCATATTCCTCAAATACAAACATACACACACACATATATATATATATATTCTTTGTATCTCGATCCACTTGCTATCATCATATACCTATCACTTCATTCATAATTCATCAAAGTATCCATCACACAATGTAAAAATCAAGAAAAGTAAAAATCAAAATCTAAAAAAAAATTAAAAGATATGGATGGAGGAGATGATCATGAGCTGCTGGAAAAGCACAATGTGAATGTTGTAGGGTTTGGGGAGCAGCACATAGTCCTCTCCCATGGGTTTGGGTTAGATCAGTCTGTGTGGAAGTATGTGGTGCCTCACTTGGTCGACGACTTCCGCGTGATCCTCTACGACAACATGGGCGCCGGCACCACCAACCCCGACTGCTTCGACTTCCAGCGCCACTCCACCATCGAGGCCTACGCCTTCGACCTCATCACCATTTTGGACACCCTCAACATCACTTCTTGCATCTACGTCGGCCACTCCTTCTCTTGCCTCGTCGGCGCCATCGCATCCATTCATCGCCCCCAACTCTTCACTAAGTTTGTCTTCATGGGTGCATCTCCCAGGTCTTGATTTTATTTTATTTTTTTCTCATACTTGTTTGTGATGTTTTGAATGAAAAATTTTAATTTTTGAATAATATATACTCCCTCCTTTCCGTCTGCTCTAAGGGTCACATTTATCTGTAGTTATATTTGTATAATTTTTCTTCTATTAGTATTATAAGTATTTTTGCAATTTTTTCTTAATTTGTACTATATTTGATATAATAATTAATATTTAAATATCAATACGTACAAAAGGTAAACGAGACTTTAGAACTAGACAGAGTAGTATAAAAGAAAAATTATAAAGGTTTAATTTGGTGTTTTCATGTTTTTAAATTTGTCTTCATGGGTGCTTCTCCCCGGGTCTTAGTTTCCTTTTTTTTCTTGTTTGTTTGTTTGTGATGTTTTGAATGAAAAATTTAATTTCTGTATAATATATATAATTTTTTTTTTTTCTATAAGGGTTTAATTTGGTGTTTTCATGTTTCTTTATTTTTTTATATGAAATTTTTTTGAATGTAATGTTTGTTAAAAATATAAAATGGTAACAGTGAAGATCATATTTGAATAACACAAATAAATAAATGTATTTAGTACTTTGAAGCATTGGTGATATAATTAGAACGAATTTTGAGGTGTTTTCATTCTCCTCGTTATTTCTTCAATCCTTTATATTTGTGAATAAATCTTACTTAGGTTGTATTTGGTTTTGATTTGTGTTTGAGATTTAGTTTAAACATTATATTTTTAATGAAAACATAGGAACAACGTAGTAAAAAATTTAAATTTAAAATGAAAAACAAATTAAACCAACTCTTAATTATTATTTTTTTATTTAGGTAAAACTTCAAAACACCCTAAATAGTGAGATACATTAGGGTGTGTTTGTTTGGGAGATTGGATTTAATTTCCACTATTCATCCCATTTTTTTCCTCAAAAAACATCAAATCAAACACCTATTTTTTATTTTTTATATTATACTAAAAATCAATTTTACATTCAAAACATCACATCAACACCTATTTATATCACATCATACAACTATTCAAATTCAAAATTTTTACTATTCAAATCTCAATTCAAAATCCAAACCACAAACAAACACACCCCTCTAAATGATCTTCATGGGAAAGGAAAAAAAAAGAATGAAATATACCCTTTGTATTTTCTCTCCTTCTCTTTTTTGTATTCTTTTTATTTATTTATTTATTTATTTTTGCATTAGCTAGTTTGAAGATAATCGATTTGTTCTTTTATTATTTCAAATAAAAATTAACACTATTTCTTTGACATAGTTTTCAATAAAAATATACTATTTTTCTCTCGCAAAATATCATATCAAATATTATTTAAACAAAATCTCAAATCTAACATCCCAATTGTAATGTACACCTACTAATATGAATGAAGCATGTTCCCTTTGAAGGTACTTAAACGATGTTGACTACAATGGAGGTTTCACCTCGGAAGAACTCGAGCAAATTTTTTCAGCCATGAGAGACAACTACAAGGCTTGGTGCACCGGGTTCGCGTCATTAGCCGTGGGAGGCGATTTCAACTCGTGGGCCGTTCAAGAATTCAGCCGGACAATGTTCAACATGAGACCCGACATAGCCTTGTGCGTGGCTCAAACGATATTCAAGTGCGACCTTAGATCAATGCTCGGGATGGTCACCGTGCCTTGCCACATTTTGCATAGCCGCAAGGACTTAGCCATCCCTTTTGAGGTATCGGAGTACCTCCACCGCCACCTTGGCGGCAAGTCCGTGGTGGAGATCATGGACACCGAAGGCCACCTACCTCAACTTAGCTCGCCGGATATTGCCATCCCCATGTTGCTTAGGCACATCCGGCAGAACATCGCGAGCTAGTTAGTTCATAGGGTTTATCACGAAGAAATGAGTGTACTATGAACACAATTTATGTATGTACATGAATAATTTGATATAAGTATTGTTCGGGTGCATTTAGTAATGACAATAGATTAGGTATGAATTCAATACAGCAAGACCAAAAAAATTACCTTAATATATGAATCAAACTGAACTTTTATATATTGACCTAACTTGAGACCAGCCAGGAACTTGCAAGGATCAAATATCAATTAAACTAGTATAAGAAGAATGGTGAAAACAAAGAACATATGATATGGTAACCAATTCCATCCGATTGATTTACTTGTCTGATTTATTACACGTGTGATTCAATTACTTTATAACAAAATTCACATTGGTCTTTTTTTTGTTTTTTTTTTAATTTTTAATTTTATTTTTTGGTACAAGAATAATCTTCTGATGATGGTATTTAATGAAAGCAAAATTGTAATATGAGACTAGTTTCCGTGTCTATTGAGAGAAAAATCAGTGTATTTCCGGTCAATGCATGAAAACCCGCAGATAATACATATTTTCAAATAATACTCATTTATTGTGTTATTTGAAAATATATATATATTGTCAATTATATTTATAGAATGTGTTCTCTATCATCATATTATATGCTGAGATCAATAGATTGTATTTGATTTAAAAAAAAAAAATACACTAAATACGAGGGCGGTAGGACGAGCAATTGCTCAGGCCCCTAAGTACTAGAATACCCATATTTGAAAATATTATAAATTATTGTTTTTATTAAATTATAAAATAAAAGTTTAATTTTTAGTTTATATTTTTTCTTCTTCATAATTATCCAATTTAATTTTAAAATTAAATTTTAAATTCTAATCAATACTTTTTTCTATCTCTTTCTTTTCATGACTAAATGAATCATATGTGACAGACAACACTTAGAGATATTGAAAATTTGAACTAATGACCTCGTGATCAAATTAAAAGCTCATCTACATATGGCTATATCATCCCTTATCGGACTAATCTTACTACCTTTGAGCTCACAATCTCAAATGCCATGTAAAGTGTCCGGAACTTTGCAAAGTCGATATCACTAATTAAAAGTTAAAAAAAAAAAATCACTAATGAGACTCGATACATAGTCAAAATTGTGTTACAAAAAGGTTCATCCATAATTGTGGAGCATTATATTCTTTCAGTGATAGTTCATTATCATAATACAAACCAACTTTGGTAATAAAAATTTGAAGTTGGTCATGATATTGGAATTTGAAAAACCTTTTAATGTTATCAACCAAATTCAAGACATATAAAAGTGTGCATTTGGAGACCATTTCCAACATCAAGTCACAAACCATATTTTTCTAGTGAAATTCATTCTTTTTTAAAATTTTTCTATGAACAAAATATCATATATGAATCATAATTCAAATATATATATATATATATACATTATAATTACCAACCAAACACATACAAGAAATTATTATAACTCATTATTGTGGATGATAATAATTTGTAGCTCTTTTGTAACAGTGGATTTTTTCGATCGAATCTCTTAATCCTGTGGTTTTTCTTTCTATCTGGAGGGTTTTTTCATGTAAAAATTATAGTGTTATCTTGTTATTTTCTTTGCCCATTTTAATAATAGGGAGAAGTCTTGTTACTAGCAAATTTATCGAAGCTTTTCCTAAATCTATATATTGATGGTTCCTACCAATAAAAAATATACTGATTTTCCTTCCATACCTGATAGGGCTTTTCTTAATTAGTGTTATGGAATTTGTTTTTCGTTTTTTCAAAAATCGAGACGAGAATATAAGAATGTAATTTTTACTGTAATTATTTGTTAGTGTTGATAGAGCTGACAAAAATAGATTCGAAAATTTTCGGGCCATGCTTAACCCAACACTCTAATGAAGAGGGTTGTGCCCGAGCCCACTAAGGTTGGACTATGCCCAACCCCGATTATTTTTACAAATTAAGTATACCAAATATCTATTTTTTTATTTTTTATTTTTATGTTATATTAAACATTAAATTTAAATTTAAAATATCACCTTAAACCCATATTTATATTTATATAGCATCAAACATTTATTTAAATTCAAAATTTTATTATTAAAAAGTCAAACTCAATTTTTTTTACTTAACTCATTGGATTAAATTAATAATCTTACTTAATTGATTTCTCACAAAAATTTATCTAGGGAATTTATGGTGCATTTGGTTACCGGTTAGATTATTGAAATAGAAGTTGAGTTGATAATGATTTATTTAATTAATATTTAATTTATGATATAATATATATAAGATTAAAAAAAATTAAAAATATATGTTTAATTATTTTAATAATTATATTTTAATAGAATATATACCATATGAATATCATTTTGTAGACAATAAAATTTTATATACTAATGCAAATAACTAAAAATTATATATATATATATTTATAATTAATATAAATTAATTTACAAATAAATTAGGAGTTTTAAATTTATATAAATATTATTTATCGATGAAAGAGATATAAATAAAAAATTTAAATGAATTTTGAGTAGGTTCTTATAATTGTAATATTTTGAAAAAAAAAAGTTGAGAGAATAGTGCAGCGAACGCAAGTGTGTTTGTTTGAGGATTTGAATTTTGGTTTGGAATTTAAATAGTAAGAATATTAAATTTGAATAATTGTATTATGTGGTATAAATAAGTATTGATGTGATTTTTTTTAAAATAAAATTATTTTTTAGTATAATATGAAAAATAAAAAGTACGTGTTTGATTCCAAATTTTTGGAAAAAAAAAATTAATGAAGAGTAGAAATTTGAAAAAAATTAATAAGAGAAACACCCTTAATTATTCTTTTGCATTTACTCACTTTCATTCGATGTAACCTTTCCTTTCAATCACATTTGACTACCAAACTTTATCAAGATTCTTTAGTAATTAGGTAGCAATATTAAATAAAATTTATTACTTCATAAATATAATTAATTCTGCCATATCATGTAACTTATCCTTACCAAAAAAAAAAAATATTTTATTTTACTTTTGAAGTTTATTTTATTTTTTTAAAATTGATACTATTTTCATTTGCTATAAAAATCAAGGAAACATCTGTGCAAAGGCATAGAAATATGGCAAAATCTGAATACACAAAGTTAGCAATCTATGTGTTGTTCTTTGCAAGCTTGCTATATTGTGATGCTTGTTTTTGGGGCGATTACGAGGTGTTTATCGACATCGATATTGAAAATCATACAGGTTTAAGCTATCATTGCACGGCGACGGGTAAAGATTTGGGGTATCATACCGAATCATTCCGTTGGACAATGTGCAATCGTGTTATTCTTCCTACCAAATCCTCTTGCAATTTTTGGTGGGGCGCGAAGCAACAAGCTTTTCGAGTTTTTAGTACGAAATGGTACAAGAAAAGATGTCAAGCGAGCAATTGCGTATGGCACGTAAAAGAAGATGGATTTTATTTAGCGGGTAGGCATGGTGACGTGAAAATGTATGATTGGATGTGATTAACCTTAAGGTATCGAGCTAATAATAGTTCGTTATCTTTGTCTTAGTTACCCACAGAGTTGGCGATCGAGTAGTTGTTTTGGTTTTAAAAAACAAATTTCATGAACAATGTCGTTTCTTCGTTCCTTAATAGATGATTTAAGTTTTGTTCAAGTTTGTATGAAAGAAATGAAATATAAGAGAAGGCTTGATTTAAATGCCCACATTTTAGATTTAGATAAGAATATGTAGTGAAAAATAAAAAATGAAATGACTACATCTAAGATTGTTGATCTTTTTCGACTAGGATGATCTATGTAGGATGATCGAGTAAGATATTTTCACTAATAGTTTTAGGATGTAATTTTTTTTAAAAAAAAATAATCATCAAATATATATAGAAGTGTAAGCCACCGGTACTTTCAGTCTCTGACTTAAGCTTCATAATATATCATTTTTCTCTCGATCCACCCTTGTAAAACACAAATTAAATCGAAAATATAGACAAGAAAAAAATTAAAAAGAAATTTTTTTAATAGTAGGGCATCTAATAGATGGCTGGATGAAGTAAAATACATATTGTTCGACATATTTGTTGTTCATACTCAAAACATTCTCATCAAACACACAAAATTATGAATTAAGTCATGGAACAATTCTGTGAGCTTTCATTTTTTCGATGATGGAAAGCAACGACTTCTCGGTGTTCCTGAATCCAAAAAATCCGTGCTCTTTGCTCTTATTCATGTTGTCCAACATGCACTCCCCTCCGAACATCAAGTCCACGAACCAAAATGTTGCTACCTGTTCACGAATAAGTACGAGTGAATGAACTAGTTAGTGTTCCACAATGATGGAAGATGCCGATAATATAAAACAATCGACTCATTTCTGTAAAATTAAACAAGTTGCACGATGATCTAAGTAGCCGCAAGATTTTCATCAAGATCATTCATGTAGCTAACAAATCACTATTTAAATACAAAAGGGTTTATTTGTCCAAGATTTGTTTCGATACGATTTCTAATATATATATATATATATTTCATTTTGTTACATAAACCAATATTTAATATAAAATATTATTTTTTATATTATCGACACGATTCTCTATATATTACATTAAAAAAAAATAAAAAAAATCTTCAAATCAAACACTAAACAACAAACCCAAATACAAATCAAAACACACTCTATGTATCCAAATTTCACTGAAGTTTTTATTATTATACATAATATCAATCATAATATTTTTTTATGACTATTCATTTTGAGATAATCTTTAATTTTTTTTACTATATAATCTTTACTATCATTCATAATTGAACTAGCTTAATGCATAATTTCTAGCGTCTAAACAATATGTTATGTTAAAAAAAAAAAAAAATTATTTTTATTTAAAAAACATACACATATAGACAACGGGTGTATTTATTTTATAGGATGCGATTATAATTATTATAATTAGTTAAGTATTTATGTAATCTTTGAGAGTAATTAGTAGTATAATATTTCTTTACTTGATTAAATATAAAATTAATAGACTAGAGCTAGCATTTTTAGCACCAAAAATATATATTTTTAATCGGAAATTTCAATCGACTAAATAAATAAATAATTATGTTAAGCAAAATAATATTATCCAATTTAATCACCTAAATGAACCAACCGAAAGTAAACAAACCTATTTCCGAGTCATATTTACAACCTACAATTATTAAAATTATCTCGCTAGATAATTCATATACGCAAATTATTCAATTTCCGACAACTATATATATTAGGGGTGGAAATTCGGACCGGTCTAATTTTTCATGCTGGCCCAGCCCGACCCAGTTTGGAAGTGGATCGGAACCCACAACCACATTCACTACTAGAAAAAAAGTTGATAATTGCGGAAATTTGTCGTAAATTTTAATTCGTGACAATTAAAAGTCACGGAAAGTAATTTCGTGACAAATTTATATCACAACTTTTTGCTTTGACTATTCCGTAAGTAATATTTGCAGAAAAAGCTACAAACAACTTTCCGTGACTATTTAAAGTAACGGCTTATGTAACGAAAATGTCCAAGATATTTCTATTCCGTGTCTTTTGACTATTTCGTCACAAAAATTGTCACGAAATTTGTTCTTGACTATTTTAAGTTGCGGAAAAAATAACCAAAATATTTACAACATTTTAAATTATTACAGATATTGTCATAATATAAAACCGTGACTTTTTCTACCGCAACTATAGCCTAATTTTCTGGCAGTAATTTACATTGTATAAGAATTTTATCATCAGCTCATAACTAATTTGTGCTACTATTTCATTAGTTAATATATATATATATATTAAATACTGAATTTAATTATAATAAATTGGGTCAGGCTAGACACAACTTGGCTTTCATAGGCCCGGGCATGGCCCAATTTATTAATGTGCAGGTCAGACATGGTCCGAAAATTTTTGGGCCTACTTTTAAAAATCGAAGCACAATTTTTTATATTTTATTGTAGTAAACACACGCTAAATATAATGTAGCACATTACCTCGTCCAAGTTGGTCGCGACGAGGTCATTTTTCTTCACAATCTCATCCCAAACCCGACCTTTGTCTTTCATCCTCTCCGACAAGCTTACATACTCTTCATTTTCATCGAATTCCTCGGACTCTAACTGGAACTTATCCGCCAAAACCCTCCACAGATGCTTCCACTTGAATAAATCCCCATTGCTGCAGTTAAATGCATTGTTCTTCCCGTTGAGGTCGAGGCTGCACCAAATCTGCTGCTCGGCAATCAGGCCGGCATCAGATGCCACCGAGTAGCAATTCCAGGCAGCCTTCGTGCCCGGAAATTTGAACCGACTGTTTTCATGTTTGCAGATTGCGGCGTATATGCAGAGGCTGCCTATTAGATTCATCTTGCTGTGCGGGGAGAACCCGAATATCGCGGCCGGTCTGTGTACCGACCATGTTAAGCCTAGAAATAGTAAAAAGTTGAATAAAAAGTAAGTATTTAAGGTGAAATAAAGGTTTTGATTGTATGTGTAATAATATGATTGTAGTTTTAAGTAAAAATTAAAAGATATTTTGGTATTAATGTATAGTTAATTTTTCTAAGAATAAGAAACTGAAAGAGTATAAAAGTACATTCAATTGGTAAGGAGAAAATACTTAAAATAGAAAAAGTATTTTTGAATTAATTGCTTTAAATAGAAAATAGAATCTTAATGTAATATATATATATATATATATTTAAAAAGGCAAAACAGAATTGAGAACTTAAGAGACTGTCTTTGAAGCTGTAACAAATGTGCACATAAAAATAGTTCAATTCAACAAAACTTAAAAGGATTATTCGGTAAACCCCCCGGTCGAACCTAATACCCTGCAAATCAGGCCCGACGGAAAAGATACACTAGGTGAATCATGTGTGGCAGGTGAACCTGAGGCGTCACAAGTCCAACCCCTACACCACCAGGTCATCCCTTACGGAACAAGATTATTCACCCTTAATTTGGTTGTTGTTAGTTGCAGTTACTTGGAAGGATTGGACTATAATACCTAGCTTATTTTTATGAATTAAATAATTATGAGATTAATTAATATGATATTTAATTTGTTTGATTAAATATAAGATAAATAAATTTTAGTATAAATATTAGTTGGACAAATTAATCCTACTCATCTAGGTAGGATTAATTATCCTTAATAAGCGTATTAGTGTAGCGGACATTGATCAAGGACTTTAATCCATTATAGTAAATATGTAATTAGGGTGTATAAAATAATATTATAAACTCTAATCATTCAAAGTAAATACACACTTGACTCTCGACGCCTCGGGTCACCTGCCATACTTGGTTCGCAAAAAGTACAGTACAATATAATTTTATAGTATGAAAAATCAATTTATAAAATCGAAAAAAAATACAAAATTATGGATTTCTCTTTGTTTAATATTTTGATTTGAATTTTTTTTTTAATGTAAAATATAAAGAATATTGTTGGTAATATAAAAAATAATATTTTATATTGAATGTTTACTTTTATAAGAAGATAAAATATATATTGAAATGGTGTGTAAAAAAAAACTTAGGGGGCAAACAAACCCTATATTCAAATAAAGAAAAATTGCAAAATTTTGGACCTCGCTTCTTCTTACAAAACTCGAAGACAATGTCTTCGAGCGCGTAATAAAAATTCGGAGCGTCAAGCCTCGCCACATCCTCGACAAAAGGAGTCTCGTGCGGCCTTATTTTCCCGAAAGCTTCAAATGGCCCAATGTAGTGTTTATGCCCTGTCTGAATGCAAACATGCTCTAAATTTCGAGCATTTCGCGCCACGGCGCCGAGCACATTTCGCAACATTGCACTGTTCACTTCACAGCACTCAGCCTCCGTCGACCCGTTGGCCCACGTGACCCAGAAAATGTGCGTCACGTCGGTCAGGGCCGACAGCTTCGCATTGGCGTCGCCGGAATCGGAGACGTCGCACTGGATGTACTCTGCATCATTTTTCCAGGCCGGATTGGGGCGGCGCGCGACGCCGTAGACCTTCCAAGGCCCGCCGGGAGTGTTTTCAGCCGGCAGGATTCCGGCGAGGGCATTGCCGACTATTCCGGTGACGCCAATTATTAGGGCGACATGGCCGGAAGGGGTCGCTGGAGCAGAAACTCCGGCGGGAGTCTTGTTGGTCCAACACCAGGTCATTTGGTAGGCTGGTTTTGATGATCTGTCAAAGTGTAGTGATTGATTTGATTTGTTGATTTATATATATGGATAAAATTTGTAGCAAGTTATTGTGGAGTTTTTAAGGATGTGTTGAGAAAAATAATGAATTGGGGCTGCCATTTATAGCACGAGGCGCACGTTTTTTTGTACCTTATTGAAGATCTGCCGTTGTAAACATTTTTCTTTTTAAATTAAGGGTCTACGCACGTGTTGCACGTGCGCAACCTCATGCTCCATTACTTTTTCTCATTGATCGAGATGGCAATTCGGGCTGGCTCCGGGCCAGGCCGGGCCAGGGTTGGCCAGGTATGGCCAGGGTTGATTGGTCAAATCAAAACTATATTGATTTGACTCAGCTAGCACGCTAATCAAAACGAATATTCATATCTAACTAATCAAATTTTAGACAGCAGTTACTGTGCCGAATCCATTCAACACGGTGTTAAAACACATTGTAAAGAACTAGTCAACATAAATAATACATATTGTGTTAAATAAGATCACGTAGTTGTGTTGCATGAATGCATTACTTGTTTTGAGTTTAATTATACAATATACTATGTTTTACTGTGTCATGTGCTTTATATTTAATATTAATATAATACAAATACAACACAAACTAACAAAATATTATATAGTACTCCATCCGTCCAATAGTAAGCTTTTCATTTGACTTTTGTACGCGAATTAAGGTAAATTAATATTTTATAGATATATACTACAGTAAAATAGTGTAATATCTATTTTATTATTGACATTAAAGTAAAAATAATATGAAAAATAAAAAATAAGGGTATTTTGGTATTTATATTATAGTTATTTTTTGTAAAAAGGAAATGAATTTTTTTGATTTGAACGTACTAAAATGGTAAAATGAAAAGTTCACTCTTGAACGGTGAAAATATCATACAACACATAATATATAGACAAACAATACATAATATATGTGCTGCCAACAAATTGTAAAGAGAAACTCAACACAATCTATAAATACAAACAATAAATTCTATGTAAATTAACAACACATAGTTGTGTTGTATGAATGCATTAGCTATTTGTATTGAATTCAACTAAAAGTTATATTGTCTTTAACTATAAAATATGATGATCGTTCTATGTTAATATAATACAAATACAACATATAAACATGAATTATTTTTTATGTTCACATTCATTATTAGTTAACTTTGTTGTTATTATTGTATCTTATTTTTATAGAATTTTATTAGTAATGTTTGCATATACGGATGGTCAAACAAGTTAAGACGTTACCTCGACGGATTATGCATATTCATAATCTTCACATCAGTTGTAGTGAAGACACTATTTATTCTCAACGGCCAAAATATCCCTTGAGTTATATGAAAGATCCATCATTTTTAGATGAAAATGACCCCATTGGATATATTCCAACATAAGAAAGAGGTAATGAAAATGAGGATGATGATAAGACAACAAATGGATCTGATTCGAATGGAAAGTGATGGTTTTTAATTCTAAGAATTACAAACTTAATATGTTTAATTATATTGTATTACTTTTTCTACTTACTACCATAAATATTGTTGTTTGGTTACGTGTAAGGTGTGATCATTTGAGAAATTAATTTTATTTATAATATTGATATGTATTAGTTCTGGTAAAAATTTCTTGGGGAATTGATGACTCTAAATATGAGCATATTTTTAGTTTGAAAAAACTGTGTATACTCGAATTTCTGTATAAAAACCATCATAATAACCCGTTAATGGCATACATTATTGATCTATATCGCTTGGCATGATCCAGATTTCGTTGTTGAGATTATTAACGATTTTTGCCCTTTTAAGTGGTAGTCTGGTGCCAGAAAAGCTAAGGCATGCGCCACAAGCGATAACCTCCTCCGCTCGCAAGCGCCCAGAATATTTACTGAAAAAGACTAAGGCACGAGAGGCAAGCGGTAGCTTCCACCGCTCACAAGCGATAGCCCCTTCCGCTTGCAAGCGACAACCCAGATACCCACCGCTGCAGAATGTCACCAGATTTCGACTAAGTGTTCCAAACGCAGCGGTTCAACCATTTCATTTCCATCCAGCACAAGCGAGCCTAGCTACGCTGATGTCCTCAAGCTCTCTGGCAAGCGAGGAAGATCTGAGCCTTTACAATTCAATGCAAGTGAAGTGGACACCCTGGGAGTTATGGCCAGCAACTACTTCAACAGAATAACTACCAATAACCGTCTAACTGCCCAGCGGTTGAAACTGCCCAGCAACTACTTGCAACTGTCCCAATTCACCTACTATAAATAGGACCAGATATCTCTATGTACATAACTTCGATCTTGGAGTACTTTTAGCAATTACTTTCGGCAGTCCAGTCGTCTTCCTGTCTCCGAGAGCTCCAACCCTGTAAGGGAGTTCTCCACTAGAATGGCCAAGGGAGTACGGATTTCCCTCCTCCATTGGCCAAGTCTTTACCCTTTTCTTATATTAGATTACTGCTTTCAATTACAGCTTTGTAGTTCTAGTCTTTCCAGCTTTAGTAGTAATTAATGAAATATCATTCAGTTTTTCATCCTCATTTTCTCCACAGTTTATCCATACTTATATAAATTTTGAATTTAAAGAACTTCATTTCACTGGTTTAGAGCATGAGAAGAATTGATTAATCCGAGTCTTGTTTTGCGCCAAAAGCGGTTTCAAGGTAGTTCAATGTAGTTAAGTACGCGGGAGCCTTGTCGACCTGCTCAACTACTGTTCTGAATTCAATTTTGATTAAAAATAGGTAACAGAAGGGTAAAACCACTAATGAGGCAAAAGTTGGGATAATTAATGGGGTATAGACGGTGGTCTATTAGGTCACAGAGATTCCTAGTGACAGTAGGGTTTCTTTCTTATAATATTCCAATTCTGGGTGTCATTGAAGTCTTGTTGTAAATCTCTTAAGGTCAAATTCCAGTGTTATGAATTCTTTACATTTCAGTTTATATAATTACATCATCTCTTTCTAACAGTTTCCGTAATATACATATATTTTCGTTAACACACTTACACAATTCGCTCATTACATTCAGGGGAATCTATCCATTTAGTAACGCACAAGTCAGACACAACACCTCTCATTCACTCTTTGTCGCTTACCTATATATATATCTATATAACAATTGTGACATTCGCTCAAGTCCTGTTCACTCGGTAATCGCTAATCATTCATGTCCCGCTCACTCGATCTCCACTTTCGCTCATGCCCTGATCATCTGGTTACCGCTGACACTTCATTTTATCCCCTCGCTTCGCTCGCTTCCTCTCATCCCCTTTTACCGCTTTATTTACCGCTTTCAATAGGCTAGAAGTTTTGATCCGCTGCAAAGCGGAGCCTTTCCTACAGTTTCCATTGCTTTTTTTTAAGATCTTCACCTTTTGAAATTCATGACTTCAAATCTTTTTGTTCGACCCGGAAACTCACCAGTAAAAAGAATATAAATAATTGTGATAACCACTCAGGGTCTACAACCACAAAATTTATTATATCTGATCGCTTTTCTATAAACCTTCACTCACTGATTTTCGAATATAAATTCTCTGTGAACTTGTACAAATTACAAACCACAAATTTTAGTAAGCTTTTCATTTGACTTTTGTACGCGAATTAAGGTAAATTAATATTTTATAGATATATACTATAGTAAAATAGTGTAATATCTATTTTATTATTGACATTAAAGTAAAAGTAAAATAGTGTAATATCTATTTTAATTAAGGTAAATTAATATTTTATAGATATATACTATAGTAAAATAGTGTAATATCTATTTGAGTAAAATCAATATGATTCTTATTTGACCAATCAATATATGTTTATAAAGAAAGTAACACAAATTAACATAATCTATAACATATTATATAATTATATGTAGCACAATATATGATTTTAACATAATAAACAATTTATACTATACAATACAATACATAACAAACATTGATTGTTAATACAATAGATAACATAGCACATTATATAATTTTATTGACACATAACGATACATTTTATGATCACACAAACCATATTAAATTTGATTGTCATTTTATTTGACATATTGCCCTATATCATGGATTAGACTATAGATATTTTCAGTAAGTCTGTTTTTCTATCCTGCTTCGGATTGCTCTTATAGAAACTCAATCGATATGAGATACCAACTTGAATTTGATGAAGTGTTAGTTGTATTATTATTACTATTATAGGTCAAAATTCATCTTGAATTTATATTTATATTTATATTTGTATACACTTAATTTGAGATAATGGAATTTATAATTTTCTCCTCAAAATTCTACAGTGAATATAATCAATTAATTTGGCAAATATGATCAAGATTGCAATCAGTTTCCTTATTTTATCATCCAATAAAAAATTATTGTTAACTAACAATATATATATTTTTTCAAATAGTTATTGGATATATTTTATATAATAAACCATATGTTTTTATACAAATTATTGCTTGTTATTTGCTGGCGTAGTTTGCAAGTTATTGCGCTTGGCTTAATATTTACTCATTATACACTCAAAAATAACTATTTTATGTTCCCTCATAAAAATAAATACATAAATAAAAAGAACATAACTTTTAATTTGTATTTTTTTTTTGTGGACAAAGAGGTTTTGGTTTTTTTGTTTTTTTATATATATAGTAGAATTGTAATTAGATGTTGAATAGTAATAGATACGATGTTTTATATACTCTTTTCGTCCGTCAAATTTATTCTTTTTGTTTTTTCATCCGTTAGTTAAACGCCATTAATATATTGGGTAAACTGTTTTTTTAGTCTCATAACTGGATCCTTATCATTTTAGTCCCGTAAGTGAAGTTTGTAGCAAACTAGTCCCATAAGTGAAAAATTTTCGCTTTTTTAGTCCTCCGGCGCCGGAGACGCCCGCGTGGCTCGCCGGAGGTGATGTGTCCACTAGAGCAGCGACACCTGGCGGACACGTGGATTTTTTTTTTTCATTTTTTTAATTTTTTTAAAAACTTACTTTTAATTTTATTTGTATTTTTTAATTTTTTTTATTTGGTCTAATTAAAAAAAAATAAAAATAATTAAAAAAATGAAAAAAAAATAAATTCATGTGTCCGCCAGGTGTCGCTGACCTGGCGAACACGTCACCTCCGGCGAGCCACGCGGGCGTCTTCGGTGGCGGAGGACTAAAACAACGAAAATTTTTCACTTATGGGACTAGTTTGCGACAGGCTCCACTTACTGGACTAAAATGATAAGGGGGTCCACGGGACTAAAAAAACAGTTTATCCTAATATATTTGGAAAATTCAAGAAATCTATATTTAATTAAGGGTAAACTGTTTTTTTAGTCCCGTAACTAGACTCTTTTATCATTTTAGTCTCGTAACTTGAGGTTGTCTTAAAATAGTCCCGTAAATAAAAAATTTTCTCAATATAGTCCTCAATACCTATGTGGCATATGCGTAGCATGCTGGCGGACACGTGCCGGCCAAATCAGTGCTACGTGGTTGACACGTGTCCGCCACGTGGATAATTTTATTTTTTTAAATAAAAATAAATTAAAATTAGAATTAAAAATATAAATATAAAAATTAAAATTTAAAAAAATAAAAATAAAAATTATCCACATATCCGTCACGTCAGCGCCATGTGGATAATTTATATTTTTTTAATTTTATTTTTTAAAATAAAAATAAATTAAAAATATAAAAAATAAAATTAAAAAATATAAAAGTTTAAAATTAAAAAAAATTATTCACATATCCGTAAGGTCAGCGCCACATAGCCCATTTATATTTTTTATATTAAAAATTAAAAATAAAATATAAAAATATAATTAACAAATATACAAATGAATATATAAATTATTAAAGATCACCTGGCTTGACGGATATACAAATATTTTTTATTTTTTATTTTTATTTTTAATTTTAATTTTTAAATTTTATATTTATATTTATAATTTTTTATATTTAAAAAAATTAAAAAAATAAGAATTATCCATGTGTCAGCCATGTGAGGCTGATTTGGCCGACACGTATCCGTCACCATGCCACGAAAGCATTGTGGATTAAATTGAGAAAATTTTCACTTACGAGACTATTTTAAGACACCCTTCAATTACGAGACTAAAATGATAAAGGGTTCAGTTACAAGACTAAAAAAATCAGTTTATCCTTTAATTATTACCGTTCATTCAACGTTTATTTATTACAAATGCTATTAACTTTATTACATTCTATCTTTTCATTCATTTTAATTACTAATTAAATTTTAAAAAATATCCAAACTAATTTTTACTTTTTCTATTTTTGTAATAAAATATTCATATTCTTAATTTTCATTCGAGTGCAAATGACTCAATACGACGGATGGTGAAAGTATATAATAATAATAATAATAATAACACTCAAATCCCAAACAATCCGAATATATAGTAAAATAAATAAATAAATACATAAAAGTGTTTGGAAACCACCTATATTTAGGATTTATTAGTTAGAAGACCAAGAAAAACTCAAAAATGGGACCCATTGTAATAACTATTTGCAACAAGAAGGCAATCTGTCTGCTCCACGAAAAAGACCCACAACCTTAAAATTCGATTCTTTATTACAGATGGAGCAAACTGTTGTTACATCTTTTTTTGTGCAAATCTAAGTTCCACATCAGAAGTTGCGGAGAAAATTTAACACTTTATAAGTCTCGAGTGAATTCCATTAATACGAGGCCTTTTGAGGATATCAAAAAACAAATCCGTGCGGGCTCAACTCAAAGCGGACAATATCATACTAGTGTTGGGTTGACCCAGTCCCAACAGTGGTATCAGAGTCCGGTTAAACGGTGAAGTGGACCATTGGTTGTGGTGGTGGGCTCGCCATTGTGACCTGCGGACGTGCCTTGTGTCCGTGCGGACAATATCATAGTAGTGTTGAGTTGACCCAATCCCAACATTTATCCGAATTACTTTTTCTTGTTCATCAAAAAAATGACACCAAAATAGCATATAAAAATATACATTTATCAATTTTCATTCATGCAACTCATCAAAAAATAAAATCCATCTTGGTATTAATCATAGATAGATAATTCAGCCATGCCCAAATTGCTGATGGATTTCCTCCATGAGAAGCAAGAACCATTTTCCATGGATCAATACCTTCTTGAAAGAGGCCTAATTCCTTTTATGTGTAATAATTCTTCCAAACCCTCGAAGAGATCATCGATCCGAAGGCCAAAATCTGTCCCAAACTGCACTGAATTTGTCAAGGCAGCGGTTGGAAGAGTGGTGGAGATAATCAATGGTGATCGAAGAAACAGATCGTGCGATGAAACCTGTGATGATCGGTATTTGTCAAAAATTGGCACCACTTTGGAAGAAGAGGTAATCGGTGTTTGATTGATGATAAGTTTGTTAATTAGGATTAGGATTAGGATTAGGATTGGGATTGGAAATTAAATGTGATCCATTGATGGATCTTGATAGGTTGATGAAGACAAGAAGTTGGAGGAATCTGTCAAATGTTTCGATAAACAGCTCAGCCATGTGTATGTTCTTGATGCTACCGAATCCGGAAAAGGGTCGCCTCTTTACCATGGTAAGTTATCCCTCGCAACCTTATATATTGACCCTATTCTTTTCGAGACCCTTTATTTTTTACTATGCTATTTTTTATTTTATTTTTATAAAAAAGTATATTATTTATTCCCGTTAATATTACATGCAATAAATATTTAAGCATAAAATATAAACATAGATACAAACCATATACATAAAAACTGAAATATATTATCATTAGGTCAGCATTTAGTATGTTTAAACTTAAGACAACATATATATAAAAAAATAAAATTTAATTGATTTCGTAACAACCTTCTAGTATTATGAAACCCAACATAATATTTATAGACAATATTACATAATAGTACTATTTTGGTCCTAATTGATTTGTTAGTTCTTGTTTAATTTTTTAGGTGGTGCAATTTGGAGAGTTTTTTTTTTTTTGGGTTATAATTTCATGAATTGTATTAATAAGAATAAAAGAAATTAAGTTTTTTTTTTTTGGGTTATAATTTCATGAATTGTATTAATAAGAATAAAGAAATTAAGTTTTTTTTTTAGGTTATAATTTCATGAATTGTATTAATAAGAATAAAAGAAATTAAGTATTTCCTTCTCCTGGACAAAAAGTATCCATTTAAATTTTTATAATAGATTGATAAATAATAATATTTTATTAGTCGGTGAAAATATATAAAATGATTTTAATATTTTTGTCATTTATATTTATGTTATTTTAATATTAAATTACTGTTATTCTTATTATAATAGAAAAATAAATAGTTTTTAGTTAAAATAATTATAGAGAAAGAGTATAGAACAAAGAAAAATACAAATATATTAGGGCTTCTCAAAATTAAAATAATATCAAACAAATTGGAACTTATAATATTAAATATATCAATCTTAAACATGCTTAACAAATATAAATCAACTTAATTAAAATTATAGTATCTTACATGTTGGATTCACTCAAAACTCTTTTTTTTTTTTTTTCTTCTCGATAAACAAATATATAGTATCTATATTTAAAATTGTCTATTTTTTTTTTATAAATTAATTTTTATTAATCATGAATAAAAGAAAAAATGTAAAAAAATATAATTTATACACAATTATAACTCTTTTTTTTTAATTGTCACCATAGCAAAATATATCATCTACATGTCACAATTTTACTATTTTAGTACATTGACTATGCGTGAATTTCTATCTCAGTCGCAGTGACTTGCACTTTATGACACTCTAGCAAAATATATCATCTACGTGTCACAATTTCACTATTTTAGTACATTAACTATGCGTGAATTTTTATCTTAGTTACAGTGACTTGCACTTCATCACACTCTAGCAAAATATACCATGTTCTTGTGACAATTTTACTAACAATATATTCTACATGTCACAATTTTGTTAAAAGTATCATGTATGCGTCATGTGTTATTTAATGACAACAATGCATGGATTTGACAAGTTGTTAAACTCACGCGCGCTTAATGTACCGAATTAGTGAAATTGTGACACTTGCAAAATATATTTTGTTAGTATAACAATGAAAAAATAAAAATGATAATTAAACCTATGTATGAGATATTTTTTGCAATATTCCCATGAATAAATAAATATATATTTTTTATTAAATTATACTACCTTCGTTAGGCTCTAAGGGTCTCATTTACTTTTTGCGTGTTGATATTTGAATATTAATTATTATATCAAAACATAATAAAAATTAAGAAAAAATTGCAAAAATACTTTCATTATTGTTTTATAATACTAACAGAAGAATATTTGTACAAAAAATTATACAAATATAAAAATATTTTTAATGTTAAATACAATAATGCAAAAGTTAAATGTGACCCTTAGAGGCGGACGGAATATGAACATACTTCTGTAGACGAAATAAGTATATTTTACATGTCAAAATCAGTATAATACTATATATATATATACTATGTCTGTCCCAACTCAAAATATTATTTATATCATTTTTGTTCGTCCAACTCCAAAGTATATATTTTCTATTTTAGTCAAAGTAATTACACACCAATAATAAAATACCATTAATTTTTTACAAAAATTACAAACATACAATTTCACATATAATAACTTTTTACATTAAGTCAAATGGCAAAAATGTCAAAACCTCTTACACAGAAATTTTCGCAAAGCGACTTAGATAAAACACTTCCACTAACTAATAAAATACAATTATTTCTCAATCTACTACGAAACCTCAATAGCCCATTTGCACCGGGATTAAGAGAATATATTCTTATCAACTGGTGTTTGCTATAATATTTTGATGAAAAGAAATATAATTTTTATATGTAATAAATTAAATAAAGAATATATTGTATTTACATATTTTGAAATAGATTATGAAAATATTACACAAATAACCAAACAAAATCTTACAACTAAAAATTTAAGAAGTACTCTCAAATTTTGATTTTATCCAACTAACTAAACACATCCAAAGGTATTTGGTGCAATGCATCTTACAAATATGTTTGCATATTAACTTATCAAATATTTAAGAGTAAATTATGTTTGTATCACTTGTATTTTAATTTAAATACATAAATTATATTGGATAATTCACTTTTGTATTAGTTAAAATGATGCATAAAATTCATATATTCATATAGAATAAAAGAGAATGAGAATAATGCAATGCAATTTACATACAATATTTAATTTAATCTATTTATGTTAATTAAAAAAAAAATACGCAAAAAATATCATAAAGTCTTAAAAACAAGTTGTCAAAACTTTAGAATCGAGCCAAGTTGAGCAAGCTGTCTCTTTTAACTTTTATTTATTTATTTTTTCGAATAATTTTTCTCAGAGCAACGATATATTCAGACAACAACAACAATGCAAGAAAACTCCCTAAAATTCACCCCGAAGCCACATCATCATCCAAAGAAGTATTACAACAACATCAAGGATCTCTATCAAGAATTTATGATGAATACGGATTCATATTCTTCTAAGTACCTTACGAACATGATGGTATTAGAGCGAACAAAGCCGCTCATGATTGATTGTGTTAGGGAAATCATTGAAAGCCACAAAAAACAGAACAAAGGCATATACAATCTAAAAAAAATCTTGGATACAGATGAATTGTGGCTATTTGTTCGCAAAAATGTATGGGAATGGAGCCAAGACCCCGTGGACGAAACCAATTTAGTTTGTTTTCTCCGCAATGATCTATTGGCTTCTACAGAAGAGTCAAGAGTTAATTATGAGAACATAAAAAATGAGACTTCAATGGAGATTGGAGCCGTTATTTTGGAGGGAATTGTCGATGAGCTTGTTGAAGAATTGTGTGGTGAAATTTAGCTGTGTGAATTTGTAGGATTCTGATTTTCGAAGATATATAAGTTGACAAAATAAGTTTATAGAATGTTTAAACTTTTCTTGCTTCTTAAAAATTTGACCTTTTTATGTTATACGATTAAGCATATCGTTATTTCATATATTGTTTATTGTTTTATAATAAAATTGTATGATATTTAAATTATTCACAAAGAGATAAAATTTATTTTGAAAGCCAAAAGAAATCATAATAAAATTATCAAACAATCTATTCATGTTTGGTGAAAATATTTAAAAATTAAAATGAGATTTTTTTTTTTTTTTTGTTCTTTTGGCAAGTTTGATTTTTTTTTTATTACTTTTTCAAATTTTATATTTACAAGAGTTGGCAATATACAATCAATATCTGTGTGTGTTTTTCTAGAAAAAATTAATTATATATATATATATATTTTTTTCATAAAGCAGATTCTTGCTAACTTAAATGATGTGGTTCTAAAGCAAATTGTAATCAAGTTTGAAGGAATTTTTTTTGGGTTAGATTCATTCATTATTTTTTATGATAAGATATACAAATATTTGTAGTATGTTAGTTTTACAAGAACAATGATTTTTGTTCATAATTTATTTTCAGTTACTTTTTCGATATATTTTAGGAACTATTATTATTACAATTATTATTATTATTATTATTATTATTATTATTATTATTTCAAGTACTAGAGAAATTTTTAGTCTTCAAAGAATTTTAAAAAGAAAAAAGCAAAACAAAATGAAAAATTTTACTACTCAATCTTTTAAATATGCAACCATTAACAGTGCATTATTTAAAATTCTTATCCCTACCACATGATCTAAAATTACTATATTGTCAATTGAATAGGAATCCTTGAGGACAAACTTATAGATGTAAGTTCTCTTTAGAAAAATACATACAAAATTGCTCTTTAGTTAGATGTAAAATCTAGATAAATTGTATGTAGACTTGCATTTTAATTGAAACATGCAAAATATCTTTATCTACATTTTTATTGCATAATTCACTATTGTACTATAATAAAAATAAAACATAGAAACTCCGCAAGAAGTGATTTAGAGCATATGTAATGATGTTTAAGTAAAAAATACATTTATTAGCTACTGCGGCATTTATTTGTCCATTTTTACTTTCTACACAATCGATTAAAAGAAGTAAGTACGCTTTACAATTTTGATTTTGATTTTAATATTATATTTATTTTTATTTTTAAAAAAAAATCGAATCAAATATTTATTTTTTATTTATTATATTTACACTAAAATTTTGATTTTACATTCAAAAATATGATCTAATAAATATCAATACAGATGTACCCATCAAATTTTTTTTATTTTTTTCTAAAACCCAAAATGCTCACATGGCATCTGACTTGGGTATCTTCGCATGAAGATATATCTCTATTGGGCATGCCTCGGTGTGAAAAGGTGAATAGAAATATAGAATTTCTATACAATATGATGCAAATTAAAGTAGAGATCGAAAAAATGTGCAGATTATTATTGGAGCAAAAATTATTTTTGGTCCCATTAAATATTATAATTATCAATTTTTGTCTTATTCAAACAAAAATTATCAATTTTAGTCTCATTCAAATGAAAATTTATCAATTGTAATATTAAGATGGTTGACTGAGACTGAACATTATAAAATTGACTACATGAGACACCCAATCACCTTCTGAGTTATCTAATATGGCTGCATTGATTACCCTGCACTTCTGAACATAGCCGTGTTCCTGCCCGTATTCCGAACACAATCATGTTCATGTCATGTTCTCAACACAGCTATATTTTAGGCCATATTCATGTCCATTTTTTCAACACAACCATGTTTTAGGTCATGTTCACGACTATGTTTTCAATATAATCATATTGTAAGTCATATTTATTATTATTTTTACTTGGTTAAAATTATTTGATATATATATTTATAATTTAACAAATTATTTTTTACAATTATTTTATAATATAAAAAATAATCAATTTTTAATATTTTAAAAATATATAAAAGTAATAATATATTAATATATATTTTTTATAATCATCATTATATATATTTTTAAAAATTTATAGTAAAAATTTTAAAATATTATTTTAAAATAATTATTTCTATAAATTATAAATTAAATTTATTATTCAAAATAATATTTTAAAATAATATTATAAAAAATATATATTAATATATTATTATTTTTATATTTTTTTGCAATTATTTTTTAAAATATTAAAAATTGATTATTTTATATATTATGAAATAATTGTAAAAATTATTTTTATTGAATTATAAATATATATCAAATAATTTTAACCAAAAAGTGAAAATAATAATAAATATAACCTACAATATGACCTAGAACATGGCTCTGTTGAGAACATGAGCAGGAACAGGGCCAAAACATGGGTCTCTTGAGAACATGGGTAGGAACATGGTTGTGTACAGAACACGGGCAGGAACACGGCCGTATTCAGAAGTGCATGATAATCAACACGGCCGTGTTGGCTGCTTAGGACGCCTAGTCACCATCTGAGTCATCCAACACGACCGTGTTCAGTCCCAGTCAACCATTTTGGAACTAAAATTGATAAATTTTTATTTGAGTGTGACCAAAATTGATAAATTTTTTTGAATAAAACAAAAATTGATAATTATAATATTTAATGAGACAAAAATAATTTTTGCTCGTATTATTGTCATTTTCATACCAATATTTTATTATGAAGGAAAATAAAAACATAGGAGTCCATAATTTGGTGGTGTTTGTTTGGGGATTTGGATTTTGAATTGGGATTTTAATAGTAAAAATTTTGAATTTGACTAGTTGTATGATGTGATATAAATAGGTGTTGATGTGATGTTTTGAATGTAAAATTGATTTTTAGTATAATATAAAAAATAAAAAATAGGTGTTTGATTTGATATTTTTGGGGGGAAAAAAAATTGGATGAATAGTGGATTTAAAATCCAATCTTCCAAACAAACACACCCAAGCTATTAAATACAATTATTTTAATTAAATATTAATGTTTCAATTAAATATATTGGCCTATTAGCTCAGCTGGTTAGAGCGTCGTGCTAATAACGCGAAGGTCGCAGGTTCGAGACCTGCATGGGCCATATTATTTTTAATTTTTCATACTCTCTACGCGCACAAAACAAGAGCCCACCAAATGGACGGTGTAGATTCATCGAGTGTGTAGCTATCCCCGAGCTCCTAGGTTCCGAACTCCAGAAAAATCTGCGCCGTATAGATTAATGGACCCCGCAATATGGACGGTGACAATTCATTTTTACAGAAACTCCTATGGATCACCTCACCAAAGCTATTATTACAGTCAGATTTTCCTTAAAATACACACCTACATAAATACTTACTTATACGTATATGTGTACGTATATACATACGTACATACATAATACGTGTTTGCGTTTTAGGGCAAATGTGATTCATCATCCTCTCCTCACTTTTCGGACCCTCAATTTTTGTTGTTTTCAGAGAATTTGCAATCCCTCCCTCCTTTAGTCTCCCTCCAACCCCGTTTCCCCCCAAATTATTAATTTCTTTCGAAAACCCTAGTTTCCCCCTCTCCGCTTTCTGGATTCACTTTCCTCGCCTTCTTGCGGCAATGGAGGATGGGGAGCACAACAAGCTGTTCGTCGGGGGTATTTCGTGGGAGGCGACGGAGGAAATCCTCAAGGAGCATTTCAGCAAATACGGCGCCGTTTTGGGCTCCGTAATTGCTAGAGATCGGATTACTGGCAGCCCCAGGGGATTTGCTTTTGTTACCTTCACTGAATCTTCCGCCGTCGACCGCGCGCTTCAGGACTCGCATCAGATTCTCAGCAGAACGGTTCGTTTATGATTTGTTTCACTCTTAGGGCTTTTTTTGTTGTGAAATTGTTTGTGCTGAGAGAATTTAGGGCTTTTCGGACTTAATTTGTTCTCTTTGTTTTTTCCTACTCTTTCTGCGATTTCGTTAGTCAAAGTCGGATTGTTTCGGATCTTTGTCTGTATTTGTTCGATTACGTAGGTGGATCGGCTTTTACTTTATGGAAATTGTGAATGGGTTCGAGTAATTGATTTTTAATTTGTATGTGTGTGGTTTTGGGTACCGCTGGCTCCATAGCTTTTTCTTGTTCTTTTATTTAATATTTCTTCGATTTTGGGATTTTCTTAGAATTCTTTCATGGGGCCATCATGACCTTCTTCTTCTTCCTCTTTGTTATTTCTTCTATTGCTTTACTTTTACCTTTTTCAGAGTAAGAAGTAAACAAAAACATGTGACGATTTTAATTATTCATCTGGTTTTATCTTATTGATACCTGTTTCTGCAGCAGATTTTCAACCCTTTTTGTGCTTTTAAATAAGAATTGTTCTTGTGTTTTGGTTGATTTGAATAGTCACAGAACAGATTATATGCTATATAGTGAACGATTGAATGATGCCATTAGTGACTATGAATATGAGTGAGTATAGTAATGATTGAGCAATTATTGAATATCTAGACTTATGTAAACTGTGAATTTTGTAGAGATTATGTTTGCCTGTTCTGGAATTTATTTATTTTCTATTTGCAAATACACAGCCTGCCAAGCTGAAAAAGGTTGCTCTCCTGCTGTTTTGTACCTGTGATTATTTAAACCTGCAATACTATTTGCCTGTCAATATATAGTATTTAAGTAATTGCAATAATATTATATTGGTGAATCATATTTTAAAAACAGTTTCCGAATGCATAGTGAGGCTACTAAAGCCCGAAATGTTGTTTGTCGTGTTACTTTAAAGGTGGAAGTGAAAAGGGCGATACCCCGGAACGAACAGCAAAGTCAGCAACTTCATCAAAGGGGTGTAAGCAAGAACGTCGGTAGAACCAATGTTAGGAGCAGCGACCATCAGTCCAGGACGAAGAAGATTTTCGTAGGAGGGCTATCGGCTAACTTAACTCAGGAAGAATTCCGAAGCTACTTCGAAAAGTTCGGCAGGATCACAGATGTAGTTGTGATGCACGACAACACGACCCATAGACCGAGGGGGTTCGGTTTCATCACTTTCGACTCGGAGGACTCCGTCGAGGAAGTTATGCAGAATAAATTCCACGAATTGAACGGAAAGCATGTGGAGGTTAAAAGGGCTGTCCCGAAAGACGGAATTAGCAGTAGCAGCAGCAGTAGTAACGGATATAATGGAAGATTATCCAGCGGCAGGGCAGACCAAAACTTCAACTTTTATCACCAAGGTAATTACTCGCCGTACAACGCAAGATTCGGACATTTCCCGACTGGATACGGAAATGTTCCTGGCTACCCATACGGGGCAGGTGTATTCGGAAATGGTTATCCGTCTGCCGGGTACGGCGGGATCGGTTACGGGTTCGCGCCGATTGTCCCAACGGGTCCGTGGAATCCGGCGATGGTTGGGGTTAGGGCAGGTTTGTTGCCGTACGGAAATGCTCCGCCTGTCTACCCGACCTACCCGAACGGCGGGTATGGGGTGACGGGGTACGGCGGGATTGTGGGCGCGGAAATTAGTGGTAAAATGGGACAATTGAGCATTGGAGATGTGAATTCGAGTGAGTCGTGGACGCAATCTGGTATGAGTAACGTAGATGTGAATTCGTTTCGATCGGGAAGAGGCGGGCGAGGATCGTCGACGGGAAAACAGAGTCAGAAAGGCAACGATCGGTCTCGAGAGGTGACTAGTTCTAGCTGATGTGATTGTGAATATTGACTTGGCTAGGAATGTCTGTCTTCTTCCACTGACATCGTCGAGGTAATGTCAGCTCTCTCATGTCCATGTTTTAGATGCCTTTCTAATTCTTGGGGAAAGGGGTAAGGGGTAATTTAATGGTTACATTATCTTAATATTTATTGTTCAAAGTTGATGAATTTGGGATACCCTTTTTACTGTAATATATGTTTTTTTTTTTTGAAATATTTGTTGTGCATCTGCTTTGATTATCTTATCTTTTTTAGTTGTTGAAATAAATGTTGTAAGGTTTGTGAATGGGTTTGGTTGAGAAGACAGGGTCAGGGTCAGGGTCAGGGTTGCATTGATTCCTCATCTGCAGTCTTTGCTGCATTCATTTACTTTCATTATTGATAGGTTTGTTTATTTATTTTAGATACCAATTTTTATTTTCCTTAAGTATATTTGCACAATTTTTTTTAGGTTATTGTCTTTTTTTTGTTATGAAATGACAAATTTGTTCTTAATTGTATGGTAGAGATTAAAAGTAATAAATGAATTAAGGATAAAAATGTAAAATTTGTGTTTAAAAAAGGAAATAAGACTATAATTATTGGTCTGTCTTAAATAGAAAAATAGGACATTAATTCGTAGATGGAGGAAATATTTAGTTTTAGTATTACATATATATATATATATGCTGTTGCAATTTCTTGGAATTGCTCTTTGTGTTGGTTTTAGTACATAATAATTGTTGGATTAGGACTTATGTGTATTATATGAATTAGGAATTTTGACAAGGTGAATTAAACTATTTAATATTTTATTTTATATATATATAATGAAGGGTTTGTTCTACTATGGTTACTTTGTTCAATAGGGCATTATGGAGGAGTTTTCAGTCCAATTTTCGGCAAAATTGTCCACAATTCTTATGTGGTTTCGCAGCTTAGTGTACTTTAAAATTTACATGGCGATTTTTATATTTTTAAAAATATTGTATGATTTTTTTTTTCTTTTTACATTTTGTGTGATTTTTCATATATTTTTTTCATGTAAAGTTTTTTAAAATATAAGAAAATGCTATGCAATTTTTAAAATACGTTGAGTTCCGAAATCATCACAAAACAGTTATGGGCAATTTTTGCCCTAATTTTCGGGTCTTAAATCGGCACCCAACACAATCCAAGGTTGGTTTAATTTTAAGGTGTGTTTGTTTGGGGATTGGATTTTAAATACACTATTCATCCCATATTTTTTTTTCCAAGAACATCAAATTAAACATCTATTTTTTATTTTTTATATTATACTAAAAATCAATTTTACATTTAAAATATTACATCAATACCTATTTATATCATATTATACAACTATTTAAATTCAAAATTTTTACTGCATCACGGATAGTGGGTATAAATACAAATAATTTCTCATTTTAATAGTAAAAAAAGAGAACAAATACTAGAAATTTAACATTAACATCAAAAATTGAATTGTTCACTGTGTATCATCCTTATTGTTTATTCTTTTTACTATATTTCTAAACACACTACAATTTGTAGTTTGTTATCCTATCTACATAGCTTAGAAATTTGTACTTTTGTGATCAATTGTCTATATGAGCATACACATGATAATTAAATACTCTTAGATCAAAATAATAAAAAAATAGTATTAGAACATACCACAATAGAAGTTTTCAACCATAAAACAAACTTGTTCACCAGACAATATACAAGTTAATATACATATAAATATATTAATTTTAATAAATCCGCCAGACATGGCCCAGATAATTTTTTGGCCTATTTTTGGAGGTTTAAAGATGACTTTTTGGTGCCAGATTCGAATTGGGTACTCGATACTTGTCTATTTTTGTCTGTTTTAATAATAGACGTATCTCTCTTAATATAAAATGAAAAATGCATCTTAATCCGTCGTAATTCAAAATTATTTTTGCCATTAAAATTTTCAATTTCGGCTTTCGCAATAGTAGTTGGAAAATCAAATAACTACACAATCTGACAACCCAAGCGGAACCAATATATCTTATACCAATGTATTGTGAAATTGATAGGTAAAATAAAATAAAAAAAATTAATCAGGTAAGAATAAGAAAGATTAGAGATATAAAATATAATTTGATTCGGAATAAATTCCTATGTCCACTGAAAAAAAAAAAAAAACAAGAAGAAGAAGAAGAATTAACTAATAAAAAAAGTTTCAAATCCAATATATATGTTTCCAAAGAATTACCAAGAACTAATCAAAAGAAATAAAAAATAAAAAAAAAAATTTCTCTTCCAATTTAAAACAAATGGAATTCAGAATTACTGTAACGAATTATATAATTTTTTTTTAATGTAAAATTAATATTTATCATAATACAAATATATATATATATATTTGATTTGGTATTTTTAAAAAAATAAAATAATAAATAATAAAATCTAAATTGAAAATTCAGAAGCAAATAAAGCCATAATATTTGATTTGGCATATATTAAAATATGGAACTTTTGAAGTGAACACTCAGCCTTACATGAGATAGATAATTTGTTAGGCCCAAATTAATTGGGCTTCTACACTCTTTATTTTCAATTTTTTTTTTTTTTTATTATTGTTATTTTAATTATTTATAAAACATGATTGATAGTTGTATCTGAAGTTAGAAGTTTAATTGGACAAATTTCATTTAATTTATATTTACTTATGATATGAATGACTAGAAAAAATTTAAAATACATATTTAAATATTGTAAAATTTGTATATTAAGAAAATATATTTATTTCCGTAGTCAAAATATATACTCATAATTTTGGACACACATGTTTTAATGTAAATGTGTAATAATTGGTATTTTTTTTTACTTTCATTTTTGTACTATTTAATTTATTCTTTTATCTTTAAAATTATTATTTTCAATGCCTATATATATATATATATATATATTTAAAATCCATTAATTAGTGAACAACTCCAAATATTGTATGTATGTATATGTGTTGTGGAAAATTATAGTGAAAGTGGGATGGAAAGGATAGTGATCATTAGATGAGAGATTTTCTTTAAAGAGGTTGGGACACTTATTTAATTTTTACATACCAATAATAATAATAAAAAATAAAAATAAAATTTTATTGTTTGACAGCCAAATGAATTAAATTAAAAACAAAGAAGTGATGGTGGATTCACTCATCATTGCCATATTATAAACTCTTTTCCTATTGTAACTACGTTTCTGCATTTATTTTCCCTCTCAAAAACACCTTTTTCATTTTGCTTTCAACATTCAAAACAAATCATTTCTATTTGAAAATTTGTCCCTCAATAATATATATATATGCAAAATCAATCAGTCATACATGTAAATATGTGGTGCCGTAAAGAATGGTCTGGTAGTATGAAGTGAATTTCATATTTACTATATCTACACTATAAAAAAATAGATTATTTGTAACGGAATTTCGTTTCTAAAGTTCACGTAGCTAACGTAATTCCATCTCTAATTCCGTCTCTAATATCATTAGTAACGGAAAAAGTGGATTTAACAACGAAATTTTTTTTTTACAAAATTGATATTTTTTTTGTAGTGCTAGAGCTGTTAAACGAATTGAGCCGTTCGTGAACTTGGCTTGGTTCGGCTCGATTAAACCTCGTTCGCGAACGTTAACGAGCTGAACTGAACAATATAAACAGGCTCGTTTGGTTAACGAACGAGTCCGAACTTTGTTCGCGAACGTTCGTTTAAATAATATATTTATTATAAATATTATATATATAAAATTATAATTTATAAATAAATAAAATATTAATTTAAAATATATAAATAAAATAATTTTAAATTTTCTTTATAATTTATAAATTTTAAAAAATAAGACAAACGAGCTCGAACGAACTCGAACAAGCTTAATCGAGCCTAAACGAGCCGAACACGAACACGAGCTCAAATAACAAAAATTCTTAACGAGGCGAACACGAACACGAGCTCAAACAACAAAATTCTTAACGATCCGAGCTCGAACACTACGAACGAGCTCAAAAGCTTACTGAACGAACACGAGCCTTGTTCGCGAACATTAACGAATACTTAAAATTTAACTCGGCTCGGATCGTTAACAACTCTAATTATATCTAATGAATAAATTATTTTTCAATATTTGTTATAATCTATTACTTCCTCCGTCCCGGATATTTTTTCCGTTTTACTGTAGATACGAGAATTTATAAGGATATAATTAGTAAATAATTGAAAATATATTAGTGAAAATAGTTATTATATAATATAAATAATTATAGATTAAAATTAACATAAGTGATTAGTATAATTAAAATTAAAAAAATTATAAATTGAATTTTTTAAAATATGATTAAAGTGTATAATTATTTTCCAAAAAAAGAAAGTGACAAAATAAGTGGGACGGACGAAAATGAAAAGGTAGACATGAGAAGTGGGACGGAGGGAGTATTAGTGTACCAAGAAAATTAATAATACCTTGAATGTTATTTCAATTCTAAAATATTAGAAGAAATGTTGATGATAATATTTACAACAAAATGATTCACTCCATTAGTTCATAAAATAAATACATATATGTTTTATATCTAATAAAATTCTTAATTTTATTTTATTTTATTTTTATTTTTTTGTTCGAATCTGAATAGATCTTCAAGAACCCTTTAGATCTTGGGGATTCTATTATGATATGTTCTTCTTTGTTGGAGTAAATCACTCTTGTCAATTGATGATGGTATATGACTATTTTTCTATTTGTATACATTTTATTTATTTATTTATTTATTTTATTTTCACTTTCATTTTACTAAGTTGTTAGTATTCTTAATAGAAAATTATTCTTTATAGTGACTATTAGCATAATTTTATATTCCCTAGCCATCAACTACAAATCCGTAGGGCATGATACTTATTTCTTGGAGAAAAATCGATATAGAAATAATTAACCATGTACATTTCCATTGATGCACAAAATGCATTTAGAATTCCCGGAATCACTGTAAGAAAATAGTATTTTTTAACAATTTATTTTTATTTTTATTTTAAAATTTACTTTTTTGGTTACTAATAACATAAGATACGAAATTTATCATAAATTTCATCCCTAAAATTCACGTAACTAACGTTATCCGTTCTTAAGTTCTATTACAAATAAATTATATATGTTTTTTTTAGTGAATGACATGTCTATTTTGGTCACGTCAGCCTAAATGTGTAAAGAGTTTCCTAGGGAATTTTCCGCAATTATTTTTTTT